ATTATTAAAAACTTATGATTATTATAAGACTAATAAAGGGGTAATGTGTAGCCAAAGGACAGTTTACCCTTTGATTTGGGATAATTAATCATGATTAATTAGGATAATTATCATTCCATGATTAAAAAAGTTTTGTATTTTGCGGGAATTGACAGGTGGGATGTTCGTGATGTGTAAGGGTACAATAAAAGACATTTGGAGGTTAAAATGAATTTTTCAAATTAATATTTGGAAGTGCGGTAAAATTATAGAGAACCAAAAGGTGCAAGTGCGGTAGAATAAAAGAGAAACATAAAAATGTACTTAAGCCTCTGATGATGTCTGTCACAAACTACAACAACCATCTAGCGGCAGACGAAGAAAGACAGTGTACTCTCTTAAGAAAGTACACTATCTAGCTCTTCTATTTTCAATTTTTCCTTAGATAATGTTTGACATGCGGACAGAATAAAACAGAGAAGTTTATGAGTGAAAGTGTGTTAAAGCGAAGAGTCTAGAGTCTTGCTTAACGGCTAAAATTTATATTGCTAGAGAACATCTGGGATAAGTACTAAAGGAGAAGTTTAAAAACGAAATAGTGCGTTATGTTGGACTCTAGTCTCAGTTAATTTTTCAATGTTTGTTCAAAAATGATTGGAAGTTCAAATGTAAGTGGATTTATTTAATTATTTCGAAATACCAATGTCAACTTTAAAAATGTCAAGTAACAAAATGTCAACTTTAAAAATGTCAAACGCTAAATACCAACTTTCAGGATATCAAAAGACAAAATGCTAACTTTCAAAATGTCACTTGAAAAATGTCAAACACATTTTAATACCTATTATGTCTTCGATTATGTCGTCAACTTATATCTTTTGAAGGGATTCAAGGGTAATTAATAAAAATTTGAGGGTAATTAATTATATTCAAAAGGATTAATTACCTTCTACCTTTTGATAGTGGAAGGTGATAAGATGCCAATAAGTGAGTGGAATGAGTGGAAGTGGGAATGTTATTATTAAAGTTTGACATTATGAAAATTGACATTTTGAATTTTTTTTCAAATTTTGTCCAAAAATATATGGAAGAAATTGTTAGAGGAAAATAAGTTATAATGTAAGGGTGTAACAAATTATTTCGAAATGCCAATTTTCAAAACGTCAAACTACAAAATGCAAACTTTAAAAATGGCAACTTGAAATATGCCAAATACAAATGTAAAAGTTTAAAATGTCATGTGACAAATTGCCAACTTTCTAAATGTCAAACAACAAAATATCAACTTTCAAAATGTTAAACGGCAAAATGACAACTTTCAAAATGCATGCTTTCTAAAAGTAATTCAAAACTTAACTTCTGTTAATTGACGATCACTTATCTTTCCTTATTGTTTTAATTAAAAAGGCTGTTTTAATCAACCTCATAAAAATATGGTGATCTTTAGGGTGGTATGGAAGAAATTGTTAGAGGAAAATAAGTAATTGATTAGTTACTGTTGTGTAGTGGTATCGCTATTGTATAAAAGCCAGTTAAAGCGTCAGTCTAGTTGGATCATAAAAGCGGCGGGCTAGTCACCCGTCTGTTCTAGCTCTTCCATCTTTTCGCCTACACATTGTTTATTTCTAAACGGATAAACAGTTATTCTATCGCACGTCAACACTACTTAAATCTCGGAAATCTCCGTTGTAAATGTTTCTCTCTCAATATACTGTGCCAAAATTAAAATATCTCTTTTTACATTAGAAATTTTCACCTATTTGTTAGCTTTGAGAATTTTTAGACACTAAAAATTTATAAGAAAATTCTCAAAATTAAGAAATTAAAAGAATACCCAAATGATTAATTATGAGTTTTGTGTATAAAAAACTTGGAGCTGATAGAAATTTTGTAATATAAAATAAGAAAAACTGGAACATAATTTAAACTTTACTTTTTATTTCATAAGTCTTACGGTTTCCGATTGTAAACCTCCTGTACAAGGAAGGGTGCGGGGTTTGTCGGCGTGATCAATGGAAAACAATGGTTTTGGTAACTTTAAAGTATCATCATCATCAATTTCGACTAAAATTGCGTGGAAATGGTGCACGGTCATGGGATAACTAAAGAATACTTTAAGGACGGTGACACTTAAAACGACACTCAATGATACAGGATGAATGGTGCAAAGACAAATGGAGCATGGAGCCAAAGTATTGGGATAACTTTCTAATCTAATTAAAGTACCATATCTATAAAGTAAAACTAATTAAAATGCGAATTGGTGGTAACTTGTATTTAAAATTTTTATCAAAATTTTGAAGACTGGCAATTTAGTCAAGGAAATTTTCTTTTTTTTTTATTTTAAACTTCCCTCAGACATTTAAAGTTTGATGGACGATTAACGATTTTTGTTGAAATAAAACTTTTCTCTAAATTTAAAGAGTTTTTTAACTCTAAGATGGTTAACTCTCTCTAGTTTTTATCTCTAATCTTAAAAGATTTTTATATCCAACCATTTTACTCCACATAAAAAAAATAAACTTTTCTGCACCGTCATTTTCATACCCAAGTACATGAAAATGACATGTGATCAAGGGAAACCAAAATTTGAGTGGAATTTTCAGCTCTGCGCCTGGAAACTACATGCTTTGGGGGAAGATTTCACTTCATACTCCTTAAAAACAGGCAAAATTAGGGTGAAATGGAGCATTTTCAATGGAAACATATGCCAGCACAAGAGAAAACTGATCGATGAGAAACAAATGTTGTTCCCTCCCCCCACATTATAACTCAGTGGTAACCAAAATGTTTTGGGGTCCAACATAACGCACTATTTCGTTTTTAAACTTCTCCTTTAGTACTTATCCCAGATGTTCTCTAGCAATATAAATTTTAGCCGTTAAGCAAGACTCTAGACTCTTCGCTTTAACACACTTTCACTCATAAACTTCTCTGTTTTATTCTGTCCGCATGTCAAACATTATCTAAGGAAAAATTGAAAATAGAAGAGCTAGATAGTGTACTTTCTTAAGAGAGTACACTGTCTTTCTTCGTCTGCCGCTAGATGGTTGTTGTAGTTTGTGACAGACATCATCAGAGGCTTAAGTACATTTTTATGTTTCTCTTTTATTCTACCGCACTTGCACCTTTTGGTTCTCTATAATTTTACCGCACTTCCAAATATTAATTTGAAAAATTCATTTTAACCTCCAAATGTCTTTTATTGTACCCTTACACATCACGAACATCCCACCTGTCAATTCCCGCAAAATACAAAACTTTTTTAATCATGGAATGATAATTATCCTAATTAATCATGATTAATTATCCCAAATCAAAGGGTAAACTGTCCTTTGGCTACACATTACCCCTTTATTAGTCTTATAATAATCATAAGTTTTTAATAATGGAAGATTAAACACCTAAATAGACATTTCGAAGTGTGGCATTTTGTCACTTGACATTATGAAATTTGATATTTTAAAATAATTGGTTAATTCCCTTCACATTCTGACTTGCGTCAATTTTGCAAATCATTTAAAATTTTTTTGTAAAATTTTGTCTTTATTTCTCCGCATTTATTTTTATTTAATATATTTTTTTAATTTTCTTCATTTTTAATTGATTATCAGACTCAAATATTCCATTCCTAGACTGAAATTCACAGCTTACGAAATTTATAGAAGATTTTGAATTCAAAATTCCCTCCAATATTTATTTTGAAGTTAACGTTTTGAGATTTGCATTTTGTCGTTTGACATTTTGAAAGTTGCATTTTGTCATTTGACATTTTGAAAGTGGTATTTCGAATTAATGAGTTAAACCCTTACATTTGTACTTCCGGTCATTTTGGACAAACTTTGAAAAATTGGACTGAGACTCTAGAGTCCAACATAACGCACTATTTCGCTTTTAAACTTCTCTATTAGTACTTATTCCTGATGTTCTCCCAGATGTTCTCTATTTACTTGAAGGTTCTGATTGACAAGCTATTACCATCTACCTTAAAAAAATAATTAATCATTTTATATATGATTAATTACCACCAAACTTTTATTAATTACCGATGAACCTCTTCAGTAGGTGTAGGTCGGCAGCATAATAAAATAAAAAAGGCGTCAAAAGGAGTGAATTTCTGGAGGAGAGCGATTTGGGTAGTAACCTATAAAAAAGGAAAAGGTTTTGAGTGAATATTAATTATCTTTGTTGATTGACATTTTAAAAGTGATATTTCGAAATAATGAGTTAAACCCTTCTTGCATTTGTATTTCCGGTCATTTTGGACAAACTTTGAAAAAATGGACTGAGACTCTAGAGTCCAACATAACACACTATTTCGCTTTTAAACTTCTATATTAGTACTTATCCCAGATGTTCTCTAACAAGTAAATTTTACTCTAGAGTCCAGCATAGCGCACTATTTCGCTTTTAAACTTCTCTATTAGTACTTATCCCAGATGTTCTCTAACAAGTAAATTTTACTCTAGAGTCCAGCATAGCGCACTATTTCGCTTTTAAACTTCTCTATTAGTACTTATCCCAGATGTTCTCCAGATGTTTTCTATTTACTTGAAGGTTCTGATTGACATGCTATCATCATCTACCTTCAAAAGGTAATTAATCGTTTTAAATATGATTAATTACCCTCCTTTATTAATTTCAGATGAACCTCTTCAGTAGGTGTAGATCGGCGGCATAATCAAAATAAAAGCATCAAAACGGTAAAATTTGGAGGTGAGCGATTTGGGTTGAAACAAAACAAACTAATGGGTAATTAATCACCTGAAAAATGATTAATGGGCTTAAAACCCCCCTTAATCCCATAGGATTGTCGGCAAAATCAAAAGAAAATACCCCCTATAGGCTCAGGTTTGATGTGACAGTTCATCAAATGGGGTGAGCGATTTGGGTATGTGGAGCGATTGGGGTCTAGTTAACTACTCTAAAGATCGTCTCATAAGTAAGGTTTATCTTGTTTTATCTTTATAAAGAGGTTTTCTCTAATAATGGGTTGTATTTTAAATAGAGGGTATCGCTTTTAGACAGATCCCCCGTTCAGTAGAAATTTCTAAAGCGCGTATGTTAAATAGAAGGTTTTGCTTAGACAGAGCTCCCCCACCAAGTGGCCAATCATCTTTTAAAGCGCGTCTTTTAAATAGAGGTTTTCGAGTATAGGGGAGTATTTTATAACGAGCTCCTTGACTATATTTTACCAATCTCGTCTCCTTCTTTCCAAATTATACGTATGATAAGATGCACAAATATGATTATTTGAAGGTTCCTTTCTCAAAACTGTTGCTTCATCAGATTCCTCACATTTTAGTCTACAATAAACCAAAGTTTTATTTTGACTATTTAATTCGTCAAAACATCCAGGATTTAATTCTGTTATTCTTCCTTCTTCAAAAAGTGAACATCTTGAAATATTTAATCCGTGATTGATACATTCCAGCGATCTTTGACCTTTTTTGAAAAAATAAATATTTTAACAGTTGAACTTCATTATAGACACACCCTTCTATATTAGATAGACCTTATAATGAGATGTACGTTAAAATGAGGTTGCCTGAGAGGTATCTTATAAAGAGAGGTACCTTATAGCGAGAGGTACCTTGTAACGAGGTGTACCTTTTCTTAAATTGAGGTATCAAGTCAATCCTCTATTTAATATACATCTCATTATAAGGGACTATCTTTCAGCCCCAAGACTCTCTTATAGTGAAGTCCGACTATCCCTAACAGTAAATAACTCACTCCAATAATAAGTCGATTTCCTGTTTAATATAGGCTCCAAATTTATTAATTTAAAAATTAAAAATAATAAAAATAAATTAAACATTTTAAATAAATATTAAAAAATAATATTATTTTTAGATTATTATCTGTTTATGTAATAAAATCAATTAAAAACAAATCTGGATTTAAAAATAAATCTGGTTTGTTATATAATTTTGTGTAATTATTTATTAATTATTAGCTGAAATATAATTATTTTTTAATTAAAGACTCGAACAAAAATTAAATAAAGGGGGGAGGGGAAAGTAGGGCGTCTAATGCCCTGAGGGTTTTATATCAGAGACGTGTCAGTTTCGTCTTTCGTCTAAGTTTCGCTTTTTTGGTGTTTCGTCTTTCGCTTTTACAAGTGAAAGACAAAGGGGGAAACACGACAGTTAACTTAAAACGCGAAGGACAAAGACGAAACACCAAAAAACGAAGGCTGAACGGCGCCCTTGAGGGCATTTATACCCCTAAAACATCAGAACCGCTTTTATTAAAATTTATTCATTAATCCAAAGAAATTCTTCTTGTTTTTGTTTATTAGTTTCCCCAATATGTTGTTTTCTTCCTTCTGAATAAATTACCGCTTTCTGAGCCACCCCAAGCGCTAAAGAATTTTCTGATTTGGATCCCTCAGGTTTTGCACTAGGTGCATGTCCCTTTTCATTTCCCGAATAAGAAGCGGAGTATGTAGGGGAATTATCTAAAGACTTCCAAACAGGAGATGATGTTGAGGGGGAGGAAGGAGGTTGCTGTTGTTCATATGCGGATGGAGAAGGTAAAAGGACTCCGGCATTGGCTCCTTTAATTTAACTCTGAATTTAATTTTGGAAAAATTTCTGACCTCCTTGACAGTGTTGGCATGAACCAGGATATCCAGGCTCTCCTGGGGGTCCTATAAATCAAAAGATAATCAAAGATAATCAATAAGAACAACAGAAACGTACCAGGAGGTCCAGGCAATCCAGCATTCCCTTCAGACCCTCGGTCTCCAACAGAGCCCCGTATTCCAGGAGGACCTTGCATTCCTCCCTTTCCATCGTGACCTCTTCCGCCAGGAGGTCCTCTTGGGCCTTTAATGGACAAACAATTTTTTCAGTCTAATCGATTTACGTTACCTGATGGACCAGCCGGGCCCGAAGGACCGGGAGGGGCTCCATTCAACACCTAAAATTTTGAAGTGTAGAATAATTCGTTTCTGAGAGAAAACTTACTTTTCCTCTATCTCCATTAGGTCCCTTGTCGCCCATAAAGCCTGGATCGCCTCTAGGACCCGGTGGTCCTGGCGGTCCAGGTCGATTGTTGTCTAAAATCATTAAAATTCTCAAAAAATCGTTTATCAAAGATAACAAACCGCCAGCTCTTCCCGGCTGTCCAGCTTTACCAGGAGGACCACGAGGGCCTATAATAAAGCATTAAATAATTAACACTTATTTCTAAATACCTTTGGTTCCAGGCAATCCTGGAGGTCCATTTGAACCTGGAGGGCACTAAAATTTAATAGGATTTATTTAAAGTCATATAATGATAACTTTCTGACAACTGTCAGTGCCGGCTGGAGGTGCCGGTAGATATTTTCCATTTCGTCCAGGATATCCGTCTGATCCTGGCGTAGCGTCCTTTCCAGGGCGTCCATCTCGTCCAGGCTTTCCTCTTTCCCCAGGCGGTCCTTTATTTTAAAAAATATTTCCATTTACATTTAAGATGTTTTAACCTTGGCTGCAAGAACAGCAGGCACCGCGTGATGCCGACAAAATTGCGGCGTAACGCGCATAGGGGTTACTATTGCTGTCAATGTCTCGTTTAACACGGATGGGTCTTATAGCCAGTTGAGACACAATATCTCGAGTTTCCGCTTTGCATAGCTCAACATTGGCAAGCAGGTAAGAAAGTCTTTGTTGATTGTGAATGAAGCTGATTGGAATAAAAACAATAGCGGAAAGGAAACAAGTAAATGAGAGAACAGTAGCCAAAAATGTGGATTTACGGCAATCAAAATTTAAAGAAAACATTGGAGGTGACCTAAAACAATTTACCTAAAACAATTACTACATACTCTTAAAAATGAGCTGAGAATTTATCACAAATGATTTTTCATCCCACAAAAAGATGAAAAAATAATTAAAAGGAAGATGCCCTCTCTAAATGACCTAATTTTCACCCTGATCGTCTGCTCCCAATTTTTAAATTAAACAAGGAAAAAATATTTATCTTAATCACATTAAATTACACAAATATTATATTTATGGATGGGCAAATACATACAATTAATACGTACAAAAAATCAGAGAAAAAAACCACACGATTCTTAGGTCGACATCGTTCTTCTTTTTTTAAGTTGCCAGTCAAACGGCTCCATAAGAGTGCAGTCCCGTCGTTTCGCCACACGCTTGACCATTTCGCGAATCCAGTTGTAGTCAATCTTGTCCACATAGTGCAGCCCATTCAAATATTTTATACTTCATGTAACTCGCTCTCCTGTAAAAACAAAAAGTTTTTTTTGTTTTTTTGTTCCCCGTTTCTATCAACAAACCTCATGGTTTGGGAACAATGTTTTTGGCTCAGCAATCGCCTTCCTCTTCATTCGCTCAACTTCGTCCACGTCGGTAACCATGTGCCACGGAAGTCGATTAACGTTGACCATGTCCACAACCATATAGATCCAACTCTCGCAGTCGTCTTTACGTCCAAGCTCCTCCATCTTGTGCATGGTCACTGGGGCGAAGCGGACGGTGCCTTTGAACTTTATCTGAAAATTGAACAAGATAACCAATTTACTCATGATTTTATCTTTTTTTTACCTTTCTTCGTGGTGTCAGCATACTCCCCTTAGCGTCAAGAATCTTCCGTGCAATCCCGTAGTCCACAACGAAAACCGTATTGCAGTATTTGCTCCCTTGCATTCCAATCACGAAATTTGCCGGTTTGATGTCGCGGTGAAGAAAGCCAAGATCGTGCATTTCTTTGATCGCGTCAATCGACTGGATGGCACAATAGTAGGCAGTGTTAGGGCTAAAAATGTTAAAGAGATGAATTAAAAAATTAGACCACTTCAGGTAACAAACCTGAAGATCCTCTTTCTGTACGCTCGCTTTATGTCTCCCAGCGACTTGCCCAGAAGCGTCATGACAATGAACATACTACTGCTTGAACTGTGCGGTTCACTATGGTCAATGAGCGTGGGCAAGTGTTGTCTCTCTTCCGGCTTTGCCAAGGCAGCGGCCTGCAACACCCGCACCTCCATCTGCAGCTTGTAGTGGTCACGCTTTGGAGCACGCTTCTCAAGTTTTAGAGCAAAAACGCCTCCTTTAGAGCCTCGGACTTTGAATACAGCGCCGTACCCGCCAGAAGCAATGTCGGAAATTACAACGAACTCCTGTGTGGCGCTAAAAAAGAGAAAAGATTAGAACGGATTAGAAAGTTATCAAATGGAAACTGACCCTTGGAACGATTGCATGCTACCATCCGACATTGTTGACGCAGTTTTCATTGTAGACGACATTGGACGATTTATGGTAGAGTAGTTGGCTGGTTGTGGGTGGTAATGAGCCAAAATATTGAGGCTTTTATATGCCGCCAAAAATGGCCGCCATTTTGTCTATTTTTCTTTTCTTTCACTATTTCTTCTTTGTATATTCGTGTCCCCTCAACTCATCGAATCCTTAACTCATCGAATCGGCCAAAAACACTCAACTCATCGAAACGGCTAAAATTCCTTAACTCATCGAATCGGCCAAAAACTATCAACTCATCGAATCCTTAACTCATCGAATCCTTAACTCATCGACTAGGCCAAAAATGCTCAACTCATCGAATCCTCCCAAAAGGGGACGTTTGAGTCCCAGTGTTTATTTTTCTCCCAAAAGGGCTAGCTGAATCTTCGTTGAAAAATTTTTTGTGCTGCTTTGGAGGCTAGGAAAAAGGCGTTTTGGGCACAATCGGGGTCTCTGGATTAATCTGATCCGGTTTTACCCGGTAAAATCTCCGCATAATTTACCAGGATCTCCAGCATAATTTACCAGGATCTGAGAGTGTTTTCACTTACCGGATAGACTTGGATGAGTGACCGATCAACTAATTAACAAAATTAGTTGACACCCCAGATGAAAAACAAAAAAAAAACAAAACAATAAAAAATCTAAAAAATAAACTCTGGGACTCAAACGTCCCCTTTTGGGAGGATTCGATGAGTTGAGTGTTTTTAGCCTATTCGATGAGTTAAGGATTCGATGAGTTAAGGATTCGATGAGTTGAGTGTTTTTGGCCTATTCGATGAGTTAAGGATTCGATGAGTTGAGGATTCGATGAGTTGTATAGGAGCCTGTATATTTCAAACGTGTCCCTACAAAGGATCGTCACATAAAAGGATCGCCACGGCTAAAAACGTTCAAAGGATCGTAACGTCTAAAAACGTTTAAAGGATCGTCACGGGCAAAAAGTATTAAACGGTCGCTCATCAAAGGATCGTCCATCAAAGGATCGCCACGGGTAAAAAATTCAAAGGATCGTTTTTGAGTCCCCACCCAAAAGAAGACGTTTGAGTCCCATATTTTTTAGAGATTTTTTTCGTTTTTTTGCTTAGGGTCCATTTTCTTCATATTTTTCAACTAATTTTTTATCAGCTGAATGCAGACCAGCTCATGGATATCCGGATATCAACGGATATATCCGGATACGGACGGATATGGATAATGTTATTTGATGGATACGGATGAGCACGGATATGATACTCCAAATCCGCGGATATCCATCTCGAAATTTTGCCTGTGATGCAAAAATTAATAATCACTTTAATCCTTTCAAATCCCCCGATATCCCTCTTAATCACCATTATCAGACTGGCACATCACTGCAACCAAACTGATGGCACTGAACTGACTTTATGAAATTTTTTAAAAAATGACGACCCTTTGAACGTTTTTACGCGTGACGATCTTTTGATGGACGATCCTTTAATGAACGGCCCTTTAATACTTTTTGCCCGTGACGATCCTTTAACAGGACGACCCTTTAAAAAACGATCCTTTGTATAGGAGCCATTTCAAAATGTAAATTTTCAATAAAAGCCGTTTGAGTGCCAACTTGAGTGTGTCCTACAGTGTGAAAATTTAACAAAAGCAATCTCCTGCTTTATTTATTAATTAATAACATCATTTTAAAATGTCTTTCAATTAAAGAAGATCCCTAAAATAAAAAAAATCCGGGATTTTGGGATCCCGGAAAATCGTCCGGATCCCTCCCGCGCCGACCTCTACTTTAGTGACAGACGGACACTTAGGCGCGAGTCACTTATACGCAAGGCAGCCTACTTAACTGTAGCCTAAAATTAAAAGAAAAATTTTCTTCCTCCAAAGACAATTATTAAAAATATTAAATTCATTAATTTAATTCATCAAAAATTTTAAAAAAATTTATTGATTAAAAAATTTAGAAAAATAATCGGATAAAAATAATAATTTATTTAAAAATTTACTTCTTTCCTTCCTTCATTCTTCCAAATTTATTCTCTCATTTTTGTTGGTTTTTCAAAATCATAAATATTTAATAAAGGAGAAATTAAAATTCTCAAATTTTTAAAAAATATTTTGTAAATAAATAAAATTAATTTTAAAGAAATTAAAAATATTGGAATAAATAAAATTAAAAATAAAATTAATCCAATTGGGGTTGGGGAAATTTCTAATGAGGAAAAACTTTTTGGTAAAATGTAGAAACGCATTTTTATTTATTTTTTGTTTTTTAGAATTTTTTTGATACGTGCCAACTTGTGGAGAATTTATACTCTGCGCCTAAATGGCCTCCCACAGACTTTAAATTTAACCCTGCGCCTAAGTGGCTTGCGGTGTCTAACTGGCCATTTAGTCGTTAAAGCCATTTAGTCGCAAACTTAAAACTTTGTGGCCAGAACCTCTAGATTTTTGATTTAAGTTTTTCTCCGTCTAGAGATTGGAATTTTGAAAAAACTGGGTCCGGGAAACGGGAAACTGGTTCTGAAGGTTAACCGGAGGGGAATTCCCGTTCCCGGTTTCATCGGTCCGTTAAATATCGCGCATATGTGGGACGTTTGAATGCTAAAATTCTCTAGTTAATTTATTTAAGAAAATGAATTTAAAATTAGAACCTCTATTTTCTCAATATTTAAATAATCAAAAAGAATTTCCTTCTTTTGTATTTCATCAATTATTGAATGGATTCAATTTAATTTTAATTGGCACAAATTGTGGAAAATGTTTGAATTTTTTGTTTAAAAATTTGGAATTGGTTAATATTTATGGTTTGTTTTTTATTTTAATTTTAAAATTAAAAAAAAATATTTTTAAAGAAGATGGCAATAAAAGACATATTTTGGCAATTGGATTGTGGCCTTTGGAGAAAGGTTTAATTTTTAAAATAATTTTTATTTAAAATGTACTTTTTGGTGTAGTGGGAAAATGCTTGGATTTTTAGTGTAAATTGGGGGAGGTTCGAGTCCTCATCTCGGAAAATAATTTTTGACGATGTTTATGAAGACAGTTTTTAATTAAAGTGTGCATTTTGGTGTAGTGGGAAAATTCCTGGATTTTACTTATAAGGGGAGGAGGTTCGGATCCCACTGCTGGGAATATTTTTTATTTTCACATAGTCAACTAATTAAATAACAAAAACAATAAAAACGTGCCAAATAAAATTTTCTTTTATTTTTATTTTAATTTAGAAGCCAGCGAAACAATTATTTTTATCAATTTTCGAGGATCATCCATTTCTCTTTTCAAAATTAAATTTTCTTCAAATTCTTCAATTATTGGATTATTGCCTTTAAAAGAATTTTCAACTGAACATTATGGATTTTGTAGAGCTTTGGCCGATTTAGATAATAAAAGAGTTTTTGTGCCTGATAAAGAGGTTAATTTTTAATTAGACAATTTAAATTAGAGTCCGGGCCGGGATGAGATCTTCAATAAAAATTTGTCGAAAATCTAATTTTTTTTTATTTCGTTCTAGATTCTCGTACGCCCTCCCAGTTCGGCCCGGTCTCTGCTTAATAAGTTAGGTACTTTATGGATATATCACCCCCATATTTTGTGTCTCAGAATTGTTAACATGTAATAATGGTCAGCCTTTCTTCCTTCTCCAATTTTATTCCATTTCAATCTTTTCTCTATTAATGCCTTATTTAGATATGCCACGGGGAAATGGAGTAAAATTGGCGAAGGAAGAAATGCTGTTTGAAATGAGTGGAGTGGTTTTTGAGGACGCTGTTGAATAATGGTTGGACCAGGGTTGTCGATTCGGACTGAACCCAGTAACAGAGAATTTTCGTTTTGGATTTTTGGTTCGGTTCCGGGTATTCGAAGATTTCCCATGATTATTTGCAAAAAAGTCAATAGAAACAATGCCTTTAATTATTTTTTTAGGATTTAACTAATATTTTGCGTGTTTACCACAAAAATGGTTTTGAACAAATTCTGCTTCTATCTGAAGAATTTTTGACTAAAAATGTAGCTAAAAATAAACAAAACGATGACATATTTAAAACAATGTTTAAAGGTTTATTGATGGGAATTGAATTAATTGAAGGTTTTTTTTGGAATTAATTTTTGTTTAAAATTTTATTTTTTAAAGACAATTTAATTTTGCTTGTTTTTGAGGACAGCACAATTTGCGTTTTTAATTTAAAAACTAAACAAGTAATTGATGCAGTATGTTAGTTTTTATTTTATTTTTTGTTGCAATAGACGTTCTTTAAGAAAATTTTTAGTAGACTTATTCTCTTTTCTCATTTTTGGGTTTTGAAATTGAGGTTGGGGTTCAGTATCGTCCCCATCAGTTTTTATAACCAAGGTTGGGGTGAAAAAAAGCTGGGAAGGGTTTTTTAAATTTCTAAGCTTCGGGTCGGAAAAGTGAGTGCCTTGAGTGTCCCATTAAAAAATTTTTTCGGCACCCATTAATCCCTGCCGTTTTCGAGACCTACGCAAAGATAAAAGGTTGGTCTCATCATTTGGGCGAGGGTCCTGAACCTTAAAATTGTTAAGAGGCCTACCTTCAACTTCGAAATCCAAAGAGACAAATTTCGGACAAAATAAATACAAACCCAAAGACTTTGAAAAAAATTTTTTTCGGTTCGTGCTCAGTTTCCGTTATAAATTTTTAAATTATAAATAAATTTTTTTCAAAGTTGAAGCATCCAAAACATCATCAATTTATTTGTTGGTGTGTCCTCAACACTAAAAATCAAACTTTAATTTTTATTTCTGTTATTGGACAAATTTATTTAATTTCTTTTTCCTCCGAAGAATTGAGGGTTGAATGTGTTCTACAAAAAATTAAAAAGTTTTTTTTATTTAAAAAAATATTTTTAATCTTTCCTTTTTAGTAATACAAATTGTACAGCATTAGCCATTACAACTAAAAATTTTGAAGAAAATCCAAAAATAGCAGCAGGATTAAATAATGGAGAGATTCGGGTATGTTTTTTGTCGAGTTACCAAAACGACATTTGCGGATAAACATTTGCGGACTGACCGCGAATGGATCATTAACTCAGTAAAAGTTCTGTCCGCAGGCTCACTCAGTCCGCAACCTCGGTCCAGTCATGTGCGAAAATGTCGTATCCGCAAATGTCGTTTCTCTGTCGTGTCCGCAAATGTCTCTCCTCTTTTTAGATATTTTCTTTAATCCCGTCAAATGACCAAATACCAAAATGGTCAAAACAATTGAATATTTGTTTAAACAATATTCACAGTAATTCAATACAGTGCCTTAAATGGATAGTAATTAATGAAGAAAAGGAAGGGGATAATTTTTTAGTATTTTTATGTTCTGGAAGTTTGGATGAAAAAATTGCTTTTTTACAATTATTAAATTATTAAGTTTACAAAGATTTTACTTTTTTAGCATTTTTTCCTTTATTGGTTTTGAATTTCAGAAACAATTACATATATTTTTTGCTATTTTTGGAAAAAATTGTTATAAACTCGATTAAGGGAGGCTCTCTAGGCTGAGGAAATCGTATCTTATAATGAGTGTATATTAAATAGAGTAGTATCTTATAGAGAAAGTTGAGGGTATTTAAAATTAGTCTAGAAACATGAAAATAATAATTTTTAAGAATTATAGAGAAAATTTTTAAACAATTTTTCACACACAAAATAAAATTATTTTTTAAATTTCCTTCAAATTATTTTTAAAAAAATACAAATTAATTTCCAAACGAAAGAGTATAAAATATTTTTAAAAATTATAATTTTTTTAATCAAAAAACTTTTTTCTTTTCACAAATTCATTTCGCCTCAAAATATATTGGCGCTAGAACACAGAAAAGCAACCAAAGATTCAGGCGATCCCGGTTTTGGAGTTCTCTTTCTTTTAAGCCTCGGCATGCGAGCACAGATGCTTCGCATCCGGGTAAAGATTTCGGTAGAGCGTTCCTGTGCTGTTCTTTTGTTTAATTGGTCAGAATTATTTTTAATTAAAATTTCATCTCCAGAATTGTCAATTTCTTCTTCTGGCAAATAAATTATTGAAAGTTTTTGTTGCTCTGATTTTGGCGGCGGGAAACTATTTTCTTGTTCTTCAACAAAATTTAAAGGAGATTCTTTAAAAAACAAATAAAAATATTTTTTAATTAAGGAATATGTCAGACCTCCTTATAAGATACTCCCAATATAAGGAAACCTCTATATAAGAGACGCTCTTAATTTGTTTAGCCATTGGGTAGATAAAACGACATTTGCAAATACGACAATTGCTAAACGATACCCTCTATTTAATATACACCTCATTATAAGAGACCATTTCCAGCCCTGAGGGTGTATCTTATAGTGAGGTTCGACTAAAATTAAAAAATATTTTTACCTGTTTTTAAATGACGAATGTTAAAAGCTTCTGATTTGGACAAAATAATTAAAAAAATAATTTGCAGACATAAATTAAAAAAATATATTTTATTCATCTCTCTTTTAAAAATTAAGAGGATTTAACTAAAAAAAATTAAATAAAAATTAAAGAAAAGTTTTTTAAATAGTTTGAAAAATATAAAATATTTTGCGTCATAGACATGAAACATTTTTAATATGCTCTTCTAGGAAATAAAAAATAAATAAAATCCTTCTATAAAAATTAATTAAAATAGAAAAATAAAATTGGAATGGCAGAAAAGAAATTATAAAAAATTGCTTTTGAGCTTTCCACTCATATTTCTCAAAAATATCTCACGCTATAATACAAAAATAAATGATTTTGGCCGGATTTGATTTTTCCTTTTTCTTAAAAATTTAAAAAAGGATAAAACGATAAAATACATTTTTAACCTTTGTTAAATTAAGAGAATTAATTGACTTGGCGTTAAATTGTCGTTGAGAGTTATATAAAGACTAATTTAGCTATTAAAGGTAAAAATAAAGTAAGCGGAAAACGAAAAAATTAAATGTAGTTAGTTTTTATAATTTGTGTTAATTACTATTTTGGGGACGGATTAGAGCTCCATTATCTACCAAAAAAGAATTTTTAAACATTTTTGCAGTCCAGCACCAAATAGATTAATTTTACCTTTTCTGACGTAAATTTGGATTTAAAAAAGTAATTTTACCTAACAAGGAAAATTGGTGTGGATTAGACGAGAGCTGGATAAAATACACTCACTTTAAGATACATCCGTCGATAGAACCGTAGCTTATAATGAGGGGTATCTTAAATAGAGGATACGCCTATTATCCCTCCCCCTCTACCCAATAAGGGCATCTCTCCCATCACTAGCCAACTAGGCTTTTAAAGAGCGTACCTTAAATAGAGGGGTTATCTAGTATTGGGTGTATCTTATAGTGAGGGTACCTTATAATGAGGCGTATCTTAAATAGAGTAGGGGCATCTCCCCCATCAATAGCCAACTAGGCTTTTAAAGAGCGTTACTTTAAATAGAGGGGTTATCTAGTATTGGGTGTATCTTATAATGAGGGTATCTTATACTGAGGCCAACTCGACGAGTCATTCATTACCTCATCTTTTATTAAAAATGTTTTGTAAACATTCACTTTTAAATATCAACAAAAAAAATTTTTACTCTTTAAAATAATAATCAACTAAAAAGAAAAAATGAGAAGTGTCACGAGAGCTTGACTTGAAATAATAATTTTAAATAATTACAGCTTCTACCCAACAATTTGTAACCCACGTTACGAAATCTAATTACCTGTTTTTAATTTTAAAAGAAATGAATGACCGTTCACGTCATTACAGAAGACGGAACTCATTCTGATAAAGTTAAATAAACATCACTAAGATACTCTCTATTTAAGATACACCTCATTATAAGAGACTAAGTACAGCCCCAAGGGTTTATCTTATCTAAATTGAGGTTTCCAAGGATTTATCTTATAATGAGGTTTTTAATTTACTTTATTTAATACCTTCATTTTAAAGGACGAATGACTCCCAACCAAGGCTGAGCGCAAAAGGAAAAAAAATTTAATTTAAAAATCCGCAAACTCAATCCGCAAGCCAAAAAAACACGCAATCCGCAATTGCGCCCAGCCCTGCTCTCACCACGAGTTAATCTTATAGTGAGGAGGTTCATATTCACCTCGTTATAAGATACATTTTATTGGCCTAAGGATGTACGTTATAACAAAATACTTTTACACAAAATTATCTCATAGTCATGAGTCTACAACAATCTAAGAACTCTTCCTAGCCTACTAAATGTCTCAATAAATTTTTTTTCTAATTTTTATATCCTGAAAAGAAAACAACAATGTAAAAATAGTCAAAATAAATGTGTGTGAAAAAAAAGATAAAATGGGGGAAATTTTATTAAAAATCATTTTTGAAGCTTTTTTTGATTTCTTTTGCCGAAAATCTTCAAAATTCTAATTCTTCAGTTTTTTGGCACATTTCCTTCTTATTCTCATTCGTCTTCTATTTATTCGCCTTTGAACATAAGCCAAACACGAGGGCTTTCGATGTAGCCTAAAAGCTTATTTAAAGAAAAGCTGAAAATAAATATTAAAAAAATAAATTTAAAAAATAAATGAAAGTAATTAAACAGTGAATATATTAATTATAATCTTTTTTTGGAAATCTTTATTTTAAATGAGATCACTTTTAATTAAAATAAAATTCTACTAAAAATTAAGTTTTTTAAAGGGCTTAAAATTAATTTAATCTTTTTTTTTCTCTGCAATCATTTTTTCCTTCTCTATTAAATAAATTATGATTTTTCTAAAAGCTTGTTAATTAGAAAAAATTTGAAAGAAAAAAGAGTACTAGCCCAAGGCGTAATTTTGCCGGCTATTGACTCTAAATAAAAAGACCAATAAAATTTTAAAAAATTATTAATGTTGAAAAAAATATTAATTTAGAGTGGTTAAATAGACCCACACCAGAAAAATGTACTTTTCTCTCTAACACCTTTCGCCGAATTTTCGTCTTTTTTGGTGTCTCGTCCATAATCTTTTGATTTTTAAATTAACTTTCGTCAAAACGCCGAAATTCGAAACACGAAAGAAAAATGAAACACAAAAGCCGAAACACCAAAAAAGGCGAAAATTCGGTGGAAGGCGAAGGAGACAGGCACATCCACGCACCACACCAAATATATACACAAAAAATATATTTTCTTGTTCCCTTATTTATTATTCTACTACTTGACACTTTTGAACCTGAATTAAATTCTGAGGACAAATAACCGCCATGTTCAATTAACATGTGATTTTTCAAATCTGCCCATTCACCCAATTTTGATTGACAAATTGTGCATAAATAGCCATGCTCATCTTTTCGATGTTCTTCCATATTTAGAAAACGATTACATTTGAAATCACAAATTTTGCATTCAAATTTTATTATACCAGTATGAATACGTTCATGAGTAGTGACCTTTAAAAGAAAATAAAGTCTAAAATAGAAGCAAAGTACAAGCAAAAACCTCACTATAATACACCCCTTGAAGATGGAAAATAGTCTCTTATAACGGGGTCTCTTATGTGTGTGCAGTAAACAGAGGGTATCGTTCTGACAACCATCCCACACCCAGTGGTCAACCTATTTTATAGAGCGTCACCTAAATTGAGTGTATCTGTTAATGAGGGTATCTTATAATGGACAGATAAAACTCTCCTATGTGGCCAACCAAATTTTTGAAGTCTCTTAAATAGGGGTTTGGAAGTATCTAATATTAGGGGTATTTTATAATGAGGCTCAATCGTATTAAAATATTCTTTACCGCAGTTTCGCTGATAAACAATTCCTCGCAAAAATGGCATTGATAAGTTTTTGTGAAGACATGAGACATTTTCTTGTGTTTTCGTAATTTTCTTGGTGTTAGGAATTTTTGAGTGCAAAGATTGCATTTAAATCCAGAATGTTGACCACGATGAAATTTTGCACGGTGATTAAAAAGTCTAACTTCCGTACATAAATTACGAATTGGAACACATTCAAAACAAATATAGACCTATAAAAAAGTACAAAATTAGAAGAAAAAATTCCAAAAAAAATTTCCTAACCAATTCACACAAATGATTTTGCATTTCTTCTTTACTTGGAACAGGCTTAAAACATTTCAAACATTGAACCCATTCAGCAGATTCTGCATGTTTTTTCGAAATATGTTTTTTCAGTGAATGCTCGTTTCGATAACGTTTATCACAAAACATGCATTGTGGAGAAACTTTCTTTTTGTAAATACGTTTTGGTTGAAATAAAACACCATAACGATCAAAACGTGCAGGAATTCCGCCTGTTAATTCACCGGGAAGTGGAATTCTAAAAAATTTTATTTTAGAAATAAAACGCCGGGCCGAGGCTTGGAGTAGTTGGGCCTGAAACCGCCCAATGTCTTATGGACTAGATTCGAAGCCTAGCCTCCGAAGCCCAAGCCAGGAACGAATCTCCCGGGACAGTGCAAAAATCAATGCCTATTGCCAAAGAATCGGAATCAAACGTCGAGAGTCCTAAACTCAAAATTTTTTTGACAAAATAGCCCGAGCATAACTCAAGAATTAAATAAAGAGGAGAGCAGGGGAAACTAATGCCTAGAAAGATTAAAAGAAGAAAACAAACTCGTTAATATCAACTTCATATTTAGAAGCATCCAAATCTTCTTGTGGAGGAATAAAACCACCAGAAATTATTTCATCTAATCTATTTGTTTCCAACTCTTCTTTTCTTTGTTGAATCATTTCCTCTTCTTGCTGTATTTCATAAGCCAAAAATTCAATTGGATGTTTATCACGTAAATGTCTTTCATACAAATGTCGTTCCAAAAACCGATTTTTACAAATACGGCAACGAACCATTTTTGAACGAATTAATTTACGAATTTCAGAAGGCTTTGTTGGGTGAAGAACAGCAGCAGAAATCTCATCGGAACTTTGGGAGTGAACGAGAACAGGAATTGGTTTTAATGTTGTTACAACATTGCTTAAGCCTTTAAAAATGATTTTTGTTTAAGTAACCGAACCTCGTTAAAGAAGATATCCCCAAATAAAATATATCCCCATTTAAGAGAGTTTTAAAAAATTTGGTTAGCCAGAGAGTGAGAACAAGGGCGTAGCAAGGGGGCTGAAGCCACCCCCAAAAATGGGGGAAAATGAAAAATTTTTGGTAGGGACCTTTAGCCACCCTGGCTACGCCCTTGCTGTCTGAAGCTAGTAAAAGTCTCCAAAAAAACTAAAAAAAATACCATTAACAAGATGATTATTAGAGGTAGAAGGCAGTGCAGTATTTTCTCCAGTTGCTGAAGCAATAAAAGAAGCTGGTGCCCGGTTTGCACTCCAAAATGAAAAAGATGTGCCATTTATGGGCGCTCCCAACTCGTTTAGAATAATACGCTGTTTTCCGGTAGAGCGAGGATCTCTAATTTGTTTCAATATTTCGCCAACTCCAGTAATTCCTTCCTAAAATTTTAAAGAAATTTCCAGTGAAATATCAATCGAAGGCTAATTATGCAATAAATGTGGAGGGGATTGGGGTGTACTTGTTAATTGGCATGTCAATACCTTGCTGACTCAAGGCTAGACCCGATTGTCTCCCCACTTGAGGTGTACACCCAGTACATGGACAAATTCAAAGAAACACTAAAACAACCACCAACTGCCACCAGGAACCTCCGTTAAAGGAACAACACGGCAGTGGGTGTTCTAAATAAATTTAAGCAAAAAAAAACCTTTAATCGTGTTCTCCTTTTTTCTTCATATTCTTCTTCCAAAGCAATTTTGAGCTTTTCACGTAATTCTATGCAGTTTAAGCCGTTGTTTCGATAAGCCATTTCAATAAATTGTCAGGGTGAATTTTGGAAATAAAAATGTATTTAAGACATCTAAAACTGAAAATACAACAACAATTTAAAAATACTACAGTAAAATAAAATAAAAATACGACGTGATTTACTGTAGAAATGGACAAAAATGGAGAAATCCGTTTGTCTAAATCTTTAGCAAATCTCATCGAAATGCGAACTCTCTCTTTTTAAACTAAATTAGAGAATTAGAGGCTGAAATAGAAAAGTCCTGGGAAAATCTTCTAGTGGGACTCAATAGGCCCCAAAACGTTTTTTATTGGTAAAGGACACTTCAGTTCAACCTTTCAGTCCAACCTCTGCTTCACTGAATCAACACTGAAACGGCCTTCACTTAACCGCGGCACTGAAACATCCCTTACCCTGTTATCTTGTTTTCTCTGTTTTCTCGTTGTCTTTTTCTTATTGGAATTTTTTTTATTATTGTAGGCGCTGACGGTAATTTTAGGTTAAAATCAATTAATTTCTGTTTTAGATTTTAGTTTTTAATATTAAATTTATTGTTGTTGAGTGCTGCTATCATGGGCAAAGGAGACAGAACTGCTTGGAAAGCAAATTATTTTACTCGAATCATTGTATATATTTTTGTATTTTTTAATTAAAAATAAATTTTAGTCTCTCTTTGACGACTATCCAAAATGTTTGTTAGTTGGCGTTGACAATGTTGGTTCTAAGCAAATGCAGGAAATTCGTCAAGCAATGCGAGGTTTCGTAAAATTTAAATTTCGTAACGTAAGAAAGTGTGGGGATGATCCATTTAAGGGTTTAAGAGATTAAAGCATCGCCCTGATAGCTCTGTCGGTACCAGGTTACAGACGGGGTTACTCAATACCTGAACCTTTTTTCGACTTGAAGCCCGAGCCGAATTTTTGTTCAACCCGACATCCCCCTCTTGCAATTGATGAGCGAAAGCGCCGATCGACCAATAACTCCCAGGGAGTCGCAGGATCGATCCCTGCTCAGTGCTAACTTCCTCTCTCTTACTCTAATTTCTATTAAGGACATGGCGAGATTTTGATGGGAAAGAATACAATGATAAGGAAGGCAATTCGAGGTCATTTGCAGAAGAATCCACTGCTTGAAAAACTGCTTCCTTATATTGTTGGCAATGTTGGATTTGTTTTTACGACTGAGGATTTGTCTGAAATTCGTAAAAAGTTGCTGGAAAACAAGCGGGTTTGTTTGTCTTCATTGTTTGAAGAAAAATTATTTTAGGGTGCTCCAGCCAAAGCTGGTGCTTTAGCACCTCTCGATGTCAAATTGCCACCGCAAAATACTGGAATGGGACCTGAGAAGACTTCTTTCTTCCAAGCACTTCAAATTCCAACAAAAATTTCTCGTGGAACTATTGAGATTCTGAATGAAGTTCATATTATTAAACTTGGCGAAAAGGTCGGCGCTTCTGAAGCTGCTTTGCTTAACATGTTGAACATTCAACCGTTTTCTTATGGTCTTGCTGTACAGCAGGTTTAAATTTTAAAAAAATTCTTGGGCTTATTTTTGTCGGTAACTTCCTTTTTTCCTTCCTCAAACTATTAAGAATTGTCTCAGACTTCTCTCCTTCCCCAACCTCCTTTTTCCCTTTGGCACAACATTCAAGAAGAGGATTACTATTTTTAAATTGACATTATAAACTTTGAGTAAGGAAATGAGGAAGGGGAGATATTGATTGACTGATTGTATGCCATGGGAAAATAGGGTAGAATTGAGGGAGGAGCAAACTCACATCAGACCATTTTAATCTTTGAGCAAGAAAAAGGGTGGGTGCAGACTTGAATTTCACCCTTCTCATTTATAAAGGTTTATGACACTGGAGCAATTTATTCGCCTGATGTTTTGGACATTACTATGGATGATTTGAGAGCTCGTTTTATGAATGGAGTTCGAAATATAGCGGCCGTCTCTCTCGGAATTTCGTATCCAACAAAGGCTTCTATTCCGCATATTATTGCTAACGCATTCAAGCGTTTGTTGTCTGTTTGTGCTGAAACTGATGTTACTTTTAAAGAGGCTGAGAAGGTTTTTTTAGAAATTTTTTGGGGAATAAAGTAAATTTTTTAACAGCTTAAAGAGTATCTAGCTGATCCGTCAAAGTTTGCATCAGCTGTGGCTGCTGCAGCTCCTGCAGCCGCCGCTGCACCGGCAGCTGCAAAGGAAGAACCAGCCAAAAAGGTGGAAGAGAAGGAAGAGTCTGATGACGATATGGGCTTTGGGTTGTTTGATTAAAATGGAAGTTTTTGGTGAAATAATTAATTTGTTGCTATTCTGTTGAAAATATATTTTAAGCTGTTTTTTGGTTGAACTTTTTCATTTGTTTATTTTTCAAACATATTTATCTTTTCTTTTTATGTTTAATCTTTATTTTTAAGCTTAATTTTAGATACTTTTTAAAGACATTTTTGAAGAAATATGATTATTTACAAGGACGTTTTCACAGGTATATGTTTTTAATTTAGGGTTGGGTGTTTCTAAGGTTGGTACTCCCCATTTTTCTGTAGCATGATATGGTCAATGTTTGATCCGCTGAATTGTGGGGATAAGGGGTTTTGGGAACAACAAAGGATTAATCTTTATCAATATTTAGAGGACGAGCTCTCCTCCGACTCTTATCCGATGAAACTTGTGGACGATCTCATTTTTGAGTTCAAAGGACGCCAAGTTGTTCGAAAGGAAGGAGATATTGCTTTGGCTGGGGCAAACCCGTCAGCTGAAGAGATGGATGAAGGAACTGAAGAACATGTTGAAAGAGGTATTGACTTTGTACTCAATCATCGTCTTCAGGAGATGAATTGTTATGAGGTAAAAATTTTTTTTGGTAATTGTGGAGGAGCAGGATATTTTTTTAAGACAATCCGAGTTAAAAGTCATTCCACCTCAAATTGTGCTGGGCCTACTTATTAATGTTTACAGACAATGTCGGGTGCTGGATATTGGGTATTTTGTGCCGCGGCTCTAAAAAATCCACGCAAATGACAAAAATCTTATCCTTATTTAAACTTCAAAATTTCTTTTTCAAAGGATCAAGCAACTTTCAAAGCTTACATAAAAGATTTTATGAAGAAGGTTATTGAGCATATGCAGAAACAAGGAAAGTCTGCTGAACAAGTTGATGCTTTTAAGAAGAAAATTCAGTCTTGGGTTGTTTCTTTGTTAGCTAAGGATCGTTTCAAAACTCTTGCATTTTTCATTGGTATTTTTTTTTAATTTTATTTTTGAATTTAAAAAAATTTTAAGGTGAGAACATGGCTGAGGGAAAGGGAGAAGGGCAAGTAGCAATTGTTGAATATCGTCAAGAGGGTGATGAGGAAGTTCCAACTCTAATGCTAATTAAAGAAGGTTTTGAATTTTTAGATAATATATTTTCTGTAATAGAGCTTGGGCTTTTGCTTGGGTTATTTGATTGTTTTTTAAGAGCCCATATAGCTCTATTTTTCAGCCAACCACAAAGGGAAGTTATATTAATGAGCGGAGGGGATTAGGCTCTAAAACAGACGGGGTAGATTTCAACCATTCCATAGGATTTTTATCAGAGGGTAAAGGACTAATACAATTATTATTTTTCAATTTAATAATTTTTTTATTTAGCTTTGGAAGAGGTGAAGTGCTAATGTTTTTTGATTGACAAGGAGGAGAGGAAAAAATGGAAATTTTTTTGAAATTATATAATTGATTCAAGAATTATATAAAAAATTGTTGTTTTTGGTTAATATAAATATTGTTTGAAGATACATAGAAATTAAGGTAATAGTTCGGTTCGTACCCCCCCCCCCCCCCCCCCCCCCCGCTTTTTTCCTTCCTAAAATTATTAAAAAATGGTCAGTCAGTCTTAGCTTATAGAACTCGTCGAGCTGTTTCGAAAGACACCAAAATCAAACCCAGGTCTTAACTTTGGGCCGAGATACAGACAAAAACCCTGCGCAAAGATAAAGGTTGTGCAAAAGCGTCTCACGACTAAAATAGGATTACTTTATGTCATAACTTTGTCAAATCTAGTTCAATTATGTTGATTTTATGTCATTCGAATCAGCTCGACAAGCTCTTTCAAATGAGCTATTATTTGTTTAATCGAATTTTTAGCCCAAAAAATGAGCTTAGTTCACCATATTATTTTTCAATTTTCGGAGGTCTATATCTCGGTCCAAAGATAAGACCTGGGGAGGATTTCGGTGTCATTCGACATAGCTCGACGAGTTCTACAACATAAAACTGACTGACCATTTTTTAATACTTTTAGGAAGGAAAATGAGGGGGGGTACGAACCGAACTATTACCGAAATTAATTTAAAAAATATATATAAGTGAAAATATTCGAAAGAATCAACTAAGTAAGCGTTCGAAAGAATCCACACGTCTTAAGAATTATTTGGAGAAATTCAATTTTTTGAGGGCATCTTCAAGTTTTGCCATTTGTGCTAGAAAAAATTGGAAGGAAATTTTAAAAAAATTTATAATTAAAAAACAAACTTTTAACATCTTTTGCCAATTTCTGAACAGCTTTTGGATGATCCAATAATTCAACTCTTTGAGTATAAGGATTGTAACTAACTTGGAATGTTCGAGGGATTGTTGCTGCCCAAGCCCTAAAAATTAATTTTTTAAAATTTTTTCTAAAGTTATTAGAAAGAACGTTAATTTATTTTTAGCATCAGTAAAAGATTCAGCAACAAAGTATTTTGGTTGATAAGAAGTAATTGGATATTTTGTTTCGGTAGTCATTGCTGGGTCGAAGGGGAGTAATTCTGGCTTTCCGCTTAAAGCATATTGTAATTCTCCAAAACTAAAAAAATGAAGAATAAATAAAAATAGGTCATTTAAACTTCGTTACGTATTTTAGTTTACTTAGGCCATGAAATAAAATCATTTTCCATCGGTGGGATTCGAACCTTCACCCTCTTAAGTATAAATCCAAGCATTTTCCCACTACACCAAAAATGACTTTTTTGTGGAATGCTTATGTTACTGCGGGGTTGCATCTCTGACAATCCTAATAGGAAATAAATATTAAAAAAAACAAACGAGCTAAGTAGACCAGCTCCATAAGCCTTTTTCTCACCCTCTTGTACACAAATACCAAATTCAACAGTAAACCAGTATAACTTTAAAAAGATTTTTTTAATTTAAAATTTTTCTCTCACAGATGCAAGCTTTTCTATCATTTCATCAGAAGCCCCTAATGATGCCATTCCAATTTCTTGAGAAAATTTAGCAAAATCTGGATCCGCAAAAAGGGGTACATGCCCCAAAAGTTCATGACAAACATCTGGTTCTGGAGTATAGTCTGGCTTGGATGAATGTCGAATATATTGGGTTGAGTGAAAAACCTTTTAAATTTTGCTTGAAAGGGTTAATTTTTCAAAAGTTTACTCGAAAAGCTAATCCAGCTAAAAAGTCTCTTGAACTGAGCAAACCGGCTACTGGACGCAATGTAAAGCCAGTACAGTCTTTTAGAAAGTCAGAAACATTCTGTAGTTGTGGAATATGGTCTGGCCCGTACCCACAATTTTGTTGTAGAAGAGGGAAGATCTATAAAAATATAAATTAAAATTTTAGACTGTTCAACTCTCACTATAAGATACACACCTTGATGTTAAAAATAGTCGCTTATAACGGGGTGTAAGGTGTATCTTAAATGGAGGTTCTCTAATATTGGGGGTATCTTATAAAGAGGTTTTGGTTATATAAAGTACACATACATAATTAAATTCACGACAAGCATGTGTTGGATACAGCCCCACCAATTCCTCATAAATTTTCCTCCAAGTCCCAACTTCTTCTAGTGTATATTCCACTTGAGGGATTTTATCTCCACTAAAGGAAAATTTATTTTTTAATTAAAAAAATTTCCAACTAGCGAAAAGAAGCGGCAATATCTGCAAATTCCTTTCGTCGAGCTCTGTATATTTCATCATGAAAACCCTTAAAAACTTTAAATATTTTTGTTCAATCTTTTAAAAACCGGATGGTCAGCGTCAAGTTCTGCGCCATAGCTTAATACACGATTGGCAAAATGGTCAATATCTGACATCTTCATTGGGAACCAAGGCACGCTTTCTGTATAAAAAGAGGAATTAATGGGCATTTATTTTTAATGGGGTGGGCTTCTAAAAGAGAGGAGATACCGTAAAGAGTGGGCGTCTATTGGAATATGTGGGTTTTTATTGGAATCAGTGTGCTACTATTGGAATATGTGGGCGCCTATTGGAACGAATGAGCTTGGAGTTGATGCTGAAGGAGCTGGAATGGGTATAGTATCCATCTTATGATTATCCCCACTATCATATCCCCCTCATAGCTATCCAAAAAACCAACCAGGATTCTGACGTATTTGCGAATTATGGTCATGCACTCTAGGTTTGTGTAACCCCGCACTTTCCGCACGCCTTCGAAACAAAGAAATAACTTCCTCCAAACTCTCCGGATTTGAATCTTCTGCACATTCCACCATAAATTCGTAACATCCTGGATGGACTTTTGAAGGTCTGGACTCGATGTGGGTTAAATTGAGGTTCTTCAACTTAATTAAAAAATATTTCTTTTCAATAAAAAATTTTTTTCGTTATACTTTAAAGACTTTAAGTGTTTCTGCGAGTGCCCCAGCTTCTTCTTTAAGCGTAAAAATAAGTGTTGTGTGTGCCTGGTTTGGATCTACTTCAGCTACATAGGAGTCCATTGCAAAGGCCTTAAAAATTAATTTTATACACTCATAAAAGATTCTCCCAATATTAGAAATACTTCTATTTAAAGGACGCTCTTTAAAAGCTTGGTTGGCCAAAAGATGGGGGAGCTTGCTAAGCGATACCCTCTATTTAATAGACACCTCATTATAAAGTACCCTCACTACAAGATACTCCTTATATCAGATACACCTCTGTTTTTGACTAGCCACAAGGTGAAGCGATACCCTCCCTCAGTTTAGTATACCCTCAGATACCCTCAGTTAATATACACCTAGCTGAAGGTAGGAATTTTTTCAACCCTCCAAAGGATCCCCTTCCTATAGGGGGTTCGGTTCTATTTTTATATTCTCCTAATAAATAAAAATATTTTCAACAAAATTCCTAATTTCATCATTCTGATAATTCCCTGAAATAAAAACAAATAAAAATCACCAAATCGTAATCATTTTCATCATCAAATGACGCCTTTGTTTCACATTCAGTTATAAGACAGGGAACATTACTTAGTGCTGTAGCCATTTTTTAAAAGAAATTTTTTTTTTAATTTTTTGGACTGAAAAAAATTTTTGAATAAAATCCACAGAAAAATATGTTGTGATTTTTTGAAGCGCGTGTATTAAACAAACACGTGTGTATGTAAGGGGAATTAAGTAAATGACCTCTTAAATTCTTCTAAAATTTTTTCTTTGAAATTTAAACAGGCAAAATTTCAATGAAATGGCCAATATTTAGAGAGGAATAGGGGAATTTAATTATTTCGTTGTGATGAGCTTCAAATGCAATGAAATATAAACTGTTCCCCTCAATTTAAATAAATGCTTTTCTCCTCTCTAATACGCCGCCCATTTTTATTGTTGCAATGAATTTATTGGTTAAATAATTAAATAGTTTTTGAGATAACAAAAAAGCCCCTATTCCCATATTTGACCAAAACCACATTTCGCCAATAAGGCTAAAAATACACGTTTCGCCAATTAAAAATTGACAAAACGTGGATTTTTAGCCTTGTTGGCAAAATGTGGTTTTGGTCAAATATGAGGGAAGGCAAATTAACCACTTTCTCTCTCTTATCATTTTTATTTTTGAGGACACGGGAAAGTAGATGAACAAGGAACAAGTAAAAAAAAGTGGGGAAATGGAGTGTTGGCGAACGGGGTTGACCCCTTCATTTCAAATTTAACTGACATTCATTTTTATTATTTTCCTATTAAAATTAATAAATAATCGTATGATTTTGGCTTTAATCTTAAAAATATTTAATTTTTTTGTTGATTTTCTTAAAAAAATAATTGTTGACTAATTAACTCCAAAGTATATTAAAAAATTAATTATTTTTTAATTTTTCTTATCATTTTTTAAGACTAGACTAAATTATTTTTGAATTATCACAAATTAAATAAAGTGCCAATATTTAAAGAAAATTTTTGGAAAACTCGATTCGGAGTTTAAATACCCGAATACAGATCAAAATATTTTATTCTGTAAAGCATGTAGGCTATTTAATTCCTAAGGCTGTTGAAACATCAGTCCAGTCTACTGAAGATGCTGGTTCGCTCCCACTGCCGATTAACCTTTTAATCTAGCTGAAGGAGAGAGATAGCTATACCCCAGCTCTGCTTTACTATCCTTTTTCGAATAAGCTATTAACCAACCAAATCCGATTTGAATTCATCGTGCTACCCCACTTTGAAATACCCCCCATTCGGAAAAGAATACTCCTTATTCTTTCCGACAGTCTAACTTTTTTGAATATTTCTTTACAGATTAGCCCAACGGTTTTAGATACAGTTCTTAATGCTCTTTCCAATGAGGTATAGATTAATAGGAAGGCATTTAAACTCATCGAGATACATCACTTTGAAAACTGCCACTTATACAAAACTACCCATTGCTAATTCCAGGTCTTGTATCTTTTGAAGTGTTTATTGTAGACAGATCGGAGCCGACGTTTTAGATTAAGTATTTTATGCTCTCTCGAATGAGCTATAGAAGTCTTAGATGGCACACCATTTCAGCAAGATACGCCCTTTGAATGAGCCCATATTAATTTTTTAATATTTTTTATTATTAAGTAAAGGCAAAAAAAACAAAAAAAAAAGATTATTTTATAATCTTCTCAAACTTTTTTGGGTGTTCTGAATTTCTTCTGGTTCTTCTTCCTTTATATTTTCCTCGCCATTTTGTTCCTTTAAATAATTTTTTATAAATATTTATATTCTTAAATTTACTTTTAAATTTTTTCTGAAAGGTCCATAGCGAGGAGATGCGGCCATTTGCATTGCTGGCTCAGCCCAATTTGGAGGTGGAGGAGGAACATAATTATAAAATGGGGTGGCTGGTCTCCAAGCTGCTCCATACGTTGACCCTTTTTAAAAATTTTTTATTAATACCCCATTATAATATACACCCAATAATAAAAAAAAACTCTATTTAATATACCCCCGATAGTAGAAACCCCTCTATTTAACTCTATTTAAAACTCATTATAAGCGACTATTTTTCAGCCCCAAAGGTGCATCTTACAGTGAGGTCCGATTGTGTTTTACTTGAAAATACGACCAAAGCTCAGTATAAGATATACCCAAACTAATTGACCTCTATTTAAGACACAGCTCGTTATAGGGTAAAAGGGCGTATTTTATAATAGCAAGGTTCGATTGTATTTTTAATTAGAAAACTAACAAACTGGACAGCAATAATAAGGTCCAATATCAACAGAATTTGTAGCATAACAATAACTTTGAGGAGGGCATTGGGGCCATGGCCTTTTTGGGTCACACTCAATAGGTAAAGCTGGGCCTCCTGGGCAAGCACTTGCTGGAGGGCCTGGAGGACCTGCTGAAAATTAAATTATTTGTTAAACGAATAAAATTTTTTGGGTTTGAGTTGCTGTACGTACTAGTGGGGAACGGCAAAAATGCAATCCCCCTCACGGTTTTTGACCATTTCGAGCCCTATATCTCAGTCCTGATTTATAAGCCCCTCAGAATTTTGGTGTCGTTCTATTCGGCTCCGACGAACTCTCCCGGATAATAGTCAATTGTTTCCAATATTTTAATTTAACCAATTCCTGTAGGCATTTCTGGCATTCCTCCAATTTGAGCTGCTCCATATTGGCTAAACTGTCTTCTTTTAATTAACCCTTGTGATTCTGACGAGGAAAAACTATTTTTTTCTTTTTTGGATTTTTCTACTAATCCATCCATTTTTTCCTCTTTTTTTAAATTTTGTCTAATTTTTAGATTATTTATTAAATTATTTTTTAATTTTTCTTCCTCTTTTAAAGAAGATTCATCATACAAGACTTCACTATTTCCTCCTATTTCGTCGTCATTTTGTTGATATTCTGATGCCAAAATTAGATTAGGCTCTGCTGGGGGAGAATAGGCTGATTGGTGAGAAAAGTTGGGATCGGCTAGAACAAGGGAAGATGAAGAAAAGGGGAGGGAAGAGGAAGGAAGAGATGAAGATGGAAGGGAAGATATTCTTTGTTGATTTGATGATAACAATGTTTCTATTAAAATAAAAACAGTCGGACCTCATTTATAGATACCCCCTTTTAGGGTTGAAAAAAATAGTCTCTCATAATGAGGTGTTGCTTAAATAGAGAGTATTTCTTACATAGTCCCCTCCCCCACTAGCTAACTAAATTTTAAAGAGTGTATCTTAAATGGAGGTGTAGCTAATATTGAGAGCAGCTTATAGAGAGTCTTTCTCTTATAATGAAGTTTATTAAATAGAGGGTATTGCCTAGGAAGAGGGTGTATTGTCTCCCATCGTGGCCAACCAGATTTTAAAGATCATCTCTTAAATAGAGGTTTTCTAGTATTAGAGATATCTTATAAAGAGGCTCGACAGCAATTTTATTTTGATATGAACCTTCTCCATAAATTCCAGTAGCTACCCAGAAAGCCATCAAAAATAATTTTAATAAAATATTTTTTAAATTAAAAATATTTCTGTAAATGCCTGAGGATGGAGACATTTTTTAATTGAAGGATTAGAGATATTTTTTAGGGAGGAATGGCCTGGCTTCTAAATGATTTATTTAATTTAATTTTTGTTTAAAATATTAAAAGGAAATTGTGGGGGGAAAAAGAGAGGAGAGAATTATGGACATTGTCCATAGCGAGAAAAAAAATTATTTTTTTTTATTTGTTTTATTTTAAAGAATTAAAAAAGGAGAGAGAACAATGAATAAACATAAAAATTAATGTGGTTATTTTTATTTTCCCAAAAAAAAATTTATTTTCCAGTGTTGGTGGTCCATTATTAAATAAAATATACAAAAATAAGGATATGACGTTTCTCTAGAAAAATATGAGAGAACAATAAAAAAGAGAAGGAAAACAAGAATAATTATTTTGTATGAGACGTGCCATTGTCTTTTTTCTTGTTGTCCACTTGAAATATTTTTTTTGTTGTTAATGATCAGCCTTCCTTTCTTTGTCAGTCTCTACAAGAAGAAGGAAGAATAGTCAAAAATTGAGGGATTTTTATTTTTTGTCACGTTACCAGTATTTGTTTTTTGCTGTATTTTTTTGAAGTTTTTTTACCTCAAAAAAATTTTTTAAGCAAATATAGAAGTATGGGAATTAGTGTAGTTTCCCTCCCATGGGTTAGATTTACTCAAATATTTTCACTAAATCTTTGGATAATACAATGATCTCTGCTTTACTCAACCTGAATAAAGGTACTCATCCCCAATACCGAGGACCATTGGTTCTATCATCCGAAGATGGGTAGCTAGTACTTCATAGATAAGTCCCCATGGGGGGGGAAACTGCACTAAATATCCGAATATATAGAAAAAACAAAAAAATTTTCTTTTAACGAATTTTTTGAACTTTTAGGGACTCCAATTTAATCCTCTCTTATTTCCCCTTGTTTTACCCTTTCCCTTCAATTTTAAAATTAATTTTCCATGAAAATATCCAATTAATTTAATTTATATTTTTAACTAAAAAGCACTCAAATACACTCAATTTATTTTTTTCCCATATATCTACTTTTCCTTTCTCCTTTTTTGCTCTTAAAGCCTTTTTACTTTCATTCCCGACAGTCTTCAATAATCAATAAAAAAATATATCCTCTCACTCATTCTTTTTAAACATTTCCTAAACAAAAAGGAAATAATGGCCAAGAAATTTTTTTGTTTGTTTTTGCTTTGTTTTTTGAATTTTTTTGAATTAAAAAGCAAGATAAAAATTTTTAAGGGGCTGTAAAAGTCCCAAAAATTTTTAACAAGAAAAATAAGAAAAAAATTTTGATTATAAAATCATTTACCATCAAGGGGAATCGAACCTCTTCCACTTTCCCTCAAAAAACTCAATTTTATCCCACTACACCACAGTCAACGTTCCGGCTTAATTGATTATGGGGTGGTAAAATATCCCGTGATTTGCCTGAATATTTATATTTACCATGTACTTTTAATTCTTTTGCTTTATACTTCCGTGTTTTTTTCTTTATATTTCTCAGAAAAAAATGAAGAATTTAAAAATATAATTTATTATATTTTTTAATCCCCTGCTTATTTGTCTTTTTTATGTTTAAAAAGGATTTTTCCTTCGTTCTTTTTTCTTAGGATTTTTTTCTTAAATTTATTTTGACTGGAAATACCTTTAAGAATAATTTTAAATTTAAAAATTTTATTTGAAAAAAGTCCGCAAGTTTTGTCCGCAAAAATATTTGCGGACAAAACTTGCGGACTTTATAGTTTTTTTTTCATTTTTTTTTTGTTTTTTAGAACATTAATGGCAAGTAGTAATTGTACTAATACAACTAGTTGTAGTACCAGTTTTGCAGAAGAAAAGCATCCACATCCAAATATGCTTATTTACAGGAAAATGGAAAAATTAATAAAGTAAAAATTGAAAAATAAATTTAAAATAAAAATATTTTAAGTCAAATGTTACATTCTGAGGATGGAATTAAAATAAAAACTGTCAAAAGTTTTCTCTCAAAGTATTATTTTATTTATTAAAAAAGTCCGCAACTTTTGTCCGCATCCTTTTGCGGACAAAACTTGCGGACTTTATCGTTTATTTTTAAATTTTTTAGAATAGTTTCTGTATTCTCCGGCCAGGATTTGATTGTTTGGTTAATTGCTGTAAGTATTTTTTTAAATATTTAATAAAATTAAATTTCAGCACATTGACGTTTTTGACGAAATAGATGCCAATCATTTACTACATTTATTTGCTTCACACGGATATATATTTCAAGTTGATGATCACGTAATTACAATGAAGGGAGGGGACACTTCTTTTTATCGTTTCCAAACTCCTTATTTTTGGCCTTCAAATTGTTGGGAACCTGAAAATATGGATTACGGTTTTTTTAATTTTAATATGTCCGCAAAAAGTGTCCGCAAATGTGTCCGCAAAATTAAAAAAAATTGCGGATTTTTAAAATTTAATTTTTAAATTATTTTTTAATCTAAATTTATTTAAAGCCGTTTATTTGTGTAAAAGAACAATGCAGAACAAAGCACATTTGGAATTGGAAGATTTTGAAGCAGAAAATTTGGCAAAATTACAAAAAATGTTAAGTAGAAAATGGGAATTTGTTTTTATGCAAGCAGAGGCGCAATATAAGTAAAGAGAAATAATTTTTTTTAAATATTCTAAAGAAATTTAATAAGGAACGGGTTCTCACATGGAAAAAATTACGTCTCAAAATTCGGGGTTTTTTTTCATTTTTTTTCAATCGCACGGGATTCTGCCCCATTCGACAAAAAAATTTCAGACAAGGGTTCCCACAATCTTTCGTCCTTAGAATTCCCGAATCTTTTTTATATTTTAATAAAATTATTTTAAAGGGTTGACAAAAAACGGGACAGAATAGAAAGACAAATATTGGATAGTCAAGAGAGAGCATTTTGGGATTTGCATAGACCCGTGCCTGGATGTGTTAATACAACTGAAGTAAACAAAATTGAATTTAAAAAATTTTTATTTTTTTTAATTTTTAAAGGTGGATATTAGAAAATTAAGTCGTTCTGGAAGATCTAAACAATCTACTTGCAATACTTTGGTTATTCAAATGGAAGATAATGAATCCCAATTAAACAATTCAAATAATTTAAAAACGCCCAATATAAGGTTTTCTTTTTTAAAAATAATTTTGGGGAAATACGGCGTGGCATTTTGGCGCGAATAACTTAGAGAATAATTGACCTATTGAAAAAACAATCAACTTATTTCAGAGCTGTCAAGGGTTACCCAAAACCTGGACTTTTTAACCCGCCTTTTTTTCTCAACCTTTGACGTTCCTGGCTATACCCTTGTTTACGTCAAAAGTATTGCGCCGATCTCTCGTTCGCGAGTGTCCCAGCGCTATTTATTAATGTCCTCCTTATTTTTAATTTTTCATTAAAAAAATATTTTTCAGGGAAATCCGTTTTTATCAAAAACCTGGAAGAAGAAGATATACACAAATAAAAGACTATTTAAAAATTGAGGTAAATTAATAATTTTAAATTAAAAATGATTTTTTAAAAAGATTTCTGAATTACAAACAAGATTATCTAAAAATGTATTGAAAACATCAAAATTAGCAGAAAGTTATTTACAATATTATGGACATCGGTATTATTTTATATTTAGGGTCTAGGAAAAGGCTAGGAAAAGTCTATTATAATGAGGCGTCCTTTAAATAGAGAGTATCCTGGACAGGGGCTTAAGCAAATTACTTATCCAATAGTCTCTTTTAATGAGGCGACTTTTAAATAGAGAGTATCACTTAGGCGACTTCCCCCTCCCAGGATCTTAATTAGTAGTTAGTATTGGGGGTGTTTTATAGAGAAATCTGACTTATTAAAAGTAAAAATCCATTTACTTTCCACAGTGTTTCATTCGATGCATTTATTGTCCAACTGGGTTCAGCTACAGATCCATTTCAAGGACAACCAAATCCCTGGATTTCAGATACTGTTGATTTTTGGCAGCATGACAAAATGTTTTTTTCAGACATTAAAATTTTTAAATCTCAAATTTTAGAACTGGCGATATTTCAACTAGAAGGTTAAAATTGTGGGAAGAATCCTTTGAAGAATTATTAATTGATCCGGTTTTAATTTTTCTAATTAAAAAATAAATTTTTATGAATTAAAAGGTTGGAAGAGAAACACTACAAAAATTTCTTGATAAAGAATATTCTGGAGAAAATTTGCGTTTTTGGATGGAGGTTATTTTTATATAAATTTTTTGGGGCATTTTAAGGGTCCTTTTTTAGGAGTGGATATTTTGCGGATGTCCGCAAAAATATTTTTATCCGCAAGTTTAGCTCCATGTCTTAACCTACCAAAAACTTATCTTTTTTTACATTTCCAGGTCCAAAAACTCCGTAAATGTAGCTGTCGAATGGTGCCCGTCCTCGTCACAGAAATCTACAATGAATTTATCGACTCCAATGCTCAATCTCCAGTCAATATCGATTGTAAAGTAATGGAAATAATTGACGAGAATCTCAAAAATAATCCAAATCGATGGTCATTTGATGAGGCTGCTGATCACATTTTTTGTTTAATGAAGAATGATAGCTACCAGAGATTTCTTCGTTCAGACTTGTAAATTGGGGGGAAGAATCGAAAATTTTTTAGAAAATTTGGAATTAATTTATAGATATCGTGATCTGTTGAACATTTCTGGGAAAAAGGTTTTTTAGATTTTTTTTATTTTTTCCTGCTTTCTAGTTAGTTTTTAGACTTTTTTTTAGAACTTTGCTTTTCTTTAGCTTCTTTACTTTTCTGCTTTAATTTTTTAATTACTTTTTTGCTTTTTTTCTTTTTTGCCTACTAATTAATTTCAGTACTCCTTCTCAACGTTAATTTCACGCAAAGCTTCTCGCAAAACGCCTTCAAAAACAACAACAAATCAACAAAGTTTGGACAATCCACAATTTCCCTTGAATACTTTAAATACTTGCAAAGGTTTGAGAGGAAGTTCAGGCTCAAGATCCGGCTCTTTTGTTGGAATTGAGCGAGAAAAGAAGACAAAATGTCAACCAAATTCTTTCGATTCTTCAACATTAACAATGACTAGAGGCAATGTAAATAGTAGTAGAGGAATTAGAAGAGATTCTAGTAGTTGTTCTTCATCTAGTGTTGCAGCACAACAACGTTCCAACAACTAAAATTTCTGAAGAAGCCTAGACCTGTGATATTTTCTATTAGCTTTATATAGCTTTTTGCCGTTTCTTTCTTCATCCATTTCAATCATTTTTTCCTCCTTTCATCTCCTTTTGTAGGCCCCAGGTCTTCGTATCGCTGCTCGCGAACTTGGCAGACAATTAGCTTCCGCTGCTACAAACATAACTGGCGGAGGTAGTTCAACAACTTCAAAACAACAACAAAAAGATCAGAACGAAGAACAACAAAATACTGGTTTTCTTAGTTCATCAACTTCTAGAGCCTCAAAAAAATCTTCATCTCAAAGTATTAATCAACAACCTACAGAGATAATTCAGCAAAATACTGGCAGCACACGTTCAGAAAAATAAATAAAATTTTATTTACCTGCTGGTCCATGTTTACACAGCAATTTAAACCACTTAACCATCCAAGAAAAATACTTTGGTGTAGTGGGAAAATTTTCTGATAAAATACCCACAAGGTCGGAGGTCTAATCCGCTAACTACCCACCCTAGAATAGTTTGGTGTACTGGAAAGATATTTAAATCAACTAATTATAGGGTCGGAGGTTCGAACCCCGGTGTGGAGAAAATTTTTGGTTGTTGGTTAAATTGATGTGTTAACATATAAATAAAAGATGTCTAAAATTTTTAATATATAAAAAGATATTACTATTTTTCTTCTTCCATTCTTTTCAATATTCCCATATCCTTAATATAATCATTAAATTTGTCCCAGCTATAAAAGCCTTCAAGTAACGAGTCCGTAACTCCGTAACTAAAACTTTTTTTGTTTCCATCACTTCCATCATATAAGCGTTCATCTAGCATTTTAAATAAAGAAAAATATTCCTTTGAAATATACTGAAAAATTTTTAAAAATGATTTCTTTACATATATTTTGTAACACGCTGACATAAGTGGGAATCAGGGATGTCACGATTTGAGAGAAAAGCGGGTACCGGGTAAACCAATTCCTGTTAGGATTGGACTTAAATACATAAATCCGGAAAAAATTGTGAATTTTCGGAAACCCCTAAAAACTTAAAAACTTAAAGAAATTTTTGTTTTCGAGGGTATATCCAACCTTATGTATATCTTAAAACAAAAAAATACCATAAAAATTTGAGGATCAATAGCATTTATAACATTAGAATCATTCAAATTAGGCAAACGTTTTTGAATTTGAGATATCTAAAAATGAAATTTACAAAAAAATTTAATTAAATAAAAAACCCTTAAATAACAATTCCAATGAATATTCCAATCCATATGAAGAAGGCGATAATAAATACAAAACAATTTTGCATGCCGGAAACAGACAATGAAATTATTAGGCTAAAATTTTTTTAAATTTTCTGAATTAAATAAAAACCTTTGGATCATCATTTTCAATTAATTCAAAATTATTTCTATATTTATTTCCTTCGAATGTAAGAACACATGTCGTAAAAGTTACCTTCTCACAACAAATCTTAAAATTTAAAAGAAAAATTAGTGAAAAGTTTGAAATGACCGAAACATGGATGTCATCAGTTATCCGAAACTCAATCTTATTTCGACCCGACCCCCGATCCAAAGAAAATCTTGAAATTATTGTTCAAAAATCCCAAACCTTGCAATATGAAGAAATTCTCAAAGCGTTTTGATTATTTTTTGTCTGTTTCATAAACGCTCTCTTTGCAGCATTTGTCATTTCAGAAGGGAAATTAAATAAAGAAGACAAATTTTTAAGAATAATTTTTACTTGTTGTCTAATATTTTTATAAGAAAGAAAATAAGGATGTTGAGCTTAAAAAATTTTTTTCCAAGTTTAAATTTTATAAAAAACAAACATTTTGAATTAGCAAATTGATATTCAGCATTAGGGTTAAATATTTTAATGGCATGGAAATATGCATAATCACAAAGTTGTTGTTCCAATTGTTCACCGTCCCACATTAAAATGGCCTTAATTATAAATATTTTAGTTAAATACCTTCAGTCCTCATTAGAAGATAACTCCTAGAAAAATCGTCTCTTATAATGAGGTGTATGTTAAATAGAGGGTATCCTTATAATGAGATGCATTTTAAATAGAAGGTATTAATTAGGCAGCTACCCCGCCCAGTGGCCGACTGAATTTTAAAAAGCATCTCTTAAACACTTTTGGAGGTATCCTATAGCGAGGACTGACTGCTCTTTAAATTAATTAATAGAAAAATATTTCCAAACCTTTTGTCTTAAATCAGCTCTAATCTCCAAACAGCTAAAACAAATATTTTCTTCATTTGCTTCAAATAAACCAAAAGGATCACAAGTATCCGTATGTGCACAATTTGTAAAATAACGAGATTTTTTCTTCCATTCATCAATTTGGCTGTTTGTCGAGTTATTTGAATTGGTCAAAGTTGAACTAGCATTAATTGACAAAATATTATCATTATTACATGTTGAACTTCTTGTTTTAACATGGACATGGCCATCCAACTTTTTAATACCCTTAAAATATGTTCATTTGTGATCTGACAGCACAGAAAAATTGAAAAAAACCTTTTCAACCTCATCAGGAAAGATGGCAAAATTAGACAAATCAACAGTCATAGAATTCAAATTGTTGACAAAATCTGAAAGATAAATCTATTTTGAAAAATTAAATTAGAGATCGAGCTAAGTCTGGATCCAGACCTTGATTTTTCCTTAACTCAAGGTCAAAAATCTGGTCAAGGTCCTCGACCTAGAGCAAGATCACGATTTTTTTAATTTTCGATCTTTATAGAAAATTAAACAAACCTTTTTCCTTTTGAGAAGCATGATGATAGTTATCACTCGTAGACGGCTAAAGATTAAACAAAAAAGATTTAAAAATTTTTTTATTTACCTCGTTTATTTGTTCTTCCTCCTCTTCTTCTTCGCCCGCTTTTTTTGAATTAAGAGACGACGCTTGCTGTGGTCTATAATATTAAAATTTTATTTTTTTAAATTTAAAACTCGAATACATTCTTATATTTATTTTTGTACGCTCATATTCTTCAATAAATTTTAACTAAAAAAGAATAAAAAAATTCTAAAAAAATTTTTAATTAACCTTTTTCCAATAAATCCAAGTAATTTTACTATCATCTCCTTCATTTGCAATAACCTTTTTCAACATATGTTGAAATGAACTACGCAAATTATGCCATAAATATTGCATTTCTGGCCCTAAAAAGTTTGTTTTTAAATTTTAAATTATAAAAAATAACCTGTATATTTTGATTTATTGTCGGAAAGAATTTCAGCGACTTCATTATAGGCAGCTCTCCTTTCTTGAAACTAATAAAATAAAAAACAATTAGAACGGGAAACTTTACAGAGTTTTGCTTATAGTTAGGCAGCTCTCCTATTAGTGAAAGGTTCTTATTAATGGGTGTCTTACAGAAAATCTAACTTCTAATAAAACTAACCTCTTCGAAGGTACGTGGCATAAAACCCCAAATAATTTGACGTTCCCGAATAGCATCAATAAAAGCTTCTTTTTGATCGGAAGTAAACAAAACGTAGTCTTGACTGCCTTTGCGAAAATCTTCTTGAGATGATTTTGATTTTTCGGTTCCAGTACTAGTAGGTTGCCCTTCAATTTTGTTATTTACTTGCCCGTTATTAGCAAGAAATTGCAACTAAAAACGCGAAAATAAAATTTAAGTTTTAAGCTTAACCTTGTGCCAGTGCTTCCAAGTAATTGTATCATTAGCTCCTCCATTTGATTCAATTCTTTTTAAAAATACATAGAAAGTGGAAAGCAAACTTCGCCAAATAAACCCTACTTTTACTCCTTAAAATAAATTTGCTCAAATCAATAAAATAAAAAAAACTAGAATATTTATGATGATCATCAGAAAGTATTTTAGCCACTTCATCAAAGGCATAGGCTCTTTGAAGAACCTAAAAAAATAATTTAAGAGGTAAGGGTATTAGTAGCGTTTATTCCCCCTTTTTTCCTGAATCTCTTTGTTGCCTCTATTATTCTTTTAATGGCAAATTATATGTTATTCAAAAGAGCTTTATGAGCTCAGTAGAATGGCAGTCAACAGGATCTGACTTAAATCAACATAAAAAGGAGAGGAATAAACGACACTATCACAGAGGTCAGGAACAGGTAAAAAATAAAAAATAACTCTTACATTTTTGTAATCAGGATGAGAACGATCCCAAAGAATAGGACGATCCTTGCAAGCAGATATAAGAGCCTCATCTTTCTCGGCGGTAAGAAAAATTTTGTCTTTTATTATTCGGCCTAATTTCATTTTATTAACACTTTTTGGTGGCTTTTCTGATTTTGCAGGTTTAGCAATAAATTTTGCAATAAATTGCAACTAGAAATTTAAAAAAAAATAAAAATTTAACTTTTCAATAAACCTTTTGCCAATAACGCCAAGTAAATGTATCATCAGCAGCTAAGTCATTTTTTAAAACTTTTCTGAAAGTGGCAAGCAAATTTTGCCAGACACTCCTTACTTTTATTTCTTAAAATAAATTTGCTAAATAAAAATTTAAAAAAATACCAGAATATTTATGATTATCATCAGAGAGTAATTTGGCCACTTCAGCATAAGTAGAGGCTCTTTTCATGTACTGAAAAATAAACAAACGAGTAATAGGCATCCGAGTTGTTACCGACAGAGAATCCCACACCCCGATTTGAAACCCAGTTCCATACTAAATTATACTAGAATAAGTCTATTTTTCTTTTTTGTTTCGAAATGGGCAATTACATGCTTCATTTATAATTTTTCTCTCTAATAATTTAAAGAAAATTTTTAGTATTTTTAGTACTTCATAATTTTCGACAACAATATGGAAAAATAAACTGGGCGTGAAAAACCTTAATAGGCACCAAAAAAAGGAAAAAAAACATTTACAGAAAAGTAATCAGGATGAGAATGATCCCAAATAACAGGACGATCCTTGATAGCAAATATAAGAGCTTCATCCTTCTCGGCGGTAAGAAAAGTTCTGTCTTTTATTTTTTTCTTATTGCTAATCTGTTGAGGAGTTACAAATTTAGCAATAAATTGCAACTAGAAATTTAAAAAATTAAACATAATTAATTTTTAAATAAACCTTTTTCCAGTATTTCCAAGTACATGCATCCTCAGCAGCTAAACCTGTTGACTTAACTGTCGCAAAATAATCACGAAGCCCTCTCCAGACCCTCCTTACTTTTCTCCCTTAAAATAAATTTGCTAAATAAAATTTAAAAAAAAAACCAGAATATTTATGATTATCATCAGAAAGTATTTCAGCCACTTCAGCATAAACAATAGCTTTTTTTCGTAACTGAAAAATACATAAAAGGTTATTCACAACCGGTTAATTTCAAATGCTCTTATTATCTATATGAGCTGACACAAGCAAAAATTAACCGGTCGTGAACAGCCCTAATATGCCCCAAAAGGGAAAAATAAAACTGATTTACATTTTTGTAATAAGGATGAGAACGATCCCAAAGAATAGGACGATCCTTGCAAGCAGATATAAGAGCATCCTTTTTTTCTTCGGGAATTGTTATTTTTACTGGTTTTTGTTGATTTTTTGGCTTAGCCATAAATTGCAACTAGAAATTAAAAAAAATAAAAATTTAACTTTTCAATAAACCTTTTGCCAATAACGCCAAGTAAATGTATCATCAGCAGCTAGGTCATTTGCTTTAACCTTTCTGAAAGTGGCAAGTAAATTTTGCCAGACACTCCTTACTTTTATTTCTTAAAATAAATTTGCTAAATGAAAATTTAAAAAAAATACCAGAATATTTATGATTATCATCAGAAAGTATTTCAGCCACTTCAGCATAAACATTGCATCGATGTATATTCTGAAAAAAAGAGTAAAAATATAGGTCTTAACGGCAGAGGTCGGTCGAAATACACCCTCTGGTTCACGACCGGCAATTTATTGCCTGTGGCGGTCCAGGTGAGGACTTAGGGCGGTCCAGGGGAAGCCTTCATTTTCCTCCTGAAATGGAGGAAAATTTTCCTCCTGAAATGGAGGAAAATGAAAATTTTTTGAAGAAAATTATCAAAAAAGTGAATTCTTTCACCTATAAAAAGAGAAAGAAGCTACGCCCTTGGTGGCTGCTCAAAGCTCTTATTATCCATTTAAGCTGTCCTAGACAAAAATCAACCGTTCGTGAACAACCCTGATAGGCAAAAAAAGGAAAAAAATAAAACTGATTTACATTTTTGTGATAAGGATGAGAACGATCCCAAATAACAGGACGATCCTTGATAGCAGATATAAGAGCTTCATCTTTTTCGGCGGTAAGAAAAATTCTGTCTTTTATTATAATTGATTTTGCATTATCTGCCTTTTCAGGAGTTATAAATTGCAACTAGAAATTTTAAAAAAATTTTAACTGTCAATAAACCTTTTGCCAATAACGCCAAGTAACTTTATCATCAGCTCCAACATTTGATTTAACTCTCCTTGAAATGTCTCTGAAAGTTTTAATCAAACTTCTCCAGATCAACTTTAAATTTTTTCCTTAAAATAAAGTTGCTCAATAAAAATAAATTAAAAATACCAGAATATTTATGATTATCATCAGAAAGTATTTTAGCCACTTCAGCATAAGTAGAGGCTCTTTTCATACGCTGAAAAATAAACAAACGAGTAATGGGCACCACAAAAATCAACCGTTCGTGAACAAACCTAATAGACGATAAAAAAAATAAAACATTTACATTATTGTAATAAGGATGAGAATAATCCCAAATAATAGGACGATCCTTGATAGCAGATATAAGAGCCTCATCTTTTTCGGCGGTAAGAAAAATTTTGCCCGTCATTTTGTCTGGTGTTGCCTCGTTTGTATATTCATCATCACTTTGTTGATCATTTACAGGAGATTTTTCTGACATAGGAGTTACAAATTTAGCAAGAAATTGCAACTAGAAGCAAGGATAAGCTTTTCAAAATTTTTCAATAAACCTTTGGCCAATAACGCCAAGTAATATCATCACGACTTCCTCCAAGTGAAAGTCTTGCCAATATTGCATTGAAAGTATCGCGCAAATTTTCCCATTCATATTCTATTTGTGCTCCTTAAAAATGCAATTTACTCGGTTTAATTGAACTTTAAAAAATTATACCAGTATAATTATAATTATCGTCAGAGAATAATTTAGCAACTTCTGCAAAGGCATCAATCCTATTTTGAGGCTAAAAACAAATAAAAATTATGTAATAAAACAAAGTTCGACATTTTCAAATTTCCGGGACGGGCTTTAGTTTTGAGGCAAGATCCAGGCCAGGTTTCCCATTCTAAAATACTACAAACACGAAACCCAAGAAACCCCGAATTTTATCAAATAATCGGTTTCTAGAGCCGCCGACAAATTTTTTAATAAAAAGATAATAATTAAAAAAAATACTATTTAATGCTAACATTCTTGTAATCAGCCAGAGAAGAATTCCAAATTACAGGACGTTGATAGATCACATCTATAAGAACATCTTTTAGACCAGCAGTAAAACAATTGGTTTTCTTTGATGCGAATGGAAAATGAAGTTGACTTTTGGTATTTAATTGCATTTGTCGACATATATAATTTAGAATAGCAAAAACAATAACCTAAAAATGTTGTGTACAATTAACAATAAATCAATTATAGAAAATATGTATTTAAATGGATTTAAAAAACAATCTAAAAAGGAAGGAACAATTATAGTCATCAATTTATCACAAAAAATAATAATCAGCAAAAACACATAACCAAATTATCAGTAAAAAACCAATAAATGCCTAAAGTCACAAAATGTTTAGCCAATAATATAAATTTTTTTATTTATTTCAAAACGCTATTCTCAAGATCCTCTGCCTTTTTATCATCAAGTTCCAAGTCAAATGAATATTCGACTCCACAAATAAAGTCTTTGACCTTCTTTTTATTAAAATAAAGAATTCTTTGAGTTTCTTCATATTTTCCTTCTTTCACATAAGTAGCTAAATTTGCTGCAATAAATCTTTTGTAATTGTCCAGCATATTCAATTTTTTAATGTAAATCTCTATTTCCTCAATGCCTTCCTCAATTAGCTTATGGGTTAAATAGCCATATTGGAAATAATTGTAGCAGCTATAAAATTAAAAAGGCAAATATATTTGTAAAGCTTAGGAAAGCCAAAAAATTTTGGCTCTTGTCCAGTTTATGCGTCCGATGACGATTTATGCGTCCCATGAAATGAAACCTATGGGGCGGGGCGAGGTGCTTGTGCGAGTTTTGCTACTTAATTATCAATACTAATGATATTTATAAATATGAACGAACTCTTGAGCGCATCCTGCGGCACGTGCAAGTTCAAATTCGTCAAAAAAATTTGATGCCATATCAGCCAAGAAAAAACCCATACTGATGATTGCTGAATGGCTTCGTAGATTTATACCAACAAATTTTGATCCACCAAATTCAATCACTTCTATGTCTTTTAAAAACAAAGCTACAGCGGAAGCAAAACCTTGATAAGTCTAAAAAACAATGCATTTTTAAAAGTTCGAAAAATCAATACCTTTTCACTGCACTCCATCAAATTTAACGGATTCTTTTTCAGACATTTTTTGGCTTCTTCAATGAATTTAGAAGGCGTATAGATTTCCTGCTTAGACTAAATTTAAATAAAAATTGAAAAAAAATTTCTTATTAACTTTGTCAGGCATAGTTGTCCAACCTTCCCTTATTGATAGTTCAATGGAGTTGTAAAGATCAGAATTCTCAGCAAGAAGTTTATCAATTTTTTCCTATAAATTAATAAAAGAAAATGGATGAGAAGTTCAAACCTTCATCTGGATTTCATTATATTTCAACCGCAAAAATTCTTCCAAATTAAAACTTCCTGACTAAATTGTAAAGAATTAACACGGTTATTTAAGAAATCAGAATTAAATTAAAATGTTTATAACTGAAACTTGTAAAAAATGAATGGAAAGTTTAAACCTTCGTCTCGATTTGAGTCTGTTTCCACATGGTTTCCAAGTTTTTCAACCTTGTCCATTCTTCAATGTTAACATCTATCATCTAAATTGAAAGGGATAAAAATGTTGATTTAGAAAGTCAAAAATTTGTTTGGCTAGTTTCGCTATCAACAACTAAAAATGTGTTTTTGATGTAATAAAATGCGCTGAATTCGAATATCACAATATAAGTGCTCAAAACGATCGGCAAGTGTATTTCTTCGACCTCAGAAAACTGAAAACCTCTGTAACAGAACGAGAAGTTTTTTCAGCTAAGATTCAGTTGGTCATACCTTTGTCTAGTATCATCCTATCGAGCTGATATCAATGTCATTCGACTCAGCTCGTCGAGATATTTAGAATGATATATAAATTAACCATAAAATTTTGTGATCGAAGGTTCAAACCTAAGCGGGAAAACTGATTCCTTTAATCGTCAAAAAATGTATTATTTCCGACTGTTCTGATGTGAGCACTTTTATTGTGATATTCGAACTCGGCTCATTTTATTACAATAGAAAGACACATTTTATTTGTTTGATAAGCGAAACTCTTAACATTTATTTTGCGGACTAAATGATTCAACAATTTTAAGAAAAGATGAATTTAAAACATATAACTGAAACCTTTTGAGTTTGCAAAACATCAGGATTAGGTGCTTCAGCTCTCGCAGAATTTAGTGGACTTTTCACAATTGGTTGTGAAGAAGTCGACGAACTGCCTGCTAGCTTATCGCCATAAACCTAAACAAAAAATTTAAGTAATTATTTTAAAAAATCTCTCAATAATGTTTTTAAATTTCACTAAAAATCGAGAATTCAAATTATCAACAGAAACTTTTATTGGACTTATTAAAAAAAAGATTGTTTCTCAATTAAATTTACTTGGGAGGATCCATGTACATCACGAGAACTACCAGTACCGCTTTTATCTTGCTCACGATAATTTCCACTAGTTCCTTTATCACGCTGAAATTCACCTCCAGCACCCTTTTGGCATCTACCATTTCCAACCTGTTGACGGCCATCACTTCTTCCATCACGTCGTTGCATTTTAGAAAAACAAGAAAATATGATTCAAAAGCTAAAATTGATACGAATAGTTAAAACGCAGAACTAATAAATTCGGGTACGACCCACTTAGTCGCCAGCCCACTTAGTCGCCGGCACTTAGTCGCGAAGGATCCTTTTTTAAGGTCGCTTAAAACTTTAACAGAGACTACGCAAACCGATTTTTAAAAGTCGGTGTTAGTCGGTCACCGGCGACTATGTGTCTTCAACCCAATAAGAAAAGCAGAAAAAAATTTTCAAACAAAACTAGTAGATAAATCATTAATAATAAAATATTTCTATACAACAAAAAATTAATTGTTTTATTTATTCCTTTATTAATGTCTCTAATTTGAATACACACATAGGAAATAGAGAGAACTTGAGGAATGAAAATGGATTTAAAAACAATTGAAAAAAGGAAACGATTATAGTCATCGATTTATCACTAGCGAAAACAAAAAATTACCGGTAAAAAATCAATATAATGCCTAGACTATCAAAATGTTTAGCAACAAAAAATTTTAAAATTAGAGGTTTATTTGATATTTTTAAAATTTGTCTATAATTTTTTATTCATTTAAAACATCCTGCTCCGGTTTGTCATCAATTTCCAATTCAAAAGAATATTCGACTCCGCAAATAAAGTCTTTCCCATTCTTTTTGTTAAAATAAAGAGTTGTTTTTGGTTTTTCATATTTTCCTGCTGTCACACACCGAGATAAACTCGTGGCAATAGTTTTCTTGTCTAGACTATCCAATTTCTTTATGTAATCCTCTATTTCCACAATGAATTCCTCAATCAGGGTATAGATCAAAAATCCTCTATAGAAATTTCTGTGGCATCTATAAAATTAGAAAGCAAATATATTTGTAAAGTTTAGGAAATACGAAAAGAAAGCCGAAAAATCGAAATTTTGAATTCGAGGTATTCGCTTCTTAATTCACTCTAATTCGTTTTTTCCTGTCTCTAATAGTAAAACATGATAAAACTTGGTGAACCTAAATTCTACAACTACCCAATTATCAATACTGATTATTATAAAAATGAACGAACTTTATGGCGCATCCTACAGCACGTGAATTACCAGATTTAGATAAAAAACGTGACATCATACCAGCCAAGAAAAAACCCATTCCGACAGTCGCAGAGTGAGTAAGAAGATTTATTCCAATAAATTCAACCCCATCTAATTTAATCACTAAGTCTTTGAAGAACAAGGCCACAGCGGCACAAAATCCACCCCATGCCTAAAAAACAATTCGATTTTAAAAGTTTAAAACTAAAATTAATACGTTCTCACTACTCATTATCAGATTTGGCGGATTCTTTGTCAGACATTTTTTGGATTCAGCAATGAATTTAGACGGCGTATAGATTTCTTGCTTAGACTAAATTCAAATAAAAATTGAAAAAAAATTTCTTATTAACTTTGTCAGGCATAGTTGTCCACAATTTCTTCCTCGATTCTTCCATATTTTTGTAAAGTTCAAGTTGCGAAAATAGTTTATCAATTTTTTCCTATAAATTAATAAAAGAAAATGGATGAGAAGTTCAAACCTCCATCTGGATTTCATTATATTTCAGCCGCAAAAATTCTTCCAAATTAAAACTTCCTGACTAAATTGTAAAGAATTAACACGGTTATTTAAGAAATCAGAATTAAATTAAAATGTTTATAACTGAAACTTGTAAAAAATGAATGGAAAGTTTAAACCTTCGTCTCGATTTGAGATTGTTTCCACATGATTTCCAAGTTTTTCAACCTTGTCCATTCTTCCATCTTGACATTTAACGACTAAATTGTAACGAATTAAATGGGTATTTAGAAAAGCTTAAATTTATTTTACGGACTAAATAAACAGATTCAGAGATTTTTAGAAAGGTGAATTTAAATTAAAATTAAAACAACTATAAATAAAACCTTCTCAGTCAAAATTCCTCCTGATTGTTTTTGCGGAAGTTTACCAGTTACAGCTCTTGCATAATTTAGTGTACTTTTCACAGTTGGTTGTGAAGAAGTTGATGAACTGCCTGCTGGTTGTTCTCCATAAACCTAAATAAAAATTTGAGTAAAACAGTTAAAAAAATGATTTTAAATTTCACTAAAAATCGAGAATTCAAATTATCAACAGAAACTTTTATTGGACTTATTAAAACAAGTTTGTCTCTCAATTAAATTTACTTTGGAGGATCCATGTGCATCATGAGAACTACCAGCAACGCTTTTATCTTGCTGTTGACCTTCACCTTCACCACCCTTTTGACATTTACCATTTCCACCCTGTTGACGGCCATCACCTCTTCCATCACGTCGTTGCATTTTAGAATAACAAGTAAATATGATTGAAAATCTAAAATTGATACGAATAGTTAAAACGCAGAACTAATAAATTCAACCCAATAAGAAAAGCAGAAAAAAATTTGTAAACAAAACTTGTAGATAAATAAGTAATAACCAAATATTTCTTTGCAACAAAAAAGTTTCTTTTAAAAAGAATTTAAATCCAATCTAAAAACAAAGTTTAACATTAAAAAAGAAAAGATTTTTAATCTATCCAAAGTATATCCAAATCCAATATCTAAAAAATATCCAAAATTTTTGAACGAAAAATCATCCATCAATTTTACAAAACGAACTTTTCTCTGTCGACCTAACAAAAGAACAATTGGGGTACAGCCCGAAAACGGTACACCTCAATTGAGTCCGCACGATTGAGTCCCCACGATTGAGTCCGCACGATTGAGTCCCCACGATTGAGTCCCGGCACAATTGAGTCCCGGCACGATTGAGTCCGCACGATTGAGTCCCCCTTGTATATACCTCAATTGAGTCCCCGTGTATTTAATTATATTAAAAAGGATTAAGAGGGATATCTGGGGATTTGGGGGATTAAAGTGAACATCAAGGGGACCTGTATGTGACATCGAGGGATCAAGTTGGATATCGGTGAATATTAAGAGATATCAGTAGATTTAAGCGATTAAGGGGGATATGGGTGGATATTGTGGATTTGGGGATTAGGAGGGATATCGAGAGATTTTTTGAATGACAACTCATTCGAATGAGCTGAGTCGAATGACACAAAAATCAACATGGTTCTCGCCGAGATATGGGGCTCGAAATGGTAAATCCACGGGGGAATTTTTGGGGACAAAAAATTCGAATATTAAATTATACCTCAATCGAAAGGGCTCGACGAGCTGAGTCGAATGACATCAAAATCAGCTTGATTCAATGATTCTGAACAAAGTTATGACCAACTGAATCTGCGCTGGAAAACTGTTTTGTGCTGCTACGGAGGGTATGTGGGGTGCAGCAGGGGTGCACAGGTGGTCTGTCCGGCATTTATACTTTAAAAAATAGAAATTTTGGAATAATCCCGCATGCCGGATATTGAAATTTTAAACTTATTAAATCCACGGGGACTCAATTGAGGTATATACAAGGGGGACTCAATCGTGCGGACTCAATCGTGGGGACTCAATTGTGCCGGGACTCAATCGTGGGGACTCAATCGTGGGGACTCAATCGTGCGGACTCAATCGTGGGGACTCAATTGTGCCGGGACTCAATCGTGGGGACTCAATCGTGCGGACTCAGTTGAACTGCTCCGGCCCGAAAAGGCGCGGACCAAAAGGGCGCGACCGAAAAAGGCGCGGCCAAATAGGCGCCTGCCGAATAGGCGCCAAGCTTTTAATTAGATATTCTGATTATAATCAATTAAATTCGGTTTTTCGGTACCGACAACCCTAGTCCGGGATTATCAGAATCGATCTATTTTTAGGATTTGGAGGAGCATTTTTTAATTAAATATTGAACAAGCTTGGCGCCAATTTGGCCGGCGCCTATTCGGTCGCGCCTTTTTGGCCTGCGCCTTTTCGGGCGTGTCCCGAACAATTGCCGTTAAATTAAGCATAATGCCAAAAACAAATAGCCAAAAAGGGTAAAAGCCCAAAATGTCAGCAAGGACAAAGTCTTTTATCTAAAATTTTCGCGATTTACAAATAGATGACTAATATCTACACGTTTGCATTTCAAAACAGAGAAATGTAGCTAGTTCTCTAAATAATATTTAAAAATTAAATTTTTATTTTTAATAGCGGCAAAGGAAGTCGTTTGGATCGGCTTGAAATAATTGATAGACGCATTTCGACTTTACGTTCAAGTTGTAGGCATGCGGTCCAAGTTACTACAGATTCAGGGACATCAACTATGGCATTTGAACGGATTGATGGCCGATTGTAAATTTTATATATTTTTAAGAAAATTTTTTTTAATAAATTTGACGTTTAGATGACCTTTTTTCATCTCTCCCAGAATTCCTCTCCATTTTCCGATGATACAAAATAAAGGGATCTGTGGGGATAAATACCAACTCTGCTTTTTAGAACCTATGGTTCGGCTGAATGAGTAATGTGTAAAATAAATCCTTCCAGTGCCAGCAGCAAAAGCGGTCAATTATGGGAGAGATGAAAAAAGGTGTCACATAAACGGCAATTAAAAAAAATATTTTTTAGTCTTTTATGCGGAAATTCAAGAGGAGCAGTTTCCATTATTGATTTTGAATCTTATACTAATTATAATTCTATTTCGGAAACTTATCCTCTCAACTACAAAATAATACAAACTCGAAAGAAAAATAATCATCACCATATGGTTAATGGTTGTCAGTGGTATCCTGTTGACACTTCTATTTTTGTTACTACAGGAATGGATAATTTGTTGAAGGTTTGTGTTTTTTTTGTTGTTTTTAAGCGTTTATGGGCTCCTGTTTCCTTTCATTTATTAAATATTTTATTACAAGGGACCCTTCCGAACTTAAAATATATACATTTTTGGAATCATTGGACAGAGGATTTCTTGCTATGGAGTCATTTTCGGATAGTTATAGGGCTTCAAAATTTCAGTAAAAATGGCCGTAGAGTCACCAACTCTATTCTTCTTATTTTTAATTGAAGGCCTTATCCCACCAAGTAGAGTTAATGAAAAAGGAGCCGTAAACTTAACTAGTACCCTAATAAATTTAAAAACAGATTTGGGATTCGTCAGTATTTACATCGATTGAAGACTTTAAATTTATTCAACCAGTTTCACATTTTCATTGGACTGTTTCGAGCACTAATGCTTCTTCATTAATTGCTGTAGCAACTGCTTCCTCAAATGTTTCTTTTATTGATCCACGGTTTTTTATTGTTTTTATTAAATAAATTTTTTCGCTCAGGATTGGTCACATTCCTCAAAATCTTCGTGCAAAAGAACAAAGAATTTATAGTGTTCGTTGGCTTTCTCCATCAAAATATATTTTGGCAACTGGAAGTGATTTAGGAAAGATTGCTCTTTGGGATATTAGGTAACTTTTAAAGTATTTTTTACGTTTAAACAAATTATTTTAGAAGTGGAAAGGCAAAATTGAGAGAAGTCTCATCTCCTTTTTTGAGTCAACCTTCTCAACCAAAACGACGGAAACTGGCACATGCTGATAGAATTACTTGTTTGCGTGCTTCTACTGACGGTCGTTTTTTAATTTCAATGTCACATGATCAAAAGCTTTGTCTTTGGAACTCAAATTTGAAACTTTTATCTTGGATGAAGGTTTTTTGTTTTAAAATATTCTTACGTTTATTTCTACTTAAGTTAACAGATTTTGACGATTTGCCTTCTCAAGATGCTCTTCCAGCAAATTTTGAAATTAGTGATGAGGGGCATAAACTTTGGGCTTTTATTCCCTTTGCAAATGATCTTTTGTTAATTAATGTTTATCCTTCACAGAATTCTAGTAAACTTATTCCATTAAAATCTGACCATGTTCTTCGACTTCATGGACATTTTCAAAGAGTAATTTCTTGTTCATATCGTTATAATTATCAACAGGTTTTTTTCACTTTTTTGTTGATCTACGAGAGAAGAGACTAGGCCATCCTGGGACCTCAGTAGAGTTACGAAAAAGTTGGGTTTTGGGTCGCAGAAATTCTGACAGATTCAAATTTCAGGGTTCGAGTAGCTTGACCTATCTATAGCTTGACCTATCTATAGAGCACCTGTACGGAGCAAAAACATTTAGCAATAACTCCCAGGAGGTCGCCGGATTTACATTGCCTGCCCTGAGCTAACAATAAACTTTTGCCTTTTAACAAAAATTTTTTTAGATTGTTACTTCCTCAAATGACCGTTCAATTTTAATATGGGAACCAGCAATGGACAATTTACTTTCTGATTCGACTGAATCACAAGTTCAACAAATTTATAAAGATGCTTTTAGTGATGACGAATTTGATTAATTATTTGATGTTTTATATTCCATTTGCGTGATAAGAGTTCGTTGGTTAAGTGGTATATTTCTGTGTTGGGTATTTTGTGCTTGACTTATTTTCTTGTTATTCGCGCTATGATGATCAAATTTTGTACAATTTTAAGGGACGTAATTCTGAATTAAATGTCGACAAATTATTCTGAGCGCTATTAACATTTTTGTTAGAGTACGAACTCGGGTTGGGGTTTTCCGAGTTCAGAACCATGGTATTTCGATGAAATTGGGTTTTTCGTGGTTGAAAAATTCCCGTTTACTGACTGCAATGTGAAAAAATGTGTCTTTTAAATGTTATTTATTATATTTATTTTTCTTTTGTTATTGATCTTCATAAATTTAAATATACTATCATTTTTTTGAGAAGTTGATTTCCTTACTATTTATTTTAATCTTGCTTTAACAAATTAATTTTTATTTAGTTATATATAAATGTTTTCAACCAAAGTTATTGTTCGCTCGTTTAACTCCAGGTTTTTTAAGTTTTCCTAATTTATTTTATTTGATTTTCAGTTCGCGAATGTTTTCTCAAATGGGTGACATGGGTAGTGGCGCTGGAAAGGGAGGTGGAAGTGGAGGTTCAATTCGTGATGCTGGCGGTGCTTATGGAAAGATGGAAGCTGCACGTGAGGAGGAATATTTTCATAAATTGGTTTGCTTTAGTTAAAATTAGGGTTGGGTACGACCGGTTGTTAATCGGTACCTTTGGGTTCGTTTTTTTCATGTCCATTATTAGTTTTAAATATTTTTTGATTTTTTTAATTTTTAGAAGCAAGCTCAACTCAAGGCGCTCAAGCAACAATTGGTCCGTGAACAATCACACCATGAGGAGCAAGCAAAACATCATCAAGATGTGATTGAACGACACAAGAAGCGCATTAAAGAATTGGAGGAGGAAGAAAAGTCGAAATGAAAGAATTGACAAGTAAAGAAGAAAGTAAAGACTAAGTTAAATAAATTAATATTCTTTACTTTTGCTCGTTAAAATATAGATGATTTGACTCTAAAAAAATTAAATTTGCTCTAAACTTATATTTTTGATTTTAGAAAATGTTTTTTTGGTTTCAAAACCATTACTTATCTTTTAATTTTTTAAAATTTTTCTTGCTTTTAGAACTTCGTTTTTTAAGAATTTTCGTGTTTTGCTATGGACGTTGCTTTTGTAGTGAGTTTCTAATTTGAATTATCCAATTAACTCACAAATTTATTTAGGTTGACGAAATTGTTAATCCAGAGGATTTGGAAAAATTCAGGAAACAATATGCTGAGGAAAGCAGGCGTGGGGCTCCTGCTGCTCAAACAGCCTTCTATTATGCTCATGCTTTGATTAAATCAACCAAAGAAGATGTTAGAACAGGAATTTATATTCTCGAAAGTATTTTTGTTTTTTAATTTTTATTCAAATTTTTTTTAATTTTAAGGTCTTTTGAAAAGGGTTGAGTCTGATATGCCAAAACGTGATTATGTCTACTACCTTGCTATAGCTCATACTCGTATTAAAGTATTAATTTTTTAGTTTAAAAATGAATTTAAAAAAGTTATTTTTAAAGGAATATGACAGAGCTTTGGAATATATTAATTTATTGTTATCAGCAGAGAGTGACAATCATCAAGCTTTGGATTTGAAAGAACTTATTGAGCAACGAATGAAACGAGGTTTGGGAAAGGGATGGGATTTTTTGGTAAAAAAAGCCAGGCTACGGGTTATTTTAGGAATTTCAGGGTTTTCAAGATTTTCTTAAATCGGTTTAAGGTCGCAAAAAGGTGAGTTTTGGATCAGGTCATTAAGGGTTAAGAGGGGAAAATATTGAACCGGGCTTTGGAAAATTTTCTCAGTTTGTGTTTTTTATAACCCGTGACATCCCCAATTTATCTTTATGGAATAAACAAAATAATTTTAGATGGCCTTGTTGGTTTGGCCTTAACTTTTGGATTTGGTGGGGCTGCAATTCTTGGGGTAGCCGCAGCTGCTGTTATGGCGATAAAAAAGAAATGATGATAAAAATTGGGAAGATTTTATTTAAAAAAAATTTAAATTTTCATTTGAGATATTTACATAAATTTTAAATTAATTTTTCTGTTTCAACTTTCTCTTTTATTCCCGATAATTTTTGTCTGAATTTTTTGGGTAAATTATATTTTCTGTGAATTTTTTTTTCTTATTTTAAAAGATTTTTTCAATCTTGTTTAATTTCTTTTTTGATTAAATTTCGATTAATTTTTAGTTTTTTTTGATGGAAAATCAACGAGAAATTCAACCAGATGTTTCCATCGAGTGTGGTGAATTTAATAGCCGTACAACAACAACATCAACTTTTCTAACAAGAATTGCTTCGTTTCTTGGATTAAAACCAAAAGCTAAATTGCCAATTAAACGTGTTTTAATCAATTTTGCTCTAATTTTTATTTTTGGTAAATTTAATTTTTATTTAAAAACAATTTTTTTGTTAGGTGCTTTGATTGAGGCGTTCCTTCACATTCTTGGGCCTTTCACTCGTGGATTCTTTTGTGATGATAATTCTATTCGTTTGCCTTATAAAACTGGAACAATTCCTCTTTGGATGTTAATTCTTTATTGTTTATTGGTGACTAACTTAACGGTAAGGTTTTTTTTCCTTTTTTCTGAACCCATCCATTCCGCGATTTCTCTTCAACATTGGACCATATTAGGGCTTCTAGGGTTCGAAAATCTTAGACGAAGTTGTGGCGGTGTGGACTGTTATAGGCGTGGAATGGTTATAGGGAATGGAGACGTCAATTTACTGGAGATGTCTTGTAATGCCAAAACACTGAAATTCCAAACCTCCACAAACCTTTGAAATGTCAAATAATGGAACTACTATATTTCAGTTTATTATTGGAGAATATTGGCGTTTAGTTGATCACAGAACAGCTTCAGAACATTTGGTGATTTATGAACATGGAGAATCTTTTCGTGTTCGATTGCTTATCCGTTTGGTTTTCTTTCAAGGTTTTTTTATAAAAATATTTTTATTCTAATTTTCTTTAAAAAAGGATTTTTCTGTGTTGCTATCCTTGCTACATTAATTTTCACTTCACTGGCTAAATTCTCTGTTGGACGACTTCGACCACATTTTTTGGCAATATGTGACCCTTTAATTAATGGAAAGGAAAAAGAAGCTCATTTTTGTTCTCTTCCAGAAAATCAACATTTTTATGTCGAGAATTATACTTGTGCAAATACTTCAAATTCTTCTTTGATTTTTGAGGGTCGACTAAGTTTTTTCAGTGGACATTCAAGTTTATCAATGTGCGCTGCTGTCTTCACTGCTGTATGTAACTTATTGTTAGAGTTTTTAAAAAAGCTAGGAAGGTTCATATAGTGTTCCAAAGCTTGGTAGTGGGGCTAGGGTATCTCTGGAGTCCTGCTATATCAATAAGGTCCGTCTACTGCTCTAAAGTTTGGTAGCCGGCTTAAGAGGTGTTTTCTACTAATGTAAGGAAGGCTCTGGAGTCCTCTTCGAATATTATGGAGTCCTCATCCCATAGGAAGGTCCAGTTAGTGCTCTAATGCTTCGTGGTGGGACTGTCCTCTTATGAAGTCCTCATCCCATATTTAAATTTAAATTTTTTATTTACAGCTTTATTTACATTGTCGATTAAAACCTTTAATTAATTACGTTGTTGTAATTCCTCTTTTACAAATTTGTGTTCTTTCAACTGCCATGTTTATTGCATATACAAGAATTAGGGATAATTTGCATCATTGGTCAGATATTTTTGTTGGAATGGCAACAGGGTCAAGTGTTGCTACTTTTGTGGTTTTTTTTTAATTTTTTTTATAATTTTAAAAAATTTTATTTTTAGGGTTTAACTGTTGTTGGATTTAAATTAAATACCCATACTTTTGAAGAATCTATTTCATTGAAAGAAGGAAGAAGAAATGTTCCGTCTGGATAGGTTAATTAGTAAATCTCTTTTAAATTCCTTTCGAGTTAATAAGCAGTTACAGTCGAACCTCTCTATAAAATACCCCAATATTAGTAAACCTCTATTTAAGAGACACTATTTAATATTTGGCTGGCTATTGGGTTGGGGGAAGCTGCCTAAGGAGACCTTCTATTTAAGGAACACCTCATTATAAAAGACTATTTTCGAGCGTACCTCTTAAAGTGGGGATGGATTGGTCGGGTTACGAAAAAAAGTCAGACCGGGTTTAAAAATTTTTTTTCGGATCAGGGTGTATCATGTGATGAGGTTTAGCTGTTCTGCTTATATTTAATATTTATTTTTCTAACTTTTTTTTTTGTACTAAATGTTTGTCATTCTCGTATTTATATATTTGTTTCACACTTAATTTAACGAAAATATAAAATAATTTACAACGAAACTAAGGTTTTTAAGAAAATTTTCTAGAACCCCCTAGACAAATTGATCAATTAAATATATTTTTAAAAATTTTTTGGGTAATTTATTTTTGGATTTTTTAAAAAAGATCCTTTGAGAATAAATAAAAGTATATTTATTATAAAATATTTTATTTCGGTAAACTAAAAAAGGAGATTTTTTTAAAAATAGTTTTTTAAAGATATTCCCCTTAAAATATATCAAATCTCTCTAAACATATATTTATTTATTTTTCTTGTATTCTCTAGGGAAAATGTTTTTTTGAGTAATAAAAATGCCTGAAAAGGATGAAAAGAAAAAAAGAATTTTTGAAAGAATTTTTGAAAGGATTTAATATTTTCCTTTAAAAAACAAAAATTATCTTTTTATTCTTTTAATAAATTAAAAAGAAATGCGCGAACACGTAAAAAGCTTTAAGTAACGGAAAAATATTTTTCACAGAAATTATTGTCCTTTAAAGTAAAAAATAAAAATATGTTGCCATACTTTAATAAATAGAAAGAAAAGGATTTGTAGAAGAAAAATATTCTACTAATGAGATATCCCAAGAAAAAAATTATTTTTTTTTTTGCGCAAAGACGTCAAGAAAGTAGCTGACAATTTCCAATACTTTTTCGTTTTTCTTCAAATTTTAAAAAATATTTAATTTGGCCCAATATATTAAATATTTGATGAGGTCCATCACTAGGAATTAAAAAGACCCCTAGAATGTTGTTCTGTAAGGTGTTTATCTTTTGGGTTAATCCTAGGATTTAGTTTTAGATTTAACAACATTTAGATTTCTAGCGTGTTGTCCTGTAAGGTGTCGATCTCTTGGGTCAACTCCTCAGACCTAAGGATGTTGCTCTCTAAGAAGTTGATCTTGTGGGTTAATCCCTATTTAATTAAAGTAAATATATTTAATAAAATATCAAATCCATTTATGGTTTTTATTTTTTTTGTTCATTTTATAATTTTTAAGTCTTCTTTTTTACTTAACTAATCCACCCGATAAAAGAAAGAAAAAAAAATTTTTTAAAGGAGAACATTCCCCCCAATTTGTTCCCCTCCCGTCACATTTTCTTTTCTTTATATTTTTTGGGTTTCCTTTCATTGGACACACAAATAAATTCTTTTTGGAATAAAAGGGAAGGACACAAGCAATCTCGTCATTTGGTGGCTAGTTTTTGTTTCCTTAACAAACAAACAAGCAAAATAAAATAAAAAAATATTTTTCCTTCCCCAAGTTTTTTTTCATCTTTGCTTTTTTTAATTTCCGTAGAAAAAAAACATTTTTTATGCAGATTGAATTTATTAAATAAAAAAATTTATATTAAGTAAATATTTACATAAAAAAAGAAAAAAGAGTGTCAGATTAGATTTAAAGAAAAGAAAGTCAAAAAAGCTTCTTTTCTCAAAAATCTCGTCATTCATCTCCCCTTAACTTTAAGGAATTTTTTTTCTTTTTTTGCCTTTTTTCTGCGCTCTTTAATCCTTCAAAAATGATGATGCTTGGAGGAGGGGATAGAAGAAATACTACGACAAGTTTTGCTTCCCCAACAATTTCAAGCAGTCCATCCAAAAGAAGAAGAAGAACAACAACAACTCAAAATAATTTAGAAATTGCTGCAACTAACAACGAATTTAATTTGCCAATTAATACGGGTATTGTAAGGACAAATAATACAATAAATGGTGGTTGGACACCAACAAATGCTATAAAGTTTGTTTATTCTCTAGTATATGGGGTGTTTAGTCGAATCTTGTTTTTGAATATCGGGTGAAGAGGTGTTTATTAATATAGGATACGATTAGTTAGGTCCCACACACACAGCCAACATTACCTTGAGTTCAGTCAGGTTAAGCCTCTAAATTGAGGGTATCTTAAATAAAGGGTACCAATGGATACCTCTCCCCAAAGGTCAACCAAATAATTTTAAAGATCGTCTCTTAAATAGAAGTGGGGGTATTTTATTAGATTCGACTTTTTAATGGTCCTCCCTTTTGTGGCCCTCCTTTATCACCAAAAATTATCATTGTTATCTCCCCCATTTTTTAAAGCTTGCCAGGCCCATCAACTACTCGTTCCCCCAATGTTAACCAATTAAAAAGACAAAATTCAACATTTAATAGAACAACAAACATTCAAAATTCCCAACAACAAGAAACAGAAAGAGATAGACGTAAATCACGTGCAAGTTCATTAGCAGCAGCAATGTCAACGAGAAAATTAAGTTTATTTAATAGATGGAAAAATCAAGCATTGGCTGACACGGCTTTAGATGGAATTAGTGAAGAAGAAATGATTGAATATAAAGAAGCTTTTCGATTATTTGATAAGGTAAATTGGAATTTTTTTAATTTTAAAATAGTTTCCCTATAACCTCCGTCTATTTAGGGTACGCCCTTTAAAATTTGGAGTAGGGGAACTGCCTAGGACAATAACCCTCTATTTAAGATATCCTCAATACAAGGAACCTCTCTATAAGATACCCCCAACATTATGTACACCTCTATTTAAGGGACCCTTTTTAAAATCCGGTTAGTTATCGGATGGGGGACTGCATAAGCGACACCCTCTATTTAATAAACAACTCATTATAAGAGACAAATTTTTACCCCAAGGTGCATTTATAGTGAGAGGTTCACTAAAAAACTAAAAATAAATTTAAAAACAGGACGGAAACGGATCAATTTCATCAAAAGAATTGGGTGTAGCAATGCGCTCTTTAGGCCAAAATCCAACAGAACAAGAATTATTAGATATGGTAAATGAAGTTGATATTGATGGAAGTGGAAATATAGATTTTGCTGAATTTTGTCAAATGATGAAAAGAATGAATAAAGTAAGGGAGGAGATAGAAATTTTTAAAAAAATTTATTTTTCAGGAAAATGATAGTGAAAGTATGTAAATTAATTTTTTTATAATTGGGACGGTCCACAGAATGTAAACTTCCGGGAGGACACCAACCTAGAGATCAACATCCTAGTGGTGAACTGGCTCTGGAGGTATACTTAGGCCTGCTCCCTTTTACCTTATCTAACAGTCTGGCACAGGAGAATTTCCGTTTTATGTTCCCCGTAATTCTGGGCTGATCCCAGAAAATATTTAAAAATAATTTTTTAAAGTGATTCGAGAAGCCTTTAGAGTTTTTGATAGAGACGGGAATGGATATATTACAGCAGATGAATTTAGATATTTTATGACGACTATGGGGGAACAATTTAGTGAAAATGAAGTTGATGAAATTATTGAGGAAGTTGATATTGATGGGGATGGACAGGTAGGAAATTAGAGGGATTTTTAAAAAAAATATTTATTTTTAAAGATAAATTATGAAGAATTCGTTAGAATGATGACATCTTAATTTAATTATTTGTTTAAAAATTTGTCAGGGAATTTTTAAACTTTAAGGGATTTTTTAAGGATTTTTCTAATTTTTAGGACGTCATGGGATGGGAAAAAGTAGAGCCTGCCAGGTTTCGAAAAACCCCCCGGGGTTCCGAGTCGGGTTAGTTATGGGAATTAAGCAGGAAAAAAACAGGAAGAAGTTCGTGATATCCCTGTATCCAATTCCCTTTCCCTATAGCTTCGTGCAACGCTTACCTAAGCTTAAACCCTTTTTAAGATTATTTTAGTTGGACGAAGGAAATAAGAGAAAAAATAGAAAAGAAATTAACCCTTAAAGTTCACAAATTTCTTAAAATTCCTTATTATTGTAAATTTCGATTTTTAAAAATTTTTTAATTAAAAAATATATTTTTTTGTACAACACACAAAAATATATAAAATATTTAATATATATATATATTTAAACAATTTTTTTTATAAAAAATAATTAAAAAATAAAATATTATGACCTTTTATTTAAATAGGCAAGACTAGAGTAGATGCTTGTTTTGTACAAAATGCCATCTTGGCCATTCTACCCATCCATTTAAGCCCATTTTCACCTCCTGGAACATAAGAAAGGAGAAACCTGAAAATAAAAATTAAAAAATTTCTTAAATAGAGGGAGGGTATCCTTCAGTCAGGTCCTTGCACCTAGTCTGAATTCTGAAACCACTGACCCGGTTTGTAGTCCTAAAAAGCCCACGGATAGAAAAACTCCTAGAAAGTCCAAAAATGCCTGGGGATCCGTTCTCTGGGCATAGAAACGCCAGACTTTAGCCTGGACCCAGCTAAATTCTAGTGGGCAACCAAAATCTAAAGAAACGTATTTTAGATTGAATGGTATCTTATAATGAGGTCTGACTAGATAAAAAAGTTAAATTTACCAAATTAAAGCAAAAGCCTCAAAACTCGAAGCAATAATTGTAAGAACTGTGCTTTTAAGCCATAAAGAAGTATAAAGGGTTGTAATCACACTGATTAAATAAATAGCAGTCACTAATCGTCTAGATTCAGAGAAGAGAAATTTAAAATAAGGAACTGGTCCCCAAAGAAAGCCAAAACTAAAGGGGAAAAATAATTTTGAAAAAAAACTTTAAAAAAACCTGACAACAAAAAAAGCAGAACCAAGGGTATTTAAAGCTGCAAATTTTCTTGTTTGAATAATTAAGATTGGTAACAACATCATTGCCTATATTTAAAAATAATTTTAATTTAAAAAATTTCAAAAAAAAACCGTGGTAAAACAAAATCCAGCAGCAAACAAACAAAGAAAAAACGCTGCAATGCGTTGAAAACGGCTAAGTCCGCATGGATTAGCATCTGCAGTTACTTGGCCATTTACTGAAGTTGAAGAAGAGGAGGAAAAGCTCATCCAACCAGTACGTCTAAAAATATTTTTATTAAAAATTTAATATGAGATACACACCAAATACATTTTGTTGTATTTTAAAGGTCTGGATTAAAGGTCTGGATTTTAAAGGTCTGGACAACCATCGACCCACGTTTTTAGTCGGAAAAAGGTCTGGATTTTCAACACAAAATCTGCAGTTAGGAAAGACTCAGGCCTAGAAAAAATTATAGACGTTTTCTTAGCATAGATAAAAGTAAGATTTTCGAATCCACTGACCCAGGTCTTTAATACAGATAAACTCCAGACCAGAAAAAACCTAGGAATTCCAAAAAATGCCTGGAACTGATAACTTTTCACAATGAAAATCAACTTCATCCCTTACACCAAAAGACAAAGGAATCCCTAACATTGAGAACAGGTTAATTTTATAAAAAAATATTTCAAACCTATTTCTATTCGAAGGAAGCTGTCCATTCTGTGCAGGTTCACTCGTTAATCTTTCTGTGTCATCAATACTATCGCTTGTTTTGAAGAATCCGTTGAATGATTTACTGACTTTAGAACCAAATGTTGCCACATTAAAATAATTTCGATTTCCTGATTTGTTCTTTTGTTCATTTACAAAATCGGCTAAAGACATTATTTTCTAAATAAAAATTATTTAAAAAATTTTAAAAATAAAATTAAAAAAATATAAACACGTTAAAGGCTTTAAAAACCTTTTTGTTATTTTGACATTTTTAAAATAAACTAAATGAAAAATAAAAAAAATATTTGAAACATGGCTTGTTGAGTGCCAATAGAAAAAATTAAAAAATTTATTTTATAAGTCATATTTATTTCTAAAAAATTTTTCAAAAATTTTTTAAGACTAGAAAACCATTTTAATCAATTAATCTTCTCGACATTTATTTCTTCTTTTCTTTTTTCAGTTTTTATTGGAGCTCCTTTCATTTTCACACTTAAATACCAATTTTCTGACTGGGCAATTACAACAGTTAAAATCTTTAAAATAAATTTTTTTCGATTAAAAAAAAGAGAAGATACCGCAATACCAAGTATCGAAATACCAAACCTCCAAAAAACACGCCGAAATACCAAAATATGGTCTACTAACAAACTTCCACGTTAATTGGAACAACCTTTACCTATATTTGTATTTCTGCTCGGTTTGGTATTTTGGCAGCTTTCGGGGGTTTGGCATTTAGGCGTTTGGTATTGCGATGCGCTCCTCTAAGAAATAAAACCACAAACCTGAATTATATTTGGTTGAACTTTTTGGTCAATAATTAATTCTTTTCCTTCAATATTTACATTATTCGAACCTCTCAAGTCAAGCTCATAATGTGTTGTTTGTTTTGTTTTTCCAGCTATCAACACAACATAATAATCAGCTTTAAATTGGCGAAGACTTGTAAATTCTTTTAAATAGGGTAACGGCTTTCCTTGTTCCCAAAAATGTTCAGCTAAAAGATTGTCTATCTCATCCGAATAAAATCGGTCAACACGAAATGGTTCAATAAGCAATGGGCCTTCAGAACAATGCAATGTTAAACGAAGTGGACACGTCTATATAAATTAATAAAAAATTGGAGCTGGTCTAATTTATGAGTCCAATGAACCTTTAAATGAATCAAGGTACTCACCAATTTGGCTAGACTTATAAAATTTTTATTGGACTTATAAACCTTCATTGGACTCATAAACTAGACTAGTGCCAAAAATTTATATTAAAAAATTTTTTCTTACTGTGCTCATAAAAAATCGTCGATTATGTCCAAGCGCCCTAACAGCTTTCCACATTTGTTCCAAATTTCCTTTTGGGCCATAACTTTCTGCTTCTTTTTGATGCATTTGTACAAATGTCTTCATTGGTATATGTTGCTGTCTTAATTCAAAATCTGTACAAATACGTGTCCATTCCTTTGAAAAAAATTTTCATAAAATTTTCAAAATAAATTCTTTTTCTTTACTTGTTCACTAACAGGTCCAGTACCAGCAAGAATACTATAAGCTTCAAATTCTCTTCGACTTAAAAGTCCATCATCATCCAAATCAAAAATATCAAATAAATTCATTAGCATTACTCTTTAATTTTTTTTAAATTTTATAAAAATTAAAAAAATACTTGAAAGGCTTTGTTAATCTCCCAGTTTTTTCGTCAATAATTCTATCAGATTTTTCCGTCTCAACCATTTTTAATGCGCGACAAAATTTAACTCTTATTAGATGATTTCCAGCAGGCACCTTAAATTTAGATTTTTTTAAATTTTATTTTAGTTGGAAATTAAAGAGAAAATTTTTTTTTAGTGGTTTCGAGTTCACTAAAAAATAAATTTAAAAAATTGAATTTTAAAAAATTTCATTTTTTCAAAAATTAACCTGAACCCATTCTGTTGTAGCCATCTTTAAAAAAATAAAATTATTAAAAAATTCCCCTAAATAAAATTTACTCCTTGTTCTCTCCGTTTAGTAACACCATAAATTTTTTGTTGTAAATCCAGTTCCGAAGACATCTTTTGAAAAAATTGGGATATAGTGTAGTGTACCGGTGGTAAAAGTTCGGGACGTGACATATGTCATTCGATTCGTCTCGACGAGCTGAGTCGAACGGTACCACTCCCTATTTTAGGAAATAATTCTGGACCTAGTTATAGGTCCCGGAAAATTGAAAAACCATAGGGGGGAGTAAGGTCGATTTGGGGTGAAAAATTCGAATATGCAAATAATAGCTCATTCGAAAGAGCTCCTCGAGCTGAGTCGAATGACACCAAAATCAACAAAATCTGACTTGATTGGACCGAGATATAGGCCCCTAAATATCGAAGATCCAAAGAGGCGATTTTTGGAATAAAAAATTTTTTATACAAATAATAACTCATTCGAAAGAGCTCGACGAGTTGAGTCGAATGACACAAAAATCATCGTGATTGAACAAGATTAGACAAAGTTACGACACAAAAAACAAGCAACATAAACCTATGGAAAGTCGGCGAGGCGCTTGTGCAAACCCCCGCGCTTCGCGCGGGGGTTTGCGGCACGCGCCTCGCGGGAAGTCTACGGGCGGTGGGTCTGGGCTCGTAACATAAACCTATTCCTATCTCCCTTGCTCTGGGCATACCTGGAGCCTCCGTAGCAGCAAAACCCTCCATGGAGACCATAGGTAAGGAGCTAAAACAAACAATCATAACTTTGTCAAATCAAGTCGGATTTTGTTGATTTTGGTGTCATTCGACTCAGCTCGAGGAGCTCTTTCGAATGAGCTATTATTTGCATATTCGAATTTTTCACCCCAAATCGACCTTACTCCCCCCTATGGTTTTTCATTTTTCCGGGACCTATAACTCGGTCCAGAATTATTTCCTAAAATAGGGAGTGGTACCGTTCGACTCAGCTCGTCGAGACGAATCGAATGACATATATCACGTCTCGAACTTTTACCACCGGTACACTACACTACAGCCAAAAATTGAATTTAATTTTAAAATATATTTCAAATTTACAATAATTCCTTGAATTGAATTATGGAAACGATTTAGTGAAGAATCAACTAAAATTTTTAAAAATTAATCTAATTTAAAAGATACCGAAAATTCTCTATATAAGCCCTCTCTCCAATATAACCCCCATCTCTAATAGAAGCTCCCATATCAAATAGAAGCTCAATCAAAGAAACATTGAAAAATAGACTCAGGCTTATATTAGAGAATTTACAGTATTTTAAAATAAAAAATAAATTCTTTACTTACTCAATTCATTAACACAAATTCCAAATTTTAATTTTCTCGATTTTTCCAAATTAAAAGAAAAAGCAATACAATTAGTTTCTGTCATTTCTCTTTGAATTATTAAACTTTTTAATTGAATTTTTTCTTCAACAAATTCTTTTAATTGTTGTTGAGTAGTTAAATTTCTTGGTGAAGAATATTCAAATTCTTTTATTTGTCTGTTGTTGTTTGTGTTGCTATTTCTATTTGAAAAAAGGGAAGACAGGGATTCAGCACTCTCGCAACGAGACAACATGAATGAACAATTAGAAACTTGAAAAAAATAAAATTAATTTTTATATTTATAGATCAGGTTTATTATATTCTATTGATAAATAAGCCTGAAATATAGTATTCAAGTTTATTTTTTTAATTTATAATTAAAGTTTATTTATTTTATTTCAAGTTTTTTTAATAATTCAGGTTTAAACTTTATAATTCAAGTCTGTTATTTATAACTCAAGTTCATTTTATATAATTCAAGTTCATTTTATATAATTCAAGTTTATTAAGTTTATTTTTTTTAAATTCAAGTTTATTTTTATAATTCAAGTTCAATCTTTATAGTTCAAGTTTTCTAAATAATTCAAGTTTAACTTTATATTTCAAGTTTATTCTTTATAATTCAAGTTCATTTTATATAATTCAAGTTGATTTTTATAATTCAGGCTTATTTTTTATAATTCAAGTTTAGCTTTATATTTAGAAATTATTTTTTATTATTCAAGTTCAATCTTCATAATTCAGGTTTATTTTAAATAATTCGAGTTTATTTTATAAATCAAGTTGAATTTTGTAGTTCAGGTTTATTTTTTATAATTCAAGTTCAGTTAACAATATAATATAATAAACCTGACATATAAATAGAAAAATAAACTTTAATGTGAAGGTGGAGAAAAAAGGTATAAAAACAAATAAAAATGTTTAAATACATTACCATATATTTTTATTATTTTCCAACTTTTTTTCTCCTTTTATTTTCCCTCCACCTTCACATATATTTAATTAAGTATTATTTTATTATTATTTTGCAAAACAATTCATCTGGTCACGAAAAAAATATTTTTTTCTATTTTATTTTTGCACAAACTATGGAAATACAAAATTAATTGATTTTTTGGAGGGAAAATTTTAAAAAAAATTTTTTTTTAAATTTACCTTTATGTGAATTATTCCCTTCTCCAAAATTATTATTATTCAATTCAAGCCCTTCTTCTTCAACAATTTGCGAATTTAATAGACGTAATCTCTTCTTGGTTTCAATTAATTCATAAATTAACTTTAAAAAAATTAAATTAAAAGAGAAATTGTTTTCTTTGGACAAAGGAAAAAGATTCTTTTGAACAAAAAGATTTTCGTGAGCGGAAAAATTGTTAAAAATTATTTTTCTGAACAAATCTGTTCCTTTTTGTTTTTTTTTTGAAAAAAAAAATTCACACAAAAACAAAAAAAAATTATTTTCTTTGAATTTTTTCAAAAGAAATTCTTTTCAAAAATTTTTTTAATTTCTAAAAATTAAATAAATAAAAAAACCCTTATTTACATTTTCAATATCCGTTCCCTTTTGTTTATTTAATTTTAGCCAATTAATTAAATAATTATTGTCGTCGTTGTTGTTTGTTGTTTCAATTAATTCCAACATTTTATTATTTAATAATTCCCAATTTATTTCATTTTCAGTTATTACAAATAATTCAAATAAATCGTAAATTTCGTCTAAACCAGTGGATGGAATATTTTGATAAATCTTTTAAAAATAATTTTTTTTAAATTATTTTTAAAATTAAACAAAACCTGAAAACATTCTTCAAAAGAAAATATCTCGTCTACAAAAATTATTTAAAAATAAAAAAAAATATTTCTTCAAAAAACAACCTTTTTCTGTTGCGTATGGACGTAATCGAAGCAAATCCTGAAAATTTAATAATGTTCTAAATTTATTTGCAATAAAATGGAAATCACTTCGCATCGCAATGATAAGAAAAATTATCCCTTGCATATACATTTTTTTCTAAAATTTGTTTGACAATGAGTGAGGGAGCTGCCTAAGCAATACTAAAAGCCTCAAAAGAAACGGTTTTTACAGCCCCAAAAAATGTCAAGGACTTTTCCCTTATTTGGCATTTCAGAGAAATTTGGGGGTTGGCATTTCAATACGCTTCTTATCTTACAATGAGGTCTAAATTATTTAATTCTTTCAAATTTACCTCAATTTGTATATCCTTACCACTGCATATAATCACATCCAATAATTCACGTAATGAAATTAATCGGCCATTATTATTTTCAAATTCAGAAGGGCCAATTTCTGTTAAAAAAGCTTCTCTAAAAAAATTTAAAAAATAACTTCAAATTATTTTAAAATAACCTAAAAATACGTAAAGCATCAGCTCCTCCACGATGTAAAGTTCCGTCCAGTAATGGATCCATAAATTAATTTTTATTTGAAAAAAAAATTTTTGAATAAAAAAACCTTTTATTTTTGTTTCATATTTCCTCTCCCTTTTTTCCTCCTCTCACTTTTTTTATTTTTATTAATTTGAATTAATTTCGCGCATGTCACCTTGACAACCTAAAAATTAAAAAAAAAATTTTTTTGAAAAAAAGAAAAAAATACCCTTTAATTAATATTTTATTTTTAATAAAATAGAAAGGGCATAGGTATTTAGATGACAAAAATATTAAAAAGAAAAAAAAAATTTAAAAAAAAATGAAAATTAAAGATGAAGACATTTTTAAATCTGTATATAGTGCTTTAATCTTTTGGATATAATTTAAAAAAAAATAATTTTTTTTTAATTTTTAATCTTCTTTGAAAAATATCAAAATGACGCTATCTACTTGTCATTTAAATAATTTAAAAAAAAAGTTAAAATAAAATTATTAAAATTTCCAAGTAATTCGATAAAATGTCGGCGACAAAACGGCCATTTATAATATTAGAAATAGTCATTTTGGTGCCTCGACAAGTAGACAACATGCATGGTTAAGTGGGATTTGCTTGTGATCATCATTGCATTTTCGAGCAGGGTTCGAATCCTTTTGGGGTTAATTTTTTTATTTAATTAATTTTTTGTTAAATTTTTTAAAAAATCGATTTTTAATTTATTTTTTAAATTTTCTGAATTTTTTCTGTCCCTTTTTTAATCTTCTTTCACTTAAATTTTTGTGCCAAACGAGAAGAAAGTAAAGCGCATCAAATTGCATTTTCTCATGACAGAAATGAATTAATTGTGTTATTTTTTCACATTCTCATTAGACATTTAAATATAAATAAAAGTACATCAAAAAATTATTTTTTTATTATTTTTTAGTGTAATTTGCTAGAAAAATATTTTTTTAATATTCCCATACATCAAATACGTACATACCTAGCACAACTAATTTATCACCAACTTTTTACTTCATTTTTGAAGGGAAATATTTGTAGAAAATTTTTTGTAAAATTTTTTAGAAAATTTTTTGTAGACAGAAAAAGTTTGTGTGCTACGAAACGGCTAGTTTTTTGCCTGAAGTAAGCATGGTTAAGTGGAATTTTCATTTGTCAGCAATATATCCTGGAGCTGGGTTCGAGTCTTTTTGGGGATAATAATTTTGTTTTGAGTGAATTTTTGTTAAAACTTTTTAAAAAATCGTTTTTAATTTATTTTCTGAATTTTGAATTTATTTTCCGTCCTTTTTTTAATCTTCTTTCTCTTAAATTTTGTGCCAATCATTTTTAGAAGGGAAAATTAAAAAAATTTTTTTTTGGAAATTTTTTTTGTAGAAAAATTTTTTTATTAAGAAATGTTAATTAAAAAATATAAATTATTTATTTAACATTTATTTTCTTTGTTCTATTTTTAACTTTCAATTAATTTCTACAATTTTAAAAAAAATTAATTGTTTTAAATAATTTAAGCAAGATATGCACACATTTTCCCCTTGTCTCTTATTCAATTTAAATAATTTACATTAAAAATAGAAAAAAAAGAGATTTTTGATATTCGGAAGAAGACGATTAATTCTTGTTCAATAAAAACATGTTCTTCTTCTTGTTTACACGTTTAAAGAACAAAAAAATTTTTTTTAAATCCCCTCCCCTCTCAAATTTCTTTTTTTTTTTAAACATTTCTTCTTTCTTTTGTTATCTTTTAAATATTTTTTTATGAATTTATTTTTCCCCTCCTTTCCTTTAAGTTGTTCACTCATTTCCTCCCCCTCCTCTCATTTTCCTTTCCTTGCGCCTGTCATTATTTTTAAAAATTTCTCAAGTTCTTCCTTTTTAAGCACCTGTTGCTTTTATGTAAAATAATTCTTTTTTGGCATTTTTTTCTTCCAAAAAAGTATATTTTTTTAAAGTATAAGTACTTTGTCTTCTTAAATTTATTTTTAAAAAACAAAATTTTTAAAATTCCAAAAAACGCCAAAAGAAAAAAAATTTACAACAGAATGCCAAAAAATCGAAAAAATGCCATAATCGCCAAAAACCCCAAGAAAATCCAAAAAAATTTTTTTGACCTTTTCACAAATCGCAACAATTTTTTCTTTTAATTTCGCATCCTTTCCAGCACATTATTCCATTTTATCTCTTCCGGTTATTAAAATACTCCATTAAAAAAAGAATTTTTGCCCTTCAAAAAATTGAAGAATTGTCTAAATAAATTAGCTAATTTATTTTTTTAAAAATAATTTTTTTCCTCCTCATTATTTATTTATTTATTAGCTTAAAAACTTTCTTTTTACTACATAAAAGTTTTTTATTTAAAAAATAAATGTTACTATCCCAGTGGAATTAAAGTTATTTTACGTAGAAGGTAGAGCGACATTTGCGTACCGACATTTGAGAACACCCACAAAACTTCTGGGTATTTATAGTACTGTAATGGGTACTTTAATTAGTACTGTACTGCCAAAATATTAATTTATGTTTACATGGGAAGGTTGCGAGGTGTCCGAGCTAAAAACGGTCGAGACCGGGCTCATTCGATAGAGAATGTGCCCTTTCTAGCAAGGATTTTTTGCCGTTTTTGCCCGTTTTTTGATCTGGCCAAGATATGACCCTCCAAAGTCCCAAAATTTGGCATAATTTTTCCCCCTCAAATATAAACATTAAATAATGGGTTAATTTTGGGCTCTATTACACAATATACGTCCAATCGACTTTTATGCGTCCAATCAACTTTTATACGTCCTATCAAATTTTATACGTCCAATCAAAGTTTAAACGTCCAATGATAATTTTATGCGTCCAATGAAATCTTATGCGTCCAATCAAAGTTTAAATTATGAAAAAATAAAAATAATTTTTATTTATTACAACGCCTTGCTCAAGAGGGGTTAATAGGAACAACTGTTCCTGTCACTTGAACAACCGTCCCCGTCACCGGATCAAATCCAAAATCCGGTTTAAAAAGGATTCGGATCTGGATCTAGCAATGGAACCGGACCGGATCCAACCGGATTTTTCTGGATTAATCCGGTCGGGAAAAAATCCGGAGATCGCGAAAAAACCCGGATTTGGGATCTGGACTCTGGAAAAATCCGACCGGATCTGGTCAGGTCACTAATAAAAATGTGTTTGGACATATAAAATTTGATTGGACGCATAAACTTTCCATTGGACGCATAAATTTTTATTGGACGCATAATCTTTTCATTGGACGTATAAAATTTGATAGGACGTATAAAAGTTGATTGGACGCATAAAAGTCGATTGGACGTATATTGTGTAATAGAGCCTAATTTTGTTGGCGTGGTGGTGTAGTGGTGAGTGTGCTTGCGTTACCCTTTTTCTCTAAAAAGTTCGATTCTTTTTCGGGTTTTCTTATTTCAAATAACTGTTTTAAACATTATTTATTTCTTTTTCAACAAAAAAATTTTTGTGTGAAAAATTTTTTTTATTTTTTAAAAATTCTCAAAAATAAAAAAACATTTTCAAGCCGGGGAATCTTCTCCTCTCCTGTGTGGAGAGGAATTTGCTACAGCTGGCACATCGAATAAAACTAGATCCAAACAATTAGGTGTATTACATCCAATAGGGGACGATAATGGAAAACAACGGATCGGATGATCGAATTCTCACGGGGAATCTTCTCCTCTCCACCCAATAACTCGTCAGAATAAAGTTTAAAAAAATTTCTTTTAATTTTTAAAAATTTTAAAAAAATTAAAAAAAATTTTTTTCAAACAAAAAAAATTCTTTTGTTGAAAAAGAAATAAATAATGTTTAAAACAGTTATTTCAAATAAGAAAACCCGAAAAAGAATCGAACTTTTTAGAGAAAAAGGGTAATGCAAGCACACTACCACTACACCACCACGCCAACAAAATTAACCCATTATTTAATGTTTATATTTGAGGGGGAAAAATTATGCCAAATTTTGGGACTTTGGAGGGTCATATCTTGGCCAGATCAAAAAACGGGCAAAAACGGCAAAAAATCCTTGCTAGAAAGGGCAGATTCTCTATCGAATGAGCCCGGTCTCGACCGTTTTTAGCTCGGACACCTCGCAACCTTCCCATGTTAGGCTATAGTACTAGACAAGAACCAGATCTTTTCTGGATCTCATCTTCAATAAGGCTGTTTTGTTCCAAAATGTCGGTCCGCAAATGTCGTCAGAATAATTTTCCATTTAACTTTTACTAATTTTTGAAAAAAGCTTAGGTCACTGTTTTTTAAACATAAAAACCAGACAAAATTTCCTTATAATATTTAATTAAAGACTTCTTCCCCCCTTTTTAAAAGCTTAGGTCATATTAATTCTTATTTTTCAAAAATTATTTTTTAATTATTTCCCCAGAGAATTTTGTGTTTTGCCGTTTATTTGGCTTCTGATATTTTTAAATTAAAGAAGCCCTCCTATTTTTTTTATAAAATTAATTTGTCAAACGTCTTCACTTATTAGCGTCATTTACCTCATTTTGCAAGCCTGCCCTTTTTTCAACCAAACAAACAAAATTTATTCGAGCGAAAATTTAAAGTAAAAAATATGATGCCCCCCTCCCATCTCCCTCAGAAATTTACGAGCCATGAAAATACGCGTTCTTCTTCCACCCACCTAAATATTTTTTTGTTGTTTTTAAGATTGATTATTTTTTGTTTTTAAAAGTATTTTTAGCTTATTTTTAAAATTTTTAGAAAGAATGAATAAATTAAATCAACAAAATTCGTGTTCTCCTTTACAATATTTATTCGAAAATATAACTGAATATGTTTTGGAAAAGTTGGGTGAACGCTGTGCTGTTGTGAGTTTTTTTTTGTTTATTTATAGTTGTCGGACATAATTTTTGGATATCCCCTCGGGGTGAAGGGAATTGTATCTTATAAGGAGGGGTCTCTTAAATAGAGGGTATTGCTTGGGAAACTCCCTAGCCCAATCCAACCGAGTTTTAAAGGGTGTCTCTTGGATAGAGTATACTTATCTAGTATTGGGGGTCTATTATAAGGGAGGGTTTTTTGTAGGGAGGTGTATCTTATAGGGAGATTTATCTTATAATGAGGTTCCTTTTTTAAATAAATTTTCTTTAAAAAATTTCTTTTAAAGTCCTCAATAATTGTTCCAACAGCAATAATTTATGGCCTAATTTTGTTAATTGGTTTATTTGGGAATATTTGTACTTGCCTAGTTATTTTAAAAAACAAATCTATGCAAAACCCAACAAATTATTATTTATTTTCTTTGGCTGTTTCTGATTTACTTATTTTAACTCTTGGCCTTCCAATGGAACTTTATGGAGTTTTTGATGTTTTATATCCTTACAAATTTGGAGAATTTGTTTGTAAAGGGAGAGCTTTTTTGATTGAATTTACTTCTTATGCTTCTATTTTAACGATTACTTGTTTTTCTGTTGAACGGTGGTTGGCTATTTGGTTGGTTTTGTTATTTATTTTTTAATCTTTTTTTGAAATCCGATAAATAATGACGTGCTCCGGGTCCAAATCCTGGACCGTCATTTGTTCAGTGGTTAAACACTGACGGCAAAGTGTAAAACCACCTCCCAGAAAATGTGCTAGCACCTCAAGAATAAAGTCATTTTTAGTTAAGTGGGATAATTTCTTAGATTTATAATTGGGATGAAGGTTCGAACCTCGTCGATAGGAGATAATTTAAACTGACTAGAAATCCGGTCCGAACTTTTTTTCATAACCCGACTCATTACTCTATTCATAACAGACAAATTAAATTTAGTTTTCCTCTTCGAATAAAACTCTTTTCTACTCTTGATCGGGCAATTCGTGTAATTATTGCTGTTTGGATATGTGCTTTTATTGCTGCTCTTCCTGTTTTGGATATTGTTGTGGTTAATAAATTACCTCTTCCCGATTGGACTATTGGGAAAAAATGGTTGTTGCCTCTAATTTCTGATGATAATTCTACTCTTAGAAATACTGTAAGGGATTTAAAATATAATAAAGTAGCAGAGATTAACCCCAGCAAAGTGTACAACCACCCCAAGAAAAAAGTCATTTTTAGTTAAGTGGGATAATTTTTGGATTTATAACACAAAGGGATGAGGGTTCGAATCCCACCGAGGGAACTAATTTTATTAGCTTCTTTAATTTTTTAATTTTCAAAAAAATTTTTTTCGCAGGATACTTGTGCTTTAGACTTTCACAGACCTATAGCTCAACGCAATTTTATTTTGACAGCTTTCTTTCTATTCTTCCTACTTCCAGCATTATTAATTACACTTGTCTATTGTCATATTTTACAATGTTTATGTTCATCAGTTCGCTCTTCAAAAGCAATTTTTGGCGGTGAAAGAGCTCAAAAAATGCGGTCAAGAAAAAGTTTACTTAAAATATTAGGTTTGATTATTTTAATTTTTGTAAGGGGAAGGAAGTCTAGGCGGCTAGCATTTAAAATGCTTGCTAGGCGGGGCTCTACATCAGTCGGTAGAGCAGGCATGGGTTGGGTTGTGAAAAGTCTGGGCAATTTCGCGGTATGGTCGGTTTTAGGTCAAAAATCCGGGTTGGGACGTTCTGGGTAATCCCCCAATCCCTGTCGGTATAGCACCTGTGCGTGGTGTGCTAAAGCGCCCAGCAACAAATGCATGAGGCCGCAATATCGATGCCTGCTTTAGGCTAAACTTTACCTCTCTCTTACTTAAATTTTTAAAATATTTTTTTTATAGTTTCTGTTGTTGTAATGTTTTTTCTTTGTTGGCTACCTTTTCATATTCAAAGACTTTTAAGTATTTATTTAAATGAAGCAGGAAATGTTAACAACGAAGAAATTAATGAAGAACCGTCTTCTGCAGTATTTTCTCTTTTTAGTGTTGTTTTTTATATTTCTGGATATTGCTATTATTCTAATTCTGCATGTAATCCAATTCTTTACAACATTCTTTCTGCTAAATATAGAAGAGCTTTTTGTCGAACGGTTAATTTTTAATTTTAAAATTATTTTTTTGAGGACTTTCATGGGGATTGGAAGAAAATGAGGGGTCATTAAACTCAGAGTCCCTTTCTAGAGGATTCGGGACGAACAGGGGGGAGGGGGTCATGACTTCCCATTAGCTCCTTTGTTCGAGGATTGGCGAACCTCCATTTTGAAGATCTTTCTCTCTGTGATCGGGAGGAAGAAGAGGTTTATTATGAACTCACCATTGTTCCTTTTCTCGTGAATTGGAGAAAAAAAATAAAAAAATAAGTGGTTTGGGTCATAATTAAAAAAAATTTTTCTCTTTAAGATATTGGGCGAAAGAATGGCTAATAAATTATTAAATGAAAAACATCCTTCCTCAGTATTTGGCCCAGCTCTTCATTCTCATTTAAACACAAAATTGTCAGCAAGTTCAGCACTTAGGCATACAATTTCCCCAAAAATTTCATCAGCCAGCAGACTTTCACTTCCTCCACCTCCAACAATAATTTCTTCTAAATTAACAACAACTACTAATAATCGACCTTTACCTCAACTAGATCGTTATGCTTGGGAACAATTTTGTGGAAATACAATAATGACAATGGCTGTGGGGTCTGTTACTAGTCCAATCAAAACAACAAACTTTCTTACTCGTAAACGTAAAAATGGATCATCCACAAATGTTGAAAAACAAAAAACTAAAAATTCAAAAAATCGGAGAAGAGATACAACACCAGATTTAACTAGACGACAACTTGTTGTAGAAGATTCTCGGCCATTTTTGGAAAAAAGAAATCTCAAAACTTGATAAATAGACGGAAGATTCTCTAATTAAATTTTACTTAATGAACTCAATTTTTGTTAGTTTAATATTATATTATTAAAAATGTAATGTAGAGAGGGTCTTCCAGCAAGAGAGAACATCCTCAGGATGTTCATCCTTCCCATTAGAAAACATCCCTTCCTCACATCATTTCTCAGTTACTTAAAAGGTGAATTCGTCCAGCAAGAGACAAAGGAAATTTGGTCGTCTGTGATGTCCTTAGTGAGGCATTTCTTCTCCCCGCCATGTCTCTAAACCCCGTAACTGACATATTAGAAGTCTACATTATCCTTACTAGTCTCCTAAACCCTAAAATATTCAAAAAACCTGTGTAATTTATATAACAAAAAAATATTTTCTATATAAAAAACAAAATTTAGTTTGTAGGTATTGTCTTTCCACTATCATCCACCATTAATTCACCCCTTTCAATAGCAATTTCTTCATCAATTTCTTCCAAAAATGTTTCTTGTCCAAGTGCATAACATCCATAGAAATAAATTGCAAGAACAACAAGTACCCAAAAAGTGCAAACTTTCATTCCTCGATAAATTCGAATAAACATTTCTTTAACCCTAACTTCATTGACTTTATCAAGTTGTCGGGCAATTCCTTGGTGTACTCTAGAAAGTTCGTTAATGTCGACAGGATCCATCATTTCATATTTTTCAAATTCTTTTTGGAGATTTGCATCTTTATAAATTTTCTTTAATGGCTCGCTTGATCCTCTAACGGTTAATGGAGCATCAGAAATTAAACGAGTGATAAGAACTAAAAAAAATAAAATTTTAATTTGAAAATATATTTTTTAGCTTGAGTTAAAATGTAAAAAAGTACACTGGAAAATATTTTTTTCAGACAAATTTAGTAACCCAAAAAAAAGAAAACCGAAATAAATTTAAACTTTAATCAAAAGTAGTGTTTTTAGAAAATAATAAATTTAAAAACCTGTAGGACATTTTGAGACCAATTTCAGGCGAAAAAGCATTTTTAACTAATTTTAAACCCTTTAAATAATTTTAAAAAATAAATTTTTGATATTTAAAAAATGTTAAAATATTTATAATTTAAAAAAAATTTTTTTAAATAAAAAATAAAATTTAATCTTTAAAAAAATACTTTTTTATCTCTAAAATAAATTCAAAATTTATTTAAACTTTTTCAACAAATTTCATCGCCCTTTTTAATCTATTTCGGTCTAGCCACTGCTCCAAAACTGTTTTTTCTTCCTCATCTTTTTTATAAATAATTTCTTCTGTTGAATAATTTAAAGGATTATAAAATGGAGTTTTAATTAATTCATCCAAAAGTTCAAGTCTTAAAATATTTGTAAATCCAAACAATTTTTGATTATTTGGAATTGAATCAATACGTAACCAAGGAATTGATGTTATCTTTAAAAAATAAATTTAAATTAAATTTTAAAAGGTGGGAAACTGGGCGAGGAAATGAAAAAAGCAAAAGCCACTGGGCAGGAAAGAAACACGCGACCCCGTGGCAGTTATTTCTGTGCTCCCTTTCACTTTCTGCTACCAGAATCTCTATTGACTGACATGAGCTACCTGAGCGATGGTTCTGCTTTCTCTTATCAGTTCCCAGATGGGGAAGGACCTCGAGAAAACTTTTTGGGAGGCAGCCCCATGGTTGAAAAGAGGAAGAAAATTCCTACGGGGGAAATATACCGTCCAGGAAAAATTTTCGGTCCAGAAATTAATAAATTAAAAAAATACCCTTTCTTCAAGCAATAAATGTAATTCTCTTGAGACCATATCTCTGTGATTTTCTCTATCATCAATATGCATTATAGTTTTGTCTAGCTCTCCAAAAGGAATTCCAATTTCACGGCCAATCTAAAAAAAATTTAAAAATATTTTTAAATAGAAAAACCTTAAAAAAATGTGCTGTGTGTGTAAACGAAAGTAATTTCACCCAAAAATCTTCAAATAATTTTTCCACCAGATTTTGATAATATTCTGGATGATTTTGTCTCATTAAATTTAAAAATAAATATAAAGCACGAGAACTTCTATGAATCATTAAATCTGTCTAAAAAATAAAATTTTAATTTTAAAAATTGGATTAAATAAAAACAAACAATTTCAAAATTTGTTTTTTCCAAATTGTAAAAATCGCAAATTTGATTTAATTCATTAATTGCATAATTCTTTTTATTGACAATATCACATAACAAGTCTGTTCCATCTGTGAATATGTCATTATTTATAAATTTAAAAAAATTGGGGAATAGTCTACTTTGTCTATACTAGAGATCAAAGTTTTTTATGGGTCTGGAATAACCTTCGAACAAATTGACCAGATCTTGGGCTTGAAGTCAGGCTTGGGCCTGAAGTCAACTCCCAGTCCTGGTAAAAGAAAGGAAGCAAAAAAATGGATGGGTATGGTTACATGGAAAATCCAGGTTAGGCACAGGTATGGGACCAGGCAAAGACCCAGCTCGACCTCTAGCTGACCGTTTGTTACTGGGAGCGTGCCAAATAGAAATATCGACTGATGTGAGTATGTGAAAAAGAACGGAGACATTAAGAAACAACGGGAACCAAATACGAACATTTAAAAATAAACAAACCTACATATCTCTCTATGCAAAAAAGTACAATTAACAGGAAAATATTCAATTGATATTTGTCGATATTTCATCCATTCTGGTATTTTCTGCCTTAAAACCTTTAAAAATAAATTAAAAATTAAATTTAACAAGAAATAACCTTAAAGAAGATCCAAGAATTTGGAGATTTTATGTCGTAAAATAAAGATAATTTTAAAGCCATTGCTGAACCAGCACCTAAATAATTTAAAAAAATACCAAGGTACTCCCTAAAATCATCTCTTGCTTGGCTCCCTAAAATCATCTCTTGCTTGGCACTCAAACAGCTTTCTTACAAGTTGTACTCGAATTTCTTCTGATGTCTACCATGATTTATTTTTATTTGCTCTTTTTCTTTTACAACGCTATTTCGCCGTTTTATAAACATCAAGTAAGCCGTTTGAGTGCCAGGCATTTTTAAATAAGAATCGTTTTCAATTTTTGGTTTGTTCGTATTTTCTGTGATAATGTCGTCTAATGAAGATCAAACTACCTTGTTAACACCAATTTCTAATGCTTTATCCCTCTCTTTGGCGAAGAAATGCTCAAAAATTTCCGATGTTTTAATGGAAACCGGCAATTGTTTGGATGTCCACCTTCAACATTTTTGTGGATTTGCTGTTTCATCTGGAGGATTAATATCTGATGATTTTAGGAAAAAGTAAAGGTTTTTTAAAATTCTTTCATTAGTCAATTTATTCTAAATAACGAAATAAATTTGGTTATTTTTAGGATTTGGCCTGTATTAGCTAAAAGTATTCCTTTAGCTAAACGCTGCAATTCAACATCTCGCGAACACTTTGAAATCGTCGAATTTAAGTGTAACAACAATAGTGATAAGGCAAATACTTCTAACATATCTGACTCAGACTTTGAATCTGCTCTATCTACATTTTCCGACTCATCAGAAGAAGAAGAAGATGACGATATTACTCTCGACAATTGTGTTGCTTCTAGTTCACAAGTTTATTTTATTTCTTAAATTTATAAAATTAATTAATTTATTAAAGCCTCTAGAAATTCCAATAGAAGAACTTCAATCACATCCAGACTGGAAACAAGTTGAATTGGATGTAATAAGAACGCTTTCGCGGTTTCCGCCTGACATTGAGGATGTTGAAAGGGAAAGGCTTCAACAACAGTTGACACCTTTAATTGTTCGAATATTATACCAAAATGAGGATTTTCATTATTATCAAGGTTAATCGAATTCATTTTTGAGGGGTTTTGAATGTTATTGTGCCATTTTAATTCCTTCTTATCCCCATCTTCCGTGTGGGACGAGTTTTAGGATCAGTAAAAAATATGGAGAAATTCCATTCAGCTTTCGCTAAACGTTTTCGTTCACTTCTACTTGTGAGTGAAGGCACTTATATAAGCAATAACTGCGTGGAAGTCGCTGGATCGGTGTTTGCCCTAAGCTAAACCTTTACCTGTCTCCTACTATTTTTAATACTATTTTTAAAGGCTTTCATGATGTTTGTTTAACTTTTTTGCTTATATTGGATCCTGATGAGGCTTTTAAAGCAGTGCAATCTATTTGTCAGCGCGGGTCTTTTGGCAATTATTTATCTTGTTCGTTGGAAGAAAGTGTTTTAAAAGAATTGGATGATATTTATGTTCTTTTATTTTTGCATGACAGAGAAGTTGAAGAACAACTGCGTGGTTTGGAGTTGGGTACTTTATTTGCTCTTAGTTGGCCATGTAAGGAATTTATTTTTTGTTAATAATGTAGAAAAGGAGTCATAAAATGTTAACAATAAGGATTAGATTTGAGGTCTAGAAACCCAATCCCCAAAAAGTGGAGAATTTATTTTTGCACACATGTACCCCAACTGTTTCCCTCATTAGAGCTAGAAATGCCAGACTTTTTATTAATAAAATTTTATTTTTTTAAATTAAGTGACTTGGTTTTCACATGCTTTACAACATCATTCTCAGGTTTTTTTTGAAATTATTTCTTACCTAAAAAATTTCTTTTACTAAAGGTGACTCTCTTCTTTGACTTTTTCTTATGTTCTGATTATCTTATGCCTATATATGTTAGTGCAGCTTTAATTTGTGAGAGAAGAGAAGAAATATTAAATTGTGAAAAAGAAATGCCATTAATGCACAAATTATTAAATCATGTATTTTTTAAATTTTTTTAGAAATGTTTAAAAATTTTAGGTCCCAGCAGAGATTAATTGCAATCGAATAGTTTCAACAGCCCGTTCTCTCTATGGAAGTTACCCTCCAACAGTTCTTCATGAATATAAAAAAGAATATGACAAAATACGTGAACGGCAACGCAGACAGAAGGATATAATGGAAAAGATTGATAATGTTAATAGAGAGGTTTTTCTTTAAATTTTTATAAAAAATATTTTTTTATTAGAATATGCAAATGTTGCTCGAAAGAAGGGGAAGTTCTCTACGTCTTAACGTGTATGAATTTGCTAGACCTTTTGCTGTGTTTGGAGGTGTAGCCGCAATTGCTGTTGTATATTTTTATACTAAAAATGGATTTCCAATTTTTTAGTCAAAAGATTAGTTTTTTAGAAATATTTACTCTCAAAAATACCTATATATAAATATAGACATATATAAAATAGTTTTATCTTAAAATAAAATTATTAAATATTTTAAACAAAATTTTATTTATTAAACAAAAAACACAATTTAGCTAATAATTTATATGCATTTACCATTTTCCCCCCTTCTTTTTCTTTATCTTTTTGGCTTGGTTTGGTCTTTGTTGTCGAGGTCCTTCTGCAGGTTTTTGTGGTGCTTGTGATGATGATGTTGGTGCAGGAGCAGTCCCAACTGTAGCAGATTTCGTGCTGTAATCACTGAAAATATAAATATTTTAAAGTTTCACTTATCCAAATTTTTGTCAAAATTTTTAGTTCAATTAATCAATTAAAAAATTTACATATTAGCCGAAGTAGTTGCAGCAGCAGCTCCTTGTGTCCCCTTTCCAATTTCCCGATCCTTGAATTTTTTATGCATTTTCTTACGATATGCCGTACGTTCCTGTCGAGGGAGCCAACGTTCAGGATCTGGTTGAACTGCAGGGTCGTAATTTGCTGGCAACCGACGTTTTCGTTTTCGGAGTGACTTTTTAACCTTTAAATTTTTAAAATTAATTTCAAAAATGTTTTATTTTACTTTGTTTTGTTCTTTCGCGAGTTCAGACTTTGGCTTTATAGCTCTCCAACGCTTCCCAAACTTTTCATAACCAGCCTGTAAGTTAGTCAAAATTGTTGATCTTAATTTCCATTCCAAATTTCTAAAAAAAATTAATTCGGTGAGATTTAAAAATACTTTATATGTCATACAAAAGAGCTCGGTGAGTGGATCTCCCGATATCAGACCCGTGAAACCCCAAAAACCATAGGAGAAAGCAAGCTGATTTTGGAAGGGGGTCAAAAAGTCGAACGACATATAAATTGTCATATTCAAGAGTTATTCTTAAGCTTCCCATTACTTCTTAAAATATTAAAAAAAACATTTTTACTTTGTTTTCAAGACTTGTAGATAAATTTTTAATGCTTCCTTGTCATTCCCCATTTCCTTCAGAACATAAGCAATTTGCGTTCTAATAGGAGCTTCTTCTCTTTTAATAGCAAGTTCATCAAGTCCCTCTTTAGCTAAAGAGTGTTTACACTCTTCTAGAAAAATTTAATTTTTAGATTTAATTTTTAAACAAAACCTAAAGCCTTGCAAAGCAATTCATGTGCCTCTGTTAATTTTCCACTTGCAATTAAATGGCAACTTGCATTGAACATCAAATTAAATTTATCCAGACTAACAAGATCTACTTCTTGAGTATTTCCTTGGGAATGAAGACGGGCTTGGACTGCTATAAAATTTGATCGGCGGATTTCGTCAAATTCGTCACTTTGTGTTCGCAATAATTTTCTAAATTAACTAAAATTCTAAAAATTATTTTTTTTTAAAAATAACCTTAATAAATTCATTGCTTCTTCAAAATCTTTCATTCTATAGGCAATTTGTGCCTTAAGTTCCATAACTCGTGGCTCATTTTGATTTAATTTTCGAAGCACACCAATAGCTGCTTTATCATTTTTGTTGCGATAGAAGTTGTAAGCTTTGTCAAAAGAAGCTTTCTCAACAATTTTTTGTGATGTCATTTTCAAAAAATATCTGAAAACAAACTAATGTTACTGAAAAATTCACAAAAACCGAAAAACAAGCGTGTGAGGCGTGGATAAACAGACTGAAAACTTACTCCATTTTTTTGACATAATAGAACAAATTTCCAATTTAAAATTAGAAATGCATAAATCGGTTTAAAACTGTTATATTTCTTTTGCTATTTAAGAATATTTGTTTCAGGATTCAAAAATTTGCCCTATTTGGCATAATGCAAAATATTAAGATTAAATGATACTTCATTCCAAAAATCAATAATCGATTTTTTGTTGACTCATCTAGTGTTATCTGTTGCCATTAATAGCAAAGGTAAACAGAATGCGTGGCTTTTCCTTTTCTTGGGGTTAACCTTTTTAGGGATCTGGGGTAGTATTGAGTTGCGGACAAGACTTGCTCTTTATAATTTTTAAAAAATTAATACAATTTTTTAGTTGTTCAGCAGCCGATACAAAACGTTTGTTTAGGTGTAATTCTTAAAAATAGAATCCCATTTTTAGTGTTTGGAGCGGAGCAACAAAAGTCCCACTCTTCGCTTTGGCGATATCTGGGCAGAAAAAGTCCCACTCTTCGCTTCGGCGATATCTGGGCAGAAAAAGTCCCACTCTTCGCTTCGGCGATATCTGGGCAGAAAAAGTCCCACTCTTCGCTTCGGCGATATCTGGGCAGAAAAAGTCCCACTCTTCGCTTCGGCGATATCTGGGCAGAAAAAGTCCCACTCTTCGCTTCGGCGATATCTGGGCAGAAAAAGTCCCACTCTTCGCTTCGGCGATATCTGGGCAGAAAAAGTCCCACTCTTCGCTTCGGCGATATCTGGGCAGAAAAAGTCCCACTCTTCGCTTCGGCGATATCTGGGCAGAAAAAGTCCCACTCTTCGCTTCGGCGATATCTGGGCAGAAAAAGTCCCACTCTTCGCTTCGGCGATATCTGGGCAGAAAAAGTCCCACTCTTCGCTTCGGCGATATCTGGGCAGTCTGGCTTCACTCCAAACAGTGCTCTCGTCTACATAAATTCCAATGCTCTCGTCTACATGGTTTGTTTTTTTTTACTTTATTAAATATCCGCAAGTTTTGTCCGCAAGGTTTCCCCCTATATAAGTTTATCCTTTCCCAATGTTAAAGCCAATTTAACGGTGGCCAAGTTCTTGAAAATGAGAAGACGTACAGCATATGTTCAATTGGTTAAATGTAATGATTTGCGTGTTTTGAATGGTTGATCTTTTGATAGGTTGTTTTTATGTTTAAAGGTTTTTTTAATTACTTAATTTTCAGCTTTGAGAGAGTTCCAGAAGCTATTAAAACTTTTAGAGAGGTTATTTTTGGTTATTTACTATGGCCTCAAGATTATTTTTTAGGGCACAGAATTGTTGGGGGAAGACAATCTATTTGATGTGAAGGCTTTAGAAGAACCGAATCAGCAGAAAAAATCACTGAAGAACTACAATCTTTCGTTAGAATTCAGCAAATTAGGTTTGAAAATTAATTGGTTGGTTTGATTATTTGGTTTCCATAATTTTTCGTTTGTCTTTTCAAGTTTTGTCCCTCTTTAGAACCTATTAATTTAAAAAATCTCCGTTATCGATGTTTAAATCTCCACCCGGTTGCTTTCCTTGGGTAGTAACTATAGAGGTTTGTTGCCCCCCCCCCCTCCCTCGATTTTGACAAATTACCGTCATTCGAAAAGCTCGACGAGATGATGTGGATCGAGTGACACCAAAATCAACGCGATCTAACAAGTTTGACTAATTGTAAGATCGTTTGTTTGAGCTCTTCTTGTGGTCATCGTTGAGGTTTTTGCTGCTGCGGAGGAAGCCAGGGATGCCGACCGCAGCAAAAATAGGCAGAGGTTCAGGGCCGTAACCAGGGGGTAGAGAGAGGGGGTTTCTTTTCCTTTTTTACTTTAAAATTTTTGGAATAAAATTTTAATTTTTCAGAAAAGATTTTGTTCACAGCGATGTTGACGAACAATTGCTTTTTTCTGTTCCTTTTACTGGTTTTTTATTAAATTTTTGGTATAATTTCGGAATAATAAACAGACTCCGATTGGGACAAATTATATGTCATTCGACTCAGCTCGGCGAGCTGAGTCGAATGACATCAAAATATCGATTGGGACGTAACTATGGGCCGAGATACAGCACCTTAAATTTCAAAAAACCATAGGGGGGACCAAGCACTATTTTGGGGTGAAAAATTCGAAAATGCAAATTATACCTCATTCGAAAGAGCTCATCGAGCTGAGTCGATTGACACCAAAATCAATGAAATCTAACTTGATTGGACAAAGTTATGATCTTTTATTTTAGCTCCTTACCTATGGCATCTGTGGAGATTTATGCTGCTACGGAGGCCCCAAATACGTCCAGAGCAAGGGAGATAGGAATAGGTTTATGTTACGAGCCCAGACCCAACGCCCGTAGACTCCCCGCGAGGCGCGTGCCGCAAAACCCCGCGCGAAGCGCGGGGTTTTGCACAAGCGCCTCGCCGACGACCCATAGGTTTAGGCTTTTTGTTTTTTGTGTTATAACTTTGTCTAATCGTGTTCAATCACGGCGATTTTGGTATCATTCGACTCAGCTCGTCAAGCTCTTTCGAATGAGGTATTATTTGCATTTTCGAATTTTTCACCCCAAAATAGTGCTTGGTCCCTCCTATGGTTTTTGACCATTTCGAGCCCTGTATCTCGGCCCATAGTTACGTCCCAATCGATATTTTGATGTCATTCGACTCAGCTCGCCGAGCTGAATCGAATGACATATAATTTGTCCCAATCGGAGTCTGTTTAGTATTCCGAAATTATTCCAAATTTTTTTATTAAGAATAATTTTTCTAAATTTTAGCCGATGGTAAAAATTTTGTATAAATAGATTAACGATTTTTTGTTTCTTTGTTTGAGTTTACAAATGAGAATTTAAAAATTATCAAACGTTATCAGGTTTTGGGGTTGAGGATAATTGATATTGAGTCTCGCGGGTTGAGCCATACCTTGGGCCATTACTTGGTATTTGTAGGGTTTGTATCCTCTGGAGAAAATAATTACATTTTTTGGATGTTTTTGTAACCTCATCTGGCCCGTTTTTTTCGAATTTCAAGGTCTGACGTGAATATGCTAATTGTTTGAGAAAACGAAGCTCAATTTTACTCCATTTTGAGTGTATAAGCGATTAATTTGATGATCAATTAAGTGCCTTGGCGCCTGGACTCAACCGTCGGCAATCTACCTTCTCTCTTTTTTAAGTAAGATGTGATGTAGCAGGTAGAGAAAAAATATGATGGAGTAAGTGGAGGTTTAGAGATGTAAAATTTTTATAAATGACATTTTGTCCCTTAATTTAGAGAAAAAGAAAATAGAATTAGCGTGACCGCTCAACTCATCGAATCCTTAACTCATCGAATCGACCAAAAACGCTCAACTCATCGAATCGGCTAAAATTCCTCAACTCATCGAATCGGCCAAAAACACTCAACTCATCGAATCCTTAACTCATCGAATCCTCAACTCATCGAATCGGCCAAAAACGATCAACTCATCGAATTTTTCCAAAAGGGGACGTTTGAGTCCCCTGTTTTTATTTTTCTCCCGAAAGGGCTAACTGAATCTTCGTTGAAAAAATTTTTGCTGCTATGGAGGCTAGGAAAAAGGGCTTTTGGGCATAATCGGGGTCTACTGGACTAATTTGGTCCGGTTTTACCCGGTAAAATCTCCGCATAATTTATTAGGAATGAGATAATGTTTTCAGGAATGAGATAATGTTCTGATAATGTTTTCACTGGCCGGATAAACTTGGATGAGTGCCCGATCAACTAATTAACAAAATTAGTTGAAACCCCAGAAGAAAACAAAAAAAATAAACAAAACAATAAAAAATCTAAAAAATAAACACGGGGACTCAAACGTCCCCTTTTGGAAAAATTCGATGAGTTGATCGTTTTTGGCCGATTCGATGAGTTGAGGATTCGATGAGTTAAGGATTCGATGAGTTGAGTGTTTTTGGCCGATTCGATGAGTTGAGGATTCGATGAGTTAAGGATTCGATGAGTTGTAGGGTAGCCTAGAATTAGGGTTAGAGAAATGTAGGGTCGGTTGAGTGCCAAATCTGAGAGCGGGATAGCTACTGTATTTCTACATGTATTTCCGCCCTATTCAAATAATTCTCATATCATTCGAACGCTCTCAAGATTCTGAGCCTTTTTTATAACTGGACCTATCTAATCTTAACATTCAAAAAGAAGTTACAGCCATAAAATTGCTTTTTTCTGCCTGAAATATGGTATATCACCTATAACTTTAAATATAGACGTTTAGATCGGATTAGTCTAATTATAAAAAAGATGCGGCATCTCGAGACCTTTCGAATAATATATAAATTTCTTTCCTATATTAATGTAACAAAAAGTTATGGCCATAAAACGCTATTCCGTTGTCGATACTCAAACGTCCCCCACCCCGATTAAAAGAAATGACAACTACAAAGCTAGAGAACAAAAAAGAAAGAAATAGTGTGTTAGACAACAAAATAAAATAGAAAAAAAGGCTACCCTACAACTCATCGAATCCTTAACTCATCGAATCCTCAACTCATCGAATCGGCCAAAAACACTCAACTCATCGAATCCTTAACTCATCGAATCCTCAACTCATCGAATCGGCCAAAAACGATCAACTCATCGAATTTTTCCAAAAGGGGACGTTTGAGTCCCCGTGTTTATTTTTTAGATTTTTTATTGTTTTGTTTATTTTTTTTTGTTTTCTTCTGGGGGTTCAACTAATTTTGTTAATTAGTTGATCGGGCACTCATCCAAGTCTATCCGGCCAGTGAAAACATTATCAGATAATGAGAATGTTTTCTCACATTCCTGGTAAATTATGATGGAGATTTTACCGGGTAAAACCTGACCAGATTAGTCCAGTAGACCCCGATTATGCCCAAAAGCCCTTTTTCCTAGCCTCCATAGCAGCAAAAAATTTTTTCACCGAAGATTCAGTTAGCCCTTTCAGGAGAAAAATAAACACGGGGACTCAAACGTCCCCTTTTGGAAGGATTCGATGAGTTGATCGTTTTTGGCCAATTCGATGAGTTGAGGATTCGATGAGTTAAGGATTCGATGAGTTGAGTATTTTTGGCCGATTCGATGAGTTAAGGAATTTTAGCCGATTCGATGAGTTGAGCGTTTTTGGCCGATTCGATGAGTTAAGGATTCGATGAGTTGAGCGGGCACGGAAAAAAAAGTTGTTAGAGAACATAATTAAATGCGGTCGTCTCAGTGCCACAGTTTAGAGCGAAAAGGTTACTGTACCTGAAAGGGAAACCCAATTTTCAGAATTTAAAAATCAGAATAAAAAATCAGAATTATTTTAAAAATCAGAATTAATAAATCAGAATCAACTTTGTAACAAATATATTCTGTTTTTTAAGTCAGTATCGGAATATCGCTTCAATGCATTTTCCTCGTGGTAAAAGAAGTTCATTAGCAACAATATTGCCTTCTTTCGTTACTTCATCATCTTCTAATAATTCTTCAAATACTTCACTTCTTGGTTCTTCAACAACTTCAGGAACAAAAGCAACAACACATTTACGAAGATTGAGTAATCCTAGAGCATATTTCAGTTGATAATTTTAATTTTGTCATTTTGTAAAATTTCCAGTTTTTTTAAATCACGATAAATACTTTATGGTTTTTTAGTTTATATTATTTTATTCTTCAAAGTCTTAATAAACAACCAAAAAATTGTTTGGTTTAATCCCAAAAAAATTTACAAAAATAAAATTCATTTTGTGGAAAATTTGAAATTTTATTCAATTTAAAAATTTGCCAAATTTGGCGTAATATCTATTGCGCCAAATAAATGACAGTTTATCCCAAAAATTACGGAACAGGATCATTGAGTCCCGCCGGTTGAGTCCCGGAGCCATATTTTGGACCATAACTTTCCCAATTCTTAATCGATTTACTTAATTAATATTTTAAACGAAAGCTCTTAATGTAAGGATTATTTTAACTAGCAGGATTGATCTGATCAGATCAATATACAAAAAGTTACATCCTAATAAAGGTCAAAAATCGCGATTGCGCACACTTATCTAAATGTAACTTTTTGTAGGATGATCTGATCAAATCAATTTAGTTGGCAAAAATAATCCTCACATTCAGGGCTTTCGAATGATAAAAGATTTATTCTGATTCGTTAAAAATTCAAAAAGTTATGGCCCAAAATATGGCCCAGGGACTCAACCGGCGGGACTCAATGATCCCCTACCCCAAAAATTAATTCTGTTGAGTATTGGACACTTGAGTCTGGCTACTAAAATTAAAGAAATTAAATAGGACGGTTGGGTGCGGCATTTGAGTGCGAAGAGGGTAATTCTTAAAAAATTTTATTTTTAAAAAAATCGATACTAATCGATAAAATCGATATCAATCGATAATTATTTTTAAGAATAGTTCTTAGATATTTTTAATTTCAAAAAATCGATATCAATCGATAAAAAAATCGATACGTATTTTCAAAATACTTTTAAAAAGTTAAATTTTCAAAAAATCGATACTAATCGATAAAATCGATAATTATTTTTTAAAATATTTTTTCTTTCCAAAATAATCGATAAAATCAATAGTAATCGATAATTTATTTGAAGGAATTTCTAATTTTCACCAAAATCGGGTTTTCAACTTTCCCCATTCCGCTCTCAATGAGCACCGAACCGGCCATAATTACTTATATTTATTTTTTTCTCTAACTACACTATTTCTCTTTTATAATTTCTCTAAACAACAGGGAATCACTCGAGATTCTTTATTAAGTAACATCACAGTTAAGACAGGACGGTTGAGTCCTGTCTAAGTTTCTACAAGACACAATAAAAACAAAGCTAAAGCATTTTATAACAAAAATAAAAACCCAACAAATTAAAAAAAAAAAGAGAAAAAAAGGAAGAAAAAAAAACAAAAAAAAAGAAACAAAAAAATTCGGTAATCTTCCGCTTTACTGGTCCCTAGAAAAAAATGTGGTAGAAGTACTTTTTCGATATTTTTGAGGTCTGCCAGTAGGTAAACGAGTGTTCTGAGTCCGAATATGAACTTAGAATTTGTTTATTTCGAATCCCAGACCCGAATTCGACCAAGTCGAATTCGGGGTAAGAATTCGAAACTGTTAGGCTATCGCTATTCTGACGCATCTCTTCAAGCTGAGTCGAATGATATCAAAATTATTGTGTTTCGACAACTTTAGACTGAGTTATGATAAATTAAATAACGCTTGGTTAGACTTCCTTATATAAATCAGACATCATAACTTAGTCTAAAGATGTCGAAACGTAATAATTTTGATGCCAATCAACTCAGCTCGAAGAAACGAATCCGATTAGACATAAAATTTGAAATTTCGAATTTTTACCCTTTGTTTGACATGGTCGAATTCGGGTCCGGGGTTCGAAATAAACAAATTCTAAGCTCAGATTCGGACTCAGCAAGCTCGATTACCTACTGGCATGCCTCAAAAATGTCAAACTAGCATTTATTCTTCATTTTTTTCTAGGGACCAGTAAAGCGGAAGATTACCAAAAATTCAAATTAGATTGTTGTAGAAGCACCACTTCGCTTGAAATCCATTAAATGTCCATCTTGTTGTTGCTTTTCCTGTTGATAATGTTGCTGGGAATTGTTCAAGTCTGAAAGAAAAAAGGATTTTACGTGAATTAAGACCCCATTTCATTCAGAAATCCACCCAAAAAACCTCCTAACTAAAAAAATTACCATTGTTGTCCTTGTAGACACTCAGTTCTTGTCCATATTTCACCAATTGTTCTTCAAGTTCGCCCATACATTCTAAAGAAACAAAAAGGGCAGGAATTTGTGTTGTTTGTAAAGGCTTAACAAACCTAACCACGAATGACCCTTAAAGCCCCCACATTCAAACACAGGCCCGTAGCCAGGGGGTGAGGGGGGGAATTCCCCCCCCCCCCCCCCCCCCGAAATGGGAAAAAGGAAAAAATTTGAGGAAGGGCTGGGGCAATCTCCGAAGAGACCACTGGGCCTTAGACCTCTTAGAAATTTTTAAGGCTTCTGGATACTTTCTCAAAGCTGAAAATTAAGTAATTAAAAAAATTTTTGAAAATAAAAACAACCTATAAAAAGATCAACCATTCAAAACAAACAAATCAATGCATTTGACCAATGGAACATCTGCTGTATGTCTTCTCATTTGACAAGAACTTTTATTTAATTTAATTGCCATCATTTAATTGGCTTTAACATTGGGAAAGGATAAACATTTAGGGGAGAAACCTTGCGGACAAAACTTGCGAATTTAATAAAGTAAAAAACAAACCATGTAGACGAGAGCATTGGAGTTTAATCGTTGCACTGTTGGAGTGAAGCCATTGCCCAAATATCTCCGAAGAGACTCCGGGGCTTTTGCCCAAATATCTCCGAAGAGACTCCGGGGCTTTTGCTGTGTTGCTGTTGAAGTACTGAAAAAAAAATGTTTACATTTTTTTAAAAATTATAAAAAGCAAGTCTTGTCCGCAAGTCATAACTACCCCCCACCCCACCCCCTAAAAAGGTTAATCCCAAAAAAAGGAAAAGCCACGCATTCTGTCGTAGAACATATTTGCTATAAATGGCAACAGAGAACACTAGATGAGTCATTAAAAATCGATTATTGATTTTTGGGATGAATTGTCATTTATTCTTAATGTTTTGCATTATGCCAAATAGGGCAAATTTTTGAATCCTGAAACAAATATTCTTAAATGGCAAAAGAAATATATAAAAAATAGATAAATAATTTAGTTTGCAAAATGTCTCAAATCAGAGGTAAAGCTCGTCTGGATCGTGTCGTGGATTGGTTTCGTAAGGAGATGCCACCAAAGCCATATTTATTCGAAAAACCTAAAAATCCTCGGGATTTTCCAATGCCTTGGTTTTATAATACGTATGTTTTTGTTATTTTAATTCTAAAAAAACAATTTTTTCTTTAGTTTTAACAAGGCTTTTGGACGTTTTATGGAGCGCCAAGGAGTCTACTTTTACAATAATGTGTTTAACAAGACAGAAATTGGACTTTATTCAAAGGATTGGAATCCTCGTGTTCATGGAATTTATTGTCATTGGCGTTATTATGGGAAAAATCGTTTGTTATTCCTTTTATCTTTAAATTAACAAGATAATTTTTTAGAGGATATTCCTTTCTCTGAAGTAAAACTGCGTGATCTGCGTGCTTGGTTTGGACGTCGTGATTATTCGCCTTCAGCCATGTAATTCTTTCAGTAATTGTCTAGTTTACTGGTCCCTAGAAAAAATAAGGAAGAAGCTTTGATGTTTTCCAGAAGAATTTTATTTATTTTCCTGAACTTGAATTCTGTCAGGTCGAATTCGGTTCTCTCGTCACAGTCGATTGCCTACTGGAAAACCTCAAAAATATAGGAAGAGGACTTCTTGCTCATTTTTTCTAGGGACCAGTAAGCTAGATAATACCATTCTTTTAAATGTATTTTTTAAGTTGGGCGGAATTCTGTCGTTTGATTTATCTGTATCGCCGTGATTACTTTAGTGGTGCTTATTTTCCGAATCCTGTTGAGTTTTTTGCTCGCTATTATTTTCTTATAATGTTGATGTTCTTTGTTATCAGGTTTTTTAGACTTCGTTAGCCTTTTTAAAATTTATTTTTTATAGAGGACTTATATTAAATGATTTTGATCATACAAAGGAGGCATTATATCATTGGTAGATTAAACAGGAATTAAAGAAGGATGAGTATATTTAGATGAATATTATAAAGAAAAGTAAAAAGCAAGTTTTTTCTTTTCAGTAAAAATAGTTAAATTTTGTTTTTCTCGTTTTTTTGACTTCCTTTAAAGGAGAGATGATTTGTTTGTTAGATAAAATGAGGAATATTTAAATGTTTTTAATTTTATTTTTAAATAATTATTTAAAATTATTTTTAATATTTTTTATTATTTCTTAACAAAATATATAAATATAGCTATGGGAAGTTCGCAAAATACTCTCACATCAAGAGGTTTATTAATTGTTTTAGAAGGGCTTGATAGAAGTGGAAAAACAACTCAGGCACGTCTATTGTTTGAACATTTTAAAAGTTTGGGTATTGATGCTAGAATTCAACGCTTTCCAGGTTTTTTTCTTTCAAAGTTTTTTAGATCTTTATTTTTAATAGACAGAGAAGAACCAACAACAGGACCAGCTATCAATAAATTCCTCAAAAATGCAAAAAATTTAAACGAGAATTCTGAAGCTATACATCTTCTATTTTCTGCCAATCGATGGCTTTTAAATTCAAAAATGCGAGAAGAATTGCTTTCTGGAAAGAATTTAATTGTTGATCGGTAAATATTTAAATTAAGAAGATTGTTAAGAAATTATTTTTGTAGTTATAGTTATTCGGGAATTGCTTATTCTATGGCTAAAGGAATTAATAAATGTTGGGCTTGTCAACCTGAAGTTGGTTTAATTCGTCCGGATTTGGTTTTATTTTTTGATGTTTCTCCTGCAAATACAAGCAAACGTGGAGGATTTGGAGAAGAAATAATGGAAAGAAGGTAAAATAATTAAGTGGTGTGCTCCTTAAGAGATAAAGTTGAGAAATTTGAGATTTTTGAAAATGCCCCTTCCATTCCATGGCACTAGCTTCTCGAAAGTTTTCCGGACCTCCACCTTCTCCCGCCTAGAAAAACCCTATAATTTAATAAAAATTTTAAAGTGAATTTCAACAAATTGTTTATGAAAAAATGGAAATGCTTTTTGACAAAAATTCTTGGAAGGTTTTTTTTATTTTTATTTATCTATTTTTTAATTTTTATTAAAGAGAATTGATGCTTCACTCTCAATAGAAAATGTTCACGAAAATATATTGAAGGAAGTTTCTCTTTTATTGGATAAAACAAATAAACCGTTGAAGAAGTTTACTTTAAATGATTTTGGTATTCTTAATTAATTTATTTTAATTTTGAAAAGACAAATACCTATATTTATTTAAAAATTAATTTGTTGTAAAAAATGTACCATAAACTTCCCTCACAATTTCGAAAAACCGAATTCTTCGAGATTTTTCGAGGCTCATTATTTGGGGGTGAGAATTTATGGGACAATATATTTGTATATTAATTAAAGACATATTTATACAATATATAAATTGAAGAATAATATAAAATTGTAATTTATATTAATAAAATTTTGTTTCCACAAAACGAATCGAAAATATTTTGGGTTTAAAAAAATATTAAAATTTTTGGGTAAAATGAGTAATAAATGTTAGAGGAAATATTAAATTGTTGGAACAATTTTTAACATATTTATTAAAAATATATTAGGGAAATTAAATAAAATATTTTTTTTTCTGAAAATTTTTTTTAATTATTTGAATTATTATTAATTTCTGTCTGGGAAGAGAAAAAATTAGAAATACTGCTAAACATACTATTGTTGTTTCCTTTTATTTTTTTATTATTTTTTGCCGATTGAATGATTGGTGGAGTGGAAGAATTATTTGAAGAAAAAGAATTTTTTCTGCTTAATAAAATTTGTCCACCACTAGTTGTCGAATCTGCGGGCATTTTTTCAGTTTGTTCGTGATGTCCTTTAGCATTTTTTAAATGTCTGTCCAAATTTGTTTGTTGCCCAAAGCAACGGTCACAATGTGAACATCTAACTAGTGAAAATTAAATATTTAAATTAAAAATATAATTAAAATAACGAACCGAAAAGGTTTTTCTTTGTTGTGTATATTACGTACATGACGTTGTAAATTTGAACTTATTGAGAAAGAACGTTCGCAATGTTGGCACTATAAAGAATTTTAAAAAAATTAAAATAATTTAAATGATTTGTCAAACAAAAAAGAATAAAGTAAAAGTCAAGTAGAAGTTAAGAGAGAAAAAGGGACCCAAAAGGAATCGAACCTTCTACACCTTACTTCATTCCGCCCACCACGTGCGGGGGCTTTACCGACTGAGCCACCTGAACACTCTTGATTTAAGAGTAAGTTTTGGATACCAGTCCACCAAATTTTTTTCTCTTACCTTATATGGTTGTTCTCCAGTATGTGTTCTCAAATGTCTAGTTAAATTAGCTGAGCGTGGAAATACTTTTTGACAAAATCTGCATTGATAACGTTCTTTAATTGTTTGTCCAGTAATTCTTGTTCCATTAATTTTGCCTTCTCTACTTTTTCTAATCCCTTTTCTTTGAGTAATTTTCCCAATTCCTTCCAATTTTCTTTTTGATATTTTTTGATTAATTTTTAATAATTCATTTATATTGTTCTTTGTTTCTTTTTGTTGTTTTTGTCCCAGTTTAATAACAGATGGAGAAGTATTATCATTAATATTTGTTGTTGTAGATTGCCATTGATTTGGTAATGCTGACTTTAAAAATTTTTTGAAATTAAATTTTCTTTAAAAATAACCCCTTTAGCCCAAAAGAGGAGATTTTTGCCTTTTTAAGAAAATTAAAAAAATAATTTCCCCAAGCGAACTCGAACCCATGACCCATGACTTCAAGGCCTGGTTAAGTTCGAACTCTTGAGGTCGTGGGTTCGAGTCCGCTTGGGGAAATAATTTTTTTGAAAAGGCAAAGATTATACAAATTTTCTAGGATAGAATTAGCTTACAAGAACAAATAAAAAATTAAACTTACAAATTGTTGTGTAACAGGAATATTATTAATACATCCCCCTCCTCCAACTCCCCCTCTTTGAAGTAATCCAAGAAAAGCACTAGCAGAATATAAAGAAGCTAATGTTGGTTGATCTATAATTGCTTGTTGTTGCCCTAATTCATATTTTTCTTCCTTTTCATGCTTCTTTTGTTGTCCTTCAGGAATTGTTGAAATTGATAAATCTGAAAGTGGGGATGATGAGGATATAATTAATTTATTTCTTCCAGAAGTGTTTAAAGAAGAATTTGGTGATGATGATTGCCGATGTTCTCTATTTAAATAAAGAATAGAATATTTATTTATGCTATAGGAAATAATAAAAGACTTTTTTTCTTAAAAAAAAGAAAATTAAAAAATAATTTCCCCCAAGCGGGCTCGAACCCATGACCCCCTAAGCGGACTTGAGAACATATAATCTTAAGGTCGTGGGTTCGAGTCCGCTTGGGGAAATTATTTTTTTATTTTCTTAAAAAGGCAAAGGCTTACATATCCAAATGAGATAAGCCAGAAGATCCACATTCTTCAGTTGTAGAGCTTGGATCTGGTGAACTTTCCCCATCAGAATTTGTCAATTTAGTTTTTCGAATAGAGTCGTTATTGTTAAAAAGATTAGACGACGAAAACAAATTTTCATTTTCAATATTTATTCCATTGTTTAATTTAAATGAATGATTATTAACTTTAAAAAAATATTTAAATAAAAAACCTCTCTCAAAATTACCTGAATTTAAATTTCTAGCCATAGCAGCAGCAGCTGCCATAGCCAAAAAAGAAGAAGAATGTGTTAATGATGTAGTAGATGGATGTCTTGGTAATAAATAACAAAAATTATTTGATGAAGGAAAAAGAGAAGAAGAAGAATTATTTTGATTATTATTTTGCCAAAAATTTGGAGAAGGAAATATTTGTGTTGTTGTTGATTTTGGTGTTAAAAATAAATTATTTGAAGGAGTTGATTGTTGTTGTTGAATTTGTTTAAGAAATAATGAAGATGCTAATGAAGAATTTGAAGAAGAGGAAGGAGAAGAAAATGGTGTTGTTGATAATTGATTAGATAAAGAATTATTTAAGGAAAACGGACTATTCATAATAATTAAAGGATTTGTTGGTGTTGTGGACGAGGGAATGAATAACTTTAAAAATGAAAATTATTTTTTTTAATAAAAACAGTCGAATCTAATTATAAGGTACACCCTTGGGGTTAAAAAATTCAGACCTTTTACTGAGGATAAATAAGGAATATCTAGATAGCTCCTCAGCCGAATAAGAACGTTAAATAGAGGTGTATCTAGTATTGTGGGTATCTTATAGTAGAGTGTATATCTATAATGAGGTGTACCTTCTCTGAGGTGTATATTGAATAGAGGGGATTGCCTTGACATCTCCTCCACCCAATAGCAACCCAAATTTTAAAGAGCGTCTCTTAAATAGAGGTGTATCTAATTTTGGGGGTATCTTATAGTGAGGTCCGCCTCCATTTCTAAACAAAAATTAATCAAAAGAACCTTATTATTCTCCTGTATTTCAATATTTTGTTGTTGCTGTTGAATTAATTGTAAATTATTGTTCAAATGCAATAAAGGTTTAAATAAATTTAAATTAGCATTTGAAGAAGAATTGGAAGAAGAATTAAAAGCCTTCATTGATATTTCTGTTGTTAAACGTTCAGAATGTATTTTTTTGTGTCTACAAAGGTTTGAATGTTGAGTATAGGCTCTGGGGCAGTAATTGCAACGAAAAGGTTTTTGAGGTTGTAATGAACTGGGTGAATGATGGACAGAACTTCCGTGTTGTTTTAAGCCTCTAAAATTATTTTTTAAAGGAAAAAATACTTTTAAATAAAAATTTTAAATTTAAAATAACCCGGCAGAAGAAAATTTTTTAGAACAAAGTAAACAGCGATGTCCAATAGTTGAGGAGGGAAGACCACAAAGTGATGCACGTCTTTGACGGTGTTGATGGGGATTAGAAGATGAGGATTGCCTAGAAAAATAATTTAAATAAGGAGAATAATTGTGCCCTAACTTAATTTAATTTTTAGAGTTAGACATTTTCAAATTCCCAGGCCTGTTCCCAGTGGGTTTTACCTGAACTGACCCGCGCAGAGGTTTCCGGGCCTAAAAACCCTAAAACCCAGATTTCATCAAAATAAAACCATGAAAACTGGGCTAAAACAAGAAAAACCCAGTCCCGGTGTTGAACTCTAATATTTTTCCTATTAAATTTTATTTAAAATACCTTCTATTTAAATTCAAAATTTCATCATCTTCTTTATCACTTTCACTTTTTATTTGATTTTTTAATTCTTTTTGTTTATCTTCTTCTAACAAATCTAAAGAATTAATACGAGGTCTAGGTTTTGGTTGGCTTTGTTTGCGACGACGATGACGGCCACCGTCTTTTCTTTTTTGTTCTGAATCTGTTGAGGTTTTTGGTAGTTGTTGTTCTGTATTTATTGAAGAACGATAATAATAACGACGTTTAAGTAATTGACGTGAAAGGGATTCTAATGAACGTGAATTTGTTGATGATGATATTAACGATGGACTGCTTAAAAAATAAAAATTATATTTTTTGGATTTTTTGGAAATTTTTTTGTGAATGAACTTAATTTTTAAAAAAGAGAGATGAAGAAAACCCTTTTCACTTTCTTGACATTTTTTTAAATTTCTATTCATTTATTCCCCCACTTTTCTTTATCCTTTTTCGCGCATTGCCAGTTCCGGATGAAGAGCAATTATACGGATGAACCCAAATAAAAAATAAAAGATTTTGTTTTCACCAATCTTTTCATAAAAGTTAGATCATTAAAAGGGCAAAGGATGACAGGATGTAAATTTTTCCTTTTTTAGCTTTCACTTCTTTTTTAAAGAAAATGATCGAGAGAGGATTTCTCTCCCCTCTCCACTCCCCCTTCACTTTTTAATTTTTAAGAAAAAAAATCTTTTCTTTTTTTTAAAGTAATTGCACGATCATTACGTTTCTTTAAATCTGCAGGCATTCATTCACTCTCCTCCTTTTTTACTTCTCCACGCGGATGGCGCAATCTGGGTCAGCAGCGGATGAAAACAAAGGAATAAAAGAATGACTGGAGGGCTTAGGAAAAAGTGAATGGAAAAATGAAGAAGAAAAGTGAAAATTGTGCCGCTCGTCCCATTTTCGGCGTTGAATGAAAAAATGGAAGAAAATGAAAGTGCGAGGTGAATAGAAATTTAGAAAAAAAATAATTGAAAAATATATCTTTCCGTATAAGGAAAATAAAAAGAAATTTTTTTAAGAAAAATTTTTCTAGCTTAAAAATATATTAAGTCGAAAGACAATTTTTTGAGAAAGGTAAGACCTGGAAAAGGACACAAAATAACGGTCTTAAATGATTGTAAATTAACAAGGATTTGTTACAATTTTTGTGAGATAAACACAAATAAAAATAGAAAATCCTTTACATTTTTTATTAAAAAATCTTTTGTGTCCATCCTGACCTTACAAAAGCAAAATGAATATTTTGAATCCAAAAATAGGCGAAGGAGACAAATAAAGAAGAGAGGTCAGGCAATAATGCGCGATATATATAAAAATTCTGGAGAAGAATGGGGAAAAAAGAAAAGGATATTTGGAAGCACTTGTTGGAAGAGTTTTATTGTTTAAGAAGAATTTTTAGAGCCAAATAAAATAAAAGTTTTTAAAAAAAGGTATTGAAAAGGTGTTAGTTTTTTGGGGTGCAGGAATTTTTTGAGAGGATTAAATAAAAACTAAGAGAAGTCTTACAGGGGTCCCAGGAATTTTAGTGTAGCTATTTACTATAAATAAATCCGATGAGAATGACTATACATCAGGGAACGAGCCGTCCCGATTTCTGAAAATCGGGAATTCCCGACGTCTTTTTGTGTCGGGATCCTGAATTGCCTAAAATTGGGAATTTATTTTTTATGTTGGCTCGTTCCCTGCTATAAATATAATCGATTCTAAAAGTTAAAAAATGAAGTTAAGGTGTTGGAATTTTTTAAGGATTTTCTAAAATGAATGTTGGATGGACAGTTTTGAGAGTCAAAAACTTTTTCAAAGGCGTGACTAAGAAACTTAATCCGGCAATATCGAGATGTGTAAATATATACAGTCGTCGACATAAAGATAGGGACAAGAGTAATTTAAATGAAAATTAACTATTTTTCGGTCGAAAAATACGTTCTATATATCAATCGAAAGCTCTATTTATATCTCAGTTGACATGTTTCTGCATTTTTCATGAAAATGAAAATTGGCCGAGATAATCCGGATCTGCCGGATATACCAAATCCCACAGCCTCGGAAAAAATTTTCGGAAAAAATCTAACAAACCCATTTGATAAAGCATATTTTTGTGAGTATATACCACAAAACCGCTTAAAAATATCTCTTTCCGGACCAGAGATATGATTTTTTGAAAATGGCATTTTTCGCTTAAAAATTGAATTTTTTGCAAAAATAGGCTAAAAATGCCATTTTCAAAAAATCATATCTCTGGTCCGGAGAAAGATATTTCTAAGCGGTTTTGTGGTAAGTACTCACAAAAATATGCTTTATCAAATGGGTTCGTTAAATTTTTTCCGAAAAATTTTTCCGAGGATATAGGATTTGGTATATCCGGTAGATCCGGATTATCTCGGGCAATTTTCAATTTCATGAAAAATGCAGAAACATGTCAACTGAGATATAAATAGAGCTTTCGATTGATATATAGAACGTATTTTTCGACCGAAAAATAGTTAATTTTCATTTAAATTACTCTTGTCCCTATCTTTATGTCCACTACTGTAATTTTTTGGATAAAAATATCAAACACTTAAGGGTTTTTGTTGCTTAAAAATAAGGAAAAGAAGAGTAAATACACACCTTATATTTTGTGTTATTTCTCCCATCTCAATCAAAAAATTTTTTCTAACACCTAATATTACATATAACATTTCCTCAATCCTTATAAGAAAGTGCCAATTCTAGAAAATAAAAAATCATTTTTTTATTTACCTTTCCCTTCCTTTTAGTTCTCCAAATATTTCCGTTCGTTCCATATTACTGTTCTCCCCTGTCATCATCATTCGTTCTTTCTCAGTAAGTTGTTGCTGTTCTTGAGGATTATCAATATAATTGCTTTGGTTTTGATTAGTTTCCTTAAAAATAATTTTTTAACAATTTAAATTTTTATTTAAAAATTTAGTTAGTATGAGACACCAAACTTTAATTTTTGGTGAGTTTGCCTTTCTTTGCCCCGGAGGTCTAACTACCCCTCGCTTCCCTTGTCCTATTCCCAAAAAATTTTTTCTCCTTAATTTATCCTATAAAGGTGTTAATTTTATATTTTCAAGTAAAACAAATAAATAGGTATATTTTTGCTTTATCTATACACCAAAAATATATATATTCGGCTGGAAAATAAATCTTTTGGGCAGAAGTTCTACAAGAGACAAGCTAAAATATATTTTCTTTTAAAAGAAGAAGATAATTGTTTTGTTGAATGATTATTGGTTGGAAGCATCCGGGAGAGTAAACCAAAAAAGAATCTTTTTTAAAATATTTTTAAAAAGAGAATATTTAGTAGTAGAACCACCACATCATCATCGCGGTTGGACGCATCTTTTGGAAATAATTGAAAAAAGGGCCTCAAAAAGGTTGAATGCCGACGGCAATTTGTTGCTTCCTATTTTCTTATATTCCTCCTCATCCTACTCCAATATTCTCGGTAAACAATACAAAAAAAGAGATAATTGGTTGTAGACCGGCTGTTGGCCAATTCCAATTAGATGGGGGCCTTACGGATCGGAATTCCTCTCCCTTTTCCTCTTCTTTCTGCCAAAGGTGAGTTTATTTCCTAAGAAAGGCCAAGTGGAGAGCCTAAAGCAAATATTGGCCTAAAAAGGATTGAGAGAAAAGAAAATTGAAGAGCAAAAAAGAGGAAATGGACGAAAAATTGAAAAGACGGCCCAAAACTAAGGAAGAAGAAACGAAAAAAATTTTGGGGAAAGGTGAATATAATAATAAAAGTCAGTCCATTAGTGTTGTTTATTGTGTTGTTAAGGAGGGGAATATAATAGAGAGAAGGAAAAGCTCCTTTCTTGAATTTATATGCCTCAAAATAAATATACAATTAATTATTTTTGCCTTATTTAAAAAAACAACATTTGGAGGTTTTTTGAATTTAAGAAAAAAATTTTTGTTAATGGGACATCTGGCGGAAAAGCATCTTTCCTACACACAATTTTAATTCAAAAATTAAATTTAAAATACCTCTTGTTGATTGCATTCCTCTCCAAATAAAGCATTTTCTTGATTTATTGATGAATTTACTTTTTTTGTATTTTCCCCGGTTTGATTTAAAATTGAAGACATTTTTTTAAATTCTAAAATAAGAAGATTAAAATATATTTTTAAAAATTAAAAAAAGATTTTCACTCCTTTTGCGGCCATTCATTGCTTTTTTAGCTCTAAAATTTATTACGGTACGAAGAAGAGGCAAAGGAGAAACAAAGAAAGAAAAGAAGCTAAAATAAATCTGAAGGTTAAAAATAAATTTTAAAATCTCGAAAAGACTCAGGATTGAACTTGAATTTAAAAATATTAGAGATAATGAAATTTTACTAAATTTAATTACGTTTGGCCAAAGGATATAAGGACCAAAGACAATTAGGAAAAAGACAGAAATATTATAGTTAGAGCTAGGAACGGGATCGGGACCCGGACCCGTTTCCCGGTTTCCGGGTCCGTTTTCCCGGTTTTTTTGAAGCAACCGGGTTGAAACCGGGGACGGGTTTTCCCGGTTTCCCGACCCGGAACCCGGCCGGTCCATTTTTCAGAACCCGTTACCCGGACCCGGTCCCGGCTTTTTTTTCACCGGGAAACCGGGAAAAATATTTAGTATATTTGCGTACTTCGATATTAAATTTTTGAAGGAAAAGGGAAAGGAATATTTATAATTTACAATATTTCCTTTAATTGGTCGATAGTTGAGTGGTTAAGTTGACTGACTTCACTCATTTGGTCAATTTATAGGGATGGGGTTCGAATACATGTATGGAAATGGGGCTGAGAAAATTTTCTTTTAAAAAAAAATAATTTTAGTCTTTGATTTTGATTTTAAATTTGCAAATTTATTTTTTTAATATTTTAAACTTGAAAAAATATTAGAAATTTTAATTTAATCATGAATTTTCCAAAATTTTCGCCTGTGCGCAGAAAATTTAAGAGTTCTGGCTTCATTACCATCTAAACTTCGAAAAATTTTTTCGCCGGCAGCTCTAACAATTGAATTTTTTCTCCTAAGGCCTTACAAAATTCTCAAATTTTTCGCCTCAGGCGATGAAAAATACAGCCCCATGTGTAAAAATACAGCCCCATTTCAACAAATAAAAAAAACCCGGTTTCCCGGCCGGGACCCGCCCATTTCTAGACCGGGTTGAAACCGGGAACGGGTTTTCCCGGTTTCCCGGACCCGGAACCCGGCCGGTCCATTTCTCAGAACCCGTTACCCGGACCCGGTCCCGGTTTTTTCAAAATTCCTAGCTCTAATTATAGTAGAACTGTTGAGTCTTGACTCAAGACAGTCTTCTAGTCTTAATCTTGTGGAGTATTGATCTTAGAAAATATTCGGATCTGAACAACTCGACATACTTGTTTTCCAATCGAGCAATGGAATTTTCTCAATGTTTTACCTGTACATAATTCTCATTTGTGGACACCGTCTTATTCAATTTCCCCTATATACCAATTAAATATTTAAATTAATTTTTAAGTTGTTCAATAAGCCGCGATCTAACAAATTTATTAGTCGAACACCTGCTTTTATTTTCTAACCTCACTTATGTCCTCAATATGGCAATTTTATAAGAAAAGAGATAATCTTCTCTAGAAGGCCAAATTGACTGGTTAAAAAATAAGGAGAAAAAGGTTTTTATATTTTTGTTGTTATTGGAGTATTATTATTGAGGGAAAAGGAGGAGGAGGAGGGGTATGGGAAGTGTAGATTTACTAGTCTAATATTTTAGTAGACTATGGCAATCAAAAATGCAAGGCATTCCCGAAAAATGAATGAAGAGAAAAAGAGGTGGTGGGGTGGTTTTTATTAATTAAGAAGATTCAAAAAATTATTTTTGGAAAGATTTTTTGAAATAAAAATATTAAATAAAGTTAAAATTTGAAGAAAAATGGGAGGAGTGTTTAAATAAAAATACAGTATTTTTAAGAATTCAATGAATTTGAAGATGTTGTGTGTTTAAATGACGAAGCAAAAATACTAGAAGAGCGCCTAGTCATGCATATTTTTGATTTTCACACTTCAAGGCGTTAAAAGCTTTAAAAAAGGTTTTTTATTAGAGAAGAAAAAAGAAAATGTTAAAAAGAATCTTAAAAATTTTGGGATATTTTTATACTTTGAAGGATGTGCCAACAATTCTCTTATTTATTTATTAATGGTTTTGAGGATGTGCAATACTTAAAAAAGGGATTGAGAGAGAAGGGATTGATGGGAGGCAGGTGAATTTCGTTTGAAACAATTATTTTTATGTCAAAAATGCAGCCGATGGTTGTCACTTGTTTAAAATATTTTTGTTGGTTGAACCTCTTCCCCAACTTTTTTTTACTTCCCTTTATGCCCTCCCCCCATTCTTTTTGGCACACATCTTCATTGCCTAATTTGCATTCCAATGATTTAACTAAAACACTAAACCAAATTATAAAGAATGAGGCATCCCTTCAAAAAATGCCTAAAGAAGAAGAAAGAAGCGGTGAAAGAAGAGCTACAGCCAAACAAACCAAAAAATTCATCTCCAGCCAAACTAAACTGATTTGGCCACAACCGATGAGCAAGCAAAAAAGAAATATTTATTAGAACACATTTAAAAAAGGTACATATTTAGGGGAGGGGAAAAATATAATTTTTTATTTAAAGGTTTATGCCCTTTTCCTCAATAAATACATTACTCTCCTTCTCTCCATGTTGTTAAGAAATTGGAATGATGATGATGAAGAAAGGGGGAGACGAGAATAAAGGAAGACGAGAATGAAAAAAGAAGGGGTTTTTAAAAAAAGAAGAGGAGGGTAGGGACCGTGCCCGCACAAAATACCGAATTCTCAAAATCGCGAATCGGCTAAAAAAGCTCAAAATACCGAATCGGGAAAAATATCTCAAAATATGGAATCGGCCAAAAAAGCTCAAAATATGGAATCTTAAAATATCGAATCTCAAAATCTCGAATAGGCTAAAATGCTCAAAATACCGAATCGGCTAAAAAGTAGTTAAAAATGTCGAATTTTTTAAAAACGAAAAGGGCCGTTTGAGTGCCGCCAATTGAGTGCAGGTTTTTTTCAGTTTATTCAGGGGTCTGTATCTCAGTCCAATAAAGTCGGATTTCATTGATTTTGGTGTCAGTCGATGCAGCTCGACGTGCTCTTTCAAATGAGCTATCATTCGGAAAATCGATATTCGGTTCGGGATTTGAAGCTCGGTTCGGGTCTGGGATTCGACTTTTTCAAAATCCGAGCTCAGATTCGTAATCAGCATATCTTTTTACCCTAGAAAAACCCTTTTGCATATTTTTAAATTTTTTCGAAGTTGTTGATAAGATTGTTCAGACTCAACTGGCTTTTGCCGCATTGTCGATATTTTGAGCTTTTTTGGCCGATTCGATATTTTGGGATTCCATATTTTGAGATTCGATATTTTGAGATTCCATATTTTGAGCTTTTTTAGCCGATTCGCGATTTTGAGATTCCATATTTTAAGAATTCGGTATTTTGTATGGGAGCCGTAGGGACAGTATACCTCCTCTTTTATAAAACATTGCTTCCTCTTTTATTCACATTTATTTATTGGATGACTTTCTCATATAATCATCTCATAACTAAAACAGCTAAACGGCCACCAACTTTATTGCATTACCTAAAACACCCATCCCTGAAGATTTTTATTATTTTAAATTGGTCGTCTTGGAAACACGTTAAAACAATTATTCTGTCCGACCAATCATAAAAACTTGAAAAGCTGGCAGATGAAATAAAAAGAAATGATAGAAAATTTAAACAGATGCCTTAATAAAATTTTCTATTTTCTCCAAGAAATGGTTAAATAAAATAAAGAAAATATATTGTTTAATTAACGTCACTACTCTTTATAAAAATTTCCCACACGAAGACGTTTAAAGCTTTAAATTAATAAAATAAAAGAGGAAAGATGGCTAATAAAGAATTACTGTAAATACATTATAAAAAATATTTTTAAAATAATATTAATCAAATATTATCTTGTTTTTGAATGAACTTTGACAAATAAATGTTAACAATTTTTGCATTCTTCTATGGAAGAAAATCACTTTAAGAGAGAGATCCTCAACTTTCAATAAAAGAATCACATTATAATTGAATATGGAGTTATTAGACCTTTCACTCTCATAAAAATAACAATAGAAAGTTTGGATGATCCTAAGGAAGACAAACATTGAAAGTCAATATAACCTCGGTCGAATAAATAAACAAATAAATATTAATAAATAAATCAACAAGTTTATCCAGAAGAGATTTTTCTTATTTTTTGGTGTAATCAAACAAACACAAAGCACTTAAAAATTAAAAAAAAATTTAAAAATTAAAAAAAAAATTTTTTGAAAATTCGAAAAAAAATTTTTTTCACATGGGCACCCAAACATCCCATACCAACGAGAGCGCCCAGTGTGGTGCCACTGTTACAAGGAGCAGTACAAAAGGGCGCGCAAAAATCATAAGTTTCGGCGCAGCTTGGTTCGGCGTAATCCATCTTACCTTTGTCCTGAATCATCCAATCAAGCTGATTTTGGTATCAACCGACTCAGCTACTTAAGTCTTTCAAAAGGGCTACATATGTTTTTCAAAATTTTTAACCCCAAAATAAACTTGGCCACACCGAACCTTGCCGCGCCGAATATCTTGTTCCCAAATGTCGTCCTCTTTGAGGTTATTAAATCCTAAATAAACAAGATTTAGCCTGTACCTGCACTAATTTTTAATAATTTCTATTTTAGATACAAAAAATTATTTTAAAATGTGTTCGCGTGTCAATGTAGTTGGTGTTCGTATTTTAGAGAATCCTTCAAAACCAACAGACCCATTTAAATTGGAAATAACTTTTGAATTATTCGAGAATATTAAAGAAGGTTTTTTTCAATATTTTAATTTTAATTTTAAATTTAATTAAGAGGTTGAATGGGAGCTTGTTTTTGTTGCAACTGATGGAAAAGAAGAACACGACCAAGTACTCGATTCTGTAGTTATTGGACAAGTACGTGAAGGACGGCATAAATTCGATTTTGAAGTTTGTTGATTTTATTAAAATTCAAATTATGATTTTAGGCTCCTGCTCCTCAATTACAAAATCTCCGTCCAGAGGATTTTATGGATGTTACACTTTTGTTGTTGAAGTGTAAATATCGTGATCAGCTTTTTATGAAGATTGGTTAGTCAAAAATAAAAATATTTTTCTTTGCGGGCTTTTCGGACTTTTTCTATTCCTACGGCGAAAAAGAAGTTCGGGAGAGCTCAAAAAACGAAAATTGATTAATTCTTTACTTCAAATTTCATTGTAAAAAAATTAATTTAATTTGTAGGTTGGTTCATCACGCATACTTATATTGACGCTGAATTGATCGAGAACCCGCCACCTCGTCCAATAATTGAAAAGGTTTCTTAATTTACTTTAAGCAATTTTAAAAATATTTTTTAGTTACAAAGAACTGTTGTCACTGAAGATGTTCGAGTAACAACTTATCCAATCAAATGGGACGAAGACCTTAACAATGGGACAGTGGCAGGTCTGTGTTATTATTTTTCCCTAAAATTTTAATTGTAAATTTATAGAGGATGAAAACGAAGCGATGATTGACGAAGATAATGATTTGGATGGAATTAATGGAGATGGCGAAAATTCGATTCAACAATCACAGGGTGATCAAGTTCCACCGGTTGCCACAGATTTGTGAAAATTTTTGAAGAAATGTTTGATTTTTGGATTTTAAATATTACAGGTCTCAATTGATGTAAAACATTTTTAATTTATTAACACAATAAAAATCTGTTTTAAAAATCTCAATGTTTTTGGTATTTTTGATAAATTTATTGTAAAGTTGGTGCTTGTGTTTTGTACGAAATAGAAAAGTCAACAACAATTCTTTTTATTCGAATTTATCCCAACAAAATAACAATGAATTCGTAACACACAATTTTATAATCTCATACTTCTTAGCGATAAGATTTCTGGTAACGAGCACGAGCACCAGGTCCTCCAAACTTCTTTGGCTCGTGACGTCTCGGATCGGCAACAAGCAAATTACGATCGTAAGCAACAAGTTGATCCTTCAATTCTTTCTTACTTTGCTCATCCACATTTTTCTGGTAATAAGCCACCAAAACTTTAGCAATTGACTGTCGAATTGCATAAATTTGTGCAACATGACCACCACCTTTAACACGGATGCGAATATCCATTCCAGCAAATTTATCCTTTCCTACAATCAACAATGGCTCTTGTAGCTTGATACGAAGAATTTCCGGTTGCAAAAATTCTAAAGGACGGCCATTGACCTGAAATGTAGGAAATGAATGAGCTCGAAAAATGAATAAAATTTTAAACCTTGATTAATCCTTTTCCCTTTTTGGCATATGCCACAGCAGTAGCAGTCTTTTTTCGACCAAAAACTTGAACAGGTTGTGCAGTCACTTGAGGCTTCTCGACGGTTGTCATCTTTAAAAATCTTTTAAACGAACTAAAAATACAATTAGAAAAGCCATTTAAGGACAATAAAAATATATAAAAGCATAAAACTGCTGTTCATAAGGGAAAATCAATATAAAATATTTTAATTTAAGAAACAAAAAGACAATTTTAAGATTCAGTCTGTTCCTCATTCTCATTCATTTCTTGTTTAACCTCATCAGAAACAGCGGGATCCCACCAATCAACACATCCAAGTCCCATATCAAGCATAGAAGCCTTAAAAAATAAATTCTAAAATGAATAAATGTAAAATATTCAAACCTCAATTGTCATGGCACTTGTTGAATCGCTTGAAGTTCCCGGCTCCAAACTGTGATATTTGACAGAAACTACTTTAAACCTATAAGATGGGAAATCGAAAAAATTGTTTTGAGTTTATACCTAACACGCCTTCCTGGATCCATATAAAACTGAGTAACTGTGTCGTCATTCTGATATTCCCAATACCATATTTGGACCTTCTCGTCACTAAAATCTTTAAAAATTAAAAAGAAAACCTTCAATAACAAACAATTTTGAAATGTCTGGAAGTTTATCAGGCGCAACTTTAATATCATTGAAAAAATGTAAAGTTAAAGTTAATCCATCTCTATTAGATTGTGATATAATTCCTTCAAGAATTTCATTAATAAATGGTTGGAAAACAACATAACGAAAAATTATTGGAGTGTGAGTAGAAGCATTGCCAGGCTAAAGAAAATTTTTTTTCAAATTAAATTTCATGGAACTTATATGGTTTAGGTGCGCTTTTTTTAGCCACGCCCTTTTTTCCTTTTCCTGCATCAATCAACATTGATATTGACAGAATGGTCAACCTTTCTTTCTCCCTCAATTTCACTCAACTTTTCCTGACGCCCTTTTTTTCTTTTTCCGTCATTATTCTTTTACTTATTTTCCCTCTCAACCAGGTCAATTTTTGCTTAAAATATAGAGCTGACTCGGATGACATAGAGCTGACTCGGATGACATCATCGAGCTGGGCTGAGACGAATGGCACTAAAATAGGTCCGTGAGATCACTGAGCTGAATTACACGGGTCCAAAAATTTCTAAAAGGGGTAAAAACGGTCAGCATTTTGTAAAAAAATATGATTTCAAACACGCAAAAACTGAAAAACACAATGAAATACCGGACCATTAGTTCCAAAACGCAGACCCGGGATACTTATGCCATTTAAATAATAGAAATAGATAAAATTAAGAATATTGATTCAAATGTTAATTCTATTTTGGTGAAATTGGAAAAGAAAATTAATCTTTTCCTTGTTAATGTCTCTCACTGAAAATGCCACAGGAAAAGTTGAGTGAAATTGAGGAAGAAAGAAAGGTTGACCATTCTGTCCATATCAATGTTGATTGATGAAGGAAAAGGAAAAAAGGGCGTGGCTAAAAAAAGCGCACCTAAACCATATAAGTTCCAATTTCATAATGCTTACAAGAATGAAAGAATCCCCAATCTTTTTAAAATCATAAAAAGTTATGCAAAGACCAACATCTGGAATTACCTAAAAAAATTTGAAGCAATTTTTAAGTCTCTAAATTAAAAATTACATAATTAGCAAATTGTTTATTTATTTTTCCGACTAATGTTGGCACAAAATCTTCACCAAGAACATTTGGAGCAATCTCTACAATATGGCTTATCGTTGACAGAACAAACATTTTTTCCAAGAATTTTTTTGGTCATTTCAACGAGGTACTTCAAAAGGTTAATTAACGGAAAAATGTTAAAAGGGTAAATGACAAAAAGGTAAACGACAAAAAGGTAAGTGATGAAAAAGGTCAATTTTCCAGCTAAATTGATAATAAAATTTTTGATGAAATTTTAGCCTCATGATTTTAAATCATCGGATATTTCGAATTATTAAACAGATGGATGCTATTCAAATAGCAAAGCGTGGATTCAAAACAGAATTGTTACCACGTGGTGGTCGAGCCTTTATAAATGGTTTCTTAATTTTAAATTATTAAAATAACAAGTATTTAGGTAAATGGATTGAAGCTTCAAATGGCCACCGATTCGATGTTGTTGATCCTTATTCAAACGAAGCAATTATCGATGTTTCTAATTGTGGTCCTCAAGATGCACAAATAGTAAGATTAATTTTTAATTTAAATGTTCTAATAGAAGCCCACTCAATGGGACCCATTGAAAAATAGTCGCCCAGGGCTTCCATTAGAACATTTCTGTAATTTAAAATTATTAAAATGATTTTTTTGTAAGGCTGTGGCCGCAGCTCGCAAATCCTTCTCTAGATGGACAAATGAGTTTACTGCTAAAGAAAGAGGCGCAATTTTGCACAAGTGTTTTGAAATTATGAAGGTTAAAGAGGAACAATTAGCTGAGTTATTAACAATGGAGCAAGTATTTTTTTAATCCACGATGTTAATGTTAAATATTTTTATTAAGGGAAAACCTCTTGCAGAAGCAAAAGCAGAGATTCAATATTCTGCCTCCTTTTTTGAATGGTATGCAGGAGAGGCACGTAGAATTTATGGTCAAATTGTTTCCCCATCTAAATTAAATAGACAACATTTACATACGCGGGAACCTGTTGGTGTTGTGGCTATTATAACTCCGGTTGATTTTTAAAATTTTTTTATACTCCTAAAAATTTTTTTAGTGGAATTTTCCATGTGCAATGATTTCTCGTAAAATAGGAGCTGCCTTGGCTGCTGGTTGCACTGTAATTGTTAAACCTGCAGAAGACACACCACTTTCTGCGCTTGCATTAGCTGAGGTAATTTATTAATATTTTTTATAAAATTCTTTTTTTAAAGATCTCCCAACAAGCAGGAATACCCAGCGGTGTTTTTAACGTTATTCCAGCAGACAGAGAAAATACTGCAGAGATTTCTAAATTTCTTTGTTCATCTCATGATGTTGATTGTATTTCTTTTACTGGAAGTTCGGCTGTTGGAAAAATACTTTTAAGTCAATCCGCATCAACAGTTAAGCGAGTTTGTCTTGAATTGGGAGGGAATGCGCCTTTTATTGTGTTTAAATCCGCAGATTTGGATCAAGCCGTTCAAGTATTTTTTTAAAATAATTTCTTTTCTAATTGTAAATTTACAGGGTGCAATTGCATCTAAATTCCGTTGTTCTGGACAAACTTGTGTATCAGCCAATCGCTTCTTTATTGAAGAACCCATCTTTGAAGAATTTCTTGACAAATTAAAAAATAAAGTTGAAACATTAAAATGTGGACATGGAATGGAGAAAAATATAGATCAAGGGCCTTTAATAAATAAAGCTGCAGCAGACAAGGTTTTTTTCATTTTGAAGGTTTTTCTGTTTATTAAAAATAATTTAAGGTCTCAAATCTTTTAAAAGATGCATTAGAAAAAGGTGCTGAACTTGTGACTGGAGGTGAACTTATTCCGGACACAAATATTTTCAAACCAACAATAATAACAAATGTTAATAACGAAATGGAAATTGCAAATGCTGAGATTTTTGGACCTATAATTGCTTTACAAACGTAAGAAATGGAAGTATATTTTCTTATATTTTTTGTTAGTTTTGAGACTGAAGATGAAGTTATTGAACGAGCTAATGCTACAAGAAATGGACTTGCAGGTTATGTTTTCACGAAGGACTATTCGCAAATTAATAGAATTAGTAAAGCAATTCAAGTTGGAATGATTGGAATTAATGAAGGTAAAAAAATAAATTTTAAATTGATAAATATTTCCTTTTCAGGAATGATTTCTTGTGCTGAAGCAGCATTTGGTGGAGTTAAAGAATCAGGGCTAGGAAGAGAAGGTGGTGGACAAGGGATTGATGAATTTACCCAATGGAAATACGTTTGTATAAATACAGAATAGATTTTATTTATTTGTGTCTTTTGAAAATTTATATTTTTTGATAGAAATAAACCCGATGGAATACTTTTAAACATTTTACTAAAAAATAACGTGTAAAATAATCTAAAAATATCTAAATTTATAAAACGAAATTTTTAAAGACAAAAATCACATATTTATAAAGCTGCAAAAACGAATCGAGAGTGATCATTCATTCCCAGGCTTTTTGAATACTTTGATGTCGAGATATCCTCTTGCAAATATAACTGGCAACAGTCAAAAATACCATAACAAGAAAAATGAAAGCATAATCGAAATCGTCCTTCAGAATGTCAAATGTTCCACTTAAAAGTAATGATTGTTCTAAATTTAATATTTAAAAAAACCTCGGCATAACACGGGTGTAAAAGAGATCTAATCCAAATACAAAAATAAGTGAACTTGATTCAAGCCCTGACGGTCTAAAATGTTAAAGGAATTGACTAAAAAATAAAAAAATGTAGACTAACGCTGATCTAATTTCTCGAACTCTCATGGCCGTTTGATTATAATTTATAAAATCTTCAGTAGCAAAAGGTAATTCTGGAATGTATGGAATAAGCATCTCCTCTCTATGTTCTGGCAACATTTCCAAGGGTCTCCGAGCATCTAAAAATCTCCTAGACATTTCTAAAATTCCTCCAGATGGAAGAGCAATCAAAATACTTCTGGAAGTTAATCCTTGCACTAATTATATTAAAAATTAAAATTTTAATAAAATTTAAGTTAAACTAAACTTGTTTGTGTTGTAGAAATTGCACTTATTCCTTGAGGGAAAATATAAGTTTGTGCAAGCACCATGGGTGAATTTACACTAGCAGATAACGAATTAAAGGCACTTGAATTTACTTGTTGAAGTCCTTCAAATAACTCAATAACACCAATTTCTGTTCTCCTTGCTTTATCATTCCAATAACTTATCTAATTTAAATGTTTAAAATTTTTTTGAATTTTTAAAAAATACCACAATCCAATTCTCACAATGAACCATATGAAAAGGAGGATTTGCTCTCGCGTATTTTCCACTATAAACCAAAATACCACTAACAGAATCAATTAAATTAATCCTAAGCAAAGATTCGACAGGATTTGAAGAAAGTATTGCAATTAAATTTGGATTCGAATATTTGTAAAGAACAGAACGATCACCAAGAACTCTACCTTGACTATGTACTTTTTCTTAAAAAATTTATTTATTTAAAAGAAAATTTAGAAATAACCGTTGATATCCTTCCCTTTAATGATTTGGATAATATCATTAGCCCTTTCAGAATCGCCAAAACCAGGCAAAGTAGATTGCCAACGTTTACTAACCAATCCATTTTTGTTTAAATTTACTTCATTTCCTGTCTAAATTTAAAAAAAGTAAATAAACTTTTAAAATAAATTAAACCAAAATTCCAGAATTTTCATCAATCATACAAAGAAAAACGGGTTTTGAATTTTCAAAATTTTGGTCTTTGATAGACGGTATAAGCTCTGCTTTATTTGGATTATTATTACGCAAAATTAATAAAGAGTGGAGTTGTTCAGCATTAACGGAAGGCCATAATTCAACACGAAAAATTCCTCCAGAAATCTAAAGGAACAAAAAAGAAAAATATTTTCCAAAATAAATTACTTTAAATTTTTCAACCAATTTTCCAGTAATTGGATTGAATATTAAAATAAAAGAATCAGCAGAATCCTGCAAAAATAGAACAAAAAAATTATCGCCAAAAATGAAAACCTTGGAATTAAAAACAACAGCAGCTTGACTAGCCCATTGATAGAATGAAGTACCTCTTAATAGAAATAAAGGAGCTTTATATTTTTTATAGGCAGCAAATTTATTTCCCAAATAATAAGTCCAAATTAAACGTCCATTTCCACTGTCCAATCCATGTAATGTTCCTTAAAATTAAAATGAAATTGAAAGAAATTTTTTTAAATCAAACCTGCAAGTGTACTAACAACAATCATTTTTCTCATATTAAAATAATCTCTTTCAATTGGAGCATCTTTTGAACGATCTGCTTGATTAAAAATTTGTTTAATAACAGTGGAAATGCCAAGCTCTCCTTTGAATATTAAATCTATTGTTTCGGCAATATTTTCAGATGTTTTTAGGAAAAATCTGTGAAGTTGTTCTAATTGACTACGAATTCGAAGTAGGAAAGATCGCAAGACGGACTCTAAAAAATTGTTTAAAAGTAAATAAGTTTAAATACTAACCATTTTGATTAAATTCCGACTCAATCTGTGCTTGTGATTCAGAAAGAGGAAAATCAACCATAAGAACATCGCTAATCATAGATAAAGATTCGTGGCGAATCCAGATTTGAGCTAAAGATTTATTTGTTTGAGAAAATTCGTATAAAGCAAGAGAACAATCAATACGCTCGACAAGAATCTAAAAGAAAAATAAAATATTTTTTAAATTGTCAAAGTTTAAAAATTAACCTTGTAATTTCCTTCTGAAAGTGGGAGAACTTTTATTTCCTTAATATCAGCACCAGAATTGTCCAAACGTATTTTGAACCTTGTATGTTCTTCATTTTCGCCTCTAATCTCTACATCGCCTGTAGCTGAATCAAAATGTGACTTAAAAAGCCCATTCTCTCTAGACTTTTGTTTCAATTCTGAAGTTGTACTCTTCTCATTTTCTGATAAAAATGCTCCTGTATGTAAATCGAATTTGCGACGTTTTTGTCCAACATTTATAATGAGCGATGACCTATCAACAATAAGAAAATCTATTTTTTTGTCGTTCAACTGTCTCCAAACTGAATTTGTAATAAATTATACTTATAAAAGAATCTTTTACGAATATCTCCATTTTCGACGCTAATTCGTCCAAGAACATTCATATTCGTTGTTACTGCCAAAATATCATGCGACCCAATCCTTTCGAACCAAGTTTGAGTTGGGCATCCTAAATAGCGTGACTGCCTAAATAATGAAAAATATACGTTTAAAAATTTCAAGACCAATCAAATTTGCCAATTTGGTCCAAATAAATAGCAGAACATAAAATTTGAAATTCCAAAAGAATTAAATAATAGATTAATTTCATGAAGCTAACTAAATTTAAAAAATATTAAAATCAACGTATGAAATAGGCCATAATTTTATAACACTGCGAACTTACCTTTTCGCTGACTTACCTTTTTACAGACTGACCATTTCCTCAATTGCCCTCTTGTCTCCAGAAGAAATAGCGTAGCTAAAGATAAAAAGTAAATTTTTTGAATATCTCTTTTGGCAAAATGTCTGATTTTTCGTCTGCAGAAAATACTTGTTTAAAAAATATTATTTAAGCCAAAATTTTAAGACGGCTTCTATTTCGAACAAATCCTTCTTGAGATATTTTAAATCCATGTAAATTTAACCTCCCGCGACTTTATAATATATAACCTAAGTAAGAATTTTTTTAGATTATAAAATTATTTTAGCCATTAAACATTATCATTTTTAATAAAATTAATTGTCTTTTTTCAGGATAATTAATAAATAGAAATCTGATTACTGAATGGATTTAAGCAACTCTTTTCCTTTTGCTAGCTTTAATTTTTCTGAAGATTTCCGAAACAAATCTTGGGTTGACATTATTGAGGAAGAAGAAAATAGGCGAGAAGCAGCTTTAGCCAAAAGCAAGGAGTCTGTTGGCGAACCAGAGATTGTCTCGTCAAAGCCAGATATTGGTGTAAAGACTGAATTAAAAATTACTGATTCCTCTTCTGATCGTCAAACAAAGAATTCTAATACTATTGTCACTTCTGGGCCTCGTTCAAGTAGGAAGAGAGGTTTGCCGACACCAAAAGCTGAATGGGCCGAACCAACTCAAGTAAATTTATTTTTATTTTTGACTGACATGATTTATTATTCCCAGGGTTGGTGCTGGAAGAAAGAGACAATTGCTCGTCGTGAAAAGGAAATCAATAAAATGAAGGATCGTCCAACTTATGTGCGTTACATAGAACAAGTTCCAAAGGATGAAAGGGAGAAAGGAGTTCATCCTAAAACACCTAACAAATTTCTCAATTGGAGTAGACGATCATGGGACAAACAGGTTTTGTATATATAGCCATTTTAAGAAATATCAATTTCCAGATCAAATTATGGAAACTTGCAATATATGAATGGGCAGGGGAATCGCCATCTTCAAGTGTTTACGGCTCTTATTGTTCATCGGAATGTAGTGACGAGGATCGAGCACAATCTTTGGAACGGCCGCATTCGGCGGAGCCTTCAACATCAAAAAAGATTAAAATTGAGAGAGACGTTGAACCGAAGAATAGGATTGTTAATATTCCACCATCAGCCGACACTATGGCTTCATTGTTAGGTTTGTTTTTATCATTTTTTCTATATAATTTCCATTAATATTTTAGGTCACTTTGATTTGGACACGCTTCGTGAAGCACCAGCACCTATTATGATGAACACAACTGGAGATGAATCAACACTGAAAGATATTCCAAAATCTAATGGCCCTGTTACTCGTTCAAAAAGTTATGCTTCAGCAGTGGTTTCAGAGAAGACTTCGAAAGGGCCAACTGATTTTAGCCATCTGATTGCTAAGAAAGAAAGTTCTCTCGCAAATAAGGAGCGAAAGAAGAATTGAAAAATAAGATGATAATTATTGAAATTGCCTATTTTTTCCTAAATATATAATAAACCAAATCCTTTCACTTTAAGTTGTCACAGTCTTATTTAATTTATTTATTAAACTTGACAATTGAGTAATTTTTCTTGATTTTTTTTCTTTTTAACAATTTTTAATTGTTTAATATCTGATTCCTTGTTTTTTTAACTTGTTTAATACATTTTTATACAGGCATAACATGTACCCTATTCTTAAACCTGATACTGCTCCGGAGTTGAATCTTGATGTTTTGCTCAGTGTGGCTGAAAAGCTACTTTTCTCTGTATGCTTAATTTACTTTAAATTTTTTAATATAACTTTTTAGCCAGATAACGATTTTCGTTTGGATCTGAGGGACCCTAATGCAGATGTCATCAACTTCATGGTTTTATTTTTTAATGTTAAGATTTGATATTCTAGTAATTTAAGTTCGCTGGTCCTATCTGTCGTTTGGCTTTTTTCATTCAATTCAGAAGGCTGGTCAAATTGAGTGTCAATCTCACAGAAATTGAACTCAGTTGCCCAACTCCAATTCAGGGCGTTAGAGGCGTGCTCGCTAACAATAAAGAGGTTAAGGGAAAATTTATTTAAAATAGTTGGTGTTTTTAGTTTTTTCAAGGACCTTTTGTTGTTAGTGACCAGTTCTTCCTTGTTCTGTTTTTGAAAGGAATTTTGCAACCAAAGTTTGTTGACTCTTTCTTCAAATTTGGACTTAAATGCAATGGCCGTGAAAGCAGTACCGCAGGAGATGGGTCACAGCCTTCGAATTCCCTTGATGATGTTCAGAATACATTTTTGGAATCTCAGGCTGAGTCACTTGTTCGCCTTTTCTTCTTTAGAGGTTTTTATTCTATTTTGTTTATTATAGATTTTTATTTGTCAGGTTCTCCAGAAAGTATTTCTCGAATTCCAAAGGAAGACTTTGAGCATTGCAGCCTCGAACTTGACTTTGTAAAGATTCAGGATGACACTTCAATTTTTAGTAAAGAATTTTTTTGTTTTTTTTAAATTCTTTTCTAGAGCATATTACTCGCATCCTGAATTTGAATGCTACAACTCTACTGCTTGACATTTCATCGGAATTTCATAATTGCGTTTCTTCAGTTAATCGTCCAAAGTTTTTTCAAATTAATATTATAAATTATTCGGTTTTTAGGGTTCTTGCTGGTCGAACTCTCTTCGCTACACTTTCTTACACGATCGATGCAATCTACTCTGAGAGTGTTACACGCTATGATTTTCCTTTTGATCAGTTCACTCTTCTGCTGTTTTATGTGGCCGATTGTTGTCCAAACTTAAAGGCAATGAATGTCCATTTTCAACTGCAGGGCGAGTTTTCAGATGACGACTTCAAAGTACTTTCGAAATGGTTGAGCAATACATTTAAAGAATTTATTTCTGGAGGTAAACTTTCATCTATGGGCCTTAACTGTGACTTGACAATTTCCTTTCGAGTTTTCTTTCCTGAATCTACTTTAATGGTAAATCAATTATATTATACTTTAAATCAATTATTTTTTAGGAGGCTGTTAAAATGGAACATGAATTGGTGAAAATGGGCGAACAAAAGCAGATGGAAGGCTCTACAGCAGATTTGGACGTTCCAGACACTTATACTATTTCTAGACAGATAAAAATCCAGGAAAATCCGCCAATCAGTGTTTGTTTTTAATTTTTCGAATTGATTTAAAATTTTTAATTGTAGATTGTTTATTCGCTAATTGGCATCGAGGATGACAGTACGAATAATGATTGGGATGGTATGAATTTTAAAAATAATTTTTAAATAAAGTTTATTTATTAAAGGCTTCCATGGAAATATGCCTATTATCGATCATTTCCCTTTGGTGGCATTAGAAGATGTCGACTTTGTTGGTGCTAGTTATCAGCAAAATAGCCAAAGTGATTATGATAGCGGTTAAACATATAGTAAGATAAATTCAACTTATACTCCTTCGCTTATTTCCTATTTATGTGAAATTATAAGACGAAAATCTGCATATCCCTCTGCTTTAATTTTTGTCTTAATGCTTGTATTTCTAAAGAACTGTCTCCAATAATTATAAAAGTAGGAGAAAGATAACGCGAAGTGATTTTGTTGTAGATATGTGCATGATGAAATTGTGTAGACAGTTCTTCGAACAGCACTTTTTCCGTGCTTTTCATGCAAATAAAACGAAAATAGATAAATTGACCTACTGGCGAGTTTAATTTGATGTATGTATAGAATATTAAAAAATTTTTAAATCTGTCCAATTTGGTAAAATTTAGTTTAAAATTTTTTTCAAAATTCGAAGCCATTCTCTCATTCATTTTAATTTGATTAAAGAAATAAATGAAAAATTTATAGAATAAGATGCTTATTATACCTATTTTTACTTAAAAAATTGAAAAACAAGCTTTGTTTGTTTAAAAAAAGGTTTAAATGGGTCAAGAAGATTTTTATAAAAGAATATTACTTTAAGTTTTTGTGTATACTTATTTAATCAATTCTTAAATATTTGCAAATAAAAATATAAATTGGCAATTTATTTACGGATCTTCTTCTTTTATTTATAATTTTCCTCTAATTTTTTATATTGCGCCGAAGAAAAATAATTTCTGGAGATGAATTCTAGTTTTCTAGTCATTTTACTCATCTACCGATAAATATTATAATTATTTTAAAGCTAAACAAAAAATGTACAATTTTATATTTAATTTAATATTTATAAATTTATTTGTTAAAACTGTAAAAACAGAAAATTTTATTAAAAATTTTAATGATGGTTGGCATTCTTCACAAAAAGGTAAAATAATCACTTCATCTACTACAAATACAAAAGATGTACAGGAATTGGAGTTAATAATTAATCAAGTAAATTTTTTTTTAATTTGTAAGTTTAAATTTTATTATTTTAGATTCAAAGATTAATTAATCAAACGGAGGAAAATTTAATTTTATCCTCCTCATTTTATTCACCATTAGATCCGTTATCGTCTGCACGCAAACTTTGGTCTGAACATGTGTACTCATTTCCGGTTTGTTAAATATTTTTTATTAAATTTTTTTACTTTTAAAGAAAGCAAAACAAATAGCTACAAGTGCGTATATCTCAATAGAATTAACTAAAATATTAAAAGGAAATAAATTTTCTAATGTATTGTATTCAAAAAATCAGCAAATAATTAATATTTTACGAAAGTATTGCTATAAAGAAGAAAATGAGGAAGAAAATTGTGAAATGTCTAGCCCCTACAGAAAAATTGATGGAAGATGTAACAATTCACAAAAGCCATTACTTGGTTCTACTGTAAGTAATTTTAAAATTATTTAAAAATTGTGGCAATTGACGATTCACAGTTGTCGCTGTCCGCAAATGTCAATCCACATTTGTTTACCATGTGTTTGCTAGAATAATTTTTTATTTAAAAATAATTTTTAGCATCCCAGAAAACCAAAAAATCTCGAATTTTTAATTTAAAACATCTGGGTATTTTAAAATTTAGTTTTCTCCTTTTCAACGTTTGCTGGAAGCTGATTATTCTGATGGTTTTTTATTTTATTTATTTCACTAATTTAATAATTATTTTAAAGGTATTTCTGAACCTCGCAAATCATCATCTTCATCAAAAAAATTTTCTTCTTCAATATCATTACCAAATGTTCGTCTATTATCTAATTTACTTTTTCGGGAACCTAAAGCAATAAAGTTAAACTTTCCACCAACAACAGCAAATTCGCTTATTGCACACTGGAGTGCCTTAATACACACAGATTTGGTACATATTGGAAGTTCACAATTAATTACAGAACATGGAGGTAAGGAAAATTTAAAAAAATAATAAATATGTTTCAAAGAGAATCGTTTAATTCCTTGTTGTGCACTAGAAAATGGTTTAGGGGCACCTGATATTGAACAACATTTATTTCATCCAGAATGTTATTCAATTAATTTAAGTATTGATGATCCCAAATTTAGAGGATTGGTAAAAAATTTTTTTAAATAAATTTCTAAAAATAATTTAAAGATAAATTGTTTTGATTATTCACGGACTTTACCTTCACCGAGATCTGAAAATTGTTCTTTGGGACTAAGAGAGCAATTAAATCAGGTTTTAAATATTTTTAAAAATTTTACATATTTAAAGTTTTCTTTTTTTAATAAAGGCCACAAGTTTTTTGGATGCTTCTTTTTTATATGGAAGTTTAATTGAACAAACAAATTCTTTACGTTCTTTTAAAAATGGTATATTTAAATTTATGTAAATAAAATATTAATTATTCAGGTAAATTAATTTCAAGTAGAGAAAATGGACAAAATTCACTCTCGAAAGAATTACCGCCAACTTTAGAAATGTTAAAAAATGGAGGAAAAAGTCAAAAATTAATTTGGAATAATTATTTTTGTTCCAGTGGAAATTTTGGTATTTGCTTTGGTGGTGGAAATGGTTGCTATTTTTTAAATTTTTTAAAAATTATTTTTAGTACAAATAAACTTTTTGCCTTCGTTGACAGCTTTAAATACAATGTATGTATTTATAATATACCTAATTATGTTTTCAAATCGTAATTCTGAAATAATTTCGAAAATACAAATTGTAATTCTGAAATTTATCCGGAAAAATTGCAAATTGTATTTCTGATATTAATCCAGAAAAATTGCAAATTGTAATTCTGAAATTATTCCTGAAAAAGTACAAATTGTAATTCTGAAATTATTCCGGAAAAAGTACAAATTGTAATTCTGATATTATTCCGGAAAAAGTACAAATTGTAATTCTGAAATATTCCGGAAAATTTACAAATTGTAATTCTGATATTTATTCGGAAAAATACAAATTGTAATTCTGATATTATTCCGGAAAAAGTACAAATTGTAATTCTGATATTTATTCGGAAAAAGTACAAATTGTAATTCTGATATTAATCCGGAAAAAGTACAAATTGTAATTCTGATATTTATCCGGAAAAAGTACAAATTGTAATTCTGAAATATTCCGGAAAATTTACAAATTGTAATTCTGATATTTATCCGGAAAAATACAAATTGTAATTCTGATATTATTCCGGAAAAAGTACAAATTGTAATTCTGATATTTATTCGGAAAAAGTACAAATTGTAATTCTGATATTTATTTGGAAAAAGTACAAATTGTAATTCTGATATTTATTCGGAAAAATAAATTCTGAAATATTCCGGAAAATTTACAAATTGTAATTCTGATATTTATCCGGAAAAATACAAATTGTAATTCTGATATTATTCCGGAAAAAGTACAAATTGTAATTCTGAAATATTCCGGAAAATTTACAAATTGTAATTCTGATATTTATTCGGAAAAATACAAATTGTAATTCTGATATTATTCCGGAAAAAGTACAAATTGTAATTCTGATATTTATTCGGAAAAAGTACAAATTGTAATTCTGATATTAATCCGGAAAAAGTACAAATTGTAATTCTGATATTTATCCGGAAAAAGTACAAATTGTAATTCTGAAATATTCCGGAAAATTTACAAATTGTAATTCTGATATTTATCCGGAAAAATACAAATTGTAATTCTGATATTATTCCGGAAAAAGTACAAATTGTAATTCTGATATTTATTCGGAAAAAGTACAAATTGTAATTCTGATATTTATTTGGAAAAAGTACAAATTGTAATTCTGATATTTATTCGGAAAAATAAATTCTGAAATATTCCGGAAAATTTACAAATTGTAATTCTGATATTTATCCGGAAAAATACAAATTGTAATTCTGATATTATTCCGGAAAAAGTACAAATTGTAATTCTGATATTTATTCGGAAAAAGTACAAATTGTAATTCTGATATTTATTCGGAAAAAGTACAAATTGTAATTCTGATATTTATCCGGAAAAATACAAATTGTAATTCTGAAATATTCTGGAAAATTTACAAATTGTAATTCTGATATTAATCCGGAAAAATACAAATTGTAATTCTGAAATTATTCCGTAAAAACCTTTCATTTTTTTAAGCTAAAAAGATATTTTTTATAGTTTTCTTAGACATCATAATACAATCGCCACACATTTATTTGTAAGTAAAAATTATTTATGTAAATTTTAAAATAAGTTATTTATTAAAGAAATTAAATAAGGATTGGACCGATGAACAACTATTTCAAGAAAGTAGAAGAATTATTATTGCACAATTACAAATAATTACATTTAATGAATGGTTACCTTTAATTATTGGGAAAGAAAATTGGATTAAATTTAAATTAGATGTTTTTAATGATGAAAATAGTTATATCTTAAGTGAAAATCCAACAACGGTTTAGTAGAATTTTAAAAAAATTCTGTTTAATTTTTTTAGTTAAATGAATATGCAACAACTGTCGGATTGGTATATTTTTATTTATTAATATTTTTATTAAAATTAATTTTTAAAGTTTTTCTTCACAATGTTTGAATCAAAATTTGCTCATTTGGAACCTAATGGAATTTCATCAATGGAAAAACCGTTAAGTGAATGGATGTATGAAGTAATTTAAATTTTTTTATGTTTTATTTAAATATTTTTAGCCTAGTTCTTTAATGTTTAGTCAAAGAATTGATGGAATTTTGAGGTTTATAAAAAATGTTTTTTGAATAAATTTCTCATTAGATTTTTATTAAATCGTCCAACATTTCCTTCTGGCCTTTATATGACATCAGAATTAAGGGATAAATTTCTTAGTCAAAACAATCCTGATGGGTTAGATTTGGCAGCAATTATTTTACAAATGGGTAGAGATCATGGGATTGCTGGATATACTTTATGGAGAGAATATTGTGGATTAAGCAAAATTTATGAATGGAAAGATTTGGAAGAAATTATTTTTGAACCAAAAAGAATTATACCAATAATTTCTAAATATTTTAGAAAACCTCAGGATGTTGATTTATTTATTTTAGGTTTAATTTTAATCAATTCTAAAATAATTCTTTTTTAGGGTTAGCAGAAAAACCTTCAAAAGGTTCACTTTTAGGACCAACATTTGGCTGTTTACTTACTAAACAATTTCTAAAGGTTTTTTAAATGTTCAAAAATTATATTTTTATTACTAAAAAAGACAAAAAATGGAGATAGACTTTTTGTTGATAATTTAGGCCAACCTTGGTCTTTTAATGAACAACAAATTAATGAACTTAAAAAAACTACTTTAGCTCAATTAATTTGTTTTAATACAGAAATAGAAGCAATTCAACCTAGAGCTTTTGAAATAACTGACAGTTTTGAGTTTGTTTATATAAATATTTTTAATTTATTCAAAAAAACATTTAATCAGTAATTATCCAATATCATGTAATTCAACAATAATTTCTGGACCAAATTGGACTGTATGGAAAGGTGAAGAATCATTAATTCAAATGCCTTTTACTTCAAATCTTGTTCAAAAAGCTATTGAATTGGGTGTTGAAAGAGCAATAGAAAGACGTAGAAGAGAAGCAAGAAATATTTCTTTTTATAGTTAAAATAATTTTATTTGAAAATTTTCTTTTAATTTTTAGAGAAAAATAAACTAAATAATGACGATTCTCTTTTTGCTTATGCACAAATGGTTATTTTTTAATTAAAATAATTCTTTAAAATAAAAATCTTTAAGATGCGACCAAAAAGAGAAGCAATCTCTATGGGAAGAAGAGGCCATGTTTTATTAGAAGCAACAAAAATGTTATTAAAAGGGTTAGTTTTTTTACGAATTAATTGTTTTTTAAAAAAATTTTTTAAAGAGATCCACGGTTGGGCGATTCATCATTTATAAGAGAAATGGATCCACAAGTATTACAACAACTTTTGCCAAAATTGGATATTACTTCGTAAATTAAAAAACTATATAAATTTAACGTTTTACTTTTAAAGAATGTTATCAAGTATTGAACCATTTATTAATTCAATAGAACACAAAGGTATTTTATCTGAATGTTTGCCTAGAGATTTACCTTGTGATCATACAAGTCCATACAGGTAATATTTAATTTAAAAATATTTTTATTTTTTTGATTAAAAAAGAACATATTCTGGTTGGTGTAATAATCTTCGATTTCCTCATTATGGTGCTGCTTTTAATACCTTAAAACATTTAATGCCTCCAGTTTATGAAGATAAAATTGATATACCTAGATCTATAGCAGTTAGTGGAGCACCTTTACCTTCTGCTAGAGCAATATCTAATGCTATACATATTGACAGAAATTTTGAACATAAAAAATTTACACATATGGTAATTGTTTAAATATCTATATAGCAATTTTTCTTTAAAGGTAATGCAATTTGGGCAAATTTTGGATCATGAATTAACACATTCACCTGTGGAGAGAGGTCCAAATGATGAAATATTAAACTGTACACATTGTGATTCTCCGAAAACACTTTCAGAGCATTGTATGCCTTTATCTATTCCTGATAATGATCCTTTCTTTCCAAAGTATTTTTTTATAATTTTTAAAAATATTTTTATAATTTAAAAGAATTGACGAAAATGGAGAACCTCGTTGTTTACCTTTTGCTCGTTCCTTACTTGGACAATTAGTATTTTTAAAATATTTCAAATTAATTTCTTCTTATTATTTTTTCAGACTTTAGGATATAGAAACCAATTAAATCAATTAACTTCATTTATTGATGCTTCTGTTATTTATGGTTCTACACATTGTGAAGCACCTCTTTTAAGGACATTTGAAGGAGGACGTTTAAATTCGACAAATTTGGGACATTTTAACCCGTAATTTTTCTAATTAACTTCGATTTTTATATTAGAAAATTAAAGAGAAGCACTCCCACAAGGTGATCAAGAGCAAGATTGCAGGGTTAGTGAATTTAATTGAAAATAATTATTTAAAAATTTTTAGGGAAAGGTATTTTGATTTAAACAAAATTAAATAAATTGCTTCTCTCAAAAGCCTTTATTTCCTTGTTTTATTGCTGGTGATGAAAGAAATTCACACCAACCAGGATTAACAACTTTACATATTATATTTTTAAGAGAACATAATCGTATTGCAAGACAATTACAGGTATATATTTTTAATGTTTTTTAAAGTAAACTTCATTTAAAGGAAATAAATCCAGATTGGAATGATGAAAAAATGTATCAAGAAACTCGAAAAATTATTGGTGCTATATTTCAACATATTGTTTATAGGTTTGGAAATTTGAATTTTTGTAAAAAATTATTCTAAAAATTATCAATATAGAGAATATTTACCAAAACTTATTGGGCAAAAAGAGGTTTGTTGAAAAAGGAAATTTAATTAAAAAAATTAAAAGATGATTAAACATGACTTATTACCAAAAAGTTCTGGTTATTACACAAATTATGATTCAAATTGTGATGCTTCTATTTCACATCCATTTGCAACAGCGGTTTTTTTTAATTTTTTTCAATTTTAAAAAGTTAATATATTCACAGGCTTTTCGTTTTGGACATACATTAATTAGAAGATATTTCCCTCGTCTAGATCCTCGTTATAAAAATTATTCCTTGCCAATTGATTTGGTTGAAAATTTTAATAATATGGAAGAAATATATAATGAAAGAGCAGGTTTCTTGAATTTTATTTTGAAAAATATTAAAAAAAGGTGGCTTTGAAAGTATTTTACTTGGTCTTATTGGAACAAAAGCGATGGCTTTCGATAGACATATTACTGATGCAGTTAGAAATCATTTATTTGGAATTAGAGGATTACCTTTGTCTGGATTTGATTTAATTGCTTTAAATATACTTAGAGCTAGAGATCATGGTGTTCAAACATATAATTCTTTTAGGTTATTTTTTAATTTATTTTTTTAATAATTAAAAATTTAAATATGTAGAGAATTTTGTGGGTTAACAAGAGCTCGAAATTGGGCAGATTTAAATAATGAAATGGACCAAACAACTATTGAAGCTCTTCAAAGTGTTTATGAAAGTTATGAAGATATTGATCTTTTTCCTGGTTTAATTTCTGAAAGGCCAATGCCTGGGGCTTTAGTAAATATCTTTGAAGGTTTTTAATATTTAAATTAAATTTTAGATGCCACCAACAATGGCTTGTATTATTTCAGAACAATTTCAAAGATTAAAACGTTGTGATCGTTTTTATTATGAGAATGATGTTCCAGAAGTGCGCTTTAGTTTAGGTATTTTTTACGATTTTAGAGATCTCTAAATTAAAAAATTTTTAGAGCAATTAACAGAAATAAGAAAGATTCAATTTGGCAGTATTTTTTGCCAGGTAATAAAAATAAAATTAATGTATTTTTAAATTTAAATAGAATGTTCCTTTGTTAAAAAGAATTCAACCAGATGTTTTTTCTCTACCAGATCAACTTTCGTTAGTTTATTTTTTTAATTTAAAAAAAAGAATTAAAATATTTTTGAAGAAATACACAAATTCCTTGTAGAGATTTTCCAAAAATGGACTTAACTAAATGGACGGAAAGATGTTTGTTTTTTAATAAAAAATTGTTTAAATAATTTTAATTTATTTTTTAAAGCTGTTTGTAATATTGGAAATTCTCAGGTTGTTAGAGGTTCAACAAAACTAAAAAGTCCTTGTGTTAAATGTACTTGTACAATTGAAGGACCAAAATGCAGAGTATATTTTAATTTAAAAAATTTTTAATTAAATTTTAGGCGATTAAAATAATTAGTTGTGCAAATCTTTTGGATAATTTTTTAATTAGTGAAATACGTGAAGATGGGGCATGTATGGTTAGTTTTTTGACATTTTATAATTTTATTCTAATTTTAAATTTTTATCCAGATGCAGTGTGGGCAACAGATTAAATAAAGAAAGATAATTTTTAATTAAAAAAATTTTTGGTTTAAATCATAAAATTTATTTTTTTAAAATTAGAACGAAAAATACAAAAATCAGAAAAAGAAAAAAACGAGAGGAAAAAGATAGGAAATATACATTATCGCAAGCACGACTTAAAAAATTTTTTGGAGGTTGGATTTAGATGGGTTTTTGATGATAAAAAATTACCTGATTTTCTGCCAAAAATGAATTTAATCTTCAAGTTCGTCTTGAAGAAGTTCTTCTCTTTCATCAGTAATTGTTGTGGCTGAATTCTTTTTATTATAATAATAAATTTGGCCAATCATTATAACATCAAAAGCACAACATCCTAAAGAACCAGCTAACCAAGGGAGATGCCGTAAAAGATAACGCCAACCAGTCGTTTCAAGTAAAACAGAAAGACTTTAAAAATAAATTTATCAAACAACCTTTAAATCTACAAACCCGTATGTAAAATTTGCCAAAACAATAATGTAAAACATTGCCAAAGAAAGCCCCTCACAAGATTTTCTATAATAATTACGCAAAAGTTGAGGGATTCTACCAGCAAAATAACAAAAAGCAGCAACAGTTCCAATTAAATAACCAGCCTAAAAATATCTTTTATTTTACCCATAGAACACCATCGAAAACTTACCACATCCTTATATCCTTCGAATATAGGTGGAAACATCAAACGATTACCTCTTGTAACAAGAGGTATAGATTCAGCAGAAAGACTAAAAAATTTTTAAATGTTAGTTTATCATCTAAATTAGAAAAACCTTCTGCCCGTGTGCAAATTTGAAGAATAAGAACGATCAGCAATGAAAGAGAATATACCAAAAAATCCAAGGATTGAAGCTGGAATAATCACAGCTGTATCAGTTCGAGTTGATTCTACAAAGATTTAATTTGTCGAATTATTAAATTACCTCCAATAGTATTTGAATATATACGGGTATAATAAAAGAATTGTCCAACCAAGACCATATCTTGTATAATATAATAAAAGCCTATCCATTCTAAAATATTTTATTTAAAAATAGTAAAAAAATTTAATAAACGTTGTAGTGGCTGTTGATGTGTAAGTAATGCACCAAGTAAATTACATGTATCGCCAATAAGCCTAAAAGTTGATTCATAATTTTTGAAAATGTTTAAATAATTACCAAAACATTAAAAAGAATATTGAAAGTCCTTCACATCTTTTTTGTTTGTAATTTTCATAAAGTTGGGGAAAGAGAGGAACTAACCAAAGAAAAAGTGAAATTACACCAACTGAAAATCCCAACATTTTTAACGAACTGTCAACACAATCACCAAAAACCTTTAAAAAATTATTTAAAATTTAACTAAATAAATAATAAAAAACATTTAAAATCCATTTAGTTCCATTTGGACAATCAGTTCCATTACTATCTAGAAGTAAGTTGTGATGATTACCATTATGAGACATACCAATTGCCTCAATATCGGCAATTGGGAATGGCCAATAACGAGAAAGCATTAGAATAACATTTAAGCTGACAAATAATTTAAAAAATAGGTTTTATTAAATCTGAAAATTTAAAATTAAAAAAAAAAGTGTAATAGACTGTATCTGTAAAAAATCATGACATAAAACTGGGTACATCCGCATATGATATTGACTGGGATGTCGATTGATTTTAAAAATCCATAAAACTCTATTGGGCATTCTTGTTTGGTACTCAAACGGTTCTTACAATGTGAAATTAACCACTTTGAAATGAATTCAAAATGTAAACTTAATAAATTGTCAACCGTCAAAACGTCATTTATAAAAACGGTAATCGCAAGATAAATTTTTTTAAATTACCTACCTATTTTTTTTAATTTTACTTTCTAAAAATTTTCAGAGAAATTTTGAAGGTGAAAATGATAGATTCTGACTTTAATTTCTTAGATATTGAAAATGAACCTGAATCAAACTTACGAGGATCAAGAATGGATGGATATTTATACAAAGTATTAAATTTTGTTTTATTTACTTTTAAAAAATTCTCAGCATGAGCAACGACCAATTGTTGGCCTTACAAAAAAGAAATATTGGTTTGTTCTTCCAAAAGAAGCGCCTGTATTATATTGGTATTTTTTTAATTTTTTTAATATTAATTTGTTATTAATTTTAAAGGTACAAAAGTCCTAGTGATTTTAATTGTGCTGGAAGAATAGTTTTGTCTGGTGCTGCATTCACTTTTAATCCTCGAGACTCTGGAATATTTGAAATTCAGTTAATTTTTTTAATTTAAAGTTAAAAACACATTCTTCAGTGTTGATAATGAATGCTACATTTTGGAAGCACCTGATAATAAATTACGGATTGAATGGCTTAGTTCTTTGCAATATAATCGAAAACAGTATTATCAACAAAATTCAAAAGATAATTCAACTGAAATAAAAATTTCTGAAAATTCTCAAGTTTGTTTTGTTTTTTAAATTATGGTTATTTTTAAGGGTGCTGTTTGTTCAAAAAGTCATCAACAAGATAAATCACCCACAATCTTAAATAGATTGAGTCGAAATTTGGATAGGAACATTGATGTGGTAATAATTTTTTACTTTATAAACGATTGCTTACTTTTTTAGCCAGAACCAAAATCTGTTTTTTATCTGAACGAGAATGGTGGATTACATCCTGGTAGTCTTGAAATTCCTCCTCCAATTTGTAATATTCAATCTATAGAAAATTTAATAAATAAAGTTAATGATGAAACTAATCAATTGGATTTAACAACAAAATTATTTCGTAGAACGAGAAATTCTTTGAGGTTTATTTAATTATTTCGTTTTGAAATTTTTTTAAAGAAATAATTCGCAATCAAGTCATTGTAATATGTCAAATTTTGCTTTTCCACAACCTCGAGAAAATTGTGATAAATGTGCAGAAGTAATTATAATCTTAAATATTCATTGTTAATTTATTTTTTCAAGGTTCTTAAAGCTTTTGATCAATTACGAAATAAATGTTTTGAATTAACTGATGATTTAGTTGTTTATCAAGACTTGGTTAATTCGTTGAAAAAGAGTGTCGTTTCTGCGCATAATGAAAAAGCTGCCTTGCAACAATATTGTGTTGATGCTTCGTCTGATATGGATAAATTAGCTTTTGTTTTAGAACGAGAACAAGCTTTCACAAATATTCAGTTTACAGCTTCGGAGCTTAGAAGGGATATTGAAACTTTAAAAGCAGATAACAGGTTTTTATTTTTTATAATTTTATTTAATTTTAGCCTTTTAAGGAAATTAGAACTCGAAAATAATTCACTAAATGTGACAGTCGAAGCATATCAAGAATCTGTTCGTACTAAAGAAGAATTAATTCTACGATTAGTTGATCAAAATTCTATGGGTGCTCCTGTAAGAAATTCAATTAGAAATAGATCTACTGGACATATAAATATATCACGTTATTTTTAAAATAATTTCTTTGTTTTTATAAATTTATATTTTTTGTAGCAGAAGTTCCTGAGGCATTACTTGTCGATTATGGAACGCCTACTGATTATGTTACAAAAAATGTTTTGGCAGAGACGGCTGTTAGTGATCTAAATGAAATGCATGATCTAATTGAGGGATATAAAAATCAAAATAATTTTTTGAATAACGAAGTTATTGGTTTGTTTGCTTTTATATTTGTTTTAATAAATATTTTTAAAAATATTTTAAGAACTCCAAAGAATTATTCAATCATTGGAAGAACGAGAACGTCGTTTGATAAGACAAAATTTTAGCCTTGAAGCTTTTTATTATCAAATGAAAAGTCGTTATGTTATGGTAATTTATTTTTAAATATTTAACTATTTAATTTCAAAAAGCTTTTAAATCACTTTCGTTCTTCTGATCAACCTCCAAAAAGAGGTTTTATTTATATTTTTATGTATTTTTTTTATTTTATAGTTATTGAACCATCAGTAATCCAAAATTTGGTGGAAGAAGTATCTCGACCTCTTTCTCCTTTTAGAGCGAATAATTCAAATACTTTGGCTTCTGAGACCGTAAAATAGTTTATATTAGCTTAATTTTTAATTTTTTTAAAATTAGTTGAAGTCTCGTGCAGCTCTTTCCACAGCAATTTCAAATCCTGAAGGAATTCCTGTCGCTGCTTTTGAAGATTTAAATGCTGGGATTTTGCAAAATGCTGATCCGGAAACTGATTCTCTTGGATTTTATTTGACACCGCAAAAATCTAGAAAATCTGATAATTCTAAGAATGCCTGCCAAGAGCCTCCTAAGGATTCACAATCTTCTGGAGATTTTCAATTAAATTCTAAGGATGATCAACAACCAGATGCAGAACAAAATGTATTTTATTTTAAATTTTATTATATTTATTTTATATTTTGCTAGACATGTAAAGATGGTGTTGAACAAACTGATCCTTCCTCTTCCGTTCCTTCAACTTCTTATTTTGCCTATTTTAATGAATTAAAAGAAAAACCTGCTTTCTTTTCTCAAAACAAAGATTTATTATTACGTTTGGCAGCAGATTCACAAAAAAGAGCAGATGACATTCTTTCACTTGTTGAGCCAGGAAATAATCAAGTTATTTAATTCTTAAATAATTTATTTTAGAAAAATATTTATGTTTAGGAATTTGTTAATTGGTTAGCACGATGGGATTCATTTCTTGTTAACCATGTTTCACATCCACTTAACCCTGACCCTAATTTAAAAGCTTTGGTTCGTTGTGGTGTTCCTCATGCTTATAGAAGAAGAGTTTGGAGCGGGTATTTTACAAATATTTTTTTGTACAAAAATTTTTATTTCAAGACTTGTTGATTTTCATGTTGGTTCAACACAAGTAGAGGCAGGGAATGGATATTATGAGTGTCTTTTGCGTAAATCACAAAAACTTCTTTCAGAGGATGATGCTGCTCTTAAACAAGTATTCTGCCCTTTTAAAAAATTGTAATATTAAATTTTTAGATTGATTTGGATTTGGCTCGTACTTTACCCAATAATAAATTATTTGAAACAGAGCAAAGTCCAAAAGCTGGTGCCTTAAGAAATATTCTTTATGCTTTTCGTTTTCACAATAAAAGTGTTGAATATTGCCAGGTTTTTTATTTATCCTTTTTTATTTAAAAAAATTTAAATATTTTTAAAGGGATTGAATAGAATTGGTGCTATCGGTCTTTTATATCTTGAAGAATCTGAGGTTATTTTTTATCTTCTATTTAAATTTTAAATATATTTTTTAAAGGCCTTTTGGTTTTTGGTTGCTAGTGTTGAACATTTACAACCATTAAATTATTATTCTTCAAATTTAGTTGGAGCAGTTATAGACCAAAGAGTTTTACTTGATTTGGTACAAGAAAAAATGCCTGCTTTACATGCACATTTACAAAAATTGGAAGTTAATTTGTCCTTATTTACCCTAAGTTGGTTTCTAACAGTTTTTGTTGATGTTCTTTCTCATACAGTTAAATTTTTAAAAAATATTTTTTAATTTACATTTTTTTATTTTTAAAGGTCTACATTAAGGTTACTTTATTTTTATTTTTTAAAATTATTAAAAAAATTTTTGTAAAAAGATTTTTGATGTTTTTCTCTATGAAGGCAATAAAGTTCGTTTAATTTTAAATTATTTAAAAAATTAATTTTGTCCTTTTTAAAAAGGTATTGTTTCGTTTTGCTTTAGCAATTTTAAGACTTGTAGAGCTTCGCCTTCTTGAATGTAATTCATTTTCCGGTGTTCATACTTGTTTAAGTAATTTATCTTCGATTGTTACAGATTATAAAGCTTTGGCAAAAGTTTTTTTGAATTAAAAATATTTTTTTAATTTTATTTTTTAAAAGATTGCCTTTAATCATCTTAATCCATTCCCTGCAAGGCTTATTGAATCACGTCGTCAAAGTTATTATTTTCAGCACAGGGTTTGTTTTTAAAATTATTTTTAAATATTTTTAAATTGTTTTTTAGTGTGGAAAATTCAATATTTAATCAATTTTGGTTGAAAAAGAGGGATTTTAGCAAAGCTGGGATTTAAAATTTTGAAAAGTATTAATTTCCAAAATATACTCAAAATCATTCCATCTAGTATTTCCACTTCATTTTTAACTATATAATTTTAATTACTTCTACCTGTCTCTTATTTTTGTGATTTTAAATTTATAAATTTACATATTCTTTTATTTTTTGCCCAATTTTGTTTGAGTATTTGCCTTATTCTGTAATTATAAGTTTTATTGTTACAATAAATTTTATATACCTAGGTTTTATATACCTATATACCTAGGCTGTGCCTAAATGAGATGCCCCAAATGAGACTTGAACCTTTTGTCTGCATTTCCATATGTTCCCTTTTTTCAGCCTTTCACCAAGTTCCATTTTTCTGCATTTTTTGTCATAGATTTTACCCCTGTCTATCTTTTAGTGCATCTATCTTTTGGTGCATCTATCTTTTAATCAATTTTTGCCTATCTACTTTTGGTGCATATATCTTTTGGTGCACTATCTTTTAATCGATTTTTGCCTTATCTATCTTTTAGTGCATCTATCTTTTGGTGCATCTATCTTTTAATCGATTTTTGCCTTATCTATCTTTTATTGCATCTATCTTTTGGTGCATCTATCTTTTAATCGATTTTTGCCTTATCTATCTTTTAGTGCAGCTATCTTTTGGTGCATCTATCTTTTAATCGATTTTTGCCTTATCTATCTTTTAGTGCATCTATCTTTTAGTGCATCTATCTTTTGGTGCAACTATCTTTTAATCGATTTTTGCCTCATCTATCTTTTAGTTCATCTATCTTTTGTGCGTCTATCTTTTGTATAGGAGCCGGTTTGGTCAGTTCGATGCTCCTTGTTGAGTGCTAACCGGCAAAAATTAAAAATCAATAACCTAAAGTCAAGTTTATATTTTCAAAAAAAAACTATAAAAAATCAATAAATCGATAATCAAATTTATATAACATCTTTAAATAATAATGTTCACATATGTATAAACACTAAATCAGAAGGGAGAAGGGAATTATAGAGATCATAAAAAATTATATATCAAATTTAGATTCCTTTTTTGAGATCATTTTAGTGTAATTTTGCCAAAAGATCATTATATTCCTATAAAGATAAATAATATTTTATTTTATAATAAAAAAACAAACCTTTGAATTAATAAATCTAACATAAGGATCATTTTTAAGAATTTGCTCAACGTGTTTAACAGCTTCATCAAAAACTGTGTCATCAACATTTTTCTCCCGTATTTTCTTCTCAACACGTTGGCGTAAACCAAATGGCAAAAAAACCTGAAAATTAACTTAAAAACTTTAAACATTAAATATTAACCTCATTGTGAGCTCCTTCACGGAGAAATTGTTGTTGAATTGTTCTGCTCATATTTAACATGGCGATGGATTTATTTTTTAATTGTCGAAATTCAATCACAGATTCCTTTAAAATATTTTTTTCAATTTAAAATAAATATCTAAATTACCCAAAAACGCAAATTTTCTTCAGCGTGAACATTAAAAAGAAATTGTCGAAAGTGATGTCTACCAACTTGATTGCCTAAAAGAGCATCAAATGAAGTCATCCAACGTTCAGCATATGAACGAGGCAATAATTGTTCAAGAAATTCAAGGTACAATTTTGAACGTCGAAAGCGTGGAAACTGATCGTTTTCGAGTAATTTGTATATTTCCTATAAATTAAAGTTTAATTGAGAAATAAATTTAACAACCTTGTGGGCACATTCCAACGCCTTTGGATCTGGCACTTCTGATTTAGTTGCTTCTCTCAATTTCTAAAATTAAATAATAATTTATTTTTTTTATTAAAAAAACAAACACTCATAGCAACACTGCTTAAATTAATATATTGTCCATATTTATCCAATAACATTTTTATTCCTTGACGAATTTTTTCTGGTTGTTTTTCTCTCTTCATTTTTTCAACTTCTTCAACAAAAAGCAAATTTTCTTCTGCAAGGGATTCGTGTAAAAAACAACGAAAAACTTGACGACCTAGATTTTTTTAAAAGTGATTACTTCAATTTAAAAAATCAAACCAATCTGATCTCTCATAATTTCGGCAACTGTTGAAGAACTCCAAGACGCTGCTCGAGGATACTATGAAAATAAATAAAAAATTATCTGAAAAAACAATTTATTTCGAGGCATGTCACGGTTACAAATTTTAAATTCATATCCGCATCCGCCCGTATCAGCGGATATCCGGGTATCAGCGGATATTCTCATTATCCGTGAACATGCCCGCTTATTTACCTCAATTCCTTCAGTTGTTGGCATTTCAGGAATAGGCGCGTCACTACGAGAGTCCTTTTCGAACATATTTGCAGTTGGCTTAATAAAAATAAAATATATAATTGTTATATTTAAATATTAAAAATAACCTTTCCGTCATTAATTCCATTTATATCTTTAACTGGTGGCATTTCTAATAAATTGTTATCTTCGTTTAAATTGCTAGAAATATCTGTTGTTGTTTGATTTTTAAATGACGAAGAACAAGAATTACTATTAGTCGACTTTCTTGGTCTAAATGTTTTAGCAGAAGCAGAATTAGAAGGAAAGTTATTTAAACAATTTTCTTCTTCTTTAATTTCTTCTTTATTTAAATTTAAAGCAGAATTTTCTTCTTCTTTTTGGTCAGAAGAAATATTATATTCTTCAAATGAAGAAGTAAATGAAGATGAACGTCTATTTAATTTATTAATATATTTATTATTAAATGATTTACGTCTACAATCTGTTGGTGTTGTTGACAATGAATGGGCGGATATATTTTTCCTTTAAAAAACGGAAATTATTTTTAAATAGAGTTATAATTACAAGTAGAAAAAAAAGAGGAAATATATTCTCTACACGTAATAAAAAAATAAATTAAAAAAAATTTGTTTTGCAATTTAAAGTCTATTCACTTAAATCAAAAAAATAATGCCGTTTATATTCATCATTCTCTTACTTAAAAAATAAATTTTTCAAATAAAAATTTAAATTCAAAATTTTTTTTATTAATTATAATTGTTTAAAGAGAAACTTTTACCTATTTTTGTACAAAAAAAAACGAGAGAGGAAAGAATATAAAACCCCAAAGGAGTTATTGTAGTCAAGTAATTGTTCAAAAAATTAAATACTTTATATTAATTTTTATTATTGTTGTCTTGACAACAAAAAATATTAAAAAATTACCTAATTTTAGATAAATTTTACTTGGAAAAGTAAAAAATAAAGAATTCTTTATCAGTTAATTATAATTAATTTGCATGACAATTAATAAAAATTAATATAAAGTATTTAATCTTTCGAGAGCCAGACATAAAGGGACAGATACATATATCGGCATTTTTCAATGCACGTTACCCTATTGATTTCAGGACCTACGGCAACTACATCTTGAATAGACACTGTCCTATTAGGGAGGTTTTTGTTTTATAACCCCTCCCCCTGCCCGTCCCGATGTTCCTTACAAATTTTTTAAAATTTAACTATAAACGAAAATCTCGCCAGGGTCTTTCAAACCACAAATTATTTTTAGATAAATTTTTAATAAAAAAAACCTTTTTGGAGTAAATGTATTAGTATTTGCAGCTGCATAACTCCGCCACATGGAGAAGACTATCCTTTAAAATTGCTTCTGTTGGTTTTTACATAATATAAACAAATTTACATTTATTTTCTTGTATTTATCTAAAACATTAAAAAGAAAAATTTAATTTAGAAAAAAAGACTAGTAAAAGAAAAATATATTGACGTTTTTAATTTACATTTAATTACTAATTTTCCCGCCACTCCTTTTAAAACTAAAATATTTTTATATTTTGTTACCCAGGCAATATAAAAGATTTTTTTAAACCTAATTTATAAATTTAAATTAAAAAAAAAAACAGAACAAAAAATATATGAAACAAAAATATGTGAAAAATAATTTTAAATAAATTTGAGAGAAAGAGAATTAAAGAAAATTATTTTAATAAAAACAATTTTAAAAAATAGATAGAAAGCTTAATCTAATTTTTGTATGAGTAAATGAAAGAAAATAAATAGTATTTTTAGAGGAAAAAGAGAATTGCACATTTTTAAAAGTGAGCAAAAAAAGATTTTTTAATTAAAAAATTTATTCAATATCACTTTCCCAATCAGATTCCATTCCAAGAGATGAAAGAGGAATTGTTTTAACCAAATCACCATGTATTACTCTTTGAACTCCAGATGGTTGATTATTATTTTGATTTGTTGTATAAACATATGGTGATTGTATTGGTGATCCCATACGACCGAGTACTTTAAAAATAAAATTGAAAATTATTTTAAAAAATTGAAAAAACCTTCTTGAGAACTTTGAGCTTCCGCAGCAGAAACCTTTAAAAATAAACAAATTAAAAATTAAAATGAAGAAAAAAATATACATAAATAACTTCAATCCCATTAAATTTGCATTTTCTTAATCTTTGTTGTTTCTTGTTTCTTTTTGTTAAATTAATTTGACGTTCTTCAGCAATAGCAAAAATTGTCAATTTTCGATTAGAAAATAATTTATTAACATTTGAAGATTTTTCTTTAATTTTATTATCTTTATTTTGTAATAAATCTGTGCTTAAAGTACACCTAAAAATATAGAAAAAATTAAAATTTTCCGCTCCTTTCTCTCTTACCAAGTCGAAGAAGTAGCAAGAGAAAGTTGTTCATCTTCTTTAGTAGAATTATTAGTTCCTGGCCATGAAATTGTTGAACAAGCAGAAGAAGGAATACGTGGTGAGGAAGAAGTATGAAAAGTTGAAGATTTTTTTAAATTTATTAATTTTATATTTTGTTGTTGTTCAATAGTTAAATTAATATCATTATTAGAAGAATCAATAGAAGAATTATTTGAAAATAGGGAACCTTTTGAATATTTTTTCTGATAAGATGAACTTGTGGTAGATGAAGAAAAGTAATTAGAAAAAGATAGAGAAGGTGAAGAACAACTATTTAATGATGTTTTTGTTGTTGTTGAAATTGGTTCTTGTATTGAACAATTTGAAGACATTCCACCAATTTCAGCAAAATTTGGAATTCGTCTAGCATTATGATGAACACGTAAAACACGAATATTTTTTGGTAAATAAAATTCAATAAAACGAAATAAAGCAGAAGAATTAAAATGTCTTTAAAAAACAAGATAAAAAAATTAAAATATTTAAATAAATACCTAAATCCAATTGCTCGTAAATTTGTCATTTCTTTTAAAAATTTTTGTCCCAAAATATCAGGTTTTGGTTGATCACCAAGATGAAAAATGAAAGGTGGCAAATCCAAATCATTCAATTTTTTAAATTGACATAATAACTGTAAATATTGAATTCTTTTTTGTTCTTTACCAAAAGTACATCTTTAAAAGTTTCAAAAAATTAAAAAAAAACATTTCAATTAAAATCATACCCAATTGATAATCTTTTAAGAGACTCTGAACATTTTGGTAAAATTAATTCCAAAGCACTAAGAGAAAGTCTGCAATTTGTTAATTGAAGCTCTTCTAGTGGGGCATTTATAGCTTTTGCTAAATTTTTTGAAAAAATAAATTTGGATGTTGAAGAAGAAAAAGAAGAGAAGGAAGATGTTGGTGAAGATGAAGAAGAAAAAAATGAATTAGCAGATTCATTTGATGAATTATTATAATTAATTGTTGTAGAATCTAATATAAATAGTTGTTTTAAAGAAGTTAAACCAATTAAAGAAATTAATAAAGGTGATGGATGATATGTATTTAACCAACGACCACAATTCTGAAAATAAATTAAATTTGAAATTGAAAAAAAAACAACTTTGAAGGCTGGTAGGGTCAAAAAATCTTAGAAAATTTTTGTTTAAATAGGTGGACCTTTTGGATAATCAGAGGTGTCTCGACTCCAAACGGGAAATCCACAGGTACCAAGCATTTTTCAGTTTCCTATTACCCAAAACCACTATTAGGGTAATCTTATTGAGGATTTAAGAATTTCTCAAAATTTTTAATTTAATTTGAAAAAATAAATTTACCCAAAGACGCAAACAACGAAGTAATTGAGAACAGCGAATAATACAATTTCTTAATCTTTCAGAAAGACAAGCATCCCAAATTGTTAATTCTAAAAGTTGTCCATTTGCCAATCGACAGAGTAAAATTTTTAGAAGTCTTTCGGGTTGTTCAGAATCCTCTGATGAATTTATTGTTTTAATGCGAAATGAATGGCCTGAAGAAAGTTGAAAACGTAAATGAAAAGATTTTGGCTGGTTTTTTGGTTTTGAACGGAGAGAGGGAAGACGTCGACGATAGCCTGAAGAAAGAGGAAGACCTGTTGAAATTGCTTGTGATTGTGCTGGCGGTGGAGGAGGAGAAGGACAAATTGAAGGACCTAAATCTATTAAAGATGTTTAAATTTTTATTAAAATTAATTCCAAACCATTTGCCCATTCTGGACGTATTTCCAAACTATTAACATCAAGCCAATGAGAAGTTATTAATTGAAGTCTTCTAGAACATTGTCCCAATGATATTCTTTCCAGAGGTCCAAGATATGAAAATATTTTAATCCATAATGATTCTGGCAACTGTTCAGAAATATTTTTGGGTTCAAGACGCGCTTTTTTACATCTTAAACGGCATAATTCAGCCAAAGGTTTGAGAGGAGATGTTACTTGTGTAAAATCAATTGTGTCGAAAATAACAGAAAGTTGCCTTTCTACAATTGGCATAGAATTTTGTTTTTGAAGTTTTTGTTGTTTATTTGAATTATTATTATGCCCAAGCATCAAAATAGCTGTCATTTAATTTGTAAATATTATTTCTGCTAAAAATAGAAAAAGATTTATTACATGTTAAATATATAATATTACTACTATGTGAAAATAAAAAAAATAAAAGCTAAATATAGTAATGAAAGATAAAAAACATTTTCTGCACAATTTTGTTTAGCAAAAAAGGAATGTTAAAACAAATAGTGATATTTAAGATAAATATAGTCTTAAAAACTAAAAATAGTGTTGCAGCAGAAAAGGAATGAAATTCAATAATGTCTACATTTTTTGTAAATAAATATATTCTCGTGTGACAGCTGAAATTTTTTTTATAATTTTGTATGTTAAAAGGCTATGAAAAAGCTGCGCATTTTTAAACGTTTAATGAATATTTGATGGGGAAATTTAGAAAAAAAACAGCGAGAGGGCAATGGAAGGAAAACGTCCATTGGCATTACAAAAATTAAGGACAAAATGATACTAGACGAAATAGTATTTTGACAAAATAGAATTAGACAAAATGTTAAAATGGATAAAATTAGACAAAATGGTACATGAAAAATGGTCGTTGAACTACCGTCTGTAAAAACTTAAGAGGTAATTGTGCAATTTTGCTATTTGGGAGGTTATGTTTAGTAGGTAAGAAGTGTAGTAACGTTTTGTTTTTAGACCGTTAAGTTTGTACCATTTTGTCTAATATGATTTTGAGGATGGGCCATGAATATGTAGTAAAATACAGAGGCATATTTCTTGCAAAAATGAATAATGAGGGAAAAACGCGCGCATGCCAACGTGAATTAAAAAAGACAATAAATTATGAAAGATATAGAGAGAGTCGAATGCCTCGGCATTTTTGCTTTACTCCTCTAATTTTTTGCAGAAATATTCGATTTTCTTGCTTTATTATTTCTCTCTCTCCCTCCACATTTTGCTGCTGATGCTTTTTGGCCGCCCACCTTTTTCCCGACAAATGTTTGTCAAGAGTTTTGTTTTATGTTAAAGGAGGAGAAAAATTTATAGTTATTTGTTAATTGCTATTAACTAAATGATGACATGCAGCAGTAATTTTCAATTGCAAAAGGTAGAAAATAATAATTTTATTTTTTGCAATTTAATTTCTGCAAAAGGAGAGAAGGGTAATAATGAAAAAAAATAGAGTAAATATTAAAAAATAAAGAGATTTAAATTTAATAATTAATTAAAATATGTTTTAATTAAAGAATGGGATTGGAATGAGGAATTAAAAATTGATGATATATGGAAATGGAAAAAAAATCTATATTTAAACTTAAAAATTGACTAAAATTGCAAAAATTGTAATAAAATTCTTTTTGGATTTTTTCTCTTTGTTCATATGACATTTTTAATTGCCTAAATTATAAATTGAATTTGTTAAATGATGACAATTTGTTAGTGTTTTAAGATAAAAAAATTTTTTTTAGTTTTTATTTGTCTCTTTTTGTAATATTAAAAATTAAATAATTATTGGTGGTAAAAAAAGAAAAAAATTTAAAATAAAATATTATTGCAATATAAAAAATCAATAATAAAATAAATTTGACGCATTAGAAGGAAATTAAAGATTAGAAAAAACCTTATTTCCAGCCGATAAAATATTTCAGAATTTCCTAACTAAAGCAACAGATTTAGGTCCCATTCTGAGATTAATGAAGGAATTTAAAAATTTATTATTAAGTTAAGTTAGAAAAAAGTTGCCGGAAAGGATAGGTGTAGTTGTCCGTTTTTTAATCTCGTTTATGCTTTTTCAATTAATCTTTTGTTTAATTAATAAGCAATAAAAGAAGCCTACAATATTATAAAAAGAAAATTTCTAAAAAAAATTAAAAATATATATTTAAAGATTTGCGTAAATGAATATAATGTGAGTCAGTAAATTTTAGTTTTTAATAGAAATAAAAAGAAAAATGTTAATCAAAAATAATATAGTTGAATATTTTAGCTTTTAATACTTTTTCTTATTAAAATAATAATCCCTCTCTCTCACTATTCTCCTTAATTCTTAGAAAAATATCTAACAAATAAACAACAAAAAAGAAAGAGAAAAAGCAATGAGGAAAGAAGCCACAAAAATAGTTTTTTTAAAAGAATTTCTTAATAATTAATACTAAATTTTTAATTATTACGCAAAACACATTAAATGCCATTTAATTTGTTTTAGCAATTAAATATTCTTTGTAGACAGGGAAATTTGAAAATTAAATATTCTGTGCAAATAGAAAATTAAAAGGGATGCAAGCTTACAAATTAGACTACCGTATTTCTTCGATTAATTCCCCTCCCTCGATAAACAATTTAGAATTTTCCCCATGCTAGGGATGGGTCCCCTAGCCTCAAATGCCATACTGCACATTCAAATTTAAAAATCCGAATTATTCCCCTCTCCACGGATGGGTTGAAATATTAACTCCCCAAGGGAATCGAGAAAATACAGTAAAAAATCTTAGGATTACAGTTACAATAAAGTCAAATAAAATATACCATAAATCCTCATATGAATAAAAAATGCCTAAAAAATAATTTCTCTTAAAACCTACGGAACAAACATTTAAAACTTTTAAATAAAAATATAAAACTCACAAACACATAAATTATTGTTTTTTTCACCTCCACATCCACTTAAAATTAATCCTCCTTTTTTAAATTTAAAAAATAAAATTCGAACTCTCAATTAAATATGAGTAATGTGAATATAACAGGAAAATCGTCATTTTAACAAATATTTCAATTGAAAATTTTATAAAAAATTATATCAAAGATAAAAAGATGAAAGTAAATTCATAATAAAGCTGACAAGAGTCTATACTAATTTAATATTTATTATTGTTTATGTAAAATAGACGGAAATTCTTTAAAAGGAATTTATTTAGTCGGCTGCAAATGCAAATATAGATAAGTTATTTACAACCATAAATAACTTTGAAATGATTCATTCTTAAAATAAAACAAATATAAAATTTTGCAGTTAAAAAAATAAAGTTAGTATAGAAGCACTTTAAAAACAATTAAAAATTATAAATTAAATATAAAAATTAAAAACAATTTTTAGTATTTGCATAAATTATATAACTGTTAAATGAAAGCTTTGAGAGAATTAAATAAGTACAAATGAATTATTGGAATTATTGCAATGACAAGTTTTGTATATCTGGGAAAATAGCAAAAAAAATTATAAAAAATTTGAAAGAAAAATAGTTAATGGCAGCAAAATGCGAATAGTTTTTAATAAATTATTTGGCAGAATTTTTTAAAAATTAGAACAATATCGATATAAATAGCTGAGAAAATTTAAAAGAAAGCAGAGATTCAAAGATTGTGAGGTGAGAAAAATGTTTTATACGGAAGCACTTCGAGGCCATGTTTGCTTATGCGCAGTGGGAATTAATCATCCTCTGCCTGTGTAAATTCATGTTGTAATTGTTGTAAAGTGTCAATCTGTAATTTATTAAAAATTTATTAAAGGAAGCTGTAATTAAACCATTTGGTCTATCTCTTGCACACTCAATTCTTCTGCAGCATCAACAGACTAAAAATTAATTTTAAATAAAAAATGTTCATATATTTATTTTACTTCCGGGCACTATTTATTTACCTTATTATTGCATTGTGGTTGTGCTTGTTGTTGAACATTTAAAGTAGAAACATCTTCCAATTCACCTTCTCTTTGAACGCGTATACTTGAATATGGGGAAGCTGATGTTTCTATCTGGTTAGTAATATTAACGCGTCGTTGTACCATTGCACGACCAACAGGGACATTTCCATTAGGAACATTCCCTAATAATGATAATTAACAAAAAATATAAATTGCTTACTATTCATCAATAGAGATGTTTTAGGTTTGTTTGAAGAAGAAACATTTCGAAAAGCAGATGGCGAGGCGTTAGCCGCTTTAATGGCAGCAATAGGTCTAACAACGTGAGCCATCTTTGGCTGTTGACGATGTTCTTCTAGTTCCATTATATGGTGATTCGATATTGACGACGGATGCACCTTAGAAGCAGAACGATCGTTATCGATGAATTCCTCGTTTGAAAAAGCGCCATTTCGTTGATTCCCAACAGCAAGATCCACCCTGACTTGCTAAATTCAAAATTGTTTATATTTTTCAAAATAATGACATTATACCTGTCTATCAGTTCTGGTATGTACAACATGTGGATTTCTTGGTGTTGAATTATGAGTTGGGTGACTCAAATTCCTTCCATGTGGACTGATTATCGCTGTCGCTGTGTTGTAACAATTTTGTGACAAATCTGAAAATTATAAGGTTTAAGTGGTAAAGAGAAATTTCAATTATGAGTAATTCATGTTAAGTCACTACCACTGCATAAGGAACGCCATATCAAAAAAGAACTAAAAATTTAGAAGTCCACTCACTCAACAAACTTTTTACTCACTTCTAACTTGCTCTTCATGAAATGTATTATGAACAATATCATCGCCTTTATTCTCTGCTTCATTTACATCTGATTGTGAGGTATCCAAAATTGGTGCAAAATTCACGCATTTTGTAGACATCTTTGGCCTATCATTATAAAAACCATTACTATGTTCTGTTATTAAAGTTCGGCGAGCAAGCTTTACAGGCAAGGCTGGGATGCCAAAACTTGGAATAAGTGATTCAGTGGTGGTATCAACAAAATGTCTTTGGTGCCTTAGTGGAGAATAGTCGCAGTCATTGTTGGAAAAAATGTTCTTTTCTTCATTCGTTTGGCGCGTCCATACTGGATATAAATCACCAGTAGAAGTTGGAGAACCCATAAAATTCTGCCCAATTTTGTTGGATTTAACGGCCAAAGGTGTTATAGACGCAGAAGAGCAGAAACGAGGAGGAAGTGAACTTCGATTCTGACGGCCAATCTTTTTAGACTTAGATGGTGGTTGATGCTCATCAACAGACTGGACAGAATCGGCTAAACGCCGGTGGAGTTTCGAGTTGCGAAAACCATTCCCCAATCGTTCAACACCTTTCAAATCTTTAACATTAAACGAAACTAACATAACAGCTAACAGAAACAGCTAAAGGATACCCACCGCTAATTAAGATTTGGTAATACTTAACATTTTTACAGGTAGATTACCTTGACCATCCGAAGGTGGCAAATATTGTGAGTTATATTGCGGTGAAGGTGAACCAAAGTGAGCATGTGGATTAGAAGCAATAAAAGCGCGTTGTTGTCGATCAACCAAAAGAATTCTCCTCTCTTCACCAGATGATGTTGGCATTTCAAAGTTCTATATAAACCATTCAATTAGCGTGTTTTTAAACTACTAACCTCGCAAACAGCTCGTCCAAGTGTGCCGGAATTATCCAAAACAGCAGCAAATCTTGTACCATTTTGTTGAATCCACAAATTATCATCACCAGTTTGTTGTGAATATTTCCTACCAGGTATATAACTATATTGAGGATGTTTTACATTTGTTTGTCGTCTAGGTTTCCTTCGTGTACAAGCAATAATAACTGCTACAACCAAAACTAACAAAACAATTGTAACAATTCCAAGAAAAACGTTTGTTAGATTTTTGCTAAAAAATAATTTTAATTTCGAAAATAATTTAAATAAAACCTCAAAAGTTGAACAATTTGTTGAGAAAATGTTGAGTTAAAATTATCAGAAAATTTATTATTTTGGTCAGATATTGAGGAGATATCCAAAGTTTCCGGTGTCAAAAAACTCGTAATAGGTGTAAAAGGCCCAAAACCTTTTGAATTTTTTGCTTGTAATTTAAAATAATATGTTGTTTTTGAGAGAAGTCCTCGAATTTGTAAAGATAATCTATCACCTTTAATACTTTCCATCGTCCATTCACTTTCAGGTGCATCAAATTTATTTGAATAAAATAAAATATATTCTTAAAAATTAAAATAATTTTAAAGTTAAAATAAATTAAAAACCTTTAATCTCCCCATTTGAATATTTCGGCGGCTGCCAATTAAGCGTTACAATATTTGGATCATCCTTTTCTGATTGAGGACCAACTAAAGTAATATCTCTAGGTGGGGATGAAGGAGGTGCAGGAAATGTTCGATTTATTGCAATAAGACTCCAATGATTAGTTTTAGCTATTTTTACTGCAAATTCATATTGAGTATCAGGACGTAAATTGTCAAAAAGGTAATCAGTTTCACTTGTGTTTATTTCTTTTGCAAGTCCATCTGCTTCACCACTAAAAATATTAAATCAGTAAATGAATAACCCAATTTAACCTCATTGCATATTTAATTGTGTAATATTGATTGAAGGCCTCATCATTTGGATCAGTCCAATATAAATGTATTTGTGAGGCAGAAAGAGTTTCAGCAAAAAGTCCGACAGGTGCATGAATGTTTTCAACAAAATTATTTGGTGGTAAAGTTGTTAAAGAGCCAGATGAATAAGTTCTAAATAAAAATTTTAATACATATTTAACAATTTAATCTTACTTGACGGTTTCATAAATAGGAAAACCTTGACCTTTCTTATTAAATGCACGTAATGAGATAACATATTCTCTATTTGGTTTAAGATTACGAATTGTATATTGCCTCACATTTGAATCAACAATTGTTTTCTCAATATCTGGTATATTTATACCCCAACCAATCTAAAAATTGAAAGTAAGAATTTTTCAAACAAATTAAAAATACTTGAAATCCTCTGATTAAAACATTATCCTCTCGAGGTGGTAACCATGAAACTTGTATTGAATCGTGGTTTGCAAATGCCTGAAGTTCTGATGGAGTTCCAGCGATTTGTGATTCGTCTTCTTCTTCTGTGTAAATCAATTCATTTATCTCAATGAAAAATAATGCCACCACAAGAATAGAATTCAAAATCATTTAACAAGAAAACGGCAAACGAACGTAGGGCAAAAAATTGCGGATTGTATCTCAGACTCAAAAACATTGAATTTAAATCTTTTGAATTTACACTATTTTTAGCGAAATGTATCTTTTCTCTTTTTCTTTTTCAATGTCTCCATCCGGCACCTCGCTAAAATGGTATTAGACAAAATGGTACAAGACAATTTCCCTTATGAAACTGAACATTCTAGTGATAAAATAATTAAAGGGCAAAACTGGAACTGGGCAAAACTGGCTGAAGTTGCGCTATTTATCATTTCAAGACTACCATTTTCTCAATTTACCTACCTTTTGTACCATTTTTGTTTTGTAACATTTTGTCTTCCTTAACGATATATTTTTAGACGCGAGTTCTCTCCTTTTCTTCTCGACTCTACGCGATGAATAATTGTCTGCATCTAACTTAAAAAATTTCAAAGTTTTTTTTTAAATTTTGATCCTTATTGGAGATTTTAAGGATTTTATTTTACATATTATGCTAATTAATTTTTAATTTAGAAATATGTCGAGAGATCTTTATCCGTCAAATTCGAATATTATTGATTTGAGAAGTAAAATTTTATCAACGCATGCGCCTTCGAGGACGAAACAATTTGTTAACGAGTTGGATAGGCTTTCGAGTTCATCATTTGGACAAAAGGTTTAATTAAATAGTAGTTTGTTTTGATTATGAAAATCTTAAGGACAAAACGAATAATTCTGGATTGGCGTATGAAACTGAGCGTTGGTTTTCTCCAAGACAAAATAGTGAAGTAAACACGTCGTTGCCTCCTAGACGTTCAATTTTTACTCCATCAAGACTTTCTGCTCGTCGAACTCGGGAATCTACAAAGCCTTATTGGTATAATTAACATGTGATCTTGTAATATTGTTTTTATTGCAGGCGGTGTCCTAACCCGACTTCATCCAAAAACATTACTCCATCTTTAAATGTTGATGGATTCTTTAACAAAACTACATCTGCGAGAACTGAGACACCTGTGTTTAATGCTTCTTTTTTCAACAATATTGCGTCAGTGGCCAATACTGCTTTACCGGTAAACACTTCTGTCAGCGCTTCGCCTGAGGTCAATTCTTTACCAACGAATATTGTTTCGTCTCTGACCAATGTTGCACCTGTCGTAAACGCAACAAGTTTTGATGTTCCATGTGCAGAAAATGCTACAGAGCGTGAAGATGCTATTTCAAGTGGAGTTGATATATCTGAATCCTATCCTGCTTTTACTTTTGCTGAAGCGGTTATTCGAGGGCCAAAATGTCCATCTCCTCCACCTAAGCCTAAGCCAACTTATCAAGATAAGGGGATTCAAACAGATGAAGTTCAGAAAGTGCAGACTGTGAATACCTTCAAGGATAAGCAAACAAACGACAAGCCAATTGAGCCTAAAACGCAACAAACTTTTGATAGCATGCCAAAAATATCCGGCTTTCAACCTCCTCCAGCACCTCTCAATGGTGGTTTTCATTTTGGAACATCAACATCTGAAGGTACTTTACTATATAATAAATAGATATTTTTTCGTTGCTCAATTCCTGTGAATTTTTAAACCGTAATTTTGTTATCGCTTATTGAGCGATTATTGGCAATACTAGTTCCTTTTTTGTGTATATATTCTCCCCCTCAAAGTCAGAAAAATGGGGAAAATTTATAACAGGGAACAAAGAAAACTATTTTTTAATTTTAAGCTACTGATTCAACAATGGCTATCGATACGAATATTAATGGACTGACAACAATGAATGGAGTTCCGGACCCCACAATGAATGGAATCGCTTGTGCTCCTGTGGTTAGTAGTTTTCAATTCTCTGCTCCTCTCACTGGAGTTTTTCAATTTGGAACATCAACATCTGAAGGTTTTTAATATATTTTTTTCAATAAAAATCTAAAATTATTTTTTAATTAAGTCTCGTCGAATAATTCAAGTTTTTGTGATGGGAATGGATTGGCATCAAGGAGTGGTGTTTCAGTTAGGAAGATGCTGCACGCAAAGAGGCCGAAGAAGCGTTAATATATACGAAAAAAAGAAAACGACGTTTTAATTTTCATTATTACTATTTAAATGGAAATATGACATGGAAGAATTAAATTATGTTTATCAAGAATACAGGTCTTTAATTATTATTTTAACAATTCTTCCATCTTTATATTATTACGTATCTTGCATTGATCTTTATATATATGAAATATATATTTAAAATATATTTTAGAATTAGAGAGGGACATATTTCCATATCAGAAAAAATTAAATATTGTTATCTTTTAGTTGAAAAAAATTTCATTATTTTTAATATGTTCGTCTCCGGTCATTTATATACTATGTATTTTACAAACCAAGAAAAATTTTCCTCACACTCAGTTTTATGCGTTGTTTAATTCAAATTTTTGTTAGTTTTATTTTTTAAAATATATCGGAAGCAGCAGATAAATCCAACCCGATTATTTTATTTGTGTTCATCTTATATTGTTTCACGTAAAAAATTGTGTTAAAATAAATAACGAGGTTGATTTTTGATTTTATTTTTTTATTCAATTTTAAATTTTAAACGACATGTTCGTACCTAAATAAAAGAGAAAAAAAATTATTTTATAACTTTTATTATTATACATAAATTTATATTAAAGTACATTAACGTCGTTTTGCATTATTAATGTGCCAAACCACTTTTAATGTAATGTCGGGATTTATAAAAGATTTAGCCGGAAGAAAAGAAGTCCCCCCATTCTTTTTAATGATTCTCATCCTGGTGGTAAATAAAACAAAGATTCCATTACTTTTATCAATTGTCACGCAAGGTTTGTTTTTTATTATTTCTCTCATTTATTTGCCGTTTTATTTTTAATTTAGAGGTTTTAATATTTGAAATCATAAAAGAATATTTGGCTATAGACTAGATTTTAAAATTTTATAGGATTGAGTCAAAAAATATTTTTAAAATTAACCATTTTTTGGATAAAAAATTTAATTATATATAGACAGTCTTTTACTAATTTTCCCTTCTTTTTTTAATTTTCTAAATTAACAAAAGAATTAATTTTAAGAAATTGGTTGAAATAAATAGATATATTTAAGTGTTGCAGAACTGACTGAACAAATCTCTTAAAATGTACTTGAAAATTAAAAAAAAATAGGTAAGGGGAAATAAATGGATCTTTTTCTTTGATTTAAGTACTGAAGTAAGATTTGAAGTGAGAGAGACATTTTATTTAAAAATTTCTTTCAAATTAATATTTTTTAATTTAAATATATTTTAAAAAATAATTTTAGATTGCGCTATTAAACTACAAAAATATTTGAATGTGCTATTTTTATTAAACCAAAGTCACTAACTACACATTTTTTGGCGATAATATTAATAATATTAAATATGCGTCGTATCAGCTATTCAGGTACATTTAATATATTTTTGCATAAATAATTATTATATTTTTCTATCAATCAAATTTTAATTTTTCTATTGATTTTTTGTTTATATATTATGTTCCACTATTTAATCTTGGAATTTAATTTAAAATTTTTTTTTAATTATTAGCATTCCAAAAATGTTATAGTTTAATTAAAATTGCACAATCTTATTTTAAATTCCAATTTTTAAAATGTAGTCTGTATTGTAATTAATTTTCCCAAAATTTTTTTCTCTCTCTCAAATCTTTAAATTTAGGGTTTAAGAGGTTTAAGTTTAAGAAAATTAACTTAAACTTTCTACAAAAATAAATAATAAAAATGTTTTTGTAATAAAACTTCTGTTTTGATGTTCACATTTCTGAAAATAATTTTTTATTACTTTAAATATTTATTTAAATCTTTTTTTTATTATTTATTTTTTTAATTCCCATTTATTTTTATTATTTACTACTTTTAAATCCCTGCTGTGATTTTCTGATATTTTTTTTGCAAAAAGTTTTTTTCATTTTTAATTACCTTAAATTTAACTTTTAAAAAAGCATTCATGCATTTATATTTAAAATCTTAGAAAATTGAACAAAATACAAAATTAAAAAATTACAAACCACTAAAAGGATATTTTGGCCTGGGCCCCTTTTTTAATGTGTACTATTTTTTTCTCTTTTCAAAGTAATTTTAAAAATAAAAATTGTTTGGGGAGAGAGGGAAGATGCGCAAATGCGTGTACATAATAGGCAACTTCGCCGATCACAAAAAATGTTTTTAATGTAGTTATTTGGTTAAGAAGAAGAGAAAAAAGGGTGGGATCAATCTAGCCAAATAACAAAATAACAACAACATCTAAATTAAAAATGATCAAATTCCTTAAATTGTTCCTTATTCACGTAGTTTACTTTTTAAAAAATTAGTGAAAAAATCTAAATATATAAATACTTAAAAATATATATTTATTTTATTTAAAGTTTATAATATTTTCAAGGACACATCTCTAAATAAATAAACTTGGAATTAATAAATATATATAAAACTAGAATTTATGTTAGTTTTTTTTTCTAAATTTTTCCTTGAATTATGTTAATTTAATATTGGTACTTTTCCATTATATGTCCACAAATTTATTTAATCGTAATTTAGTTTAGAATTATTGAATCATGTTGCTTTTGGTATCACTTTCGAATGAGCTGTCATTTGCATGTTCAAACCCAATAATAAGCTTAGTCCCCCATGGGTTTTCAATTTTCGGGGACCAATATCTCAGCCCGCAGGCATTTTTATAGATAATGGTGCCATTCGATTTAAATTAATGAGATGAATAGAAAGATTAAATCGAAATACTGAAACGGGCCACTGACTTAAGTACAGCCAAAGAATTTGGAAAAGTATCTTAATATTTAACATTAATTTTTCATTTTTTCTCTATTGTTTCTTTTTAATACAATTAATTTTTAATTAACTATACATACTATTTTTATAATATAGAAAAGCAGGTATTATTATCCTACGCCCAAATATTTGTCCCAAAAGAAACTCGTTTTATTTTAGTTTGCTGAATGAATAACACATGAATTTATTGTTTTGTTTTAATGCAGTGATTAACAGAAAAACTACAATTTTAAAAAGAAAAGCCGCCTATTATTATTCACCCGATTGCGCAAATAGAGAGAGAATCTGAGGCAATATAGTATAACCTAATGACCGAATTTTTTTTTTGGTAGTAAAAAATAGAATGAGAATAGTTAATGCCTTTTAATTATTACATAAAAATTCCTCTATTTATTTTTAGTATATTAAACTAATAAATTAATATTTTTACTTCTATTTTTAAATTTTTGGGACTATTACGTTATGACTAATTAGCACTTATGATTAAAAATGAAAAAAATTTTAATAATTAATTTTAAATAATTCTTATGTAATACTTAATTGCAGAATTTTAAAGAAAGAAAATTTTATTTGTTCCGTAAATTTTTTCTCTCCAAAAATTTATTATAATTTACTTTTTATCATTAAATATTTTAATTTCCTTATTGTTCAAATTCCATTTCTAATTTTTTTTATAAAATATTATCTTTGTTTTACCAATTTTTATTATTTAAAATACACCTAATTAAATATTTTAATTGTTTACGTTTTTAAATTTCAAATTAAACCATTCATTTTTACTTACCTTTCCTATTTTTGAAATTTAATTTTAAATTTTATACATTTATTGATTTGTAGGACTAAAAGAAAAAAAGGAAACTGGCCGTTCAGATCAATTTGGAACAACAAGACCTTTATATTTTACATCAGCAGCAGAACCTTTAATTATTGAAACACCGCTTGAACGAAAAATAAGTAGAGCTAAAATTGAAGTAATTTTAATTTAATTTAACAAAAATAAAAATATTTCTTTAGTTACAACAACAACAACAACAACAACAAATGGTCGCTATTTCGGATACTAATAATTCTGATAAACAATTAAATAACAATGGAAACAATAAAGAAAAGGGGATTACTGAAAGTATACTTTCTTATCCCAAAGGTGTTTTCTTTATGTTAGGAAATGAATTTTGTGAACGTTTTTCTTTTTATGGAATGAGGGCAATTCTTATTATTTATCTAACTACTGATTATCAATTATCAGAAAAGTAAGTAATTTAAATTAAGCAGATCTGATTAGATTTCCAATTCGTTCTGTTTCTGATACTATTAGGGTGTAACATAAATAATTAGCCCCCCTTAAACCATGTAAGTTTGAGAACTTATATCTCAATGTTCAGTTCTCCAATCTATTTAATTTTTGGGAAATATTTTCAGAATGCTGCCTTCTTCATTTTCTTAAAGTTTTGAAATTTTTTCTTTACTTAAAAATTTTTTATGAATTTTTAAAATTTAATGCAAAATTATAAAATCGGTGTCCAGTTCAAATATGAGATTGAACTTGGACATTCGAAAAAGGAATCATGGCGCAAAATATGCAAATCGAAGTATGGGGATGTTATCTCATATTCCACAGAAAAAAGTTGGCTCTCCAAATAAAAGAAAGGTAGGGAGGAGCTGAAAGACAAATAACGTCTTGGATGCCACCCTACAATAGATAAGAATCCCGTTCTCCCCTGAATTAAAGCCAGTCCAAAAAATAAAATGTGTATATTGGAGCAGGCACTCACCTACTCACTTACAAAAATTACCATAATTTTACTTGAAGCGGGAAAGAAGTTATGAAGGGTCGATTGATACCCCATGAATTACCGCAAAATCAAAAAAATCGCTAAGTCACTTTTGCAAAACAACCCCTTAAACGCCACAATGAAGCTCCTTGTTTGTTACAAATTTTAACCTATAAGGATGAGAGAGTTGCCTTCATGAATTCTGTAAACAAAAAGGAACGGCTCATCCCAGCTAACCATCAATTTTGACCTCTAATCCAGACTGGTCCAATAGCGTGATCTGTTATGTATTTGGTGGTGTCGCGGCGGGGTAATCATTGGAATTTAGTTTAAACTGGCTAAACTATTACCCCCAAATTGTATTATTCCCATATAGATCAAGTCCATCGAAAAATCTGGTCGCCTGGCCTCGCTAGGCATTTTCGCGCGAGAGTTATCCTAAAACAGCATAATGCTAGCTTCTATTTCACAAATGCGACCCTCTAAAAAATCAGCCAGTTGTTTTCCAGGGGAATTTCTTATATCATTGTATTCATCAGATTCTGCTCTATCAGAATCTATTTAAATTTTCATTCTAGTCATCAATTTAGCAGAGGAAAATCAAAAAGAATTTGCCTTGTTTCAAAAATACAAGCTTTAGTATTTCACCTCTAACTCCGGCCAACCTAAACCTAGAATTCTAATTTTTTTGCCATAAAATAGGCAACTCTTATGGGATCATACAAAAATATTATTTGAAGTCTGAAAACATTTAGTTGAATTTTAATAATTATTTAATCCTCTTACCACAAGGGGGGCTAATTATTTATGTTACACCCTAATATTTTGTCAAAAAATATTTTGTTTATTGCCGTTTTGTCTCACGTACTATTTTGTCTAATACCATATTGTCTCTAGTACAATTTTTCTGTTACCATTTTGTCTGGTGCTATTTGTCTGAACACGCTCAACTTTATCAATTTAAACTAATTTTAGTGTTGCAAAGCAGTATTATCATGTTTTTGTTTCTCTTGCCTATTTATCTCCACTTTTTGGTTCAGTTTTGGCTGATAATTATTTTGGACGTTTTCACGTAATTCTTTGGGTTTCTTTAATTTATGTTCTTGGACACTTACTTTTATCAATTGGTGCCATTCCATTTCTTGAGAAATCTGCAAAATTAGGGCTGGATATTTCTGGATTAGCAGTTATCGCTATAGCTACAGGTGGAATTAAACCATGTGTTTCTGCATTTGCTGCAGATCAATTCAGGTAAAGAGTGAAAAAATTTTTATTTTAATTTTACTAATTTTTAGAGATGATCAACATCGTGAAAGAACACAATTCTTTTCTGTAAAATAAATTTTAAATAAAATAAACATTTCTTTTTTCCAGTTTTTCTATTTTGCTATAAATGCTGGTTCTTTAATTGCCATAGCAGTAACACCTTTACTTAGAAGAGTTAGATGTTTAGATTCTGAACATTGTTTTCCGTTGGCATTTGGTTAGTATTTTAAAACTGTTTTTATTTTCTTTTTTTTAAAGGTGTCCCTGGTGTTTTAATGCTCCTTGCTTTTTTAACATTTTTGGCTGGTTGGCGCTTTTACAAAATAACACCCGCTAGTAAAGGGAATATTCTTTGGAGAGTTGTTAAATGTATTTGTTATGCTTTACGGGCAAAATTAAATTCTAATTTAAGGTTAACATTTTTTTTAATTTAATAAAAATATTCTTTTTACTTTTTTAGTAGGAAAAGAACATACAATATAGAATGTCAACCTTCTCATTGGTTAGATTATGCTTTACCAAAATATGATGCGCATCTAGTTGCTGGAGTTAAAAGTATGGTTTCTATTGTTGTTTTATATATTCCTGTTGTATTTTTCTGGGCACTTTTTGATCAACAGGTTTTTTTAAATTTTTTTTTTCAGTTTAATTTTTATTTTAAAGGGAAGTACTTGGGTATTACAAGCAACTAGAATGGATGGACATGTTGGATGGTTTACTATATTACCTGATCAGATGAACACTTTAAATCCTTTGTTTGTTCTTATACTTGTACCAATGTTTGAAGCTTGGATATATCCAAGTAAATAAATTTTTTAATTCTTGAAAAGTCTTCTTTTAGTGGTTAATAGAATTTGTAAAATAACACCATTAAGAAAAATGGCTTTAGGTGGAATATTGGCAGCTGTAGCTTTTTGTATAGCAGGATTTGTACAGGTAAATTAAATAATTTGGAATTTTTTAAAAGTTCGAACAAAATTAAAGATAAAAATAAATTCAACAATGGAGCCAAAACCAGCAATTGGAAATTCATTTATTTATAGAATGGGAAATGCTAGTAATGTTGAATTATTTGCTGTTAATGGTTCTGATGTTAAAATACGTGCAGATAATGGGAAACAAGAAATATGGGCTAGTAATTATACTTTTGAAACCAGAGAATTAAATAATGACAATATATTAAAAAATTCTTTATATTTGGCTTTGGAAGGCGAAGTAGCGCCTAAAAGTTATGTTCTTGGAGTTTTTGAATTTCCTAATGGAACAATGTAAGTAATTTTAAAATCTTTAAAATATTAAAAATTTATTTTTAAAGAAGAATGGCAGACTTTCCCTATACCTGTGAAAAAACAAAAAATGGAAAAACTCGTTTTTATTTTTTAATATTAAACGATTCTTTGCTTTATGGAACAGAGGCTGTTGCTGTAGATATAAATGGAAGGGTATTAATTTAATATTTAAAATTAATTTTTTATAAAATTTAATTTAAAGAAGGTATCTAACGCAACAATTTTTAATGGAAATTATATTGAAATACAACCTGGATTTTTCTCAAAATCTTTTAATTATAAAATTGGTTTTAATTGTACAAAAACAGAAGAGTTTGATGTTACTAAATGTGTAAAATATATTAATGTGGAAGCACAAATGGTTTAAATTTATGCATTATTTTAATTTTAATTTAAAAAATAGGGGGCAGCTTTTGTAATTGATTTGGTTCAAGAAGAAGAAAATAATAATATGACAACAACAAACAATAATGTAAACGTTTAATAAAGATATACTTTTTTGAATTTAAAAAATAGATTGGTCAATTAGTTCGTTCAAATAGTGTGAGTATTTTATGGCAATTTCCACAAGTTTTGGTTATGACGATTGGTGAAATACTTTTTTCTGTTACCGGATTAGAATTCTCATATTCACAAGCAGCACCAAGCATGAAAAGTGTTAGTGAATTTTAATAATTATTTTTAAAAGAAAAATATTTTAATTTCGGAATATTAAGTGTTTTAGAGTCAAAACAAAAAATTTCAATTTCTATTTCCGCCTTTAAAATATTTTATTTTTAAAAATGCGTATATTGATCATTATTTCCTTTTATTTTACTAAATTTAGGTATTACAAGCACTTTGGTTATTAACTGTGTTCTTTGGTAATGTTGTTGACGTTGTAAGTAAAAATTAATTAGTTCTCATCTAATACATAATTTAAAAAGATAATTTCTCATCTTGAAATACCCGATCCAGTTGCCGAATTCTTTATTTACGCAACATTAATGTTTTTAGTTATTGGAATATTTATTATTTTGGCTGTTCGTTATATTTACGTTGATGTAAATTTTTAAAAATTTAGACTTTTTAAAAAATATTTTTATTTTTTAGGAACATAATTTAGAAATTCCTGATACACCAGAACAAATAGAGGAAAGCCCAGAAAAAATAAATAATAATACAAACTCGACAAGGAATCGCAGACCAACACCTTTTATACTTGAAAAAGAAAATGCTTGAAGGAATTTTGATAATAAATTGATCTCAATTTTTTTTTGAAAAAATAATAATTTTTGTAGTTTTTATAATTTACTTTTTTGAAAATAAAAAATAGTTGAAATTCTTAATATTTTTGAGAATTAGTCTAACAACATTACTTTTATTTTTAAACATTTTGTAAATTTTGATATCCAACTTCCTCATCAACTCTTCCAAAACCATAAGGATTAACTTCAGCAATTGGCTCTCTTTGTTTCGATGTTTGATTGTATATGATTAATGCAGGTATCGCATAACAAACCATTTGCCCAATTAAAAATAACTAAAAAATGGGTTGAAAAAGATAAAATATTGAACAAACCCCTGCAAATATATATCCAGCTGAATGTCCTAATACTGGAACTACATGTGTGGCATACCCAAAAGAAATCCAAAAACTTATTCCACAAAGTAATGTTAAAATAACGGAATAAACAAATTCCTTTAAAAATAAATTAAATTAAAAATAATAAAAATTATTTACAATAACACTCCAAGGTATATCATTTCCATTATTCAATTTAATATTATATTCATTAAGTCCATTTCTGTTAAACATTAAAAGAATTGTAGCGACAGTGCTAGCCGTAACTGAACATATAGCGACAAACCAAAGAACTCCACTTCCATCAACATGCGTAGAAGAACCAAGGCTTATTAAGGTTAAAACAGCCAATATCTTTATATAAAAATATTTTTTTAATTCAAAATTAAATTTCATACAGATTGAATTGGCTTAAAAAGATCTGGTTGTTCTAAACAAATAATTTCACTCATTTAATCTTTTTAAATAAAATCTCGGATTTTTTAAAGATTTTTTAAGAGGGGAATTTAACAAGATTTGCTGTGTCCTTATTGATCAATTGAAAATACTTTTCTTAAAAACAATTTTAGGAAAATGTTATTTTGTGTTCATCATTCTCACTTTATTATACCTTATCAGATTCCTTATCATTGAAAGAAAGCCCTCAATGCACAAAATACAAAAAATATTTTGTTTACAGCAAAGTTACGTTGAAAAAGCTCATCTGCTACAAAGTGGACTTACGACAAAATGAACGGAATTTTCTTTGCGTCAAAGTGTCCTTAGAATTATTTTCACCATTTGAGTCTTATTGACGCCTCTTTTAATTTTTCCAAAATAAGGGGACCATTTCTTTAATTTTTTTTCGTCATAATAATGTCCAAAATTTTCCTCTAAAAATTAACTTTTAAAGTATAATATTGATGTTTAATGAATACTTTTAATTCATTTTTAAAAGTAATTAATTTAATTGTACTTCGACGAAATCATTTCACAATGGAATCAAAACGAAGCAAAATTTTACATGAAATTGCTCCTTCTAATATTACTCTTGAGGTTTTTATTTTTGATTTATTTTTAAAAATAATTTTATTTTTTTAGATATTGAGTAATGGTTCTTCACACATGACACCTTCAGTTTTTATTCGAACTCCCCATCGATGTTATCTTTTTAATTGTCCTGAAGGAAGTTCTAGACTTGCAACTTTTCTTAGAGTGAGGCCTACCCAAATTGAAGATATTTTTATTACAAAAGGTTGTCATTTTGAATTTTCTAAATTTTGTTTTTATTTTAGGTAAATGGGAAAATGTTGTTGGAATTCCAGGACTTGTTTTAAATAAAAATTCTGAGGATGATGTCCGTATCCACGGCCCTCCAATTGCTATTGATATTTTAAAATCCTTCAGGTTTTTTAAATAACTTTTAAAATTTATTTTTATTTTTCAGTCCAATGTTAGATGCTGATTTTGGAAGTACAAATAATTTCATTAAAATGAGGCATTGTGACGTCAAGCGTGATAATTATGAAGATTCTACGTTATTCATTAATTATTTGAATGTTGAAAATTCAAAGGAAAGGAGATATCTTAAAAATGGCGATAATACCCCAACAAATACCGCTTTTCTTATCAAATTGAAGGTTTCATATAAATTATTGCTAATAAATTAGGGTAATCTTCAATTAGAATTTTTTAGCCTTGCTTACCTGCACTCGACCCTTTGAAATTGATTGAGCTTAAAGTACCTCGGTCTCCCTTAATATCAAAATTAAAAGCTGGCGAAACAATTACATTACAAGATGGAAGAATAATTAAACCTGAAGATGTTATCGATTTTAGAAAAAAATCAGAATCGCTAAATTTGCTTGTTGCTGATATTTGTTCGTCTGAAAATCTTCAATCAATTTCTAGCAATTATTTACTTAAAGTAATTTATTTAAATTTAATTCAATTTATATTTTTAAAGGATTTTATGGGTGATAAAAGAATACAAAAATTGAATTATATTATTCATTTTACTCAACAAAAAATATTTGAAACAAAAGAATACAAAAATTGGATGGGAGAATTTGGAAATGATTGTCAACATTTAATATTAAATGTTAAAGGACGTTTTCTTCCACTTTCGGATAGTGTATACAATTCCCAATATATGCTTAGCTCTATATTTTCTGATGGATTTCCTGAAATTTATCCCATTGGTCAGGTTTTAGAAGGAGAAATTATCTTGCAGGTTTTTTGAAATTTAACAGATATTTTTTAAATTAATTTTCTCTAAAAGGATGACGATAAATATGATATTAAAATTGATATTAAAGACAATAATATTGGCCCTGTTTTTATTCCAGAATTTTTGAGACGTTTTTCTTTACGAGGGACTCTGGATAAAAACGAAATTAATCCAATTCTTTTGGACTTTAATTGGCAACGTTTTCTAAATGATAGACAAAAAAAGGAACCAGTTGAATTGCAAAAAAGAATTGATGAATTTAAACAAGGTATTAGAACAAATTTAATTTAGACATTTATATTTATTAAAGTTTATGCGAAAACTTTTGACAATTTTGGTAATAGACCAAGAGATGTATATCCAACAGTTGTTTTCTTGGGAACTTCTTCTGCCTGTCCTACAAAATATAGAAATGTCAGCAGCCAACTTGTCCGATTTAGTGAATCTTCGAACATTTTAGTTGATTGTGGAGAAGGGACTTATGGACAACTTTTGGCACTTTTTGGTCCTTCAAATATTGATCAGTTTTTGACAAAACTTAATGCGATGTTTATTACTCATGCACATTTGGATCATATTCTTGGAGTTTTTTATATTATCTCGAAACGTATAGAGGCGTTTGAAAAACAAGGTAATGTTGAATATCGATTTTGATTTTTAATTAATTTTATTTAGAAATTCCATACGTTCCTCTAGTAGTTTGTCATGATGTGTCTTTTCTTCATTTATGTAATACATATTCAGAAATATTTTTAGATTTATTCCCGTTTATTGTATCTATAAGTTTACCTACTTTCTTTTATGCAAATTCATCAGCACAAGGAATTAGACAGCATATTTCTGCAGTTGATTTAATAAAAGTAAAAATTAAAAAAAATAATTTCAATTTTTTTTAATTTTTAAGCATTTCCCAAAAAATATTTTTTGTCATGATGATTGGAATTTAAGTGAAGCTACTGCTTTTCAAGTTGATCACACAAAATGGTCCTGCGGTTATTCATTTGTAACTCTAAAAGAAAAACGGAAAATTGTATTTTCTGGTGATACAAAACCATGTGAAAATATTATAAAATATGGAAAAGATGCAGATTTACTTATCCATGAATGTACATTTGAGGATGGTTTAGAGGTTCTTTTTAATATTAAAATAACATAAGAAATATTAATTAAAAATAGGAAGATGCTTCATATAAAAAACATTCTACAATGAAACAAGCTTTTGATGCAAGTGTCAAAATTGGAGCAAAAAATGTTTTTTTCACTCATTTCAGTGCCAGGTTTTTAAATTTTTTGTATAAAAATGTTATATGATTTCTGTTTTTAGATATCATTTAACTCCCCCATTACCTGATTATATTCTTAATGCAGGAAATATATCAATGGCTAATGATTTGATGTCAGTCCCTTTCGATCTTTTACCATTATTTCCAAAACTTTTACCAATTTATCAATATCTTTACAAAGATGAACTATTTGAATTTGAAATGAGGAAAATGACAAGAATGGCTAATAATAATGCTAGATTAAATGAAAAATATAATACAGGAAGTTTTGAAGAAATTTTAAAACAAAAACGCAAAGCAAATTCTTAAATTAATTTTGTTATTTTTTGTTATTTTTTTGTTAAGATTTTTACGATTAAATATTTTTCAAAAGAAAATTTTTTTGACAAAAAAAAATCGAATATTTTTAATTTTTATTTAACTTTTATATTAAAAATACGTAATTATTTTTAAATTTATTTAATTTACTAAATGTCCGAAGAGAATAATTGTAATATTGTCAATTCTGTTGATCGAAAATTGTCAAAACGTCAAAAAAGAAGAGAAGATAGACGACAAAAATTTTTAGAAATTAGGCAAGAACTGAGAAAAAAGAAGAAAGAAAGGAAAAGAAATGAAAAGAAAGATTTTGTTGGAGCAATACGAAAACAAAAATTTACAATGGAACAATCAAAATGTCGAATAAATATTGCTGTTGATATGACTTTTGATGAGGTAATTTAAGAAAATAATTTTTTAAAATTAATTTTAGTTAATGGATGAAAGAACTGTTAGAAAAACAATTTCTCAGTTAATTTTTTTAATCGAAGAAAGTTAATTTTTTAAAATTAGGTTAGCTTATTGTTACGCTGTTAATCGTAGAGTAAGTGATCCTGTGCAATTTTCTATTGTTGGATTAACTGGAAAAGCAGAAAAGGTAAGATGAAATGTCATTTATCATTTAATATTAAAATTTTATTTTTAGATTTTTAATAGTTACCCTTCTTATTCGAATTGGGATGTTAATATTTCAAATAAAAATTTGGATGAATTATGGAATCCAAAACAAATAGTTTATCTAACTGCTGATTCTAACAATTTACTTGAAACGTTAGATGAAGATAAAGGTTTTTTTAAATTACCATTATTATTAAAAATGATTTAAAGTTTATATAATTGGAGGCCTTTTGGATCATAATCATCACAAAGGTATTTGTTTGAAAAAAGCTGAAGATAATGGATACGAGCATGCAAGGCTTCCAATTGAATCTTTTTTTAAGCTTTGTGGAAGAAATGTTAAATTTTTAAATTAGGTACATATTATTTAATAATTTAAAATTTAAGGTTTTAACAATAAATCAAGTTTTTGAAATTTTGGTTAATTTTTGTCAATCTCTGGATTGGAAAAAGGCGTTTATAAATGTTATACCTAAAAGAAAAGGAATTGGTGAAGAAATTTCAAGTGAATATAAAAAAGGAGAGGTTTCTTTAGAAGAATTAACTAATGAAAAAATAAATAAAACAGAAAATGAATAGTAAATATTTTATATTAAAATGGGGAAATAAATTTTTTAAAATATACTTTCTTTTTTATACTGACAAAGTCACTTTTTTTGGGCAGAGTTGATTTTTAGGTTTTGTTTCCCAAATTTTCGATCTGGATTGTCAGGGATAACATTTGTTTATTGTTAGGCATTAAGCTACGCCAGTTTGTAAAAAATAATTTAGTTTTATACTTTTTCTTTCATCTGGGTGGAGGTGAGCACAATATATTTTGCTTTTATCTATTTATTGACATTCTAACTCTTATCTATTACTACACAAAAAATAATCAAAAAATATTCCTATTTACTTGTTTACATCTCTTAATTTTCATTTCTACTCACATTTATTTTATCATTTATTATTTTAATTTGAAAAATTTTAAAAATGCAATTCAATTTGGATAGATTTCGAGCATTCCCTGAAGTGCTTAAACTAAGTACACTTGTAAGTAATTCAGTTTAATTTTGTATTTTTTCTTTTAAGATAACTACAATTCTTATAATGCTTTCTTTATCTGGTGCCAGCAATCAACCTCCTGGCACAGGTTTGTTTAAAATATTTTTATTAAATATTTTTAGCATTTATTTGGATAAGTTCAATATTTGCAATAATTGTTGATTGTTTGCTTATTATGACTATTGGATTAGAACTGGAGAAATCTTTATTTTCATATCAATCTTTATTAAATTGGCCTCTTGTGGTTTTTTATAATATTTTTAATTTTTTAAATTTTCTCTTAAAATAGGAATGCATCTTCTCTTCACTTTTTGCTATTAATTTTTTTATTTCAATTTGGCTTTGTTTTAATGGGAAGACTTTTAGTGATGATCGGACATCTTATTCCTTAGCTGCGGTTATTTTAATTTAAAAAATTATTTTTAAATATTTTTTAATATGTAGACATTTTCCTTGGCTAATTTTGTTCAATACACCCTGAATGTTATTTATCATGTACGTACATGGATAGCTGAACAGAAAAGTGCAATGCAAGTCATTGACCCGCGAGGAGTTGGAGTAACTTCTTATGGAGGCCCTTAATAACTTTAAAATATAAAATATACTCTACATATTTATAATTTTATATTAAATAAAACCACTTTTATAATTCTATTGAAAAATATTCTCAAAAATTCTTGACAATTTTATAACCTCTTTTCGTTTACATGGAAACAAAGGTTATGTATTGGCATTAAAAAGAAAGTAAAAAATTGCCGAACAATACAATTATTAATTTAAAATAATTTTGAAAATGAAAAAATCCCCTTTTGGTTCCTCTTCGTCCTCACTTACTCCCTTATATACCTATTCACCACAATCATCTCCAGTATCGAAAATATTTGATAAAAATGTTGATGAAATGATTAAAGATAAGCATCTATTAAAACATTCCTCTATAAATTATGAAAGGATTAAAGTTGTTGGAAAAGGTTTTTTTTAATTTTTTGTTTAATAAATTTAATTTTTACAAAGGCTCTTTTGGCATTGCTGTGCTTTACAAAAGAAAAGATGATGAATCTTTTGTTATTTTAAAAGAAATTAATTTACATGAATTAAATAATTCTGAAAGACAGGTATTTTACAAAGAAAAATTATTTAAATAATTTTCTAAATAGATGGCCTTAAATGAAGTTAATTTACTTTCTCGATTAGATCATCCACATATTATTGCTTTTTATGATTCTTTTGAAGAAGATGGAACATTGATGATTGAGGTAATCTATGAAAGAACTTGTGAGGGCTTAAGAATAAATTATATTATTTTTAGATGGAATATGCAGATGGAGGGTTTATTTTAAAATAAATTTAAAAAATATTTTCTTTATTAGAACGTTATCTCAATTATTGTCACATTTAACAGAACCATTAATTGAATCAGAGATAATTGATATGTTTGAACAAATGGTTAGTGCTGTTTCTTATTTACATGATCATGATATCTTACACAGGTTTAAATAAAAAATTGAAAATTAAATTATTTTTTAGAGATTTAAAAACAGCAAATATTTTTTTAACAAAACAAAGAATGGTTAAAGTTGGCGATTTTGGTATTAGCAAGTAAATTATTTAAAATTAAATATAAAAATGATTTATATTTAAAAAAAGGAGAATGAGTAATGAAACAAAAATTAATGGTTCACAAACTATTTTAGGAACTCCTTATTATTTATCACCAGAGATGGTTTTTTAAATTAATAAAATAAATATTTTATTTTTAAGTGCGAAGGAAAACCTTATAATGAAAAATCAGATGTTTGGGCATTAGGCTGTTGTTTTTATGAAATGTGTACATTAAATAAAGCTTTTGATGCTGAAAATTTACCTACACTTTTGAATAAAATAATTAATGTATGATTAAAAAAATAAAATGTTAATTTAATTAATTAATTTTTAAAAAAAGAGTGAATATGAACCCTTAAAGAAAATTTATTCCCAAGAAGTTCGTCTTTTGGTAAGGGAAATGTTAAGAATATCACCACAACAAAGGCCTGCATCATCTCAATTACTTGATCAGGTTTTTAATTTTATTTAAAAAAATGAGGTTATTTTTTTATAAAATAGGTTAGACATTTATGTTCCTCAAAAGAAAAGAAAAATCCAAAAATAAATGGAAATTGTTTTGATAAAAATGTATTCGATGGAATTAATTCATTTTCTGCTTTATATGCTTTTGATGTTTTAAATTGTACACTTTCTTCTGTTCAGGAATTCCCAAAAAGAATAAAAATTAAACAGGTTCTTTTATATTTTTGAATAAAAAATTATTTAAAGATTGCGGTAAGTGAAAGTCATCAATTACTTCTAACAATGCAAGGACAAGTTTATAGTTGGGGAGATAATTCTTTTGGACAATTAGGACAAGGAGATAAGTAAATATTAAACTATTAACATTTTAATTATTTTAAATAATTAGAAGAAAAAGACAATTCCCTACATTAATAGAATCATTGGAAAGTAAGGATGTTTATAAAGTAGCTGCAGGTAGAGAAGTAATTAAATTTGTCCAAAAAACAATTTAGGTAAAAAATTCTCTCTTTTTTGTGCTGGCCGTGGTATTTTACTAACAGTAGGAAGAAAATTGTTATTTGATAATAGTGACTATTTGTAAGTAGAAAAATAAAAAAAATATTTTTATTTTAATTTAAGAACTAAACCAAAAATTGTCGAGGAATTGTTAACGTTAGTTTGTTTTTAAATATTTAAAATTAGAATTAATTTTATCTTTAAAGAGAGGATATTGTAGATATTTGTTGTGGTGATGAGCATGCAATTGCACTAACGGTTTATTTGTTTAAATATTTTTTTATTTATTTTAAGGAAACTGGAGAAGTTTATGTTTGGGGTAAAGGAAAAAACGGCCAACTTGGTACTGGAAATAGAAATAATGGTTAATTAACTAATTAAAAATTTAACTTTATATTTAAGTTTCTGTACCAATTCGGATTCAAATACCTACAAGACAATTAATTAAAAGAATTATGTATGTTTATTTTTAAAAATTAAATTTAAATATTTAAAGTTGTGGACCTGATTCTACAATGTTAATAACAAATAGTGGAACTATATTGGCTATGGGATCTAATAAATATAATAAATTGAATGTTTGTATAAATTCTTACCTAAACTATTTGAAATTTATTTTTATGTTAGTTAAATAAAAGAGCTGGATTTTTTAAAGAAATGAAAAAGGAACAAAATACAGTTCAAGGAAAGGTTTATTAATTGCTTAAGACAATTCAATGAAATTTAAAAATATTAAAGAAACAACTAGTGGATGATGCTCTTTTGCCAACAGCTGTAAGGCCATTCCCTAGAAGAGTTGTTAGTGCATCTTTAGGCAATAATCACAGTGGTGTTTTGCTCGAAAATGGGCATGTTCATCTTTTTGGATTAAATTCTTATGGAGAATTAGGTACCGGAAGTACATTACCATTTAGTGATAGCACTAGACCTGTTAAAGCTTTGATTAATAAAGCTTGTTTGGTAAATATTTTTTCGATTTTTAATTAAAGTGAATTATTTAGCATTTAATTTGTGGTGATGGTTTTACAATTGTTGGAACATTAGATAATGAAATATATTTTTGGGGTTTAAGAGGTGGTGGAAGTGGGAAGGGAGAAAATGAGATAATAACAAATGACAAAAAAATAACAGAAGATGAATTAAGCAAGCCAAAATTTAGGGCATATAAAATGGCTAAAACACAAGAAGGATGGCAACTTTCGGCAACTGAAACCGTTAATATAACTATTTTACATCCAATACTTGTACTTAGGTTTTTATTTAGTTTAGAAATATTTTTTTCATTTTTGGTTTAAAAAAGACTAGATGTTTGCCACCAATCTAATGATGTTTCTTTAAACAATCGTTCAAATATTGGATTGGCTGGATTAGTTTGCTCATCTAAAAGAGTGTTTTGTGTTGTAGATGTTGCTAATGAACAAATAGAAAAACCTAATGAAGAGTATTTTTTAAATAATAGATAATTTTTCCTTATTTTAGACCAATACTTTCAACAAATACAAAGCAGACCAAAGTAAAAGTAGGTAGAAGAAAGTCAGCACCAGATAACCTTTCATTATGTAATACAACGGAGACATGGATACGTGATGAATTGGATGATGCTGAGTATATTCCTTACAAACCTCAAAAGGTTAATAAATTTTAAAGTAGAGTTAGTTGTAAACTGTTTCTTAGGTTCGAAGTCATACTCTTTTTGTATAAGGCCTAAAGTGTTGTTCAAGTTCTCTCCGTATATGTTTCTCATTTAAAATTTGATCCGGGTTTTAATAGAAAATAAATTTATCTTTTCAGTCAATGAAAAGAGAATCTATCACCACTAAACAATCTTCTCAATTGTTAGAAAGTGAACAAAAACTTCGTGAAGAAATAACTCAATTAAGAAGTCAATTACAGGAACAAAAATCTACCTTTCGTGGGCATGAAAAACAAATGTCTCAATTACAAGTAAATTTTTAAAAGATGAAAATATTTATAATTGAAATTTAAAAAGGCAAAATTAGCAGAATTACAAGAATTACTTAATAGATATAAAGAAATTGAAGAACCTTCATATTTACCTCCAGTAAATATTCCTCCACCTGAATATCCAGGCAAAAAATCAAAATCTCCACCATTAAGAAATACTCTTGTTAACAAAAATGTCACTAAGGCTTGTAATATTATATAAAATGTATTTTTTATTAATTGATTAAAAAATCCATTCAAAAAATAAAACTAAAGAAGAAGACACCCATAAATAAATATTCCAAAGAATTGAGGCAAAATAAGGTAACTCGTTAAATTTATGATGTTGTATGCCCATTTGAGTTGATTGATTTTCCAAATCTTTTGAAGATAGAGGAGAGGACGAAAGTAAAGCTGGATTCAATAGCACAGTGGGCGACTGGTAAGCTGAAAAATTTTGCGTGAAAATAATTGTAAATACATGTTTCCGAAAAGTAATTTTTATAATTTTATACAAAATTAATCAATTTTTAGAAAAAATTGAGATCAGTTGTAAATTTAGATTCTGAGTTTTTAAAGGTGAATTTTAGAATTAAGAAATTTTATTATCCATATGTAGGTTCTAACCGTCCAGTCTCTTAAATTCATTGTTAACTTCTTTCATTGAATTGACAGATTTATCTTCTTGTCGTTGATTATCTATTTTCTTTCCTTTTTCACTTTTTTCATTTTCAATTATTTTAATAATTAATTTTGACATTGAAGGGTATTCAATTAATTCTTCAGTTCTAGACGTTCTTGCCGTATTATATAACAAATCCTCTTTTGTTTTTCTAACATTTAAAGGTGTTTCGTCACAATCTAAATAATCTTCTCTATTACTTATTATTTCATCAGAAAAATAATTATTCGGAATAATTATTTTATTAAAATGACCATTTGCATTATTTGAAATAGGTCTTTGTTTTGAGGATGTATTAATATTATTTTCTCCGATTATTTGATTCTAAATATAAATATTTTAAATGCAATCATAATTTAAATTTACTTGTAAATTATCTAAAGAAAATTCTCTTGTAGTATATATTGGTGAGCGACATATACTAGATGGTTTTTTACGTATAAAATTACAACAGCAGATTAACCCACTTGATTTTGATAATTTTTTCCATTTTTCTGTTTCTTTTTTTGGTGTTGATAAAGAAAAAACCATATTAAAATTTTTAAAATTAATTTATTTTATAACTATGTATAGAAAGAAAATTTTTAAATTAAATATTTTTCAAGTTTATCTCAATTTTAAATCGAAGAAAAAAAACGTTAAAAAATATAATTTGTTATTGGCTGTCTTTAAACTGTTAAATTGTAAAAAAAGGTGGGTGACAAGTAAAAAGAAATATTTTATGTTTATATTTTGACTCAGCAGGTTTTAAAATATTTTTATTTGTCCTCCAAAAAGATTTGTAATAAAAATTATTTTTACGATTTAAAAGTTCTGTTTAAAAATATAAGAGTTTGTTGCTATTACGATTTAAATTGAAACAAAAATAATAGAAACAAAATAATAAGAAAAATTATTGAGAAGGAAATTTAATTTTTTTGTAATTTTTTCTAATCATAAAAATATCATTAAACAAATTAAAATATTTATAAAATTATTTGTAAGTGAAAATAAAAGTATCTATCTACATATATGAATATTTAACATTAAATATAAATATTTTATTAAATAAACTACGTATCTCATTCGTTGTCATTTGTTATGGCAACGGATATGGAAAATACAAAGAAATTTAAAAATAATCGAAAAATTACTTTTTGAATATTTTGAAAGTTAATTTTTAAGAAAATATGAGGAAAGAAATTATTAGAGCAAAAGATCCGAACACATCCCACTTAACTACCATTTACTGTCCAATTGTCCTTGATGCAATGGTCGATTGTCCAATTGTCATCTTTCCATTAGTCGCGTGTACAATTGTCTCACTGTCCAATTGTCGTGGCATAATTTTGGTTTTAGCAACAAAACGGCTTATTAATTTTTATTTTGCGTACTTTCAAATAATTTAAATTTTCATTGCGTCTAAATTTATTTTATGATTTTAATCTAAGATTTAAATTTTTTAGAAAAATGAATCCATCACAATATCCACAATGGCAACAACATTTAATTCCAGGTTATGCTCCTCCAATATATTCACAAAATACAGGGCCACCAACATATACACCGATTAATTTACCTACTCAATTTATTCCATGTACTCCCAGCAATTATTATGTAAATATTTTAGAATATTTTAAATAATATTTATTCTTTTTTAAAGCAGCAAAGTGAACATTTACAAGAAAAGGAAAAACAATCAAAATTGATTGAACAATTAGAAAAGGAAAAGGATTCGATTCAAAAAGAGTTTGAAAAACTCAAATTGGTTATTTTTTAATTTAATTAAATGAGCTATTTTTAAATATATTTTTCAAGGATTATGAAAATTTAAAAAAGGAAAAAGAATTGGAAATTCAAAAACGCAAAGAGAGTGAGCTTCGTCTAAGTGAACTTGAAAAGTCTAAACTTGAGGTTTATTTTATTTTTTGGGTCGTACACACCCCCAACGTTGGCATAGTCGCAGGTTTTAACACCCAGAGCTGGGTAATTATCGCCACATAATAAAAATGATCGTTGTACAGAAAAATAAAAATATGACATATAAAATTCAAAATTGGCTGCAAATAGATTTCTGATCAGTGAATAAATTAGGAATTCAATACTGCCTTAATTCTTAATGTTAGCAAATTTTTATTAAAAAATTTAAAGGTCGAAGAACGTTTAACTAAAAGAATTCGGGATTTGGGTTCTAATAATGAACGTCTCGAGAGCGAATTGGAAGATATAGAAAACGATTATAAGGTTTCAATTTATCAAAAAATATTTTTTGAACGTAATTTTATTTTTAAGGGTTTGGAATTTCAAAATGATAGATTAAAGAAGGATAATGAAAAATTAGTTCATGATGTTTGTTTTTTGTTTTTTTTTGATTATTTAATTTAGATTTTTTAGGCAATAGCTGATGATGATGAAATTGCTGGTTTACAAAGACAATTGAAGGAATCTGATGACAGGAATAAAGACTTAAATGAATGTTTGGAGACATTACAATTAGAAAATAATGAGAATAAAAAAAAATTGGAAGATTCTAAGAAAGAGGTTTTTAATTTAATTTTTTAAATTTAAAAGTTAGGTAAAGGTTAATAAACCAGTTTAAGTAAAAGTTAGGTTAACTGGACAAAAATTAGGAAGGAATAAAAAACATTTTTTTGAAAAATCATTTCCTTTATAAAAAAGAGATTTGACCATTTAGAGTCAGAAAAGAATAAAAGGAAATTAATCTGACCGGAACTCAAATAGATGGGGGGGGGGTGGAATATTAAATAGTTATCCCCATTTTTAAGTATCATAAATATAAGAAAAGATGTTCTCTTTGCGAAGAAGATTTACGTAAAAGTCAACATATTCTTGATAAGAAAGAATTACTTATAAATTCTTTGCAAAAACAATTAATTGAATCCGCAGCTGAAAATTTGGGATTAAAAAAAGAAGTACAAGATTTGCAAACAAAAATTTTAATTGCTGAACGACGGGCAAAAAATGCAGAAGAAGATTTGAATAAAAGAAATATTGGAGGTAAAATTAAGTAAAAAAAATATATAATTATTTATTTACTAATATTTTTTTGATTTTTATTTTACAAAAATTGTCTTTGAAAATAAAAATATTTTAATTAAATTAGAGTAAAAATAAAAATATTTTTTCAAACTTTTTAGCATTTTCAAATAAGATGGTGGTAAAATTGAACTTTGTCCATCCCCCCTATTTTTTCAAAACTTTACTCGGTTTAATTTGCCTATTTTTGGTTTAATTTATTTTAATTTTAATAAGAATTTATATAAATTTCTGCAAAATAATACCAATTTGATTGACGTAATTTCTCAAAATCAGAATTTTCGAATAAATTTTTATAAAAAATGGACAGGTGAAAATCTTTTGTACATTTAATTAATATATATTTTCTTTTTTAAATACTTGATTTTTCTTCAATTTTAACACCTGTCAATATCACACAAAATTTCTCCGCCTTTCTCAACCTAAATTACTTCGATAGCAACAGAAAAAAATATAATAATTTTTAAATAAAAATTTTTCTCTTTAGGGAATTTATTTGCGCGGAGTAAGTCTCATTGGTCTTAAAAATTTTAATTTTCTCCATTTTTTCGTTTTCTTTTTTTATCTTTGCGATTGTGAAAATTCTTTATGAAACCGACGTAAATGGAAATAAATACATCTTTAAATTAATTTTTAATTTAAATGTATTTATTAGATAATAGATTTTTGTCAATTATGTAGCATATTTTCCGACACTTCAAAGTGATTTTTTTCGAGATCAAGTTCTCGATTAATTCCCCATCCTAGAATAACTCCCCCCAAATACCCTTCGCAAAGGTTCAAAACTCGAAAAATTCCCTCGCTCGAAAATTTCACATCGGGAGAAGGCCAAAGTACCGCGAGACCAATGTACCACCAAGTTATAACCTCGTTCAAAATTATCGAATTTGGGAAACCTTGTTATCTTTCGAGTCGAACCATACGTTATCTTTCGCACAAATGTTATCTTTCGAGTCGAACCATACATCGCGGTACTTTATACTTCCACATTCATGGATTGGTTGTGGATTGAGCTAGAGAATGCGTTATCCGATATTTCATACTTTTAATATCCATCATATTGGTCGAAAATTATTTTTTTAAATCTCTACTATAAATATTTTTAATTATATTTAGTACTGTTTGAGAAAACAAGTAAATAAATATAGCTACTAATGAATATTTTTGTTAAATTATGCTTGTTTTCAATAAAATAGAACAATTTATTTTTTGTTATAAATTTATAAATATGTACTTATATTTAAAAATATTTTTTATATAATTTATTTTTACATTTTTATATATAAATATTTAGTTCCAATTTTTAAAAAATTCTTCAATTTTATATTTATATATTATGTTTTTATTTTGGATGGTCTCCTTATTTTTCATTGCATCCGTATCAACCTTCAGTCCAGTTCATAAATCAGAAGAAGAAATTTTTATGCCATATGAAGGTAAATTTTAGAAAAGGATTTATTAGTTAGATTCTTCAAATTAGAGGGATTATAGGATTTTCGTTAGGTGATTGGGATAAGCTACCTGAGGAAAAATAATTCTACTAGGAACAAATATTTTAATCACTTATATTTTTCGAAGATTCATCGTTAAACGACTTATATTTAATTACTTCATTAAATAAAAGACCAAAACATTTAATAAATATTTTTTCTTTACCAAACCAACAAACAAATAAACTACAATTATCACCAAAACAACTTAAATTTTTATGTAACAAATTTTTAAAAAATAATTCAAAAGAATATGAAAGATTATTATTTTTATCTAAAAATATTAATTTATGCAAAAAGGAAGAAAAATTTATGACGAAAATATTAGAAAATGGTGAGTAGTTAGATGAGATTTATATAAATTAATTTTATTTTAAAGAAAAACGTTCATCATCTTCTTATGATTTTGTTCGTTTTGGGCGGCGTAATTCTTTTCAAATGGATGGAAAACCAAACAAAAAGTCAAATGGAAATAATGGAAATACTTATGATTATATTAGATTTGGGTGATTTAATGAGAAATAAATGGTTCTATTTAACGGAATTTATTGATAATATTATCGTTAATATTTAAATTGTGTTGAAAATAATTTAAAAATACATATATATGCCAACTAAAATTAAAAAAAAATAAAATTGGAATAAAAAATAATTTAAATTTTAAAGATTTTTTTAACAAAATTAAACGTCTACCATAAATATTCAATTTGAAAGACTATTATTTACACCAATTTTGAAGGATTTATAGATGTTGTGTTCATTTTCATTTTTAGATTTAAATAAAAGATAAAATTTTAAAAGAGAACATGAACCTAATTTTTTAAAATTTATTTTCTTTTAATTAAATATTCCACTTTAAAATAATTTTTCTAAAAATGTTTTGTCATTTAATTTCACCTGTAGTTTTTATTTTAATTTGTTTGTCATTATTATTAATTGAAGGAATTGGATTTGATAAAGCAGGTGCCTCTTGCAATTCTAGTTAGTCGAGTTTTTAATTTTTTGTAAAACAATTTAACCAGCGTTCGGCGCGAATAGCTGAGTAGTTTTAATAGCTTTTGGGTATTAATGCTGACTCCAGCGTTATTACAACTGATTTAAATTAATTTGGATCAATTTCCCACTATGTGAAAACTTCAGACTCAAATGTCCAACCCTCAGACTCAAGTGACACTTTTAAAAATATCTTCATTAAACTCCTCATTCAATTCCCCGTCGAATAACACCTCAACCATCTTTCTACATCTAATACTTCAAAAGTTATAAACTTTTGAATTTTAGTCATAAATAAACATGCGGGCCTTCGGCCCGCATGTTTTCTGTAATGCGTTCGAAATTAGAAAAAATTTTTAATTTCTGACGGTTGCCTCCGGCAACGCATTATCTGCAATACGTTCCGAATTAAAAAACAATTTTAATTTCCGGCGGTTGCTTCCGGCAACGCGTTATCTGCAACGCGTTCCGAATTTTTAAAAAAATATTTTTATTTCCGGCGGTTGCCTCCGGCAACGCGTTTCAGCGACGCGTTCCGTATCTTCTCAAAAATAATTTTTAATTCTGGCGGTTGCCTCCGGCAACGCGTTATCTGCAACGCGTTACAATTTTCTCAAAAAATAATTTTTAATTCTGGCGGTTGCCTCCAGCAACGCGTTTTCTGCAACGAGTTCCGATTTCTTAAAAAAATAATTTTAAAGTCTGGCGGTTGCCTCCGGCAACGCATTTCAGCGACGCGTTCCGTATCTTCTCAGAAATAATTTTTAATTCTGGCGGTTGCCTCCAGCAACGCGTTTTCTGCAACGAGTTCCGATTTCTTAAAAAAATAATTTTAAAGTCTGGCGGTTGCCTCCGGCAACGCATTTCAGCGACGCGTTCCGTATCTTCTCAAAAATAATTTTTAATTCTGGCGGTTGCCTCCGGCAACGCGTTATCTGCAACGCGTTCCGATTTTTTAAAATATAATTTTTAAGTCTGGCGGTTGCCTCCGGCAACGCGTTTTCTGCAACGCGTTCCGAATTTTTAAAATAATTTTTAATTCTGGCGGTTGCCTCCGGCAACGCGTTTTCTGCAACGCGTTCCGAATTAAAGTTATTTTTTAAAAAATATTAGAGTTTAACATTTTTATAAAAATTTCAGTCCCAGACTCATATTAAAAAATGAGACTCAAGTGCACTTTTTTTTTAAAAACTCATTTTCTAATATTCCCTTTAATTTTTATAATTTTTAAATTTAATTTCCACTGATTTAAACCTTCAGACTCAAATATCCCACCCTCAGACTCAAGTGACCCTTTCAAAAATTATCTTAAAAATTCGCCTGATTTTTCCACGTCGAGTGACACCTCAATCATATTTTTCCGATAACTACTTCAAAAGTTACAAAAAACGCTTCACCGTTGCTTAACTTTCCAGATCGGACGGTCTAGATCGTCAAATTTAAAAATTTTTTCCCAAAATTTTAATTTTTTAAAAAATTCATAACTTGGCTCAAAAAAATCATATTAACGTAAAACAAAGCTTATTCGATGCAGAATTTAATGCTCTATCTTACATCTCCCAACACTTTTCTTCTAACTCCAAAACTAAATAAAGTTAAGGTCACTTTTATGCAACTTTCTTAAAATTTCACTTTTTACTCCATATCTTTTTTTCTGTTAATCCAATCAAATTGAAACAAACTTTTTTCTTAAGAAACCGACCACGCTCTACAACTTTTCTCCCAACCACTGTTTGCTCAGACCCCTCTAAACACCTTAAATCCTTAGGTACCACTTTGACAAAAAAGTTGTCAACAGGCACATCTACCCTCCCCGTTGTCCGAACGACTTCAACTCTTTTTCTATCATATTCTCCATGTTGTGGTGCTTCAACCTTGTAACTGACCCAACTTTCCCCGACATCGTCTTCATACTCATTTCCGACCTCAAAGTTTCGAAAAAACATGTTTTTTCAAAATATCTAATTTTTTCTCCATTGGACCCCAACTTTTGGAGGTTTTCCTGAAAACTACATTGTATTGCGCATCTATAGCAAAAAACCCCACCCCGATACACCCACTCAAAAGCTCTGGGGACTTTTTTTTAGCTGACTGCCTTTTTACTATTATATATAGATAACAATGTTTTTGTTCAGTGGGACGAATTGGGATTGAGCAGAATTGGAGTGGGACAAATTAGGGCGTGGCCATTTGTATTTAATATTTTTTTGTGAGACTCAAATAATGCTAGGAAATGGCCAGTTGAATGCAGATAAAGCTTGCACAAACTGACCCGAACCTAAAAGATACGAAAAATAATTTTTATTTTTGATGAATATTGTCCTCTTGGCTGGTCTGTACTTCGCCGACGAGAAGATTATTCAGCATATACATGTAATCCGACAATAAAAACAGAAAGAAAATGTCCAAAACCACACATTTGTGTAGCATCAAAATGTGGAATTAATTTTTGTTGTGTTAATGATAGTTTAGTATTATTTAATTTTAGAATAAAATTTTTAATATTTAGAAATGCTATCTAAACTTGAAGAAAAAGATGTTGAAGAAGAGGAAGATTTACAAGAAGAAAATGATGAAAATGAATTGAACAAAAAAGAATTTTAAAAATATCTTTAAATTTTGCAAGGATTTAAACAACTGCTTATACTATTTATGTACTTGTAAACATTGCAAGGTAGTTAAAAATAATAAATAAATTGCTTGTTTTCTTTTAACTCAAAATTGTTGTTGATGTAATTCTTGTCAAGTAAAAAAGAGTAAAAGTAGTGTACTATTTGAAGTATTAAGAGGAAGGAATGAGCCAAGAAAAAGCATCAATAGCAAGCGACTAAGTGAGTAAAAAGAGGCAAAAGAAGCACAGCTGTATGCGGAAACGGAGAAAAAGCTGTGGCCCAATATATATTCTTGTGCCTTCTAAACATACAAATACTTGCCTCCTCTTCTTCATCCCCCTCCATTTTTCTTCCTCAACAACGTCTTCACCAGCAACTATTAGTGACAGCTTTATTCTTTTTTAAAATATTCCCTTCTCTTTTCCCGTTCTCAAAGCATTAATGTTGTCGAGCGCCGTAGCAACAGCACAGCAGTGGTGGCAAGCAGCAGCTGGGCCAACGACGATATTGTGGCGGATAGATGGGGAAGAATTGGGGGATGTGAATTGAAGTAACGCGACTACTCACCACTACTGTCCGCTTTCTTCTTCGTCTCTTTTCTATCTAAAAAGCAAAAAGGGTCGAAAAAGCTAAGCGTCCTGGCCTAGTCACATCGTTGCCTTGCCTTCTCTCGCCCAACCACCCCAGCAGTTGTTGTTGTTGTGGCCAACAAACATTGCTTAGAAAGTAGTATGTACTATCTATTATTTGTTTTGAAATCGACTTTTCTTTCTCCATAATATATATAGTATATTAATTATTAATATAGGTATTCTGTTATGTACAACCTTTAATATGTATGTATAAAACTTTTAACGTATTCTATAAGTTACCATTATTTTATTTTTTTCTTGTAATTGAAATAATCTTTGTTTAACTCACGCATACTAGCTAATTTAGATTTACTACCCAGGACTGCCTCAAGAATAACGTTTTAAGAAATACTCCAGAATATCTCATGTAGCAGGATATTTTTAATAGGACTTTAAAGGGTTCTAGCTAATGGAGGAAGTTTAATTAGTCAAAATTGGGGCAAAGAACTGAATATAGTTCTTGAAAATTCCCAATTATTTTCTCAATATGTTATCCAAAAAATATTTTTAAAGAGAATTATGGCACCAGCCACAATCCCTAGTTGTTGTTTAACTGCTGAGCAAAAAGATATTCTCATAGATGCGGTCCATGAACGACCAGTTATTTGGGACTGTTCTATACCTGATTATCAAGATGTAAATTATTTTTCGTTAAATTGTTCTTATATAGGTTATTTTATATCAGGTTCAAAATAGAAGGGCTGCGTTTGCTGAAGTAGCTGAAATACTTTCTGATGATAAATCTAAATATTCTGGTTTTTTAATTTACAATTAAATTAATAAAGTTTATTTTAAGGACCAGAAATGCAAGTTGAATGGAAAAAGTTGAGGGATATTTTTAATAGGACTTTAAAAAAGGTTGTAGCTAATGGAGGAAGTGATTCTGAAATTACTTGGCGTTATTGGCAAAAGGTAAAAATAATAATTGGCAGCACGACAATTGACTTTGAGACAATCGGACGGAAGACTATTAGACTGAGGACAATTGGACAGTGAGTTGTGGTTAGTGCATTTACTCTATAGGGATTAACAATAAGGTATTTAGAGTTCGAATTATTTGTTGGAAAAGGTTTTTAATAAAAGATAATGTGGTAAAATTAATTGTTAATCTTCTTGTAAATTGCACTTAACTACGATTTATTGCCTAATTTCATACTGCAATTGTCTTCCAGTCTATTGTCTTTAATCGTATGTAATGGCACGAATTAATATTTTGTTTAAAATATTTTTCATTTTTAGTTACAATTTATTGCCGATCATGAACGTACACAAATTTATAAAGCAATGCAAAAATGGTTTCAAATAAGTAAATATTTCTAATAAAAAATTTTTTTAAGGAGTAAGAAAGTTCCTTCGTCATTATCGTTATCTCCACCAATTAAATCAAATTTTAATAATTTAAAAAGAAGATCTTCAAATCTTTCATCCCAGTCAACAAATAATCGACGTTTTAATAAAATCTCTGATGGGAAAAGAACAACATCAATGGTACAACAACTAGCTGAAGTTGCACAAACAGCCAGAGAACTTTTAGGAATTGAAACTAAACAAGAAGAGATTGAGAAATTCAAAGAAGAAATTAATGAAGAAGAAGAAAAATATAAATTAATTAATGAAGATGGTGAAATTATTGATGAAGATGGAAGGGAAGAAGAAAAGGGTAATAATTGTGAAGCAATAGAACAACAGCAGCAAAAAATAAATAGTAAAAAACAAAGGATAAAAGAATTCAATAGCATTCAGGAACAACAACAACGTCCTATTGATACAATTGGCCAAATGCTTTTACTTGGGTAAAAATTAGAAGTTTTAATTAGAGATTTAATATTTAAGTTCACAATTACAAAATTCATCTTTTAATGGGATTGATTGTTCATCTATTGGAAATGATAATAATCAAACGTCAACTACATGCACAACAACAGAATTAAATAAAACAATAGATAATAATGACTTACCAAAGTTATTAAATGAATTATTATCTAGAGGAACAGAGATTATAGAAACAACAAAAGAATGTTTCGGAAGAACAAAATGGCCAATAAATTCACAAATTAAAAATGAAGGAACTAAAAGGCCACATGTTGAAGAGCAACTAAAAAATGAATGGAATTATTGTAATGGTAGCAATATAAAGGCAGAACAACATCAATCTATAATTCGAACACAAAAACAAACAAGTGGTTCAGATCAATTTGATGTTTTTGGTAATATTTTTTGATATTATTCTTGGGTCAATCCTGTCGACCTACAACTTTTGAAAGGGAATATCGAGGATTTTAGAGGGATTAAAGGGGATAAATACCCAGCTCTAGGGAGATAAGTACCCAGCTCTATATTTTAGGACCTATGGTCCGGTATTATGTACCTTAACTCCGGGTTAGTAGAGATCTCTATCCCCTTCAATCACTCCAAATCCATCGATATCTCCTTAATCCCACCAAATCCCTTAATATTTCTTTCAAAAATTGTAGGTCTTCAGGGAGTGTGTAGGTCATAAGAGGTGGACTCCTTTAATAGACTCGTATATTTATAGGTATGTTTATTGCTAGTCAATTAAGAACATTACATAGTCATTCTCCTCAATCTGCTTTCACATTGAAACGAACTTTAACTGGATTATGTTTTCAATTTGAAGCAGAACAAAAAGAAAGTGAAGGAAAAAATAAATTCAACTTTTAAATATTTTATACTATTGATTATAAATATTTAATAGAATTTAATTATTTTTCTACAAAATAACAATATCTTAATTTAAGAATTTTTAAATTAAAAGTAAACTCTTTGAAGATATATCTTTTTGTTCTTCTATTGAATTACACTCATTTTTATCTCCACTTTTTAATATTATCTGATCAATTTCATCTCTATAGATTTCTGTTGCCTTCTAAAATATGATTTTAGATGAAACTTAAATTTAAAAAATTAACCGATTTATTTATTGAAAGTGGAAGCCAAACATCTTGTTCAACCAATTTTTGCTTATAAAAAGAAGATTGTTCTCGTCTTCTTCGTTGAACATCATTCTCGGCACGTGTATATTTTACTCGTAAAGGAGCCAGGTTTGATCCCGATGAGGCCGAAGATATTTTTCGTGAAGAAGATGCTTCTTAAGTTTTAAAATTTAATTTAAAATTTTAATTAAATGCTTTTACCCTTTTGTGTCGCTGATTTTGATGCCTCCTTTTCAATTGTACCTGCTAATGGTCGACGCATTTCATAGGTTTTCTCAACTGGCAACAGAAAAAGCTTTCCTGAAAATCATAAATACTTCATAAGAACATTTCTTTTTTCCTAAACATAACTTTTTTAGATTTCAAGAAAATTTATTTTATTATTTTCAAAAAATTCAAACCTTCCTTAAAAAGTCCAACCGCATGACTAATAATCTCATGTTGTGAAAAGCCTTCTCCCATAAAAACTTCACCGGAACTCTTTCCATCAACATTTGTATTAGAAGTTGAAGGATTTAATTCTGATTTGGATCTTAAAAATCATTCAAAAATTATTCTAATTAAAATAAAACCTTAATAAATCAGCAATTCCACCCGAACCACCTTTTGAGTTCCCCGAACCACCTCCTCTACTTTCGTCAAAAATTTGTTCTTCCTCACCAAATCGTAATCTTAAATGTTTAACTTGAGCCTTATAATAAGCCTGACATTTTTCAGAATTAAATATTCTTTCAAGCCAATTTGTGTGTTGCTGAGGAAATTGTAAACGATTTAAACTAACAATATTTCCATTTGACTGGTCATCGGAATCAAAACTCCTGCTGCCCTCCACAGGAAGTAAATAAACATCCATCTGCAAATAAATACAAAATAAGAGCTAACATGAAATTTTACAAAAATCACTATCACAAACGGATTAAACAAAAACTACAAATTAAAACTTTAATTGTACAAACCTCAGAAACAATCTCATCGATCTCATTCGTATTCAACTGTTTTATATTCTCTGTAACATCATTTGGTACTTGTTCTGCAACAGCTTCACTCTCTTCCTCATCTGAATCAATAATAACTCTACGAACTTTGACATTGGTGTCTTTTCCTTTATCTGAGGATTGCCTTTGTCTTTTTTGTGGCATAATTTTTTGTGGCAAAAAAATAAACAGAAATCATATGCATAATTATGAAATAAAAAGAATATTCATAACTGATTAATAAGAAAAATACTATATAATTAATCTTTATTTCATAAAACTTTTAAGCAATTCAAGAATATCAGAACGAGTTCTTCTGGCTAAATCTAAAAGACTATCACCAGCACCATTAACGGCATTCATTTCAACACCTAAAATTTAAAAAAAAATCTAAAAAAATTTTAATCATTAAACCTGGAGCTTCAAGTAAATATTTAACAGTTAGATACTGCTTATGTTTATCTTCACTTGAAGAATTAATTGCCAGATGTAAAGGAACAATTTTGCCTTAAAACAAAAAGATAATTAAAAACTACTTTTCTTATCTCTGTTCGACTATTCACATCAACACCATGCCTTAAAAGAATTGCGACAACTTCATAATTTGCCCAAAAAGCAGCACAATGCAAAGCCGTCCAACCATCACATGTTCGAATTTCAGGATCTGCTCCTAAAAATTTACTCAATAAAAATATTTCTTTAATAAAACCTTTTTCTAATAACCATTTACAAATTTCTATCCTGTCATTATAAGCAGCACGGTGAAGAGCAGTATATCCATCACGATCTTGAGCCTACAAGCCAAACAAAATTTAGAATAAATATTGTAGTAATTTGATAAAAACCATTAATAATTCAGGGTTATTTGCATACATTTGTTGTAATTTTGCAAAATCACCTTCCTCAGCGGCAGTTAAAAATACTCCAGCTAATTCGTCCATTTTTAAAGATCTGAAATTTTTTGAACATCCCCATTCCAAATTGTCTCTCGTGCTAAATCAAACAGTGGGAGTTCGTCCAGTCGCCCAATACAAAATTTAAAAAAGACTGAAACTTCCCCTTGCCTAAGACTGAAATGGGGTACTCGACAATCGGACAGAATACAATTGGGCAAAGTAGACAATTGGACAGAATTTTAAAATGTCAACAGTAAAAACGTCAAAGGAGATTTATCGTTTCTGAGGATATTTTGTCCAATGCAAAGAAATTAAGAAATAAATATATTTGTGTGTTTTTTCGAATATGAATTTTTAATATCCAAATAATTCTCTCCTTTCATTCAACAAAGTCATGATATTTAGAATATTTTCATTTTTACTTCCCAACAAGTCTGTTTGAAAAGATCTTTTCCCAAATAATTCTCTTGTCCTTCTTCCTTGTCTTTCCATAGACGGGGCTGAAAATTAAATAAAAATTTTGAAAAATAATTCTTTTTAAATTTATTTAGTTACCGTTTCTTTTTCCGAATAATTCTCTCCCTCTTCTTTTATGTAACATTTCTAATTTAATATTAGAAATTCCATCAAAAGAATTTTCAAATTCTGCTTTCGAATTGGTTAAAAATAATATGATTAATAAAGAAAAAGGAATATTTAGATAAAGAAAATTATACATTTTAAAATTTTACTCGAAAAAATCCTAAAAAATGAATATGATTTAATTTTTAAATGAAAATTTGAAAATTAAAAAGGTAGATAAATTATATTTTTACGTCATTTTTGATAGAACAATTAAAAAAAATACGAGCAGAAATTAAAAATAATTTTGGGTAATTTAAAATCTTAAAGTTTTTTTGGCAGGATACTTTCACAGTAAATAATAGTTAAAATTTCATAAAGTGTGGATTTTATTAGCCTTTATTTTTATATTTTTTTACACATTTTTAGGTCATCTCCTTATGTTTCCCACGGGTTTATATTTCTGCAACTATTTTCTTAATGCGTAGATATAATTTTTAAAATAAGAATTTAAAAATAAAATAAATAAAAATCTATTTTAAATTTATCCCCACTGAAAAATTAAAATATGTATTTTTCCGGCAATAAAATGTACATATTCTGACTAAGAATAAATAAAAATTAACTATAATTAAAATAATTATTTACCCAAGTAATATGTGTCCCAAAATTTCTTCCAACAATAACATGCCAAGTTTTTCCTGTAAATTCATCCATTTGTTCTTTTATTTTTGTAGCTATTTCTGATTCCAAATTACAAGTCTTCAAATTATTTTTAAATTTAATTTAATAAAAACACAAACATCTAGAGCAATATTAGTAATTTCAACAGCCTAAATTAAAAAAAAATTAATTTTTAAAATTCACACTGTATCAATATGCATCAAATATTTTAAAAATAATGAAATCCTCATTTATTTGGACGTTAAATTTTTGATTATAATACTCTATAATGCATATAACCTGTTTTTGTAAATCAGTATTCATGCCAGAAGTATTTCTAATAACAACAGATAAAGATTGTCCTTGAATTGATTTTGATTGACTTCCTCCTATAGAAATTTTTCCTTTTTCATTATTCCCCTCTTGGCCAGCAACTGCATGTTTCCATCTTTTAGTGGCATTTCTATTAATTAAAAAATATTTTTAACAAGGAATGCAAGAGCGGAAATTATAAGAAAAAAATACATATTAGTATTTTTTCAGAAATTACCTTCTAATACTAAAATTTTTGCGTTGAAGAATATTGTTAAACATTTAAAACGTTAAATTTTGATAAAAAGGTTAAAAAATAAGTATTTAGAATAAAAAGTTCTAACTTTTACATGCTTTTATGAACAGCTGGCTTTTTTTAATTTAAAGAAAACAAAATTACATATTTTTTAAAGAACTTCCTTTAATTTCATAGAGATCAACAAAAAGCAATGTCATGAGAGAATTCCCACACAGCAAAAACAGCATTAACGAATCACATTGGGTCGCCCCATTCCTAAACTATCAATTTGTCTAATTTGTGGGAAAGTACCATTTTGTTGAAGTTCTATTTTGTCTAATAACATTTTGTCTAATTTTAGCCTCAATACCTTTTGTTGAATACCATTTTGTCTCTACGAAGTAGTTTAGTTTTCAGTCCATTTCAAAGCCTTCATCGATCTTGCGTCAAAATTTAGCGTTTTATGTTAATCTCGCTTTTTTAAGAAAACAAATAGATTACATTTATTAAGTTAATTTTGGCATGACCTCAAACGTCGTATCACAAGTTGAAGTTCCAATTGAAAAAACAATAGACCGTGAAAAGGTTTTTAAATAAAAAATTTATACATAAAATATATTTAAGGTATGCCCATTACTTCTTCGAATTTTTTGTGCTCAAGTTCGACATAATTCTATGAATGATTATTCTCGTGGGTCTGTTCCACCAAATGAGCTGCAAATTTATACTTGGTTTGTTATACAGAGCTATATAATAAATTATTCTTTTAAAGTAAAACATTTTCGGTTCTATCATTTTTAAATAATCTAATTCTTAAAATTCTTTTTTGCAGGCTTGATTGCACACTGAAGGAATTAACTTCACTTATTAAAGATGTTAATCCTGATGCACGTAGACGAGGCACAGAGTTTAATTTTGCAATTGGTAGTTCAATTGATTAAATTTTTAAACATCTTTTTAACAATATTCAGTTGCTCCGGATCGTTATTCTGCTCGTTATGCATTAAGAGAAGTTGGAATAACAATCAGCGGGCAAAGATCTCCAGATGATGAGAAAAGCGTATCTTTTTGTTTTAAATTTTTATTATTTTTATATATTTAAGTTGAGTCAATGTAAATTCGAAGTCGGTGATTATATCGATGTTGTTATCAATCCACCTGATACTGGAATTGCTGGAGGACGAGGAAATGCAGCGCATGGTGTTTATGGGGCACAACGTCGTTCTGGTGAACGTGTGGAACGTGATCGAACTGGTTCTTTTAGTGGAGGCGGTGGAGGCCGTTATGGAGGATTCGGACGTTGATATATTTTGATAAAATTAAATTTCAGTTTGTTTTATTTTTTGAATAAATGTAATCAATTTTATTTTTGTTTTATTCTTTGTTAATTTACAATCTAAAGTTATCGCTTTATTCGTAATCTATTTGTTTAAATTAAATCAATTTTTAAAATTATAACTTATGAGCAATAATTATTATCATTCTTCACCTGCTTCTGAGTCTGGTGGAAATGTAGAAGGAAGTTCTAGTCCACTAATACAGGAAGTTAGTAATTCAATAGCTTCATTGAATAGCAGAACTACAATTTATAGTGAGTTATTTTCATAAATTTGAATTTCATTAAGATTTATTTTTAAATCAATTTGGTGAGATACAACACACATCACAGCTAGTTGAACAAATTTCTTCACTTTATTTAAATGAGGATTGTAGTGACTTAACTTTAATTGTTGAGGATCAACGTTTTCCCGTGCATCGAGTGATACTTGCTGCAAGAAGCACATATTTTCAGTTTGTTATTTATAAATTATTTTTGAAATTAACTTTTAGTGCTATGCTTTTTTGTGGTATGAGAGAAACAAATGAAAATGAAATTACTTTAGTTGATACACCAGCAGATGCTTTTAAAGTTTTTAGATATTTTTAAATTTATTTTTTAATTATCTAGGCTCTTTTGAAATATATTTATACTGGGAAGTTACAACTTAAGAGTCTGAAATTGGATTTAGTTTTGGATATGCTTGGTATTACTTTAAATTAAAATTACTTTTATACTTGTTTTTAGGATTGGTTCATAAATATGGATTTTCTGATTTGGAAGAAACAATTCCAGAATTTTTAAAGGTTAATTTTTTCCATTTTCTTAAATTCCTTTTAGTCTACACTTAAAAACAAAAATGTTTGTGCTGTTTTTACTGTTGCCCAGCATTATTCAATTGAATGTTTAATGACTACTTGCCTTGATTTTATTGATAATTGTGCGACTGAACTCTTGGGAACACAGGTTTTTTAATTTCTAATATTTTAAATTTTTTTGAAAGGCATTTATTGATCTTCCTGCTCAAGCTTTGGTAAAAATTCTGAGTAGAAATTCGTTTTGTGCACCAGAGATTGAAATTTTTAATGCTGTTAAACAGTGGATAGAGACACATCCAGATGAGGTTAATTGAAATAGTGTGACATTAGTGTGAAAATATAATGAAAAATGCTACATTATCTAATTTATATAGGAATCAGAATTTCCTTCGATTTTGGCCCAAATTCGTCTTCCTCTAATTAAAGTTAACGATTTATTTGAGCATGTTAGAGAATCATCGCTTATTTCTCCTGATCAAATACTTGATGCAATTAAAGATCAAAACACTTTAAGCAGTTCACAACTTAAATACAGAGGATTTTTATGTAAAACTCATTTTTCATTGAAATTAAAAATCATTGTTTAAGTTCCTGGAATAAATATCGCAACAGTTTCCTTTGGTGCAAAAGTAATTTCTGGCGATTTCCGAACAGCTTTGCTTTCAAATCCAAGTAATTATGATGAAGGAGTTCCAACTGATCGCACATTTTCCAAACATTTGATAAATCCAAGAGATCCGGGAATAACGGTTTTTTAAAATTTGTTACTAATAATTTATTTCATTTTGATCTGAATTAAATTTTCTCAAAAAATTAAATCCATCTTTTAGCAATTAAACGAACTTTAATATAGTGTTTTCATAGAATTTTAATTTATTTTCAGATTGAATTAGGACGACCATTTATTATTAATTGTATTAAATTGCAATTAATGGATAGAGATCAACGTGCCTTTTCTTATTACATTGAAGTTATTTCTTTTATTTTTTGTAAAATCCTTTGTTTCAGGTCAGTATTGACAAAAATGATTGGGTACGAGTTATTGATCACACTCTATACTTATGTCGTTCAAAACAAAATCTTTTCTTTGAATCAAGAGTTGTGAAATTTATTAGGTATATATCTTTCTTTTTTAGTTTCTATTTAAATTTATAAAGATAAATATTAAACTTTTTTACAGAATTGTTGGAACTCTTAGTTCTGTGAATAATACATTTCAACTTTGCAATTTTGAAGCATTATGTTCAACAGAACAATTTGAAATCGATACAAAAACAACGTTACAAAGTAATATATTTTATTTTGAAGTTGTTTCGAAATATTTTAAGTACCGCGTTCCAATGTTGCTACAATATCAAATAATGCAATTGTTACAGAAGGAGTTTCAAGAAGTCGAAATGCACTTTTAAATGGAGATACAACAAATTATGATTGGGACAATGGGTTTTATTTAAAGTAAACAATAATCATTAAATCTTCTCTTAAAGATATACTTGTCATCAATTAGGTTCCGGTGCTTTAGTAGTTCAATTACCACAACCGTATTTAATCGAAACAATGAGGTAATAACGGAAAATTTTTTTTCGTAAATTTTATTTAAAGATTTCTTTTATGGGATTGTGATGATAGATGTTATTCTTTTTATGTTGAAGTTTCAGTTGATCAAATAAAGTGGACTAAAGTTGTGGAATTCAATGAATGCAGGTAAGAGTTAGATTAACAAAATCTAAATACTGTAATTTAAAAAACAGAAGCTGGCAAATTGCTCAATTTGAAAAGACATCTGTAGTATTTGTTAGGATTGTTGGAACTTATAATTCAGCAAATGAAGTTTTTCATTGTGTACATTTTGAATGCCCAGCAATGGAAATAAACGAAGCAATTGAAGAAGAAAGAATGAAAAAAGTCCAGAATGTTAAAGCCTCCGTAACTAATTATTGTTCTCGAGCATCAACAAGTAATATTAGTAATGAAAGAAGTAATCTAAATAACAAACAAGAAAATGGACAATGTAATAATTTTCCGGGCATTACTGAAAATGGTAATACTTTTGATGTTGAAGAAAATAATAAAGAAGAAATAATAAAAGAAAATGATGAGGATGATGAACAGGAAGAACAAAATGATGGAATTGAAAGTATAGAAGAATTACTGAGTGATAATTAAAAAATAGAAATAATATTTTAGGCGACATTTTAAATGCAAAAATTTAATTTTGATTAAAAAATAATTTTGATTTATTTTTTATTTTGATTTTAAATGTTATTATCTAAAATAAGCATATCTGTGTTTGAAGGAATTCTAATTAAATCGATTAAATATTCAGATGACAGAAGATTATATTCCAACACCTGAATATAAAATTAATCCTGAATTACATGGAAATGTTTATCCTCCGTCGGAAGACACATTTTTGTTGATTGATGCTTTGTCAAAAGAAAAAGATGTTTTTTTAATTTAAAAGGTGTATTTTAAATTTAAATTTTTAGGTAATAATTTCACTAAATCCGTTAATTTGTTTGGAAATTGGCTGCGGTTCTGGAATTGTGTCATGTTTTTTACAAAAATTATTGAAAAATAATTTATTGACAAGGTTAGAAATTCGATATATATTCTTTAATTAATTTTTAGAGTGATTTGTACTGATTTAAATTTATCTGCCTTAAAGTGTACAGAAAATACAGCAAAACTAAATTCTATTGGATTAGAATTTTTGGAATGTGTTCAGTGGTATAAACTATTTAATGTACAAAGTAGTAAGATACTTAAAATTTAATATTAAAGTGATGCTGTTGGACCTTTGCTTCCAAGATTATATAATTCTTTGGATTTACTTTTACTTAATCCTCCATATGTTCTAACGGAAGAAAATCCAGAAAATGAAAAGGTTTATTAATTTGTATTTTTAATTGAAAATATATTATAGGACATTTGCTTTGCTGGTGGACCTGAAGGACGCAATTTATTAAATAAATTATTACCTTTTATTTCTAAATTACTTTCTCCAAATGGAGTATTTTATCTTGTAGCCATAAAAGAAAATAATATTGCTGATTTAATTTCAACTAAAAATAGGTATTTTTATACAAATATTTTTTACAAGTTATTTTAAGGGAAAGATTTGGATTAAATGGGACTATTATATTGGAAAGACAATGCAAAAATGAGTATTTATATGTGCTAAAATTTACAAGAGTTGATAAAGAAAATGAAAGGTAAAAACTAAATTTAAAGTAAATTTCACATTTTTAGTAATTTAAAATTATCTTCAATACAAAAATCTTGCATTAAAGAAATTCAAATAAATACACCAAAAACAGGAACAATTACCTCAAATAAAATAACTCTTCATTTAAAGCCGGTTGGCAACGCACCTCAACTAAGAAAAGAATTTACAAAGTATAAAGTTGACCCGAATTGGACGATATTTAATTTACAACAAACTCTAAAAAAACTCTTAGGTGTTAAAACTGATCCTATTTATCTTTTTATTAAAGAAGCATTTGCTCCAAGTCCAGAAAGCACTGTAAGGGATAAAATAATTTTCAAATAATTTTTTTTTTGTTAAATTTAAAGATTAGTTCTCTATATCAATGTTTTGGGACTGACGGTGGAATTTTGTATATTCATTATGGTTTAACACCAGCATGGGGATGACGTTGTTGAAATTCTTATTAACATTTTTAAATCTTTGTTGTGAATTAATTGGATGGATCAAGAGGCTGAAAAATTTCTCTTTTCAAAATAAATGTTTTTAACTTTTAATTTGATTATAACTTTGCAAATTTATTTTTTTAATATTTTAAACCGGAAAAAACATTAAAAATTTTAATTTAGTTGTGAATTTTCTAAAATTTTCGTCTGCGGCGCAGATCATCTAAATCATCTAAACTTCTAAAAAATTTTGCCTGCGGCTCTGACAATTTAATTTTCTCTCCTAAGGCCTTACAAAATTCTTTATAATCATCTAAACTTTTCTACTTTATGAAAGTATGTAGAAGTCTACTTTCAAAAAAACTTTTTACTTCTAATTTCTTTCATTTTCTACTTTCATTTCCTTTTTTCTTTCCTCAAAATAGGTATTAAAAATGTCAGACTTAAATACGTCCTCTATATTACAAATTCTCGATTGATATATCCTGAAAGTCTACCTAAACAAAATTTTCAAATTCTTTAGGCTTTGAAAATCTTTTTTTCTTCATTTTTTCGAGTAATTGACAGAATATCAACGACTTGACACTTTGACATTTTCCAAAATTAAATTAACAAAATTAATTTGTGTTAATATTTCGTTCAAATTCATTTGGCGTCACTTATTGATTTTCATTAGTTTCCGTAGTTTGCATTTTCTTTTGTTATGTTTAATGATTTTTTGCTCCTAATCTTCTAAACTCTAATTTTTCAGCTATCATTTTAAAAATGTCTGAAGCAAACGCTGTCGGTATCCTTGCTAAGACATATTCCTGTGTTGGTGTATTCCAGCATGGAAAAGTCGAAATCATTGCTAATGATCAAGGTTTGTTTTCTGGACGAGGTTACGTGTTCTAACTTTTTTTCTTCAGGAAATCGCTCGACTCCATCTTATGTGGCTTTCACAGACACAACGTCTGATTGGTGACGCTGCTAAAAATCAGGTGGCAATGAATCCGTCGAACACTGTTTTTGGTATTTTTTTTTGAATTTTTGGGTAAACAAGTAAAAAATCATTTTCAGACGCGGAACGCTTGATTGGTCGTAAATTCGACGACCCTGCATTTCAATCGGACATGAAACATCTGCCGTTCAAGTTTATCCAAGGAGAAGGTGCTCATCCAAAAATCCAAGTGGAGGTTAAAGGAGAAATGAATGCTTTCTTCCCAGAGGTTTCTTTTTAAGTTTACTTTGCTTGAGTTCAAGTTTTCGCGTTTTAAGGATGCTGTCGTCACGTGCCTGCGTACTTCAACGCAGTCAACGGCAAGCCACAAAGGATGCTGGAACGATTTCTGGACTCAATGTTTTGCGTATCATCAACGAGCCAACTGCTGCGGCCATTGCTTATGGTTTGGATAAGAAGGGCCAAGGCGAGCGAAATGTTCTGATTTTTGACTTGGGCGGTGGAGCGTTTGATGTGTCAACCTTGACTATTGAAGATGGTATTTTTGAGGTCAAGTCGACTGCTGGAGACACTCACTTTGGAGGTGAAGATTTTGACAATCGAATGGTTTGGAGTTTTTGAGGTTTTCTTAACTGAAAATATGTTTTAAGGTTAACCATTTTGTTGCTGAATTTAAGCGTAAACACAAGAAGGATCTTGCCACCAATCCGCGTGCTCTCCGTCGTCTTCGTACTGATTGTGAACGTGCTAACAAGGGAACATTCCGAACTGTGACCAAAAATTTTCAAATAAAAATTATACCATCGTGTAGAGCATGGTCGAAAGCCAATTGTAGTAGGTTTCTTTTTTGGCCCTGACCCCCATTTCGAAAAGTTATAGGCCTTCAAAGTTTCCGACTTTTGGAACGGTTGAGTCGCCCTCACTTTTCTTATTATTTCTTTCCTAAAGGGAAAAATGAGACTCCTTTTCTCAATTTTTCCTTTCCTCTTTTTTTCCTATGTTGGTTAAAGAAGGAGAAAAAGCGGAGAGAAAAGAAAAGGAGGTACTTTCCTGTTATGACGCAACAGTCAGTTTTTTCGTCAGTTTTTTCGAAAATTATGTAAAAATGGTCAGTCTGAACAATAATTGTAGAACCCATCGAGCTGAGTCGAATGATACCAAAATCAACGAATTCTGAGGAGATTTGACAAAGTTATGACATTATTTAGACCTACCGGAGTCGACGACTTATGTCATAACTTTGTCAAATCAAGTCGGATTTGGTTGATTCTGGTCTCATTCGACTCAGCTCGACGAGCTCTTTCGAATGAGTTATGATTTGTATAGATTTTCGTCTTTATGATTTTGTGCCCCTGTGGTTTAGGGGTCTGTATTTCGGTCAAATCAAGTCGAATTTTGTTGATTTTGGTGTCATTCGACAAAGCTCGATGTGTTCTACAATTGTTGTTTAGACTGACCATTTTTACATAATTTTTGAAAAAACTGACGAAAAAACTGACTGTTGCGTCATAACAGGAAAGTACCGAAAAGGAAAAGAGGCATCTCTGCCATCTCCTCTTTCCTTTTTAATTGACATTAGCTGCAAGGTAGAGACGCCTCTTTTCCTTTTCTTTTCTCTCCTCTTTTTCTCTTTCTTTAACTAATATTGGAAAAGAAAAGGAAAGGAAAAAAGGAGGAAGGGAGTCTTATTTTTCTCCTTAATAAAAGAAAAATCTCTCTTTATGAGGGCGACTCAACCGTTCCAAAAGTCGGAAACTTTGAAGGCCTATAACTTTTCGAAATGGGGGTCAGGGCCAAAAAAGAAACCTACTACAATTGGCTTTCGACCATGCTCTACAAGATGGTATAATTTTTATTTGAAAATTTTTGGTCACAGTTCGGAATGTTCCCTTGTAAGAGGACTTTGTCTAGCTCCACTCAAGCGAGGTTGTTTTTGAGTTTTTTAATCTTAACTTGAATCGTTTTTAGCATTGAAATGGAATTCCTCCTGCTCCTCGTGGGAGCGTTTGATGTGTCAACCTTGACTATTGAAGATGGTATTTTTGAGGTCAAGTGTCAAACCTTGACTATTGAAGATGGTATTTTTGAGGTCAAGTCGACTGCTGGAGACACCCACCTTGGAGGCGAAGATTTTTGACAATCGAATGGTTTGGAGTTTTTTGAGGGTTTTTTAAACTGAAAATATGTCTTTTTAAGGTCAACCACATCGTTGCTGAATTCAAACGTAAGCACAAGAAGGATCTTGCCACCAATTCGCGTGCTCTCCGTCGTATTCGTACTGCTTGTGAACGCGCTAAGAGGACTTTGTCTAGCTCTACTCAAGCGAGGTTATTTTTTACTTTTTTGACCTTGACTTGAATCGATTTTAGGGTACTTATGAAGATGGAGGTGCCCTTTCTGCGGACTTTTTTTGCGGACTTTTCTTCCCTTATTTAAATGTTTTACTTGTAGCAACTAACTGTCAATGGCCCTCCCCTATTATTTTTCTTACCTAAGCTTGTACATAATGGTCAGATTTTCTTCTTCCTCTCCTTCCTTCTATTTGCCCTGTGACATATTCAAACAAGGCACATTGATAAAGAGAAGATTAATTTTATAGTCATACACTTATATTTTGCCTTAGAAAACAATGTTACACAAAAAAATAATTGAAAAAATTGATTTGGTGTATAACATTATAAATTTCTGTGTAAAAACATTACATTCCTATTTATATTTAAAAATATTGAACAACTGAAAAATTTCAAATATTAGCATCTTCTGGAAAATCTACGTTTAAACGACTAATATTTTGATGCGAGGCTAAAAAGCTTGGTCTTATTCATAGAAAACGGACCCTTAAATTTGGAGGTTATACAACTATCAAGGTAAAAATGTCTTTATCAAGTCTTGTTTGCATATTCACAGGGAAGAAAATCTGACCATTATGTACAATATAGGTTAGGAAAATTATTGGGGGTGGGGGGACAAGGTTTGGAATTTAGGGACAGAGTTTGGAATTTAGTTAAAGTAAAATGTTTCATTGATTGAAACAATTTTACGTTTATAATGTTTAAATTAATTGTTTTCAAATTGGCATAAGAATTAGCCTTTGACAGTTTGTTGCTACAAGCAAAACTTGCTGCAAGCAAGACAACCAAAACATTAAAAAAGAAAAATTTTAAGGAAAGGAAAAGTCCGCAAAAAAAGTCCGCAGAAAGGGCACCTCCATCTTCATAAGTACCGATTTTAGCATTGAGATTGACTCTCTCTTTGATGGAATCGACTTCTACACCAACATCACGCGTGCACGTTTTGAAGAGCTTTGCGCCGATTTGTTCCGCAGTACTATGGATCCAGTCGAGAAATCAATTCGTGATGCTAAGATGGACAAGTCTCAGATTTATGACATTGTTTTGGTTGGAGGATCGACTAGAATCCCAAAAGTCCAGAAGCTGTTGTCTGACTTCTTTTCTGGTAAAGAACTTAACAAGAGCATCAACCACGGCGAGGCTGTCGCCTATGGAGCTGCTGTTCAGGCTGCAATTTTGTCTGGCGATAAGTCTGAGAATGTTCAGGTATATTTTTTGGAAGTGTTTTTCTGAAAGGGAAAACTTGAAAATTTTTTTAAAGGATCTTCTTCTTTTGGACGTTGCCCCACTCTCGTTGGGTATTGAAACTGCTGGTGGCGTCATGACTCCGTTAATCAAGAGAAACACGACTATTCCCACCAAGACTTCTCAAACGTTCACTACTTACTCTGACAATCAGCCTGGTGTTCTTATTCAGGTTGGAAAGAATTTTTGGAAATTTTTGACCTTTTCTTTTTTAAAGGTCTATGAAGGTGAACGTGCTATGACTAAGGACAACAACTTGTTGGGCAAATTCGAGTTGAGTGGAATTCCTCCTGCTCCTTGTGGTGTTCCTCAAATCGAAGTCACCTTTGACATTGACGCCAACGGAATTTTGAATGTTTTTGCCCAAGACAAGTCTACTGGAAAGCAAAACAAGATCACCATCACTAACGACAAGGGACGTCTTTCCAAAGATGAGATTGAGCGCATGGTCCAAGAAGCTGAGAAATATCGTGGAGAGGATGAAATTCAGCGTGATCGTGTTTCTGCAAAGAACGGACTTCAGTCTTACTGCTTTAACATCAAGCAGATAATGGAGGATGATAAGGTTTGATTTTGAGGGGATAATGCTTGGGTTGGGTGTGGGCTTTTGATGGGTTGTCCTTGGTGGAAGGACTGAGGATCGGAATGCGCGGTCTTGTGTGGCGATGATCTGGGGAAAGGGGAGGGGCTGTCTTAAGGGGAAAGAGCTTGGGCCAGAAATCAGATGTTGTGTTGTGAGATGGATAGGTTGTCTTCCGCCTTCCTTTATTGACCCTTCCACTTTTAAAAATCCACTTTCTTGGTTCACTTTCTTGTAAGGGACTTGTTTAATTTTTCAAAAATTTTTCAGCTCAAGAACAAGATTAGCGAAGACGATAAGAAGGTTTTGGACAAATGTCAGGAAACGCTCTCTTGGTTAGACGCCAAACAGACTACTGAGGATGAATTTGAGCATCATCACAACTCTAAGGTTTGGTATTTTCTCTTTTTTATTCTTTGGGATGGGACTGTCTTTGGGTAGGCTGGGGAGTGGAGAGGTGTTTTGTTGGGGGGATTAACTATATTTGACTAAGCTGTGGGCAGAAACGTGCTTTCTTAAGTATTTTTGTGAAGACGACAATTTTCGTATTTTTAATTTTAAAGGTATTTTTCAGATGTGTGCTGCAACAACAAAACTCGTACATTGAGGCTGACGGCTCTGTAACATCAACAGCTACACCGAGACTTATTATTGCATGAAGTGTTCAAAATGAGAATTGGATTGCAACGAATCGATGATGGACTACAAAGATGAGAGAAGCTAAAAATGTGGCAAAGATGCTTCCGCCACATTTAAAGGTCTTGTAATTTTTTTAAATGATATGTATATATTTTGTGTGTGCTTTTCCGTTTACACTTCTAAATTCTATTCCTGCTTCAATTTTTAATAATTTCCGAAATTCCAAAGACTAAGCTTCAAGAATGAAGCAAAACACGAAAGATTTTAAGTGTAAGTTAAAAACGGAAAAGTACAAATCTTTGCCACTTGTAAAAAGGTTCTTGCGGCTTTTTTATAAGAAGTTTGCAAAACAGTTTTTTACAAGTGGTATATTTTTTTCATTTTCATTTTTTTTTGTTTGTGGTTAAAAATTGTTGGGTTGGGCCCCCTCCCCTCCTCCCCGGGCTTACACCACTAAAGACTCATCCAAGCTCAAAGAGCTTTGGACACTTGTGCGACTCCCAAAACCAATCAAACTAGCATGACCTCCAGTTTATACTTCTAATGATTCGGGTTTTTCTCGAATGACCCCAAAATCAGTATCATGAATTCGTATTGGAATAGCATTCCAAACTGAATTGCCACAAATGTCCATAGGTTCAGGCTTTCATACCTGCGAGTTATATCCAAAGGCACGGGTTCTTATTCAATAGGTGTAGACAGTAGGGCACTAGGCATAGGCTTCCTTAGACGTTGACTTAGACCTTTGAATTACCCCCCCCCCCTTATAACCCAAATGACCAGTGACCAAATTTCCAGTGATCAGATGTCCAGTGACCAAATGTCCAGTGACCAAATGTCCAGTGATCAGATGTCCCTGGACCAAATGTCCAGCGATCAATTGTCCCAATGATCAATTGTCCAGTGATCAATTGTCCCTGACTGTCCCACACTAAAAATCCCACGCTGAAAATCTGGCACTGAACTGCCCGACCCCCCTTTTTCAAAGAATCCTCTCCATAGGATCAGGCTTTCATACCTGCCAGTTATATCCAAAGGCACGGGTTCTTATTCAATAGGTGTAGACAGTAGGGCACTAGGCATAGGCTTCCTTAGACGTTGACCTAGACTTTGACCTTTGATTTACCCCTCCCCCCCTCCTGACCAAATGTCCAATGATAAATTGTCCCAATGATCAATTGTCAAGTGATCAATTGTCCCAGTGACCAAATGTCCAATGATCAATCGTCCCAATGATCAATTGTCCAGTGATCAATTGTCCAGTGATCAATTGTCCCAGTGACCAAATGTCCAGTGATCAAATTCCCAGTGACCAAATGTCCCAGTGACCAATTGTCCCTGACTGTCCCACACTAAAAATCCCACACTGAAAATCTGGCATCAAAAATGAGCGACCCCCTTTTTTAAAACCCTCTCCACAGGATCAGGCTTTCATACCTGCCAGTTATATCCAAAGGCACGGGTTCTTATTCAATAGGTGTAGACAGTAGGGCACTAGGCATAGGCTTCCTTAGACGTTGACTTAGACCTTTGAATTACCCCCCCCCTTATAACCCAAATGACCAGTGACCAAATTTCCAGTGATCAGATGTCCAGTGACCAAATGTCCAGTGACCAAATGTCCAGTGATCAGATGTCCCTGGACCAAATGTCCAGCGATCAATTGTCCCAATGATCAATTGTCCAGTGATCAATTGTCCCTGACTGTCCCACACTAAAAATCCCACGCTGAAAATCTGGCACTGAACTGCCCGACCCCCCCTTTTTCAAAGAATCCTCTCCATAGGATCAGGCTTTCATACCTGCCAGTTATATCCAAAGGCACGGGTTCTTATTCAATAGGTGTAGACAGTAGGGCACTAGGCATAGGCTTCCTTAGACGTTGACCTAGACTTTGACCTTTGATTTACCCCTCCCCCCCTCCTGACCAAATGTCCAATGATAAATTGTCCCAATGATCAATTGTCAAGTGATCAATTGTCCCAGTGACCAAATGTCCAATGATCAATCGTCCCAATGATCAATTGTCCAGTGATCAATTGTCCAGTGATCAATTGTCCCAGTGACCAAATGTCCAGTGATCAAATTCCCAGTGACCAAATGTCCCAGTGACCAATTGTCCCTGACTGTCCCACACTAAAAATCCCACACTGAAAATCTGGCATCAAAAATGAGCGACCCCCTTTTTTAAAACCCTCTCCACAGGATCAGGCTTTCATACCTGCCAGTTATATCCAAAGGCACGGGTTCTTATTCAATAGGTGTAGACAGTAGGGCACTAGGCATAGGCTTCCTTAGACGTTGACTTAGACCTTTGAATTACCCCCCCCCCCTTATAACCCAAATGACCAGTGACCAAATTTCCAGTGATCAGATGTCCAGTGACCAAATGTCCAGTGATCAGATGTCCCTGGACCAAATGTCCAGCGATCAATTGTCCCAATGATCAATTGTCCAGTGATCAATTGTCCCTGACTGTCCCACACTAAAAATCCCACGCTGAAAATCTGGCACTGAACTGCCCGACCCCCCTTTTTCAAAGAATCCTCTCCATAGGATCAGGCTTTCATACCTGCCAGTTATATCCAAAGGCACGGGTTCTTATTCAATAGGTGTAGACAGTAGGGCACTAGGCATAGGCTTCCTTAGACGTTGACCTAGACTTTGACCTTTGATTTACCCCTCCCCCCCTCCTGACCAAATGTCCAATGATAAATTGTCCCAATGATCAATTGTCAAGTGATCAATTGTCCCAGTGACCAAATGTCCAATGATCAATCGTCCCAATGATCAATTGTCCAGTGATCAATTGTCCAGTGATCAATTGTCCCAGTGACCAAATGTCCAGTGATCAAATTCCCAGTGACCAAATGTCCCAGTGACCAATTGTCCCTGACTGTCCCACACTAAAAATCCCACACTGAAAATCTGGCATCAAAAATGAGCGACCCCCTTTTTTAAAACCCTCTCCACAGGATCAGGCTTTCATACCTGCCAGTTATATCCAAAGGCACGGGTTCTTATTCAATAGGTGTAGACAGTAGGGCACTAGGCATAGGCTTCCTTAGACGTTGACTTAGACCTTTGAATTACCCCCCCCCCCCTTATAACCCAAATGACCAGTGACCAAATTTCCAGTGATCAGATGTCCAGTGACCAAATGTCCAGTGATCAGATGTCCCTGGACCAAATGTCCAGCGATCAATTGTCCCAATGATCAATTGTCCAGTGATCAATTGTCCCTGACTGTCCCACACTAAAAATCCCACGCTGAAAATCTGGCACTGAACTGCCCGACCCCCCTTTTTCAAAGAATCCTCTCCATAGGATCAGGCTTTCATACCTGCCAGTTATATCCAAAGGCACGGGTTCTTATTCAATAGGTGTAGACAGTAGGGCACTAGGCATAGGCTTCCTTAGACGTTGACCTAGACTTTGACCTTTGATTTACCCCTCCCCCCCTCCTGACCAAATGTCCAATGATAAATTGTCCCAATGATCAATTGTCAAGTGATCAATTGTCCCAGTGACCAAATGTCCAATGATCAATCGTCCCAATGATCAATTGTCCAGTGATCAATTGTCCAGTGATCAATTGTCCCAGTGACCAAATGTCCAGTGATCAAATTCCCAGTGACCAAATGTCCCAGTGACCAATTGTCCCTGACTGTCCCACACTAAAAATCCCACACTGAAAATCTGGCATCAAAAATGAGCGACCCCCTTTTTTAAAACCCTCTCCACAGGATCAGGCTTTCATACCTGCCAGTTATATCCAAAGGCACGGGTTCTTATTCAATAGGTGTAGACAGTAGGGCACTAGGCATAGGCTTCCTTAGACGTTGACTTAGACCTTTGAATTACCCCCCCCCCTTATAACCCAAATGACCAGTGACCAAATTTCCAGTGATCAGATGTCCAGTGACCAAATGTCCAGTGATCAGATGTCCCTGGACCAAATGTCCAGCGATCAATTGTCCCAATGATCAATTGTCCAGTGATCAATTGTCCCTGACTGTCCCACACTAAAAATCCCACGCTGAAAATCTGGCACTGAACTGCCCGACCCCCCTTTTTCAAAGAATCCTCTCCATAGGATCAGGCTTTCATACCTGCCAGTTATATCCAAAGGCACGGGTTCTTATTCAATAGGTGTAGACAGTAGGGCACTAGGCATAGGCTTCCTTAGACGTTGACCTAGACTTTGACCTTTGATTTACCCCTCCCCCCCTCCTGACCAAATGTCCAATGATAAATTGTCCCAATGATCAATTGTCAAGTGATCAATTGTCCCAGTGACCAAATGTCCAATGATCAATCGTCCCAATGATCAATTGTCCAGTGATCAATTGTCCAGTGATCAATTGTCCCAGTGACCAAATGTCCAGTGATCAAATTCCCAGTGACCAAATGTCCCAGTGACCAATTGTCCCTGACTGTCCCACACTAAAAATCCCACACTGAAAATCTGGCATCAAAAATGAGCGACCCCCTTTTTTAAAACCCTCTCCACAGGATCAGGCTTTCATACCTGCCAGTTATATCCAAAGGCACGGGTTCTTATTCAATAGGTGTAGACAGTAGGGCACTAGGCATAGGCTTCCTTAGA